ATATAATAGTAATATTAATAATATCTCGATATATACTTATATATTACTCGTATAGAACTCTTCGCTAACTAATATACTTATAGCTCTTATATTCTCCTAGTCGCTACTTATTTATAAGTCTTAGTCGCTTCGCGTAAGATTTATTTTATATTACTAACTTTATATTTCGTATAGAATCTTAAAATACTTAACTATAAGTCGTATTTATATTATATAGTTTTTATCTATACTAACTAATTTCTTTATAGTAGCTTTATTTTCTTAATTAGTAAGTACTTACTAGTTTATAATCGAGTTACTTACTAATCGTAATAGTATCGACTATTATCGCTACGCCTATAGTTTTAGGCCTCGATAGTATTATTAATAGCGTAAATAGTAGTTATTCTCTTAGTAGTAGTAATAAGAAACGAGATAGGTTTATATATATATCGTATACGACTCTCTAACTAACTTATAGTAGGGCTATCGAATAATACTCCTACTCCCTCGCGTAAGGCTCGTAAGCGAGTAAAGTATAGTTTACTATACTAGCGATACTTTCGCCGCCTCTATACCTAGTTAGCTAATACTCCTACGAGTAGCGATCAGGGCTAGGCTAGCTAGCGAGTTAATTACGAGTATCCCGAGAGTTATAATCGCTATCGCTATTATCGGGGTAGTAATCGCACTATCGCTTAGTACGCTTCTATAAGTTATATATATATTATATAGTAATCGTATACTAATCGCTTTAGGTTCCTAAGTATTTAGAGGGTCGTATACGCGACTTACTCGCGACTAATCGTCGCCTTATTTAGAGTAAGGCTAGTATTACTATAGTCGCTATCGAGACGTAAGCGAAGGTCCTCGACCTCGAGATAACTATCTATACTCGCGAGATAAATCGTACTACTCGTACCGCTCGTACTACTTCTACCCCTATCGCTATCGGCTCGCTCTCGACTTTTATCTCGACTCGCCTATTATTAGCTTCGCCTAATATACTATTAATACGATCGCTTACGGCTAGCGTATAAAATACTACTACTTCTTTTATTTTCCCCCCTATTATTACTAATATAGATATTATTTAGGCTTTAACTTACTTAACTATAAGTATTAATTACGAGTTACTTACGAATTATTAACGAATTTTAGAATATCGTTACTACGACTACTACTTCTCTAGCTTCGTTAAAGTCGCGTATAAATCGTATAGAGGCTATAACTTTCTCTAGCTTCGATAATAATAAGCTTACGATATTATTTAAATTATCTAACTCGAAGTAAAATGGTCGTACGTAATTCGTAGATAATAGAATAAATAGTTACGATAGTTACTTTAAGTTATCGCTTACGACTTAAAGTAAAGTCTTAGTAAATTATATTTTTTAGTAAGGTCTAGAAGTAAAGAGTATACCGCTCGTAGTAAACTCCCCTATAATCTCTCGTAAGGTATAAAGAATTAAGGCGTTAATCGAGATTTCTTAAATAATTTTACTTTTCGTAAAGAGCTCGCTATAACCTCGCCTATACCTCGCGAGAGTATAGTATAGAAGTATAAGTCGAGCGTTGAATAAAACTATTTACTCGCTCTTCGTCTTTAATTCGTAATCTTTTCTCGTATATTCGTAAGATATTCTTTTATTTCTTAGGAGTCGTTAACTTCTCTAAAATCTTTTTATTTAATATAGAACTATTACTTCTCTTTACGAGTACGCTCGCCTAGGATTTAGTTAATCTTTTACTTATTTTTCTCTTTAATATCTAAAGTTAGTAGTAAGTCGCTATTAAGTTATATATAATACTTATATAATAGTAATATATAAAAAGTATAGTAAAGTCTTTTATATTTCTTAAGTAAATCGAGTCGATAAGTATTAACTCTATATTATTTTAATATAGTAAAAGATTTTAGATATTAATTAGCTATTTTCTTACTTACGCGTAAAATACGAATATTACGAGCGAAGAGTAAAACTCGTTCTTCGATACTAAAATATTTAGGGGTTTTTTTAAGATTATAGTACTTAGCTATAGTTTTACGCGCTTTCTATATAATTTATATAGATTTAGCTAGTACTTTCGCTCTTCTCTTTACGAGTATATTTTTTATATATATTATTTATAAGTCGATATTAATATTTATAAAGGGGTTAAAGATTAGAACGTCTAAAAATAGTATTTTCCTAATAATAATATTAACTTACGAATTTATTATATACTTTATATTTATAAGTAGTATCGCTTAATTTACTTATTAATAATTTACGTAGTATCTTAAATAAGCTTTAAGGATTTAATTTATTCGCTTTATTTATTTATTAATTTATAAATAAAAGGTAGTAAAGAATAGTTATCGAGTCGTAAGGTAAAAGTATAAGGTTCCTTAATAAACTAAGATAAAAACTAAATCTTTATTACTTACGATCGATTTTAGCGCTCTATATTTTATTATTATTTTTTTTAAAATAATTTTTCTTAAATCGCTTACGATTATTATACTAATATATAGTATTAAGTTCACTATTTTCGAGTATTATTAATAATTATTAGTATTACGTTATATACGACTCGTTTATATATCGACGCTAATAAGTCTATAATAAAATCTATAAAGATATTTTATTATAGCCCCTTAAAGGTCGATAGATTCTCTAGATATCTATATAGCTTTTACCTTAGTACTTTTATTCGTTAATAAATATTATATAAGTCGATATACTTATATATATCGCTTCTTATATACGATTATTAGTAATATTATATAATAGTCTCTATTATTTAACGTTACTTAAAATATCTCTCCTCTTAAGGGTTATTATAATTTACTTATAGAATCTCTTATTATATAGTATTATTATACGAGATATATATAGCTTCGTTATAACGTAAAAGACCTTAAGGGTTAAGGGTTTATATTCCTCTAAATAAGCTCTTTTCGATTTTTCCCTTAAGTATCTTCGATTAGTAGATTTCCTTATACTATTTATCTTAGATTTAGAGTTATCTTAAGCGGTTAATAAGCGACTTATAATAAAGTCGTAGTTAATTCGCTTTTATCTTAGGCTTATACTTCTCTCTTACGATTATCTTCTCTAGTAAGCGTTATATTAAGGCTAAGATTTATACTCTTAAAGTAATACGCTTAAGATCTTATTAAATCGTATTTCGTAAACTTAATATAAGAATATAAAATAGTCTTTAACCTTAGTATTTATTCTTTATAAAGAAGTTAATCTCTTTCTTTAGGAGTTCTATTATATTCGTTAAGTCTTATATTACTTAATATAATTCTTACTTAAAAGTTATTAACGATATAAGAGCTTTTCTTTTATATATATTAGCGTCCTTAATAGTATTCTTATACTATAAGATAAAGTTAATCTATAAGATAAAGAATATAGTCGTAGCGTTATAATCTTATCGCTATCGAATCTAGACGCGATCCTTAAGGCCGTTAGCTATAACTCGTATATAATAACCCTAATTTAGAACGATATAAATAGAAATTATATCGAATATAGTCTCTTAACTATTATTAAAGTCGCGTAAAGTCTTTATATTTTTTTAATTAAACTTTAGAGAAGATTTTATTATTTTTATTATTTTTTATAATTATTTTTAATTCTTTATATCTTTCGAAAAGCTATAAAGTCGTTTACGACTTAATAGCGTTATATCTTTAATTTTTATATATCGCGACGATTCTTTACCGATACTCTTCTCTTCTATAGCGAGGATTTTATCCCTAAATCGCTTATATTTTAGATTTATCTCGAGACTTTTCTTTTTTCTTAGAAGTTATTAATACTCCTTACTCTTTTCGTCCTTATTATTCGAAGAGCGAGGCGTATTATTCTCGCTTACGAGTTATTAACGATCTTTACGCGACTTAGGTTCGATATTAATAGGTTATAGGTTATCTTCGCCTAGGTTAACTTTAGACTTCGCCTAGGATAACCTAATCTTCGTCGACGATACCCTTTATCTCGGTATCGCTCTTTCTAGGCGACGTTATATCGTCTACGACTATTACTTACTTCGATCGATCGTAGTAAGATACTTCGAGAATATAAGGAACACCCTAGTATAATAGGTAGATAGAGTAATAGTTAATCTAATAGGTATTATATTTAGTAGTTAACTAGGAGTCCCTCAACCATTAGGTATTATAGGACTCGAAGCATAAGAGAAGCTAAGTCCTCTCATGCGAGAAGGGTGTGCCTTATAGGCGCCGCTAGGGCCTAGGCCTTCGGGCGGCTCGGTTAGTATACTATTCCTTATAACTAAATAGTCTATATTAAATAAGAGAATTAATATATATATTAAATATAATTAGATATGGATATTATTAAGATAATATAGAAGAACTAGAAAATATAATAAAAACTAATATTATTTTACCTAACGCGGATACGAAGATAGCTTAATTATATGTCTTAGAGCTTAGACCCTTCTGGCGAAGGACTTTTCTCCGAAAAGGATTAGTGCGTATACACTATCACGTGAGCCTTATGGGTCTGAGAACTGAGACAATCCGCGACGGATTGCTCGCCGTTCCCCAGCTTGATTGGCGGATTTCCGCCGAGGCACGAAAATGGATCTCTCCGGGATGCCAGGGATGTGCTGACAGGCGTGCTCACAGCGGCGCAGCGCCCCCGCACAAAAGCTCACACCCCGCAGTATCCCTAAGCACCCCTATATTCGGGTTCTGCTTACCGGACTCGGTTCTCCGTGCTCGAAACTCTCAAGACCAACTTGTGCTGCAAGATGACGAACGAGAATCTCCAATAGCATTCGGGGAAGAGTCTGGTCGCGCACTACCGAGCATCCCCTCACAGTTCGAACAGCCGGGATAGTACCAATGACTACTGGAGGCAGGTTAACAGTATGATCTACGTCTGTAGAAGCATGTAAGTCTTGGAGACAGCAACGCCGTGTAGCAAGATCGTGTTTGACTTCAGAACCTTTCAAATACTCATACAGCCATCACATCAACAAAAAGCTCACGTGTCATGGCTGAACAATACGCATATCTCACTGGTGGCGCCAGCGGCATTGGCAAAGCCGTGGCAGAAATGCTCGTCAAGAACAAGTACTCACATATCCTCTATCCTGGTACACTAGCCTCCTAATCCAACCAGCATCAAAGTCTTCATCGCCGACCGAGACAGCGACGGAGCCCAAAACCTTGCCGATGAACTCAACAAGAACAATAACGGCGCGGTCGCCAGTTCCGCGCATGTCGATGTCGCAAATTGGAACTCCCAAGCCAAAGCATTCAGCCAGGCTGTCGCTGACTTCGGTCGCATTGACTACGTCTATCCTATAGCCGGCGTCGGAGAACGTCCCTGGCTCGTTAACGACCCTTCACAATCCGGTTTCTCCATGCCCGATCTGTCTGTCCTTGACATCGACTTGACCGGGGTCCTATACACCGTTTCGCTAGCGATCCAGCAATTTAGAAAGCAGAAACAAGGCGAGCATGGATTCAGGGGAAAGAGTGAGCCAGCCTTGTGTCAATCCTCCTTTGCCACTCACCCACTGACTGACCAATGCCAGTCGTCACTGTGGCGAGCATCTGTGGCATTTACGCTGTCCCGACGGTGCCGGTATACACGGCTGCAAAACAGTATGTGCCTCCATCAACAACCAAAGCTCCATGTATGCTTGAGGCTGACAAGAGTAAAGTGGCATCGTAGGCTTCACACGGTCGTACGGGGCTCACCTTCCGACCGAGAAAATCACGTTAAACGCAGTTTGCCCCAACATCGTCCGCACCGGCATCTCCACTGAGGCATTCTACGATCTTGCAGAGAAGCAGAATCTCCTGGCGCCAATCGAAGGTGTGGTTGAGACGTTTGAGAAGCTACTTGGTCCAAACCCTACGTCGGGAGAGTGCTTTGAAATCGGACCAAATTACAAGAAAACGGGAGCAGCTCCCAGAAAACAACCAGAATATCTGGACCCGGAGACCGAGACGTCTTGCGATTTGATCTATCAGAGGTCACTTAAGCTTCATCAACCTCGCTAGACGGTTAAAAGGAGGATTGACAATGATCTTATGGTAAACAGATTTAGAGAAAGTCCAGGTTTCATTGTTCGACCTGCTGTAGGCCTACGCTAACAATCAGCCCAAACGTATTTTTGCATTCCGATTCTCGTACCAAACAGCTCGCCCGAGACAACAGTAGCCAGACCTCGTACTTGAGAACAAAACAAGGTAAGCGAGGTGTTGCGAGGACACACAGGGGGGTCTCTTCGTTGCCATGCTTCCAAGGTAGCCATACAGGTACTCGTCCATGTCATTCCAAATCTCAAATGTACAATCCCCACAACTCATCCTCACCAACCGTGCTCCTCTCCGTCATACTCTTCGTCAACCATGTCATCGCTGTCCTCTTCTTCGGGCTGCACTTCGTCGATGTTCCCCGCAGACCAGGTAGAACCGTCGACCTCTGGCTCGTTGCTGCCCTCTGTGCTGCTATTCCAGGCCAGTTGTCTCTCGACATGGCGAATGGCAATCTCTCTTGTGGCCATTGCATCTTCCAGACTACAATGACCATCTCCGGTCTGGATTGATATGCCGAGGATCGATGAAGACAGGTTTGCCAACCCTCTTTGTCCTCCATGTAGGATCTGTGTGTCCAACACGCGGGGGTGGATCCATCTGAGGGCATTGAGATCATTTTCGCCTGCATGAGCAATAACAATCGTTTCTGGGCTCACAAACTTCCACAGTGCTTCTCTTGCTTCATCTCTTCCGAAGAAGCATTTGCCGCTGCGTTGAGCCTGCCGCATGTCGCGCCATGATATACCGGAATAGCGCGTGCTGAGATTGCGCATGTCAACGGCTGGATACACAAGGCTGTCGACTAGGGTTTCGCCTGTGAAATAGTCGACCGCAGATACCCGGATCAGCTCTCGCCATTTGTTACTCGCAGTTCCCATTTCGCCTCCAACACAATTGCCTTCCGATAAGAATATGGATTGAGGTGTTCCACGAATGGCATCCATTTCTTGTGTTTCTTGTGTCCCCTGGCTCCACCTTGTTTGACTTGGACAATCACCTCAGCCGGCGTATGATAATATTGCCAGAATTCCTGAAGAGTGCGGTCGTTTTTCGGTGGGATTGTATGAGAGTGTTTTCTCACACAGCCATTGCTCTTGAGCTGATTGTTGCAGCATGTCCAGACATTATTTGAAAGTCTACCTGTATGGTAGAAGCAGATGAGGTCGGTGTGTTCGATGGACTCTCCTGGCAATGGCCGGCTAATTCTGTCAGCGCACTTCGAACAGCGGAGTTTCTGTTCGATGCGTGCTCCAGGTGATGCGACCAATTCATACCGCCGAGCTGAGAGAGTAGCATCGTTGTGGCAGAGGGTAAGCAGCATTTCATGGTGGGTTGTTGTCCATGGAATCGCACCGGAGAACCTGGTGTTGACAATGTTGGAAGACATGTTCGCAAGAGCTTTTGGTTGATGGCACCGACTATGAAGGAAAGACCTGAGGTTGACTGCTGGTCTGTAGTCGAGTATGGTTGATGGGAAAGAAGCTGAGACTCGAATGCAGGTCTTCTTGGGGACTCAAAAGTCGAGCAGAGGCAGTGTGACATGATGAGCGCGTCTGCTGTCACAACAACTGCCTGATATGATATATATACAAGGCAGTGAAGCATTGTAGCACTCTGGCAAACCAGCTTCACTGCCTTGGTACTCCTAACATCTTCGGAATGACGGTGAAGATGCACCTGTGGGTAAACAGTCGGCGCGCGTGATCCTTCTGACTTATGGTTTAAGTGTCAAGTATGTACGATCACGCATCGCTAGCCACAGGAGATGCTAGCGACCTCTTGTCCTCCAAGCCTACGCCAGATGGATTAGTCAATCATCATAGGGATTCTGAACCGGCGGGAGAAAACATACGCCCCATCGGACGCTCTGCGGTCGACACCAGTCGCATACTGATGCAGCTTGTTGATCTCCTCTTAAGCGGCTTCCTATTGTTGTTTGCTTGACCTGCTTGCTGAGTTTGTTTGCTGGATCTGCGTGCCGGTAAACCTGCAGGGGACGAACAAAGCAAGCCTGACAAAGGATTCTGTTGTTGCCCCCGCGAATTTGTCAATGAGGCCTATCGCCACTCATTGGTCTTCTTTGATGAACAAAGAAAAGGACAGAATCTGGATAACTCTTGATTGAAGACTAGCTTGACTTCTGTCTCGCCAGATGTCAGCAGCCAAAGAAAGGTCCTTCCGAAGATGCTTTCGGCGGACGACGCAGAGTACAGCGTGTTCATACTTCAGTTGGAACTTCAACCGGGGATGCCCAAGCCAGAATATGGAGGAACTCCCAGGATGTTGCAGGCGTGGATCATACTTTGAATACTCATACTCGATCCTTCTGCTCCCCGTTCCGAGGATGCTGGAACAGTAATTGGTATAGGCCTCTTCCATCCTTGCTTCTTCACTCCATGCCAGGGCACTGTATCCGTAGCAGAGTTATGGGTCTTGCAGCTCATGTTCCTCCTCATCATTGTTCTCCTTTTCCTCCTCCAAGGCTTCCTTCGCCGAATCGACAAGACTGAAGCCCAAAGTCGCAAGGAGGATCAGTGGCAGGATCTGCCCAAGCCCCCATTGGTTCTCAGATGTCAATAGCAGGGTCTGATTGCTCCTTCTCAAGTTTGCGATGTCCCATGTAGTCCAAGCACCGTAAGCGATGTACACTGCCACCTCGACGGCATAAAAGCCCTTCCCAAAGGACCACACAGCAACAAATTGAACTAGACACCACCAGACAATCAATATCCCAGCGAATACAGCTGCTCAGGCCCCGTGGTCAGCCAGTCGGATACACGCAGCCACACCCTTCGAAGCCGGTGAAGGTTTTCGCACTTCGGCCCGGATTGACATCCATGATTTGCACTGCTTGACCAAACACTTCCTCAAGGCAGAGATCGAAGCATCGCATGATCTCACAACGCTCTTTAATCTCCTCCGCCCTGACTCAAATAAAGTGGCGACCAAGCTGACAGCTAGGAAGAAGAGACCGGCCACCCAGAGCCACTGTGATGCCATGCTGATTGATCATCATAAAAAGTGCGGAAACATCGGCCAGATATGTGTAGAGATACAGTGCGGCTGAGGTTTGCGACCAGGTTGAGATGCAAGACCTACCTGCCTAGCTTGTAATAGCTAATCTCCCATTTCGACTAGACTCTGCGCAAGGGACAGAATACGAGGGACATGGCGCTTCACTCCCCGATACATGTGACAGCCCACAAAGCGTAGCTAAATCGTAGTGCCATCGGCGCTACTCTTGCCAGCTTCTGAACTGCCTCTCATCTTGCGATCTGCCGGAGAAAGTTCAACGATTTGGCAGGCGCGGTCGTTGTCATCCTTGTCGCCATGTTGTCGCTCAAGACAAATTCCAGGGCTGGACTCAATCGTTTCGGCGAGAGTGGTAAGTACCAAAATCGAATTGTACTTACTCCGCAGAGATCGATAGCAATCCATCTTGCCAGGTCAAATAACAAGGAGGTTGCGGGACGGTTTTATTGACCCCTGACCTTAGGTAAGGCCTAAATATCGCCAATTCCTTCCTGGCCCGGTTAGGTCCAAACCATAAAGGCCACGGCTAAGTACTGTACTCTGTAATCCAGACCTTGTACAACACTGAGAAGTAAAAAGTACCATAATTTTCTCTTCTCTCGAGCAAGTGACACGAGCTGGCTCCATGCCTGCGGCGTTATAGATTCGATCTCATACTAACTCACCGCACTCACTAGCCTGAATGCTGAATCTGATCCATAACTCTTGAAGGAGGACACGCCCGATGCTGGAAGCATCGAGGCATCTGGACGGTACCATCACTTGTTTCAGCCGTCACCAGGAAGACGATACACGCTGTAGGTAGAGCAAAGGATCAATCCTCCACAGGTCCACGGTACCCTCAGGACAGGCATAACTTCACGACTCCGTTTCAACATCCATTGAGTGAATATAAGACACCTAGGAGGAAAAGGCACATCTTTATTAAACACTATCTCAGTCCTTCACCGGCCCACGATTCTGTATACCAATCATGTCCGCCACGACATCAATATTCCACCCCTACCTCTCCCGAATCCTATCCTCACACCTCTCCTCCATCCCAATCGACACACTAAGCCGCACACCGCCATCACGCCTCCAGACCACCGCCCTCCCAAATATCGGCCTTATCGAACTCGTGTCGGCAACCGACTTCACAACCCTCTACGACCCCCTCTACAAAGCCAGCTTCCCACGCCGCGCTGAACGCGAGGACTCCGACCTGATCACAGCACGTCTCGCCGCCCAATCCGCCGGCACCAGAACAGGCCTCGCACCCTACCGTATAGTCGGTATCCGGGACCACGAAGGTCAAGCTATCGGCGCCGCCCAATTCTCTGTTCTACCGCTTCCCACGCACCCTTACCCTCACTCTGACAACACGTCCAGCAACGACAACAATGACACCCCATCCTTCGCTGTCCCCTATCTCCAATACATATACGTCCGCCCCTCGTCCCGTCGTCAAGACATGTCCGAAGTCCTGCACACAATGGTCCTAGCCGTCGCATCCGCGGACGCACTCGCCATGTCCGCCCAACCACGCACAATCCCCTTCACACTTTTCGAGACCGAACCGCCGGACCACGGAGACGACGCAACAAGTCGTGCCTACGCCAAGGAACGCTCCAAAATCCACACGAGCACGGGAGGCGTGGCTGTCGTGTTGCACCGCGAAAGCGACGGCAAGATCCTGAGCGCTCATGTCCAGCCTGGTCTAGAGACTGGAGACCCGCCACTGACTCTAGTCTGGGTGATACGACAGTCCCCAAGTCCAGGGCGGCCGTGGGACATCAGATCGATCGGCAAAGACCTCGTGGCTGCTTACTACCAGAGTCTACGGGATGAAGGGTTTCCCGAAGAGAACATCCGTCTTGCCGAACGAATAGTGGAAGCCAGGTGCAAAGGCGCCGACTTCTATCTGATGGCGCTGGGGGATGTCAGAGACTTCACGGACCCAGAACACTTGGACATTTATCCCAGTAATTGAATGACATTGTGAACGATTGAGCGTACTTAACTATGAACCGAGAGTGACGATACGAAACTATGAGACCAATCAAACAAAATCTCTGGGACAACGTAGCTCAACAGATACAATCTGTGAGCCACGGCTCAACCAGACGACCTTTGCAGAACCAGCAAACTCAAAGAGGGGGAAAAGGAGTGTGGTAAAAACAAACAAACAGGCGATCAATCTGGTAAAGGAAAAATGCAAAAACGAACAACAACAGGTGCTGACATATTTCAGCCAGCACTTCCAGGTCAGCGGTCAGCCAACTCAAGGAGTGCTCCTCCCCAGAATACCATCAAAGAACATGCGAGGACTGCCCACATGTCCACTGTCTAATGTCTGGGTGGTGTCGTCTTCCTTGATGGTCTTCGACTGTAGAGATCACCACCGTTGTGGGGAACCCCAAAGTGAGCCAAAAGGTTGACAGCAGCAGTTTCACCAGTAGCGAAAGCACCATGCACACATCCATTTCCAGCACGCGCGCAGTGCTCGCCGGCGAATTGCAGCTTGCTTGCCTTGTTGTTTTCCATTGCATCGAACCAGCCCTCTGGATCGTCGCCCGTCTTGTCCGCTGTGTAGGTACCAAAGCCAGCAAAAGGATCCTGAGTCCAGTGTGTCGTTTCCAGATTCACGACTGGAGGAAGCTTTTTGTAGGGCTCGGTGCGATATAGTTTGAACAGTGGTTCGAAAAAGGCGTATATCTCTTTGTCAGATTTCATGGCCTCGATACGTTGCGTGAGTGGTTCGACAATTTGAACCGATAATTCTTTGGTACCGCTCATAATCCAGTTGTTGCTGGTAACGGTCATGTATGAAAAAATTGAGTTTTCGTCAAAATGCTCGTTAGGTTCGGGATAGTATATGAATTGATCATTGTCCTTGGGCCAGAAAACAGTCTCGAATTCGACGAAGATCTTGCCTAAAGCACCAAAGCTGATTTTGTCAAGACCCGTGGTGATTTCCTTGGGAATAGACGGGCTGAACTCGACGAGGTTGTGTTTGAGCACACCTAGAGGAAGCGTGCAAACCACAGCGTCAGCAACAAAGGTCGACGACTTGCCGTCGTCGGTGGAAACATGGACCACGCAGGATTCGTTGTCGTCATCAGTCCAGTCGAGCTTCGTCACTTTATGACCAAGTCGAATAGTGCCAGGATCACGAAGGTTTGTGGCAGCCCAGTTGACTATGGTATCGTAACCTCCCTTCATGTACAGATTTCGCTCGGTAGCGAAGTAGTTGAGATGCTTGGAGGAGGCTACTTCCAGACTGGTGCCGATCCAGGCTTCGACTTCACGAGCAGCTTGAGGTGCCCAGAGACGCTCGTCCTCCGTCACCAAAGGATGGGTAGAAAGCCATTCATTGATGAACTCGAGGACATTCTTGTCTTCGGCATCAGGGTTCTCTTCATAGTACCATTCACAGAAATCGGCAAACTCGTCAGCGACCTTTTTGGCTTTGAACTGTGAACCAAGACGACCATCTCTGGTGAAGTACAGAGGAGTGCCATCGTCGTAGTAGTGCTCGATCTTGAGCTGACCAATGAGGCGGACAAGTTTATTGTTCGCGGTTTCGTGCATCCAGGCGGCTCCTATAAGCATGTGAGCATAGTGCCGACGACGGAAAACAATCCGCAATGTCGTGGCCGAACAATGAGCGCTCTTAACGACTTCATCTCAAACGCCTACGGCGATTGTCAGTATTGCCGAGGCAATATTTACCAATATCTCTTGGGCCATGACCCGCTTTCCTACTCGTGTAAATACGTCCGCCGATGCGGTCTGGGCGAGCTTCGAGCACAACGACTTGGATGCCGTGAGCCCTCAAGACGGATGCAGCACGAAGGCCGGCAATGCCAGCACCAATGACAATGACTTTTTTGTTTTGGTTTGGGAGCCCACCCGGCGGTGGTGAAAGTGTCTCCCTGTTCTCTTGACTCACAGTAGCCCGAGGCACGAATCCCCCGGGTTCTTTCGGGTTTCGACCATCCTCCAACTCTTTGGGACCGGCAGGTAGCAGCCGGTTGGCGAGTTGAAGAATGGTCGAAGGACTACTGGACTCCTTGGAGGATGGTTTGTGGGCAGAAAGATGGGTTATGTGAAAATGTTGAGCCATTCTGAGTTGGCAAGTCGACATTCGCGTGCGGACTGGATATTAGTAGTGATGCCAGCTAGGCTTTGGATGATAAGGACGAGGCTTTGGAAGGTTGCAAGGCTGGCGAGAGGGATTCTCGCTGGCAATACGAGCAGTAGAGCGTGTAAGGGGATGGAGAGGCGTATACAGACGAGTGAGAGAAAGGAGGAAAGGTAGATAGGTACATAGACAGATCCTCGAGGTGAAGGAAAGAGTGATGATGTGGCGGTAGGACGAGAGAGAAAAGTGAGGCTAAACTGCAGCAGGAAGTCGGACGCGTGGGGGGGGAGCGACTCTCCCCTGTAACCTTAGTTTCAAAAGGGCCTTATCATGATTGTGACTCGGTGAATGACATTTAGGCATCTTCTAGCGTGGGCGAAAGTGCAAATCGGCACTGTTTAAGCATTGTCCTGACCCGCTCGTGCCGATTAGTTAAGATCGAATTGGTGGGAAATCGCCAGTCAGCGCCTGTTTCTCGTTGGTACGCCCTTGAAAATGACGAACGATAAGCATGGTAGACACCGAATATTATGGCCACTCACAAGACTTTCCGTTGGCTCTTGCGGGGTTTGATTTTCACGGTAATCCTTCTTTGTGGAAGACAAGCGAGAAGTTCTCCATGAACCAATGTCCAATGGAACCGATTACTTAGGATCCCTGTTCGGCGCACCAACCTCATCGCAACCCTGGTGCTCACGCGATAAGGCTATTTCGCTTCGTCCATTAAGTATGTCAATTCCCTTTCATATCCCAACTTCGTGTTCTCCTCCCCAACCTGTTTCCCTTGTTGTCCCTGTCATCCGGTAGGCCCGTACTCGGGCAATGACTACTGCCATGGATGAAAGTCTCCCGGGCACGCTCCGTCTGTTTGACGCGAATGGGAATCCGCTCGCCACTGAGGGCACTGGCCTGAAAAAACACGGCGATATTGTTTTGGTGCCTCAACCAAGCGAATCGCCAAATGATCCGCTCCAATGGTCTCTGTCGCGGAAAATCTGGCACAGCTTTCTCGTCTGTTTCGTCACAGCTCTCACCGCCGCAACCTCCAATGACGCAGGCGCCGCCGAGTACAACGAAAACATTGAGATTGGTGTCAGTTATGGTTCGTTCAACACCGGTGCTGGCGTTCTTTTCTGCGGAATTGGATACTGGACTCTTTTGTCCTCCCCACTGGTCTACTTGTACGGCCGGCGCATCCTGTACCTGATCTGCATGTTGTTTGGCTTGATCGGGGGCATCTGGTTGGCCAAAACGCAAACGACGGGCGACGCGGTATTCAACCAGCTCTTCGTGGGAGCATCCGAATCGGTGGCCGAAGCGACAGTTCAATTATCGTTGATGGACCTATGGTTCCAACATCAGCGTGGTTCAGTATTGGGTGTTTACGTACTGGCGACCAGCATTGGAACGTATCTGGGTCCGCTCATTGCCAGCTACATTGCAGACAGTAGCCTAGATTGGCGATGGATCGGTTGGTTTGGAGCCATTTTCTCTGCTATGACCTTTTTCCTCTTCCTCTTTGGCCTGGAAGAGACTGCTTTCCGGCGGGACAAGTTTCTGATCAATGGTGGTGAACGGTACCTCATCGACGGTGTCAACAGAGCAAATAGCCCCCACATCGATAATGGAACCCAAGCAGCCCAAAGAGAAAAGACCCTGGAGCAGCCGCACCAGACGAATTCTGCCTTGCCGAGTGTGGAGTTAACGACAGGCGCCGAAGAGAGGCCCAAGTCGTATTGGGAGCGCATTGCCATCATAACTCCTGCACCGAACTTGCGCGGCACCGGCTTCAAACAATATTTCCTGCGCCTCTTCCACACGCTTCGCGTTTTCACCTTTCCTGCAGTATGGTACTCTGGTCTGCAGTGGGGAGCGCAAGACGCATGGTTGACGTTTTACCTGACCATTGAGGAAGACAACTGGTACGGACCTCCATGGAATTATAGCGATGCCGCCGATGGCAATATGAACATTCCTTGCTTGATCGGAGCAGTCATAGGCTGTTTTTACGGTGGTTGGTTCAGTGACAAATTCGTCTCCTGGATGGCCAAGCGAAATGGTGGTGTCTTTGAAGCGGAGCAACGACTGTGGCTTTTGTTCCCTACCGCCTGCATTTTCCCCGTCGGAATGTGGTTATTTGGCATTGGTACCGCTTACGGCTGGTCTTGGCCCGCGCCTTATGTTGGGCTGGGATTTATTGGTTTTGGCTGGGGTTGTGCAGGTGACTTGAGTATGGCCTACTTGATGGATGCTTATCCAGAGATGGTCTTGGAGGGCATGGTGGGCGTTGCCACGATCAACAACTCCATTGCACTTATCTTTACATTTACAGCTTCGGATTGGATCGATGCGAGCGGTGTTCGAAATTGCTTCATCGCCATTGGAGTACTGGCATTTGTATTCCTGATGACGACTTTGCCAATGATCATTTGGGGCAAAAAGGCTCGACGCTTTACGAGAGACAGGTATTTAAGGTTCTTGGAGATCCGAGATGGGTTTGATTGAAGGAGGTTGTGTGACATTTATGTTGGCTGATTTGCGGCTATGTTGTACAAATTAGCCATTCGTGTTATGTATAACGTTACATACTACGCAAGCAGATACATTTGTAATAATTCCAAGCAGGACAATGCGGCAGAGAGCCAGACTTGATGAGATTCAGTGTACCTCTTTTTTGACAACCGACCAAACCTGCATCGATACTGAGAGGGGTCGCCCAGGAAGTTATATACGTGGTTAACCATATACTCGACGGCACTGGCCGGCATGTATCAATACTGTGAAACACTCAGTCCGTTCCGCACTACATCTCCATCTCCAACTCCGCGAAATATAATTGTCAGTGAACGAGTGACCTCGATCGCAGCACCGCAACGCACTACCCTCCAGCACACATAATACCGTCCATCCGTTTACACCGTCCGGCGCACAACGACCACAGAAGACATTCGATATGCACTCAACGTTCCCCCTCCAAAGGGGCATGTAAGTCCTCCTCTCGCTTCCCTCATTCTATCCCGCCGTGCATCCCGCTTCATCAACGCCGCAATACCATACCACCTACACTTTCCCCGCCTCATCTTCCTATGCTTCAGCAGTGACTAACTCGGCCCAGTCTCAAACGCTCCTCCTACTACGACACCGACTACCGCGCCGGCGCAGCCCTCAACCGCGCCCGAAGACCATACTTGTTCAAGAACATGATAACAGGAGTCTGCATATTCGGTTTCGCAATTGGAGTTTGTACGTTTCCCTGCCTCACAACATCCTCTCTCTATGTACTTCGGTGACTAACAGTCCGGCACTTGTAGTCGCATTCACCCTCAAAGCCGTCGGCCAAGAAACCTTCCAAGATGTGATCGTTCCCGATGCACCCGTGACATCACCTAAACCCGGCGCCGGCGTGTCGGCTAATGGAATGCGCTCATGACCTGATCCCCAAAGAACCTGGTCTCGAGGATAATGCGGTTGTATGTATGCCGCATGGAGATGGCGTCAGGAGTTCATCAAACGGAGAGGACATACTAGGGCACCACGAGCAATGAAATACAGCAGGTTGGGATTCATCCATCTGCACAATACACCTTACATATCAGCCATCGCATGTGCATGGAGATACGCTCTACTTTGACACCGGTAGAAATAAGGACCGGTATATGAGTCCACTCTTAGCGACATGGGATCGGACTGTACAGATATTGGTTGATCAGTTGGACGACATACGAAACAAGCCCACGAAACGAGAGTCGCTGAGGTCTGGGCAATGTCAGAGCAGTGGCGAGCACCAATTTACAGTAAGGGGAAGCGCATCAAATGTACGGTATCTGGGCAGTGCAATGAACATAGATCCATCTCCTGCCCAAAGTGGATTCATATTACCAAAACTGTAACAGGACATCAGTCATGAAGCCAAAATCAAAACCAATTCTCTGCTCTATCGCTATCGCTATCGAATGCTGAAGCGCCCTGTCCCTGAAAATCCAGATCCTGCCGTGATACCCGCGTTATTGGCATGTTTGAACGGAGAGTCGTTTCCTAGCCTGGTCATTTTGTCCGGCCGTGCCGAGCCCGCTCGAGGCGGCGATCCTGCTAGGTGTACCCGAGCATTCAGAGGAGAAGATGCAAAATCTCGCGACACATCTTTCCCTGGCGCGTCTGATCCGTCTGCGACAACCCGACGAGTATCAAGTGGCGAGACAGAGTTGATTTGGTAATTCGTGCCAGCTAAGTTCTCCATCTTCGTGGTACTGCTCTGTCCATCATGCGGCGTGTTGATGACCGACGAGGCGTGTGCATTAGGATCTGCGATGGTTGAAGCTGACCCTGCGGGTTGAAGTGCTTCTGCGGTGCGTTGCTGGCTCGCCGGTGTCAAGAACTCATTCAGAGGCGATCTGTTCGAGTTCTGTCGGCTCAATCTATGTATGGGATGCTGTGGATTGGCCCACGGAGTTTGTTCTAGAAACTGTTCTTCCGCTTGTGGAGCTGATAGTTGTGCTCCCGTACTTTGCGCTGGTCGTTGTGTATGTCTAATCGGTCGAGTCTGCGTTGGCGGTATCTGCGAAGGTTAGCTGTTGTAGCATGTGACTGGTTTCATCACACTTACCCCCATTCTCTGGATGTCATCCTCAACGTCCTTCTGCTTCGAGGCTGCCAGCTCGGGCGCCGCAGGAAATCCAACATACTTGGCCAGTCCAGATAATATGGAGACTTCCTTGTTGTATGCTGTCTGCTGAACGATTTGCGTTGACCGTTTTTCCGGGAATGGAATGGTGTAGCTTGGTATCGTCGAATCCGCCTTGAACCTATCCCGTTGGATCCTGTAAAAGTGCTCGCTGATACGTTCTAGATATTTCTCTCGGATGTCTCTGACAGTCTGGAAGTATTGAGTGTGTATCTGGCTGCGGTCCGCCACAGCTTTGTTTTTGAGAGCACCAATCTTATAGACCAGCAGCTTTTGTTCGACTTCGAACTTTTCGTCGCGGTATTTCTGCACCACTTCCACCTGTCGCAAAAGTTCGGGGTGTGACGGCTTGGACGGCTTCGAGTCTGACAGAAGAGCGAGCTCATGGTTGATGGCTGCTATTCGTTCATCATACAGCCGATCTCTCAGGGCCGCGAAATGCCTTTCCAGCGAAGTCAAAGCTTCCATTGCCGCCATACGTCTGGCTGTTTCTTCTTCACTCTTTGCAGTAGCTTCAGTGTCGTTCTCATCGACCGCCTCACTATCTTCGGCACCTTCATGCTCTAGTTCGTCGTCTGCTTGCAGATCGTCGCCCTTTGCTTTTCTGCGAGGTCTACTTCTCGACTTGCCTTTGGAGTCTTCGCTGGTGTCAATTTTCTCAATCTCTTTCTGTCGGTCTTCTGGACCGTCGACTTCTTCATCCGGCCCAGGTAATGCGGGCCCGCGCTCTATGGTATGTTCTCGCGTCGGTCGACGACTGTCTTCGGCTTCACTTTCGGGCTCGGACTTTTCTTCTTCGCTCGTGACAGATCCCGTTCTTCGTCTTTGCGATCTTGGGGCTTCTTCAGTCTCGGAGTCGTCGTCTTCCCTCTTACGTTTAGTGGGTGATGTCCTGGGCCCGATTTTCGGTTCTGCTTCCGCTTCGCCCTCGGCATCCGGCGCGTCACTCAGGGCATCGTCGAGATCGGAGTCGCCATGTGAGGATATTGGCGACGAAACAAGACTTTCGGTCAAACTCTCTATTTCTGGCCTCATGTCAACACCTTCTCGTTGAGCCAGCTTGCTAGGACTGATCTCGAAAGGCTTTTTCTTCACGAGCCCCTCCGGGGTCACCTGAAGTCTTTCAGTCTCCGCTTCAGAATCGGCATCAGTGGCTTTGGCCGGTTCGACATCTTCCTCTTCCCCTTCCACGTCGTCAAGGTTGTCATCCAGTTCACTCAGACTGCTGGAGCGGTCGTCGTCTGATAGAGGTTCATCATGCGCGGCTATGACTGCAACAGTATTGGAAAGAGCTAGGAGGGAGTCTGCTGCAGAGTCCATCGTGGACAACGTTCGTTCTGAATTGCGAAACTCGATGAGCGAGTGCAAGCGTCCTAAATCGTGAAAAAGGTTCGTGTGGAGGTAATCTATTGCTGTCAGTTAGCGACAAAATTCTCCGGCAACCAGAGCGCATCTTCTGAGCGCAAAGTGCTCGATGAAGCATGAGAGTAACGTACGATATAATGTCGGATAGAGAGCAGTCACTATAACATGGTTTTTCGCGTCTCCTGATACTCGCTTTCTAAGGTTGTAGCTCCGGCGCAAGCGCACTTATTGCGAAATTTAGTTGCCAAACCTTGGTAGGTCAAAAATCAGATGGTCCTCTGCAGTAGGGAAGACTTGACGAGCCGTTCGATCAGTCTGAGGTCCTGTCTCAGAAGATTCGACGTGCAAAGTACTGAAGGTGAGGATGTTGCAGCAGGAGAAGGACTAGCGGGGCAGGGAGTGATTTCTGGCCCGCCAGGAGGTCGTGATTGATCGGCAGTGACTTGATCGTGGAGGATCGTACAAGATATCGTTGCTCGAGTTGTTTTCGTGAGAGAAACAGATATGGCCGCAAGAAAGCTGGTCGGAATCGCAAAACGCAGGCGTGTTGGGCGAACGTGGAGAATGAAGCCCCCAAATCGCAGGCGCAAAAGAGCCCAGGGAATCGTCATGGAGCCAAAAGCCGGCAAAACTGCGGACAATTAATCGATACCACGCTTGGAAACGGCTGACCCCGGCCTTGATTGCGGATCGCCGTAGGATCAGATATCGATTTTCTCCAACTCGCTTTCAAAGTCAATAAATTTTTGTGGAATACTACTCGTGCCAGGTGATGGTCCTGATAAACACCACCAGCTGTTCCTAGGACTCGACAGAGGCTACTATATCACTGTCTGCTGCCGACGCGATCGCAATGGCCAAATCTAAGAAGGAAAAGCAGGAGCCACAATCTACACCGGCCAGCGTCTTCGCACCAAAATCGAACTCGGTCGACCCTACGCTCGCATCCTTGTTTGCATCAAGTGTAGGCGTTCTTGTCCCTTTCATAACCACTTAACACTGACCTTTTATGTTAGTCTGGACCAGTCAAAATTCCTGTCAAACCTGCACAGAAGCCCAAACCTGTCACTCACGATGTCGAGCCCTCCACTACCGACGAGGATGGCTCCAATGAACCCCAGCACCTCGAAAAAGGTGTACACGAGTCGGTAGCAACAGTCGAAGACGCCGTCGAAAGACCTCGCAAGCGCCGGCGCATGGAGAAAGGAGACGACTTGGAGAGAAAATACTTCGAGCAACTGGAACGCGAAGAAGAGAAGGAACACAAACGGAAGCAGCCCTCAAAGAAAAGTGCTCCAGCCGGAGCTTCGAACTCCGACGACTCTCTGCACTCAGATCTTGAGGACGTCTCAGACGATAACGCAGCAGCAGACGACGTCCCTCGGCACGAGACTCTTAGCCAGAAATCCAATGACGAGGACAAGGTCAAGAGGACAGTCTTTCTGGGTAACGTGTCAACGGAAGCAATCAAGTCCAAGTCGGCGAGGAAGACCTTGATCCAGCATCTCGAATCGGCTTTGAAAGTCAGCACCGACGGGCAGAGCCAGGGCAAGTTCGAGTCTCTACGTTTCCGATCAACCGCCTACGTGAGCAGCTCCGGGCCTAAGAAAGCCACCTTCGCTAAAAAGGAGCTCATGGACGAAACAACCGTGAGCACAAATGCTTACGCTGTTTTCTCGACGGAGGAGGCTACCAAGCGTGTTGCTGAGAAGTTGAATGGGACCGTTGTCCTCGAGCGCCATCTAAGAGCAGACTATCTCGGTAGGCCATCAAAAACTGATCACAAGCGCTGTGTGTTCATTGGGAATTTGAGTTTTGTGAACCTGGAGACCAACCCAGGTGAGGATGATGATGGGAACAAGCGACGACCGACAGCAAAAGAGCCAGCAGATGCCGAGGAAGGTCTCTGGCGAGCGTTCGGAAAAGTCGGCAAGGTTGAAAGTGTGCGCGTGGTCAGAGATCAGGAAACGCGAATCAGCAAAGGATTCGCCTACGTGCAGTTTGAGAACGAGAACAGCGTGGAGGCTGCCCTTCTGATGAATGAGAAGAAGTTTCCGCCCATGCTGCCCCGGAAACTGCGTGTTATGCGGGCCAAGAAGACGAAACAGTCGACAGCACCCAACGGCCGGCCTGCGGACAGGCCTCAAGAACGAAGGAAGGGTGGTGCTGTTTCGGGAAGCAGAAATGCTCCTCGCAATGGGCAGAGAAAGCCGGGAGTGGTATTCGAAGGATATCGCGCGAGCAGCACCTCCAAAACCAACCTTACAAAAAAGAGACATAAGAAGCGCCCAGAGACGCGAAGTAGCCGTCGTGGAGCGGCATACAAAGCTTCTGGAGGGCGAAAGTAGAACTTGAAAACGCACGGTGGCAGCTCCGTGGTATATAAGGTATGTCACGAGAATGTTATGTGTCTATCTGCTCCCTCACTATCTGCGAGACTCAGAGTGTAACATGCTAGACAGCTATGCATTTGGACTGCTCCCAGATTCGGATACCGATCGAGTGCACGTCCTTGGCTGTGTCAGTCTTGACTGTGTCAAGTTGATAAATCATCATAGTCTCATAATTGGAAAGAACAGATACTACACTTTGTCGCGACGAGCCTATCGAGGGGGAAAGGAAGCCAGCGAGGAGAGATGTTTATATATCTTCAGCAGCTCGCACTATGCAACACATTCTCCACCAGTACCAAAGAATGACCGACGAAATCTCTGCGTTCCAGGCAGCAGTAAGTCTGCCAGCTTGTCGTCGCCAATCAAGTTCTCCCAGCCATAGAGCTTGCATTCTGGAGCGAATGTCCCTTGCAGCATCGGTGTCTCATTTGTGTTGCCGTCCTGAATACTCAGGTTGAGTCGTCCAACCGTAGGCCTGGGTTCTAGGTAGATCGCTGGTAAGCGCTGCGAGCGCAGAGCCGCCGCTGCATTGACTCAAACAAAAGCGAGCGAGCCCAAGAACTTGCTTCATGCCCAGAGTACTTGCTGCCAACAATGTACGCCCTAATCAACGTTTTGTCTTGACGGAGAGACAAATCGAGGGACCACTTCCGAAGATAGTACGAAGCTTCATAGACAATTGCCCGCTTCACCTTTGCATGACTTTGACACGGATGTTGTCCTTCAATGACATGTTCTTATCCTTGGACCTGTGATGCAGAGTATGGGCAGAGGAGAGAGGCCCTTCCCGACTGAGGTGAACGACCTTCACGACACTAGTAGTTCTAAATGAGTCCACTAGCGAACGACAAGACCTGACTAAGGCGGTAAAGCCGGACGCTGGATGAGGCAAACACTGTAAGGAGGGTATATTGTTGGAAGGGCGCAAACATAGTGCGCTGTGTGAATCGATATTGAATGGTTGAGTTCTTATTGTCGTCGACGATATTATCCTCCACGTCGGCACGTGACATGAAAATTGGCGACGGTTGGATCTGTACTTCGTAGACTTCAATCAGCCCTAATATTTGTCCCATTGTCTGCAAACCTACGTCAAAACATCAATCAGAGTTCATTCATGGATAGCAGAAAAGTGCTCCTGCGCAACCGCATCTCAATCAAACATGTCGGCCGGTAGCAAACGGAGCGCTACCGAGGCAGGTTTGTCAGAAGTAAAACTTGGGCAGGAGCAGATTCTGCATGATCTCAAAACTAAAAGAGTGAGCCATCAGACTTCTTCATCGTTACCAGAAACGCCGGCCATGAGTTCGCCAAAGGAAAAGAATGGAGATGTTCAGCGTGGGAATCCTGGGATGCCAACACCTGATGCAGAGTGGTCAGTCGCAGAATCGAAGTCGTCAAGAAAAAAGAAGCGGCGGAAGTTGCGCGAAGATCCAGACAGCAGCCCCAGCATCAACTTTCTTGACCTGAGGCCTGCCCGTGTACAACTCAAGGCACTGCAAGACCTCGTCCTCTATGTCACGGCAGACGGTGTAGCACCGACCTGGCTGGCTGTTAATAACGCCAAACAGATCGACAAGGTGGTGGTCTTAATGGTACCAGGTCTAGATCGTGCAACCCTCGAAAATCCGAAGCTCTTTGACTATGGAATCAGTCAAGACCAGACTGCGGCACAAGAGGATATAGATGGTGCTGCAAATTCGTATGCTCAGGGTCAGGCGGATGCAATCACGTCAGCCACGATTCCAACCACGAACACCCCTCACACAGAGGACTCAGAAACTGGTTCGGACACGATGGCCCGTCAAGAGTCCCTGAGACAACGTCTTCTTGACCACATCATCGAAGTCAAGGCGCCAGGCGACTCCTCAACAAACAGAGTCCATTCTCCACTGCAAGGCATGCTCATTGCACCTCTCTCCGATTCCAGGAAGAAAGACAACTCCCGTGACCAGAAGTCTTTCCAATCCGATCGTACACCGATCTCAACCTTTGTTCACACAGCGGAGGAGCTGCGCGAAGCAGAGTACCCCATCCACCCAGCAGCCTTTACCAGCCCGGTCGACGCAGAGCTTGAAAAGTCTCGACGCGAAAGCACCTCCCAATCCGCTTCGGCAGGATGGGTCGACACCGCTGTCTCATCGTCCGAGCCCACGGTCACGGGCACCACCCCTGCATCCCAGTCCCGCGACTCCCTCACCCGAGGCCTGAAACCCTACGCCATAGACTGCGAGATGGTCCTGACCACCAATGACAAGTATTCCCTTGCCCGTATATCTGCGCTCGATTGGCACGGCAAGACCGTCCTGGACAAATACGTCAAACCAGACCTTCCAATCAAGAACTACTTCACCCAATTCTCGGGCATCACCCCAAAACACCTTGAAAACGTGACCACAACTCTCGCCGACATACAACGACACCTCTTGGACCTTTTGGGCTCAGACGCCATCCTCCTAGGCCACTCCCTCGAATCCGACCTTAACGCCCTCCAACTGACACACCCTTTCATCGTGGACACAAGCATCATCTACCCACACCCACGAGGCCTGCCTTTGCGCTCATCCCTCAAATTCCTTGCGAACAGATATCTCAAGCGCGAGATCCAGAAAGACGGCTTGAACGGCCACGACTCGGTCGAAGATGCACGTGCGGTTCTCGACCTTGTCAAGCTGAAATGCGAAAGAGGACCCAGATGGGGCACCCTGGATGCCAACGGTGAGAGCATTTTCCGACGTATCGCGAGGAGTGTGAGGCCAGACGGATCGGGTAAGCGCAGAGAGACAGCCATCGTCGAGTATGGTACGCCCGAACGAGGCTTCGGCAAGGACGCTACCTACAAAATCGCCTGTACTACCGACGAAGAGATCATAGAGGGTGTGCTTCGTGCGGCGAATGGAGATGAAGATCAAGAACAAGCATACGACGCAAGCACCACAGCTACGGCTGCAAAGATCCCGCCTGGCGGCGCCGACTTTATATGGGGTCGCCTACGTGATCTCGAAGCCGTGCGCCGCTGGAATACACCACCTGCACCTATCCCGACGGATACAGAGATAGCCACCAACGACACTACTGCTGCGACGGCCACACCAGCAGAGCAATCTGAGGGCGAGCGACTCGCCGAAACGGCCTCTCGCGCGCTCCGCCAACTCTTCAACTTGTTCTCCGCGCTGCCAGAACGCACATTACTTGTCGCCTACAGCGGCACCAGCGACATGCGGCCCGCACTGCGCCTGCAGCAATTGCACGCGCTGTACAAGAAGGAGTTCAAGGTGAAGAAGTGGGATGAGTTGAGCGTCAAGTGGACGGATGTTGAAGAGCAGAAGCTCAGAAAGGCCGTGGACAATGCGAGAAGAGGTGTTGGTTTGCTTGCTGTGCGATGATCGGAAGCGCACTTTAGTCGTCACAGTAGCACCATGGACCTGTCCGAGCGGTGTTGCTCATATTTATATGGTAATGAACTGTAATACTAGCAATTGCATGATTACGATGTGTTCACTGTTTCGGATTTTCCCATTCATGAAGCTGATTTTCCATGAACTAGTTTTCCATTCGTTTTATACACAGAATATTCGCCTTCCGGCAGACTTTTTGTTTTCATTTCCATCTATACCGTTACAAGAAGCAGCGCAGCCGACCTGCTTCCTGCTTGAAAACATGACCAAAGTACGAGCGATCAGTCTTCTCGCAATACTCTCACAACCTTCTTCGATCCCGCCTTTCTCCTCTTCTTGTGGCCTTTATCAAATGCAACAGCACTTTGATGGTCACGTCCAATATTGTCCAGATCCTTCACCTTGTAGATACGGATGATCCAGTTTTCGCTGGTGAAAGCTTCTTCCAAAGTACTCAGCTCAGGACCCTGGGCCGGCAGAGACGAGCCTCGGACCCGGTCCTGTGCCTGACCAGCTGGGAATAGCTTGTCGTAGTTGTAATATGACATTTTGTACCTGTTGACGATATCAGTATCATTGGTCAGCAGCAGCGAAAGGGCAGAACACATACATCAATGAGTTCTTCATCGTCGGCGTGGCTTCATCGTCGACTCGGTACTCGCCCCGAGCAGTGAAGTAGTCACGCTCCCTTATTTCTTCAGGCCAGATACCTTCGGCAATTCTGACCATCCACAAGAACTTGTTAATATCATCACCACTGTATCCCAGCAGACCACCAAAGACGACCAGGACATAGTCGACGTCGTGCTGTCGGAGGATAGGGTAGCTGACTTCTTCCCTCGAACTCATTGCTTTGCCGACGGTTGCAATATGCGTGTTGTTCCAAGTGTTGTTGTCCACCAGTGTCGGTCGGTCGGCCATTCCTCCGATTTGATAACCATAATCCCACCAGGACATGATCTTTGCGTCCTGTGGGGTATTCTGTCTTAGCCAATAATATGCCTCACGGTAGTCGTCAATGATATGCTGCGAGCCATCTGGGAGCCTGGAAGCCAGGACCACTGAAGGCGACGAATATGCATTGGAAGTCACCCATGTACAATGGGCGACAAACAGCATCAGAAATGCGGTGGTCATGGATGTCATCATTGACTTGGAGATGCTGGAGTAGATGCCAACCAGCGGGTTCCGCGTGGAGCGCAGGGATGGATTGGCACTGATCTTGCTGGCTTTTTCTTTCACGGATCCGTTGCTAGACTCACTTGCATCTTCCGTGGGACTAGGAAGATACAGGTAGGTATCCAGGATTTGCGAAAGCGCCAGTGCCGCCGCACAGCATACAACGGGTGTCAAAGTGAGCATCAGACGGACCATGACACCGGCAAAGTAACTGGCCAGCACACCGTAGATGACGACAAAAACATGTTCGTCTCTGAGGTTCCTGAAGCAAAGGTAGACGCCGGCAGGAAACAACCAGATGAGCATGTTGAGGTCGAAAAAGAACGCCGGCCAAGCGGTTGGCTGATGTTCCGAAACCGAGGCAATGATAGGAATGTGGATCTTCGCATAACCAGTATCCCAGAGTGAATAAAATCGTCCACTCCAAGGTGCAATGGTTCCGGACAAGGTGAGGAGGACAAGGGCGGAGAACATGATTGCGAAAATAGCTCCACCTAGAGCCACGAGTAGCGTCTGGAACTGCTTTCCTGGCAGCTGGTCCCGGAGAAAGTTGAAGAAACCGACCAATTGTAGGAGGCCAAAGATACCGAGTGCTGCCATGTGATCACTGCTCCTAATCGGTAAGAAGCCGACGAAAGGAACCTGCATGCTTGCTAACGTTCCCAAAGCATACCAGGTCGTGTAGCTGATGTAAAGTCTGGAGCTGTAACGACCCATAAGGATGAGAGTGAAGGCATGCAGAGGAATAAGATTCGTGATGAAGACATATCCACCCCAAGCAGACACCATGTATCCGTAGAACAAGGCGGCCAGTGCTCCCCACATGATCGATCCGACTTTGACTGCCTTGATCCACAGGAAGAACGTGAATACAAGGAGGAATATGGCAATAGCTTCGTTGTCGTAGCTGCCCGCAACTGATCTTGAGATATAACCGGGGCTAATTCCCATGAAAACTGCGGCCAGAAGGCCCGCAGAAGGCGAAGAGGACATCTCGTTTGTCAAGAGGTACATGGCGAGTGCTGTAAGGCCGGAGCACGCCGGAGCGAGGAGGACACAGATGTTTCGAATGTCGACGGGCAGAGATAACAGGCGAAGGACATGGTAGATGACGCCGGACGTGACCATGAGGCCAGGATAGAGTGTACCACCAGTGACTCGACCGAGAGGATGCCATGTTCCTGTATGTATTGTCAATTCGGTCTCTCTTTCGATGTATTATACTCAGCTTACGGTCATCGAACCAGTCCCAGAAGCTGTAGAAGCCATTGGCCACAAGATATTTCGTCGCTCGGAAGTTGAACCAAGGATCAACTGTACAATAGAGTTAGACACTTAATGCTCGAAATGTGGTAGGCGGAGACAGGGAATGAATGGATGGCTGCGTTAACATACATTCGTGTATGATACTCTCGAAACCTGTTGATCATTGTCAGCGAACTGTACCCATGGTGACCGGCGCAAGAGCGTGGAAGAGCATACGTATAACACTGAAGAGACGAGCAGCCACCGCGGCAGCCGCGATGGTCACTAGAATGATGATCCGAAGTAGACCCCTGGTGTTTTTGCTGGTGCTCCCCCGAAGGAGAGGGTCGAGGGGACTGGAGACGGCCATTATGGCCACGAAAGAAGAAAGAACAACGTGTAAGAGGAGGAATGAAAGAGTGTTGCTTTGAACCCTCAATGGGGAGCAGTCTGTATGCGCAGGTCGAGTTTACGCAACGTCTCCAAATCTATGCCAAGCCCGGACCCCTGTAGGTGTAAGCTTTAGCACCGGCAGCCCGTCTTCAAGCCTATTAGACTTTCACATGCGCGTCTTAGCCTTGCCTTGTACAGACTTCGAAGCATTCACAATCCAGATAGGTGGACGGCCAGAAGGTACGGAGTGCACCCTGATGAAGTACAGATGGAATCCAAATCCAGCGATCGGGCACATAACTCATCAAGACACTACTTGTAGAGCTTTAGGATAATCATAATGTCCATACCGAACACCCATCACTCTGCTCTGTTTCATGTACAGCTTCACACTCTTGCGAGTCTCCATCACCGGAGGCCTTGCACAGCTGCCCAAAGGACGCTGCGTCCGAATGGCTGTTCCACATTGCTGCTGTATGAAAGGATCCCTTCTGCCCGTCTTTCGTAAGTGTGAGCAGAGCAACGCCAGTCAAGCCCTCTGCAAAATCGCCCGGGCAATCATGAGACCCCTGATGACAGAGAAGAACCTGTTCCAACCATTCGAGCTGTACCTGGCGCGAAGATTTGATCTTATGTTTGGGCGGTATTCCGGTGCATTTCAGACGAGGATGGTGATGGCTGTGGTCACTGCTGGGGCGTGCTGCATCGGTGTTACCGTCCGTAGAGCAAGGCCTTGGAGCACGATCTCGAAACACGGCATGAGAGACAATTCAGACGACCACAACCCAGTGAATCCCTATTCCTGTTCATTCGACCACCTGTCAAGCCATGCAACAACGTCTGACTTGTCTCCTTCTGTGGGTTTTCTGGCGGGCTCATCCTCCCAGTCCAGCAGCTGATCTTCTCCAGTCTTTTCATTTGTCTTGCGGTTCACGACGCTTCCTTTCTTATCTGTCGCGCTGCCAGATGCACCTGGTTCCTTTTCAGGTATTGTGGTAGAGTCTTCTGTTTCGGTCCCTCTTATGGCATTGGGGCCGACCTTGGCCTTGGATTTGAAGTATTCTTCCTGGGCCTTTTCACCCTCTTTCATGGCATCATCTCCCATCCACCATTTGAAGAAGCTTTGAATGTATGGCCGGGCGGTGAAATAAGCGGCAACGATCAAAATCAACCAAACGTAGTCTTGACGATCGAGTTGGCCTTTGTTCATGAATCTCTGTACGGGATTCAGACTTGACAAGTCCTCGGGTGGAGGCACATATTTGACCATCGTTGAGTCGTCGGAGAGGGTTGGACGATATGAGAGGAACGTGTCCGAAGATGTTCTGTAGAGATTCGACAACGGAGAGACGAGGCAGGGTAGACAGAGAAGGAGACAGTGAGAGAGAGGTGAAGGCCGTTTAAAGCCCTCCTGATGGTTCGGCCTTGTCGGATAAATAAAAAGTCCTCATTCCGCTGCAGCCGAACGGGCAGGTCGGTAGGTCGGCGAAATCACAGGCGTCCCTCCGAGATCAGTGGAAATATGCCGCTTCTTTAGAGATCCATCCTTCTGTCCACTATTTGACCTTGGTTCTTTCATGTTCAACTGGCTGTGCCTTGGTCTGTTCACCACTTTGTCGTACAATCTTTGCATCATCAGCTGGTCACTGGTTGTTTTGTGACACACAACTATGTTGAGGATCGTACCGTCAACCAGATCTGTGTGCTGAGGACATCCTTCTTGGAGTGAGCCTTTGTTTGCCCTGGTGTGGGTGGCCGCCGAATGATGTCGTCCTACAGAAGAAATCAGAAAGTCATCTCCTCGGCAAATGCCCGTGAAACGCCATCTGAAAACCAGATCATCCGGAAATAGGAAGACTGTGAATGAACGATCATTGACACGTGCAGAAATCCTTCTCACATTCAGATCAAGACGACGGGACATCGATTCTGTGTCATATGAGCTTGAAGGCCGTCTCATGTGGAGGTGCATTGATCTGGTCAACTTTTCGCCGAACCCTTTTCCAGGAACCTGATTGCCTTGCACTACCATTACAAATGTGCCAGCGACGGCTGCAACTGCCCGACCCTCTGGGCCCAACGCAACGGTGAGTGTCCGCGGTTCTAGCAATTTTTGCCGCATAACAAACAACACTCAGCCAGATTGGAGACGTTGAATCGTGAGGTGGTGTATTCCTTTTAGTCCATTTCCAGTTGCGCAAGATTTCTTTCATTCACGAGCCTTTCTCGACCGTTCATCATCTCTCTCTATCCTCCCCAGCAGCAGCCATGCTGCCGCCAAACACTTCACAGAAGCCATTTATGCTTCTATGTCTGCTCTTACTCATGCTCGCCGACACCTTGACTGCCTTCAAAGTGACTGGTGCCATGGGCGGTGTCAATACAACCACAGGGGCTCGGCCACTGCGATACGAGATCCACAAATTCGCGACCTCCGGGCCAGCATTCGACTTGTTGATCCTTTCTTTGATGGCCTTTCAGGCTGCGAATCAGTCGAATCCTCTTTCTTACTTTCAGATATCAGGTACTTGAGCCTCTCAAATGTTCAGTCGTCGAGTCAAGCTTACACTTTAGCAGGTATCCACGGCTATCCTCAAATCCCTTGGGATGGAGTTCCTGGCACAGGCATTTATCCAGGATATTGTATGCACGCTGCCGTACCATTTCCTATGTGGCATCGACCATACACAGCATTGTTCGAGGTGAGCATCTGGACAAATCATGCTTGCAAAGGGCGCGTTTTAACGATAAGCAGCAATTGCTATGGACACACGCACAGGACATCGCCAAAACGTTTCCCGATGCCCAACGTGACCAATATCAAGAGGCAGCTTTGACGTTGCGCCTTCCCTACTGGGATTGGGCACTATATCCAAGCTTGCCCGACGTGGTTACTCAGACCGAAATTTCTATCAATACACCCAATGGCTCGCAGACCGTCACTAATCCATTCTATGCTTACACCTTCCAGTCCAACGCCACCGGCAATGGATTCCCTCTGTCACACCCTGTATGGCCAAACTATGACCTGAAAATGGTCTAAGAAACTGACTCTCGTTGCAGCTGGCAAATCTTTCGACCACTGTTCGCTGGTACAACCCAGGCACAGGACAAAGCAATCAAAGTGCTTCCAATGCCGCTCTGAAAGCAAATGCGCCGACGTGAGTGGCTTCACTCTGCACCCATCCAGGTGGATACTGACACACTTTCTGCTTATCAGAATTCTGTCTCTGACCTATCAGCTGCTCACGGCGGTGTCAAACTACACGACATTCTCCTGCACTTGGCCTGGTGGCCAGTCAGGCATAGCGAACAACATTGAAGGCATCCACAACAGCATCCATGACAGCGTTGGAGGTTTTGGACACATGGAATACCCAGAACTTGCTGGGTTTGATCCGGTCTTCTGGTTACATCACGCCAATGTCGATCGCCTTGTGGCCATGTGGCAAGTCTTAAACCCTAACAGCTTCATTGTTCCGACTGTCAATGCATATGGATCGTACTACGAGCATCCTGGCTTTGTGGACTCGGCTACTAGCGGTCAGTTGTGTCACATGCTGGTTAGGATGAAGACTAACTTGTTGCAGCATTGGCTCCATTCCACTCCAACAATGGTAGCACCTTGTTCACCGTCAATGGAGTTCGCAGTATCATACCATTCGGCTATAGCTATCCCGAGCTACCGGACTGGGAAATGGATCAGGAAGAGTTGGCCACAAATGTACGAAGCGAGGTCAATGCATTGTACAATCCAAGCATGACTGCGGCAGGTAGCCGCACGGCGAGAGACGTTGAGCAGCGATCGGCGGATATTGCCGACTCATTCGGCCATGTGACACTTGAGATGGCACAAAACATGCGCGTCAACAACCTTGAGAGACAATGGGCAATTACTGTATTGGTCGACCGATACCCATTGGACACCAGTTTTCTCATCGACTTTTTCATGGGCAAAGCACCAGATGATGTGACTTCTTGGGCCAGCGCAAAGAACCTGATAGGCAGTTATGCGCAATTTGGCCCGGCCAACGTGTCGCTACTTCATCCGAATGGGGCCCCTTCTGGTCAAGTCCGCAGTGAGATTGCAATGACGCACACTCTGGCTGCTGGCGTGCACCGAGGAGTTCTTAAAGATCTTTCCCCATCGTCAGTAGTGCCAATGCTGCGCAAGGGGCTGAACTGGAGAGCCAGAACTGCAATGGGCCAAGAAGTACCGCTTTCTTCGCTCTCTGGACTTGTCATATCAGTCTACAGCAGATCGATCATTCCTTCTAATACGACAAACCATTTCCCCAGTTATGGTCCCCTGAGATGGGAGAGATCCGCCACAGAGAGTAAGCCTTACGGAGCGTCGTGATCTTTGGGTTGAGGTCACAGAAACATTGAGAACAGAAAGATTGATACCCTTGCAGAAGGAGCAATGAGGTCGGAACGGGCTTCTTGACATATCTGGAGGCTGATACTGGGACATTGAATCCATGTTTTCTGAGTCCAACGGCATCATGGGACGAATCTATCAGGAGTTTTGGTGCTTTGAAAATTGAAGCCAGCGAATCATGGAAGAGCAGCCTTGCCACGAATTAGAGAAGTGGGTAACATAACGTTGTAATCAATTTGAGATTGTCATTTTCGACTCGCTGTTGTTTCGTTCATAACGTCAACGAACATTCCATCGTTGAGTACCTAGGTATGTTCTCATGAGTTATGTAACAGCGAAGCCATCGAGTCCAGGGTGGCGGCCAGTACTTATATGGAACATCGGAGAGTACTGATCTCGCTCAGAAATGAGCAATTAGGTCAGATTAGAATATGCGTCACTTTCCGAGAGGACCCTCATTTTAGGGCTTTCAACCTAAGAACTTTACACGTCGCGCCCCTGGCATTAGCGTTTCGGTGCCTGGACGCCGGACGGTTGAGGCCGGAATAGGCTTGGAAGCCCCAGAAAATGGTCAGTTTCCGCCATTCAGCGAAGGCCCTGATCGTGAATTTAATTGATTGACACGTCTCCTCCACGCTTTCACGTCCACCCCGAACTTCCGTTGCTTATTTCCCGTTGGGAGGCTCCACTTTGGCACGCCGGATTCAAACAAATAATCACAGTGCCATCATCTCGTCAGCACGCTGCGATAAAGGGACACATTCGTGTTTTTTTCAATTCGCTTTGCCTTTGAGGACGAACAAACCGTGTCTTGTGATGTTGTTTTCAAAGTGAACGTTTTAACTTGTCACTTGCACTTGCTCTCCGACATTGTTCCTGTGGTAGCCACCTCAATTCGACACCTGATAGGCATCTCACACAGCCCTGAATCTTGCCACTTCCCGGGGAATCCCCAACAACTAGAGTGAAGCGTGTCATGAGGAGGAAATCTCGTCTCTCGAGAAGTTCACCGACGCCGATCATCTCCACAGAGACCGAGAGTTTGGATATTGGCTCCGGTGAGTGTTGGCGACCAGCGCAGGTGCCGTTGGAGAATTGTGCCTCTGGGCCTGCTGCATATGTTACGAGACATCATATGCTAACATGTGTGCTTGTAGTGCCAACCTCGACTACATTGTCTTGCCTGCATGTGGTGAACACCATGGCCGAGGTCGACAGAATGCTGAAGGATCAGAGCCACCACGATGCATCTCTATCTACTCATGGGAGAGTTGCTAGTGCTAGCATGATGCGCTCAGGTACTACAAGCCTGTCTTTTCCAACGGCGAAAACTAATCTTACTTCAGTCATGTCCTCAACCGAATCCTCTTCAACCACTCCCGAAACAACACCTTGGTCGTCTGCCATCGGGCATGCGGCCACTGGAAAGTCAGGCAGAGTGATTGAACGATTGCAAGTCGACATTGACCGGCTGCGGCGGGAAAAGCAGGCTCTGAAGATGCATTCTGAAGAGACAGAAAAGGCGAATGAGAATTTGGTGGCACGAAATCAGTCCTTACAAGACCGAAACAGCAACTATGAACAGTCTCATGAGGCCAATCTCCGACAGCTGGCAAGAAGGGAGAGGCAAGTCGAGGAGCTTCGCGAAGAACTCCGGAAAGAGAAGTTGAGAACGGCAAAGGCAGAGGAGCATTCAGCAGCTGCAGCTTCGAGTGAGGAGACATGGCGGAAGCAAGCCAGCCAGGCCAAAGCCCTCGCCGCGCAGAAAGAAACGGAATACGACACTATAGTCACCTGCCGCAAGGTAGACTACGACCGACACCAGAGTGGCTTGGATAAGATTCGTGCCCGTTTTGACACTCTTCTGATGCGACAAGATGAAGACCTGGTGAAGCAGAAGAAGCTGGAGATCATCGCGGAGCAACAACGACAGACAATCTCCCAATTGGAAGACCTTACTAGGAAGCTGAAGCAAAATTTCAAAGCTTACAGGCATGAGATTGACGCAGCGGTGAGTGACCTTCAGGACATGGCCAGCAAGAACGACGAGGATCTCACCAGCAAGTTGAAAGAAATGACTGAAGTCACGGCACGAATGCGATGGGTGATGAACGTTGACGATGTTATCAACCCCGGCAATCATGCACCCGAAGCCCAGAAGTACCAAGTCACGACAAATGGGCACAGTTCAGCACCAGACCAGCATAGCGCAAATTCTGGAAGACGAAGTCCTGCCAAAACCGTGTTGAAAAAGCACAGGCGAAAGGACTCGAGCAAAGTTCCCAACTAAAGCTGATCATTGACGCCTGACACGAAGCAAGCACCAGCGCTGATTTTGACGACCTATACGAAGTGATGAACTGGTGACGCATCAAAGGCTTTCATAAAGACATAGCCAAATTGTAATGCATCTCTGCATATCTGGACGGCCGTCAGCGACCGCGGTTGTCATGCGCATCGACCTGCCACATAAGGCCGGGCCAGGTGCCCAGGAAACAGCCTGCGGACACTGTTTGTGCAACAGCACCTTGGATCTCAAGCGTCCGTGAGTGACATCGTCAACTATAGTTGCCATTCTAGGCGATCGCCGACATGCCACCATTGATAGGCTTTTTGATTCGTTGTTGAATGATACCGCCAGATCGTTGCCATTCGAACCGGTCGGCGCACCTCCGCTACCGAACCCTAGATCCAACGGTGGTAACATGGCGGCGGCCTGCGATAAGTCGTGATGTAGAGCGATGCTCCCCCGGAGCTCATTGTCTGTAGCCACGCATTTTGCAACGCAAATTATCCAGGTGAAAACAAGCTCCGAGTGAGACAGCATTCAATAGTCGTTGTGAATGAGACACCCACTGTGAAACAACCGTGAATGTTGTTTGCTTCACCACGCCTGCCGCGAGGCTGCGTTACCCCTCTCGGAGGGAAATTCTTCCGCCGCCCACGATCCATTCCACCACTGAGGTTTCCATTTGTCTCTCCAATCGACATATCAAACCTATTTGGTTTGCTTCTCTTAGCGTGCCTCACGGCGTAGCAATGGCCAAGATGGAGACTAAGAAGGTCTTCGTGGCTTCCGTGTTTGAATTCACCGATGTTGGCGTAAGTTCCAATCATTTAGAGCGGTGATATTGCTACTGACGCTTTTTGCAGGCAGAGGAACTCAATGCGAGGTTCAAGTAAGCCTGCTGTTGATTCCTTCGTGCATGCAAGCACCGCGGCCAGGACTTTGAACCACTGACCATCTGAATCTAGGGATGCTCACGATGATCCTGACAATGCTCCGTTTGTGACCTTCGAGAAGGCCTTACATGTTCGTATTCCTCTTGTGGCTCAGAACTTACTTGACAGATCTTTGCTGACTGCGCCGAAGACCTTCTCTACGGAAACGGACCGAAAAGACAAGGACACTATATACGAGCTGTTAGCCCAGATGTCAGGCTACATCGACTACAACGTTGGTCGTGACTTGGCTTTTGACGATGAACCACGTATTCGTCCAATGGAAGGCACAGTCATAGATGTTTTCATACGGGATGACAGATCTTATGGAAACGGCTTACTTGACTATGCGTCCGAGGATGAATCTGACGGTCAAGACGCCTTGGAAAGTCTTCAGCACCTCATCACCTACTGGAAACCGCAGTGTGGAGATATCACAATCTTGCCTGAGACTTACTCACGAGAGATTTCTCGCTTGACTGGTACAACACTCTTTGCTGAGGAAGCAGAGAAGAGATACCGCCTGTTTCAAGGGAACTTTCGCCTGGCCCTTGAAAAGCTTCAGAGACTTGAGCCATTGTTGGTGAGTTTGTGACCTCCTCGCTGCAAAGAAGCTTCTGACAATTTACAGGAGATCATTAAGAAGCAGCAGAATAGCCTATCCCTCCTCGCTACGGGAAACCTACTGATTTGGCCCCCCAATCAGGCAGATGCGCGCATTGAATATGTCGACATGCACTCTGATCACCCCTCCTACCTCCGTGTTATAGTCAATAAGGCAGAACAAACCCTCTTTAGGAAAGTGATTGGAGAGTTCCGGCCTTACAAACTTGACGACGAAACATTCGATATTCCAAACAAATTCCGGCATATCGACCTCTCAGCTACGAATGAGATACAAGCATCGAAGATATGCAGGATTGTACATTTGAAGGCTTTGGTGATGCAAAGAACATGGAACCTATTATCACCTCAAATCCGTCTTCAAAAGTTAACAGTGAAGAAACTACAGTCGATCTGGACACTGGCGAGGCACGAATAGCTGCATGGACAAGCAAAGTGGTCAGTGGTGCTGACCCTGAAATTGCGCCTGAGCTACCAGTCGACCCAGCGCAGCCCAGTCGGCGCAGAGTCGTACTAGACTCCGATGATGAGGATGACGAGCCTCCCACTTCGAGTGCGCCTACACTGGCCGTCAATAAGCTCTCGACGTCTCCGCATGCTGAACGAGGGCCAAGCAAAGATAAGTATCTCGAAGATGCGACCCTGGTATCGCTTGTTTCCTCTGCTCGATCGACTTCGGTGGTGGGAGGTATAGATGAAATCGTCTCCGCAGATGAAGCAGATCATAGTGACTTGATGGAAGTCGACACGAGGTCGCAGCTTTCGAGCCACACAGTGCTACTAGCTGAGAAGTTTCCCGTCATTCCGCCCACGCCAGCATCAAGTCAGGCACGACATATGAACAATCAGAACGCTTCACGCCCTGGCCCAAGTCTAGCTTCGGACCTTGAAGATGCTTTCCTTGAGGAGTCCTTTGACAAAATGACGTTTACAAATGAGCCCGGTATCGCATTGACCCAGTCAGGCACCTACATCCCTACTCAACCACCAGCAGGTCCTGCTAGTGCGGAACCTCAGTCATTGATCATGATGGCGCCTCTTGTTGCGCTCGATGAACGGGAAAACGAGCCTACATCACCACTACCAGCTATACCTACTCCGTCTCCCACAATAGCAAGCTCACGTCTTCCTACGAATCGACATGTTACTCGTCCCTCATTCGATACGAATGCTTACGGGTCTCCAGAGAAGCGCACTCGGGGTCGTGCAGAACCGAGCGGTCTAACACGAGGAAGCAGCGCTCCACGACCTCGCGCCAGCAATCGACGTGGCGCAACAAACACTGACTACAACTCGCGCCCTCAACCAGATGCGCAAGGTCAGCAGATCCCTCAGCGAGGTGCTCGACTGCAGCGGGGTGGTTATCCTCGTGCTTCTCAACATGCTAGCAGGCAAGCTACGGGTCGTGGAGGACGTGGCGCATCATCACAGTCACAGCGGAATAACCTCATCGACGTTGGAGTGCCTACAAGCAACACCTCGCCACGAATACCACCGGGATTTGAAGACCATGTACCCTTGATGCGCTCAACTGGCTCAGAAGACTGGGCACGGATTGATGGACCCAACATCATGGACGAACCAGTCGATAATACTTCCACGGCGTCGCCCGGAAATCCCCCAATCGATGCTCGATCTGGCAGCACCTCTGGAGATTCACGGCTCAGATTCAGTGAGGCAGGGTCCGAGTATCGAGCAACTGCTATTCCAAAACGCAATCAGACACAGTTGAGAGAAAACAGTCTACGAGAAGCTATGGAGGCTATCGAAAACAAGAAGAGATTGGATGACAATCCGCCACCAATTCACTCCACGATGCGCCAGCAGGGCAAGAACCCTGGTAAGATCACAAATCAACAAGAGACCAAAGCACAGAAGAAAGAACGAATCGAGAAAGCGAAGCTCGAGGCTCATGGTTCCGTACCTGTCAAAAAGGCCTCAAAACCAGAGAAATCTACCGCTCCGCCTGAGCAAATGAGTAAGTGGAAGCGACAGCAGATGTCCAAAAATCCGGCGATAGCAGAAGCGCACCCCGATTTTGTGAAGGACCAAGCCAAAGATGAGCAGACTTCCAAGCTTATCTCTGAACTAGAGTCGGTCTTTGAAGCCGCCAGAGCATTTAACGGTCGGATATGCTTTGAAATGTCTTTTGGCCAGGTTCTTGTTGCCCCGGGTCCCCAGTTTTTGGACAGGCGACTCAAGGACGTCGCCGACTGGTCCTCTTGGTTCGACTCCAATAACAGACCATCTCGGTCCTCGAGCACATTCACGAACATCCTGACTACTAATGGTGCAGACGTTGATCGTGCCCTGGAGATCAAGAATCCAGTACCAAGAGCAAGCACGAAACTTTGGAGTTCAAGACCTGGCCCATGGTCCGTTAGCTACGAGTTCTCTTGTCAGAGTAAGTCGAATGACGAGTTCTACGTCGTGGTCGATCAAACTGGCAACCATGAACTTCGAAAGGGGTTTGTCACTGTCGGCACAGTCAGCATTCATGTTCCAACAAGTATTTGGGATGCATCAGCAAGTCTTTCGGGTCATTTGAAGTGGGTCAATCCGCCAGAGGTTTTGGTCAAGAGTGCTGCAGAATTCGTCAAGTCGTTGTACGTGGTACCAGGCAAGGAGAAATTGATGATTGTCTTTCGCCAACCGACCGACCACGAAATCAAGATTAGGAATCTTATCGTGAAGCGAGTCAGTTACCACTACTGCAACCAGCCCGGATGCGAGGATATTCAACTCAAGGTCGTCGAGGCAAAGAGTCTACTCTTCAAGGTCCACCCGCAGGACAAGAATTTATGGCAAGGCTACGAAGCTGGCAAAGAGGACTACGCCAAACACGCAGAAGAGGGACGTACACATTACGAGCTGTCTCTCGTGCACAAGGGAACTAATCAAGCGCTCACGGCTAACGAAAACCTCGAGCTCGGCGAGTTGACTTCTGAAGAGACCACCGGGAAAAGTCTGCTTAAACGTCCTGTCATCCGAAGTATGCTGGATCTGGCGTTGTACGTGGTCTCGAAGATCGATTGGATGGGAATGCACAACATCGGGACGCAACGACGCCTCGATGTCGTAGCGGAGGAACGCAACAGAGCAATCACCGCGTCTCTCGGTCCAGCAGCTCAGAGCCGATTGCATGTCCCAACTCTCATGCCCAACACTGTAGCGAGCCGTTACCCGACTGCGTCGGTCAGCCAGATGCATATGGGCGGGGCCAGTGGTCACAGTCGAGTCGCGGGGACTATGCAGAATCAGCCTGTTCCCATGCCTGTCCCTGGCGTTCGGATGAATACGCACGCCGAAATAGTGCAGGCTGCAGATGGGACGTTGTACGCTCGTGGTATGGGTGGCGCCATGGTTCCTGTTCCTACACCCGCTGAAGATGCACTTGCTGGCACGTCGACTATCATGCCGGATGACAGTGCTAGTCAGATCGATGGCCGTGCCGGTCGTGTTACGTATCACACTGCTGGATCGAGGTTACACTCAGATCGTGGTCAGGGATTTTGGTGAGAGAGTGATTGAAAGTTTGTCGATCGACGATGCATAGCGAGGCGTGACGGGACATACATTATGTGGCCAGGCTATCTGGTGATGAATGATCTTGCAAGGCCAGGCGGGAATGATGAATATGTACGAATATCATGCTTAGGGAATCAGACGCTTCGAGACGGGTGACGGATTTCACTATGGCTCGAACTTGGGTTGAACGGTACGAAAAGCGGATTTGAGCTAGATCTATGTACGAGCTGAAGGGGCAATGGCCCTGAGGAAGATCACATTGAGCGGTGTGATCCATGAATGTATGAACAACCACAAAGATACCCGGCGAGAGTCACGAATTGAACAGAAATTCGAAAGAAAGGCACTCTTTCGAGAGAATAGTTGATCTCAGTCATCATTGTTACCAGTATACGCAGGCTGTGCTGACCGTGGGCGCGGTGAAGGTGATGGCAGCGGCAATGCCATTTCCGTATCACGGACGAAATCGGCATCACTAAGCGTTTCCGCAAATTCTTGCACATCTGGAGCCGAGACAGATCGCCTCGACATGTCCCCTTCTCCATTATTCTTCCTCGTTAATTTTGCCTTCTTCACTTCAGCGCGCAGGAAGGCCAGAATGTCCAGATGGTTCGACCGCTCCGCCCACATGGCGGGCGTCAAGCCCAGACGATCACGGGCGAGAACATCGACGCCGTATTCGAGCACCAGAACCCTAGTCATCTGTATGTCATTCTGATGAGCTGCGATATGAAGTGCCGTCATACCACTTGCGTTCACGTCGGCGAGGTCGGCCCCGGCTTCCATGAGCCTTCGCAACACAGCCACGGAGTGACTCGAGGCAGCTTTGTGGAGGGGAGTCTGCTGGGTTTGCGTGCGCGTGCTCACGCTTGCGCTGCGTGCCAGACATAACTCTACCAGATCCAGATTGCCCAGTGATGCAGCAATGTGCAACGCTCGCCAGCCGTGGTAGCCAACCTGTTCAATTGAGGCACCACACTCCAAGATATATTCAGCGATCTGTAATTGATTCTCCTGCAGAGCCACGTGTAGTGGTGGTTGACCGTCTTCGTCGCGCAGCTCGAGCAGATCGGGTTGAACGCCGAGCAGAGCACGGACGACTTGAAGTTCGCCTTGCTCGATGGCGTTGGTGAGAAACTGGGAGTTGCCGGGTTCTGCGCCCATTAGTGTCCGCTCAGTCGCACGAAGAAGCTTGTGGATGTCGTAGTGAGCAGTGTAGAATGCAACCTCGCGCGGCGTCGAGCCTTTCTTGTCTTCAGCGCGGATCTGATCACGGATTACCTTCGGGTCATGCTCAAGGAGTGCTTTCACAGTAGCCATATTGCCAGACCGTACCGCCAGGTGCAGAGGGACGTTGTTTTTGAAATCAGTTGCCAGCACATCAACATTGCGCTGTAGAAGGAAAGTGACAGTCTGCGTGTGACCACCCCGTGCTGCTCGATGAAGCGGAGTCCAGCGCTCGCGGCCTTTGTGCGTTAGACTGCCACCATTGTCAAGCAGGTAGTCAACGAGCTCGACGTACCCACCAGTAGCTGCGTAATCGAGAGGACAAAGACCCTCTCTGTCTTCGACATGGACAACGGCGCCATGCGAAACGAACAGGCGAGCAACAGAAAGATGGCCACGACGAGCGGCGAGATGGAGAGCTGTCATGTCATGATCGTCGTGCGCAGCCACTAGAGCACCTGCTTCGAGAATGGTAACGACCAATTCTTCGATGCCCTGTTCTGCGGCTTTGTGCAAAGCCGTAAAGCCTCTGGGACCAGGGACGTCAAGTTGTTCCCGGCCATATTTGAGAAGAGTTCTGACCATGGGCAATCTCCCTTGAGTCACGGCCAAGTAGATTGGGGTAGCAGAACCGTAATTGGTGTCGAGAAGATTTGCGCCGTGTTCGAGCAGCAATTCCGCAACACCTTCGTGACCGTTAAAGGCTGCTTCGTGCAATGGGGTGCTTCCATACAAGTTGCGGGCATCTAAGCGAAGATGGTGTTTGTTCTTGTGAATAAGGAGCTGCACAAGCTGCGTCAAACCAAAGGCCGATGCCAGCGATATTCCAGCACCGCACGAGCTCGCCCAATCCCATGCCCTTTCCTTCCATTTTCGAAAGTCCGGACTTTGGTGATCTCGTACTCGAGCAATAGTGAGTAGTACCTGGCTGTCGGATAGCAGAGGCAGAGCAAGGTCACTGATATCGCTAGCACGGACACTGTAAGCATGATGACCCCATCCGAGCGCAGCATATGCCAGGAACGGAAGGTTCTCAATGGCTGCCGCAAAATCATTGCGATTTTTGGTGGTCAAGGACTTGATTGGGTCGAGGGAAATGTAATGGAGGCATGTCCTCGTCATCAACAGGTTGACTTCACCGAACAAGCCGTGATCGTGGTCGCGTAGATATTCTTCGAGAGAGCGATGCACTAGACGTATAATGGAACTTTCGGGATCCACTACAACCAAGCCGCAGCAACAAGCCACGAGAGCCTGCTCGGGCGGAATGTTATCAATGTCCAGATCGTTGTCGCCGAGGCGCACGGCCATGGCATGTTGCAACTCGGAGACCGAAAGAGGCCTTGTAGCATGGGAGGTCCACATCAATGTTTTATATGCCAGATCTCGCCTGGTTTGGGCCAGGCTGGATATCCTTTCGATCGTTGACTGGAACGCTCCAGTTAAGTTATTGGACAGGTGTCTCAACGTCCGTTTCACATCGGCTTTGGTAATCTGGTCGAGGATTGTCTGAATGTGAAGTGCTGGAAGCAGGAACATGCCGTTTGCACTGTTGCACAATGTGTCCAAAACTTGTCCTCTAAGGCTGTCATCCAAGGAGAACTCAGAGTCTCGATGGTCGTTGATTGCTTTCGTGAGAAAAAGACGGATGTCCTGGGCTTCGGCCATGATGTCGATCGTTACAGGATTGTGGAATCTGGACGTGGTGTTGAGGACATGAGGCCTTGCAGTAACCAAGAACTTTACCGCGTTTCTTGTAAAGCTTCTCATTGCATCCATCACCTCGAAAAGCCCACGTTGTTGACTCTGAGCATCTGCCTCGTCAAAAGCGTCAATGACGATGAAGCATTGGGTATAGGTTGCAACGACTTGACCCAGCACAGCTAGCAAATCGTGAAACCACGTCTGGTCTTTCACATCATTACGGGTGCGCTGGTAGAACTCAGCCACAGAAGGCGCGACAGTTTCCCTCGCTGAGCATAGCTGCCGTAGTAATGACCTGGCCAAATGTGGAGGATTCTGTGATAGTTGTTCCGCATAATCATAATAGTAGTAGGCAACGATGACATCCTTTGTTTTGAACTTTGCACGAAGTTGATCAACAACAAGGGCGCAGAGCATAGACTTGCCCACTCCGGGCCCACCGATGCAAAGAAGATCATGGCTCGAGGTGTGCTCATGCCAGCTCGTGAAGTCAGGATGTTGGAGGAAGCTTTTTCCCGTACCTTGCGCCAACTTGACTTGCAGGTCTCGGTGCTTGTGCAGCCAGGAAACAGGAGCCAGCCACTCCAAGATGTCAGCAGTCCGTCTGTCTCGCTCTCTGAGCTCCGCAAGCCGTGCTGCTCGAGAAAGCTCGCTGACACCCTCGGAGGTCTTCGCGAGCATCGGCACAAGACCAATGATTTGTTCGAGTTGAGAGGCCTTCTTTGACGCTTCATCGCTGGGAAGACCTTTCTGGACAAACAGTTCTTGGGTCGCTTTCCAGGCTTCCAGAATCTCTTGAAGTTTTTCCCTAACATCTTCAGAACCCTGAGATAGCAATTTGCAGTTCTCAAGCGTCACTGCGAAATGAAAGGTCTCACGATATGCTCGTAGATTCTGGACCATCTGTATAACATCCTTGTGCTCGAAAGGCCATGTCAGCTTGTCGATCGCCCTGGCCAACCTACCACCATCAGAAGGTTTCAAGGCGTCCCCAATCCTTTCAATCCTATCACGGCAATCGCTAATGGCTCTTTGAAGTATCGAATTGGTGTCGAATGACAGTCCTCGAGCATTCTTACTCTGCAGAAAGTCCCGTAAGTCGCTTAGGACGTGACCGAGCAATTCCAGCTCACTCAGTAATTCACGCACATTCTTGGAACGATCCTTGATGGCATTGTAGTACGTTGTTATAGTACCGCTGACCTGGATCGCCAGACTGATGAGTCCAGCGATGCCTGATGCCACGGAGACGCCGTCCATTGCCGAAGAAGGGTGCTGACCGCTAACACCGACATAGTAGTTGCCAATATCAGCCGCGTCAAGCGCGTGGTGAGATGCTTTAAGAGAAGTCGGTCACTGTTAAATAATTGGCAAATTAATTGGGGGCCGGAGTCGAAGGCCATGCTTGATGACCTGCATTAGATGGTGCGGCGTCCTTCTCATGCAGGTGCGCTGTGGGTGGGTTGAGCAGGTAACGCATGAGATTAGCGGTGGTGGCAGTACAGTACTTACTGTATGCAGCCCTCGATAGTACCGTATCACTAATAATGTTCACGGTCACCCCCCTAACCCCCAAGCCCAGGGTTTGTAGGTCCTTCAGCGCCAACAAGGGCGGCGCGTGGCATTTAACAGGTCTGGGAGCCCCTGGCCGTGGACGCGCAACACCAGCACTTTAACTTGCGGGCCGCTTTTGCCGAATGAAGTACTCTGGGGACACGTCGTCGCACCCGTCATCTGCAAACAAAGTATTACTCGAGACAACAGTGCTCCGGTTGACAGATGTCGATATCCCTTTAACGTGGCATCCATGCCTGACCCTCACCAACCGTTCTCGACCTTGAACTCTCACACCGGGATCTGTCTGTGCACGACAATGATCCAGAACATCACGTCGTCGAGTTGAGAGAATGAAAACGAACTCTGGTATCGGATCCCACAATGTCGCCAGAATAAAAGCCCGCATTTGGAATGTCCCATTTGCGTTGACATTGCTCTGGACCTTGGTACTGCTATGGGGAGAAAGGGTTGCTTTTCAGAGGACAGTCACGAACTGTCTATGGCAGGAGTGGGAGTCGTGGGTAAGTGTGAAGAAAGGCAGCCACGACCCTGTGCAAGTTCAATTTCAAGTTCGCTAAGACATCTTGCAGCCAGCTCACGCTCAACCTCACCACGTTCTGCTCATTGCTGATCCTCAATTGGTCGACCCGCATACCTATCCCGACAGACCATGGCCTCTCTCCACTCTAACGGTGGCCTACACGGATCGCTACCTTCGCCGTTCCTATCGCTACCTGCAAGAGTACCTCCGGCCAGACGCGACCCTTTTTCTGGGTGACCTGTTTGACGGCGGAAGAGAATGGGGAACAGCCGATTCATCGTCGCCCGAGGATCGTTACAAGAAGTATGGCACAGGCTTCTGGGAGAGAGAATACGTCCGCTTCTCGAACCTCTTCCTGCGCTCATGGTACAAGGGCTCCTTCGTCAGCCTCGCCGAACCCCAAGGCCGTCGGATTCTCGCCTCGCTCCCAGGGAACCATGACTTGGGCTTTGCTGCAGGCATCCAGTCGCCCGTGAGGGAGCGGTTCGACGCGTTCTTCGGCCCCCTCAACCGCGTTGACATCCTTGGCAATCACTCCTTCGTCCATTTGGACACGGTCTCGCTAAGTGCAATGGACCAGATCGATCCGGAGACAGGCAGTTCAGGAGCAGGAGATGGAAGTGCGGCCGCAACAACCACTACTCAGATATGGAAACCAGTTGAAGAATTTCTTGAAGGAATCGAAGCCACCAGATCCAAAGCAATCCAGCATGTTTGCGCAAACAGGTTTGGTTGGAAACCTGGTCACCAGACACTTCTCTCTCCCGAGGTCGAGTCCGCAGCCCGTTTCGAGCATTCCGTTGCTACTCCAAAGCATCACAAGGAACTCACCTCCTCTCAATTCCCAACCATCATCCTCTCTCACGTCCCTCTCTTCCGACCGGGCACGACCTCATGCGGTCCAATGCGCGAACGTGGCACCGCCATCCCTCTCCAAGCAGGCTATCAGTACCAAAACGTCCTCACGCCCCTGATCTCCCAAGACATAGTCAAGCATCTGACTGCCGAGGAAATCACCATGATCTATTCCGGCGACGACCACGACTACTGCGAGATCGAGCACAACGAGTTCACCGGCCGTATCCGTGAAATCACCGTCAAGAGTATGAGTTGGGCAATGGGCATTCGCATCCCCGGCGTCCAGCTCGTCAGTCTCTGGAACCCAGTCGACATCCAGAAAGTCATGTCCGGCAATCCTGACCTCGCAACGCCCCGAGACACGGTTCAAAACCACCTGTGCCTCTTGCCAAATCAGTTGGGCATCTTTATTCGTTATGCACAGATGCTCGGCTTGACGCTCATCGTCCTCGCCGTATATGTCATCCGCTACAAACCAGGTGCGAGTCCGGAGTCGTTGCATGAGAAATCCGAGCCCCTGCTTCCTTTGTCGCGCGAACATCGCAAGTCAGATACCTCGCAGACATCGTCGCTTCAAAATCAGAATCAGCATCTCTCGACACGCAAGACCGGCGGATACGGAAATATCCCGCCTACCTCGCGAACAGGGTCGCCTTTCAAACAACCGAATGAGAAGCTCGATGACGAGGACTGGGGCATGCCTCGTGGTGGCAACGCGGCACAAGCGGCGTCCAAACTCAGAAGACCGCCGAGTCGGCTCGTGTACTTTGGCAAGTCTATGTGGCAGGTTGCCTGGCCTGTCCTGCTGTTGTATTTCTGGTTGATCTATACCGGTTAAAAGTTGTGGTTTTCGTCAAGACTGTACGACCGAGGGAGTTTAGCATAGCGTTTTCAAGCCAAGGTAGAATGGCAAACAGTGCACAATTTCAAATGGACCCTATATGTATATTGTACGACGTGGTGGAAGAGTGTTCGTATTAACTATACACTAAAGAAAAGCAACAGTGAGTGTCATCAGCGACTGCATTTCTGTACAGATGGTCTTCTGCCATGGTCCCTTTTATCCTCCAAACGCCATGATGTTTCGCAGCAGAGGCGAAAGCATCCATTCCAGATGGATCGCGCGTCGCCTAATGTCAAGACAGTCTTCGTAAAAGAGATGTAGATATTGGTCAGTCTTTTGCTCATTTCTTTCCACTCTTTCCGTCAGTCGGACAACACATCTTGTTGTTAGCACAGCTGTCGCCGCATTCTAGTAAGCAGGTTCGCCCCTCGCTGTTGACGCTGGCAGCCTTGCTGCCAGACGCAGTCTGTCCAGGGTCCTGATGGTTGGCATCGTCGGACGTATCAGCGGGAACATCCGGATTGCCGGTATAGAACTCTGGCTGAATAGTTGAGCTGTGAATGCCGTAGCCGTGGAGGCAACTGCGGATTTCGCGGGCCAAATGCATGTAACTTGCAGATCCAGTGCCTTGGACGTCACAGTCAACCTTGACGTGCAGACTCGCAATGAGCTTGGTGTCGCTAAGCTGCCAGACGTGAAGATGATGCGCCTCAACCACACGGGGCAGAGACTCGATGTCGGCTCTAATCTCGTCGACCGACATTCCGACAGGAACTGCTTGGAGTAGGATACGGCTGGCTGCCTTGCAAAGTGGAATGGCGCTGTAGAGAATGATGATGGTGATGACGAGAGAGATACCTGGGTCAAAGTAGTATCGGCCGGGGAAAGTGGTAAGCCAGATGATTAGGGCAGAGCCAATGACACCAATATTGCCGAGAGCGTCGCCCAAGACATGCAGGAAAACACCTCGCATGTTCAAGTCGCCGTGAGAATGACCATGACCACCGTGACCGTGACCTGCATGCGAGTCGTCTTTTGCTTGGTTGTGATTGTGAGAGGCGTGGTTGTAGTCCATGCTGTGTCGTTTGCCCATGCTGCCGTAGCCCTTCGAAGAGGAAGACTTGTGCCCATCTGCGAATATCTTAGATCGCTCATTTGGCGACTCGTTGTCGTCAAGTAAGGCCTCTTCCTCTTCCGTTGATTCATCCGATTGTTCTTCTAGGCGAGCAGCTTGAATAATCTCTTGACGGAAAGACGCAGGGTGGACATGAATATTGTCCACCGAGCCGAATCCACGACCCAAGGAGCCCGACGTTCTACGGCGGTGTCGCCCGTGTACCTCGCCATTCATGGATTTGCGTTGCTGTGTTCGAGATGAGGTTGCGGAGATTGTGGTGTTGTCTTCGTCAGACTTGGTGAAATTCTTGCGGTCGGAGCCTTGAAAGCCAGCAATTCTCACCTGCGGAAGCACATCCGCGATGTTACCACTCTCATCAGCAACTGCAGCTGTCTCCTCATCGGCATGGACATGTCCATGGCCTTCTTCGGCCGACTTTACTGGATCGTCGTGAGAATCTCCCCCGCCGTGACTGTGACCGTGCTCGTTAAATAGGAGGAGACCAAGGATGTTGGAAGCGAGGCCCAGGCAGCCAACGATGAGGACGAGTTTCGGGTTCGAGACGACTTGTGGTTCGACGAAACGCTGGATAGCCTCGAGGAAGATGGACAGACACAGGGCAACTAGAAAGACTCCGTTGACCAACGCACCCAGTGTCTCTGCTCGTTGCCAACCATATGTGTACATCTTTGAGCTTCCAGTGTTGGCGACACGGACAGCCCAGAGTCCAACGCAAAGAGATAGAACATCGTTTAACATGTGAAAGGAATCCGCCACAAGGGCCAAGGAGTGTACGGCATAACCTAGAGACTGGTTAGCTGAAACCCCCGGGTGCAGGTTGATCTGGAATTCGACTTACCAACAATGATTTCAATAAGAAAGAAAACCGAGTCTATAGCCAGCAAGATACCGATTCTCTGACTCTTTGTGAGGGCCATGACTCCTCGAGTGCGGGGAGGCTGCGCTGGGCGAGGCGCGCAGCACTCGTGAATTGTTTCAGTCGAGGCCGAGAAAGGAGTGGAAGGTGATGAGGATAGCCTGAACGGGCTTAGATACGCCTCGGGGGGCTTCTGAATGTGTTCTACTGATGTAGAATGTGTCGAATATTTGTTGGTGACTGGATGTGTTGATGAGGAAGAGGAGGCGGCAGGTGAGTTAATAAAATCGTCGTTGGCGGTTTCCTTGTGTCGGCGGAACTGAGGACATGACGACTGAGGCAAAAGGCGCAATAACCGGCACTGTCCACGCCGTTGTCGCATCAGTGGAGGCACTGGAGGCTCCCCGGGCGGCTCCTCAGGCTGCTTTCCTTCCTCCGCCTGGGCTTGTGTCTTTGGGGTTAGAGGCACCTTAGGCTCATCATGTGACTCGCCATTTGGTGGTTGCTAGTGTAGCAGAGCGACGAGCATGGGCTTTTGTGATGGTTCAATTTTCTCCGCCTCAAAACCAATATTCGATATTTCGCGATAACCAATATTCTAACAACATTTTCGGTGTCAAGGTCTGGAATCTATCCCAGATATATCTGTTCAGCCATGTCCAATTCTGCTGCATCTATGTGACTCTATCCACAAACGCTGGTGATGCCCAAACACACGGTTACACGATACCATCACCCTCTTTGTTTCTCCTGCTGCTCGGCTCTCCACATGCAACGATGGCAGCAAACTTTGCTTCATCCTGATGGGCTATCGTGGCAGATTGTTGCCTTGGATGCCATTTGTCAGTCATGATTTGAGGTGGCCACCCAGCGCCACGTAATATGGCATCTCGCTCACCGAATGGTAACAATGAGTAGGTAGGATGGTCCTCAGGTCGTCTTTCAATCTCGCGCGCTTTGCCAAATGTCATTGTCCAACGTACTTTCCAGCTACGATTTGGGCATCTCTGTTTTTGTGCCTTCTGGATGACTGTTGTTCTCCATGGGAAGCTGCTACGCAGGTTGTTCTCCTTCCACAACGTGAACCATCGCTCGTGCTTATGAGTCCTCGATATCCGGAATCGGTCAAATTGAAATTCACATGTATGCGGTTCTCAAGGCTTAGGAGTATCAGTCGACCTCCTATACATGTGTCCTACCTCATCATGAGTCTCCCTTACACCCCGACTTCCAATTATCATGTCGTGGAGACTCCTCCAGGTCTCGGGAACGCAGCCCGTACCAACGATGTCCAGGACGATCGCAACCCTTCAGAGACGGCTAATACAGGTATGGACAGTCCGGAAAAAGAGAAGGGTTCTGTCACGGAGATGCGGTGGAGAGAATGGTATCCGACGAGGCTGTGGGTTGAATACGTCTGCCCAGAGATGCCGTCCGGTGAAAGGCGAGACCATCACTGTACGTGAATCCCTCCACTGTCTACTTCACCATTCGTGGAACGCTTGCCTAACGTTGAAACTACAGCAAATGAACAGACCTTTATTGCTTGGTTTTCAGTTGCTGAAAGTATGTCAGCCTTGGGCCTTGTCGTCGCACAGATCTCGCGGCTGAAGGAGCATCTCGACGGCGAGCTGGGCATGGAAGGGCTCCACCGCAGTTTATCGGTTTCTCTAGGATGTGCCTGCCAGGTCCTTGCGGTTGTGATACTGCTCGTAGGCGCTTACCGATTCTTTGAAACACAACAAGGCTTGGTCAATCCGGCGCGCTCGAGGTTCACTCCGTGGGGCATTTATTTCGTCACGATCCTCATCTTGCTGGTGAGTACCCAAGATTGAACCTCGTAAGTGTCGGCTCATAACATCCCACAGTTTCTGGTCTGGCTTTTCGTATCACAAGTTGCTTTTGATCTCTGGGGGTCTGGTCCTTCAGGTTCGAGTGAGACTGTTACGACAACAGGTTGAACTCGCAACTAGCACTATCCAAGGTACACAACCAGTATGGATAAGATAGATACTGCAGACAATGCATTGTCATTTTGTCCCATAGCACAGGAACATCAGTGTGTCTTATGGATACTCTCGACCTTCGTGCCGGAATGGAATCAGCGGTCAACTCCGTGATCATACCTACCGCACCTACCCTCCCCGGACCATCTTCAATACTCTTTTACCATCTGTACAAGGGATATAAAATGAGCACAAAGTCACACGACCCGAAAGAAGAACAGTGGACAGCAAAGGTATGTCATTCGGGCCATGATCAGCATCGACTTATGGTGACAGAAATACGCTGCCGCTGCGTCTTTCGTGCCTCAGTTGACGCAGAAGCTTGTCCAATATCTCGATCCACAACCAACGGATCGAATTCTCGATGTAGGCTGCGGAGATGGCAAATTCACATCCAACTTCCTAACAAAAGCCGCCTGCGTCTACGGCGTCGATGCGTCCTCTTCGTTCATAGAGAGCGCACGAACAGACTATGGGTCCAAAACAGCAACATTCAAGGTCGTCGACTGTAGATATCTCGAAAAGGATGCCGAAGTTATGAATGGCACATGGGACAAGGTGTATGTGCCACCTAGTCCTTGACAAACATAGTTCACCACTTACCCTGTCTGCACAGGGTATCGAATGCCGCACTGCAGTACATCCTGCGTGACCCGCCCACACGCATTAACACCTTGAAAGCGTGCTTCAACGCTCTGAAGCCTGGAGGCCAATTCGTCTTCGAGATGGGCGGTGCAGGCAACGTCAGTGAAGCAGCGGCAGCAATGACCAGCGCCCTCTATCACTCCGGTCTGGCAATTGACCAGGCTCGCGATGCTAGTCCATGGTTCTTCCCATCCCAGAAGTGGATGGAGGATACTCTGGCAAGAATAGGCTTTCACGTCGAGAAACTCGAGGTCGAGTACCGTCCGACAAAGCTTGATGAGGGGCCGGGCGGTGGTCTGGAAGGCTGGATAAAGCTGATATGTGGTAGCATGCTGGAGGCAGTTGAGGAAGAAAAACGAGATGGCGTTGTGTGGGAGGCTTGCGAGGTGCTGAAGGATGTCATCACCAGAGAAGATGGGAGCCAATGGTTGGGATTCGTCAGGCTTCGAGGTGTTGCGAGGAAGCCGCGGTAGTGGCGAAAGGCGTAGCGGCAGCTCTCTTGATCACAGCTTTGCTCGTGTCTTCTTCTTACTCTCCTGCTGCTCGGCGAACGCCCGTATCGCGTCCTTTGCTTCCTGAGTCCTTGCGCGCTTCTTGAGGCCAGCAAGTTCGACCTTGTTCGCCTCCAGCAGCTTCTTGCGATATGGCCTCATTAGCAACTTCTTGTTGATCTCAGACTGTCAGGAGGTAGCTTTGCAATACGTCCCGCAAGTTGCGTGACCTCTGACATGAGCTTTTTGGCAGGGATGATCTTCGTGATTAGTCCAGCGCGCTCGAGATCCGCGGCAGTCATACGTTCGTCGGCCAAAATCAGCGCAGACGCCTTCTGCCGGCCAAGGATATGCGAGAACGTGAAGCTCGAACAAGCCTCGGCGCTGAGTCCCCATTTCACGAACGGCGTGAAGAAGAACGCTTCGGGAATTGCATAGACTAGATCGAACAAGGCTATACTCGAAGTGCCGTAGCCGACTGCGGGTCCATTGACTGCGGCAATGAGGACTTTGTCGGTCAAGATTAGGGTTTTGTGGTACGCATGAAGCGTAGTGATGGCCTCGTCGGGCAGGACGGTTGATGGATCTTCGTACACGCCGTCCATAAGGTCCATGCCTGCTGTGAAGAATTTGCCTTCGCCGGACTGGACGATGACACGCACGTCAGGGCTCGAAGAGGCCCATTGGAGGGCTGCCAGCATGTCTTTAAATGCTTGCCGGTTCAAAGCGTTGCCGGCCTTTGGACGATTGAATTTGAGCAGAGCGACACCATTGCTGAGCTGGATTGTGACCGTTCCTAGTTCGGGAGGAGGACTCATTGTTGCACTCCTTGATGAGGTTGAGGCAGCGGACGAGGCTTGTTGAGTATAGAGTGGACTGATCGTGTCTATGGGTAGTTCTTACACGGGCAGTGAGATGAAGTGAGATGCAGTATGATAGTATTCTAGGTACCTTGGGATGACTGGGCTAAAGCCTTGCCTTCCCCTCGGTTGTTGAGTGCCGAGTACCGAGCAAGCCGACCTGCGGTGATCCGCCGTGTAATCAAAAAGATGAGTTTGCAGCGCTAAGGCGATATAGTACTACAGGTAGATACGTGCTTATACTGGTGCTTGACACATTTGCTTTGGCGGTTATAGAGCCCAGTGTAGCTACACTTGACATCGCATCTCATGTCCAAATGTCTAGATGGCGTCCACCAGTGACACAAAAGACTGTCACCACCAAAAGCATATAATATGTCAAACGGCCCTGACGATCCGCCTGCTGCGGTACTGTTTGCTTCATGCGCAGCCATCTGCAAACGGGAAAACTCGACAACCGCAGGTGGCGTGAGACAGGTGATTGTTCTATCTCTCCAGGGCAAGCAAAGAGCCGATGACAAACGGGTGCGATTGACCACTGCAACAACGGATGACTGAAGTGCTCTTGCTTCACGAACATCCAGCGGTAATAGTTGGAATTGTGACTGCGCTTGCGGGCTTCTCACGGGGCGCTGTGATGCCGATCTACCAGAAACCGGTTTGGCACAAGGTCCGTGGCTGGTGGTTCCTTGCGCTCAGCGTTGATCCTAAGTGTTCCGGCTTGTCTGACAGGCAGCGGAATGTCACAACCACAATCAACAAGGTCGCAAGCATCTGTGTAAAGATCTGTAAGAATTGTATCGGACCAGAGGAACGACCGGAGCATTGACAATGTCTTGGCTTGCCAATCACCAGGGATCGGTGACTTGTACTTGATTTTGAAAGCTTGACCAACCAAAGCCGCCAGGTCGTTACGAATAGGAGTCTTGACCTCATGCACCATGCCCACGAAGCATGCCCAGATGTAGACATCAAGACATTGTGGGAATTCGTCGAGGTCATAACGGACCAGTGCATTTCGGAGGCGCTCAATGACCTTGATCACGATCGTGGGGAGTGATGTTGCAGTGAACAGAGTGGTCAGTCGCAACAGATTCATGGCCAAAATGGCGCATTCGTCAATGGAGTTGTCGTCCTTATACTGGCATTCCAGGCCGATTCTTTGTATAGTGCTTCGATTCAGTAGGCTCATAAGTGCTTTGTACTCTGCGACTGAGATGCGTCCTGTCCGCAAAGCTTGATCATGACAGGTCAACAGCAATCGGAGATCTTTCGCTGCTCTTATCGTTCCGGGAAGGAGATATTCGAACGTGCTGGGAATGATGAAGGAATCGTATATGTTGGCAAGAGGGGTCGGCAAGCGTTCCACGGTAGTGTCCGCTTCATTGAAGAGAACGTCTTCGCCTAGAAAGTGGGCAGTCAGGAAGTCGGCCCATAGGATCAATTGCTGGATTGCACCACCACCGCCACCAAGCTTGTCGAGCCCGGAACGGGCCTTTACGAGCGAGCGTACGCCAGCTGCGTGCCGTCGGAGAGCGTCTGGCTGAGGAAACATGGTTGCTGTAGCCCAGAGCAATGCCGCTGCCATGACCGCTGCATCTGTGATAGCCTCAAAGCCCTTTACGAGTAGTTGTTTTTGCAAGGATTGTAAGGCTTGAGCTTCATACGACAGGTAAGGTAGAGTCGTCGAGGGTCCGGTCAAGGATTGCACGGCTTTCCAAGCGGCAATCACACTGAGACATAATGTCGTATTGGTCATCACTGGCATGATCATGCTTCCGCCGATGTCATTCACAGCCAGGCCTGCTGGCAAGGGGAAAGCTGTTGCCGAACCAACTTTGAAATTCAACACTGAAAGCATTTGATGATCAGCAGGGAAAGCACCATGCGGGTAAAGCGAGTTCGACCCACAACTGTAGACTGCCTGGTGCAGTTCTGGCTGCTCGCCGCCGGGCACGGGGAGATCGTGAAAACCATCCAAGCGGCCCGAACTGACGGAATGAGGGACAGTCGATGGCAAAGCCCGTGTAAATGCGTAAGATCGCGTATAATTTTGACCAAGGACCTTTGGTCCGAAGTAGTCGCGTTGCGCTCTCGCAGGCGTAGTCAAATGTCTGGGTTCCCGTGGGCGCTGGGCGATCCAGGACTTATGCGATCGCAGTCGACATTCGTAGCGATGACACACTGTGCATGGCGTGGGTTCGTTACTGCTAACCAATGTTTCCGGGCTAATCAGATAGATTGATTGAGATACCCGAGATGACGCCATACGCACACGGTCAGTATCAGTCTTTTGCGCATCGTGTATCTTGGTATACCCAAAGTCTGGGAAAGAAGAAGGAGAGGATGTTTCAGCAGAATAGGAGGCAGTCGACAGCCGCTGACGATGAGTAAGCAGGAGGGAGAAGACGGGTCGGTGAAACTTTTCTACGTTTATCCTCTGCCCTCAATGCCTTTCCTCGAGAAACAAGACTTTCGGACCTCGGTCATATCTCAGATGATCTATGTGAGAATGCCCAGGATTCTAAAGCCACACTCATGCTTGCTTCTCGATGCCAGGAGCTGTACCAGGCTCCACGTGAGCGACCTCTCCTCCCTTGATGCCTTGTCCATGATGGTCAACAATCGTATGCGTAGCGAAGTCCACCTCGATCTCACGTTGATAGACAGCGACTTCGTCCGCATCGCCAAAGATCGCTGCCACCTCCTCCAAGGGGAGTCCATTGGTGTCCGGGAACAACATCCACATGATGACAGCTCCGATTGTCCCCGGAATGATGAAGCACAAATAGAACTTCCACCCAATATTTGCGAAAGCGATGGGAGCGCTCTGCAGCCACATAATGTTCATCAACGAGATCATCGCTACACCCAGACAAACACCCTTTGCACGCAGGTGGGTCGGGAACATTTCTCCCAGGTAGGCAAATTGCGGCCCATCGAGACAGATTCCGTAGAAGACCTGGAAGATGAAGAACATCGCTACAGCAGCCTGGAGCGCAGCAGTGTTGGTGGAAGGCACAAAATCGGCAACAAGTGCAGCCTCAACAATGAGCGAAGCCATACATCCAAGCACGCCGAAAGCGATGAACTTCGGACGCGGGAATCGGTCGACAAAAAACATTCCAATGATATTAAGCCCAAGACCAAACGTCAGCCACGCCGCTGGGTAGAGGAGTTGTTTGATTGCCGAGTAATCCAGAGACTTGTAAAGAGAAGGTCCATAATTGTTGATAACCAATACGCCAGAGCACTGGATGATGCCAGTAGTGCCAATCGCAAGGAAGGCGCGTTTCCGGTACGAAGGCTTCTTCCAGATATGCCACCAAGTATTGCCCAAAGTCTTGTCGATAGCGATCTGCTTCTGGATCTGGTACAATTCTGCCTTTGCGGCCGTGTTGTCTGGATCAGTCGGGTCTGCGTGGAGTTTGAGTAAGACAGCTTCGGCCTCGGCATTTCTGCCCTGCATGATAAGCCATCTCGGAGACTCTGGCACGAAGAACAGACCGATCAGGAGACAAAGAGGCCAGAAGCACTGTATGGCAACGGGTGGTCGCCAAGTATTGGAGCTAGATTGCCAAAAGTAGAAGCCAAAACCCACCCAAGCTGAAGAAGAGGTAAGTGGATTGCGTAAAGTGCTAGGGGCGAGATTTGTCTTACCTTGAATGGTGTATCCCAGGACGAGCATGACGGCATGAACATCGACCAAAGCTCCTCGCATGTGAACTGGGACGATCTCATTCATCAGGATTGGAACGGCGGCCAGCGCCATGAACGCAGCTGCGCCTGCTACGAAGCGGAAAGCGATGAACATGCCCACATTGACGGAGCCTGCCATGACGGCACCAGAGACGATGGCGAGGATGGCGGACTGCGGATGTAAGCCCGATGTGCCACAAGCCATACAGTATCTTGCTCACCAATGCACATGCCCATCTCCGGCCGTACTTGTCTGCAACGGTAGGAAGTAGCAGTGAGCCAATCACCCCGCCCGTCTGGAAGAGCCCATTCATAGTCGAGATCAGGTCGGTGCCATCGGCCCGAGTGTCAAGGTCAAAGTACGCAATGAAGGATGGTTGGCCTGAGTCCGTCAGTCATACTTCTGTTTCACGATGGAACCAAGGACTTACCCAAGGTAGTGCCAATAATCGATGCCGTGTATCCATATGTTATGGAGCCAAAGCCCAAGACAGCGAGAACAGCGACAGTATGAACATTGAGTTTCTGCCGGCGGAGAATGCCCTCCTCTGCGTCGTGTCGACCCATTGCTGAAATCTCGTGAGAACTGCTATGACTGCTGTACCAGGGGGCGTTCGGTCAAGTTGAAGGAGATGCAAATGCAAAAGTGGAATTGATGGACATTAAATAGGATTAAATGGACATCTTCCAACGTGGTGAGTCGCCCCGCTTGACCATGTCTGCCTTGGATGATGTTATCCACAGACCGAGAGACCGCGGTATCATTCGATCCATGCCTCAGACAACCTCAAGGTTGGCTTTACCCCAGATCCATGTCCCCGCATAAGGCCTGTCAAGTGTACCTAGGGAGTTGGGGTAAATCGTCCATAGCGCCAGGCTAGAGACGCCCATCATTGGTGAAATTGTCGACTCCCCCTCGGTTGTCTGCGACTGACTCAGGAGGCTTGGTGTCAGAACGTACCCATGACCAGACAGAGTCAGTGAGGACTGACTTGGGTTGACGCAGCTCACCAGAGTTTCGGCAGGCCGAATCAGCATATAAGCGCCCTTGACAATCCAGCCTGTTTGTTGGAGTGACTGTACAGTAGTTGTGTAAATATGCCGGCAGCGTGATCTCATTGCGTGGTCGCTGATGCTCACGGGCCCTTTGTGCGCATCGACATCCCGCCCGCCTTGAGGATTTCGAGATATTTCTTCTTGACAGTGGCGTTGCCATATCGATAGGCTCCTTGCCCTTCCATGTATTCAGCAACCTGTTTCCAGGGTACCTTGTTCGCAAACTGGCCCATTGAGATAGCATCAAGCTCTTTGCTGAGGTTGGATGCACCCATAATTGACGTGGTGCAATGAGAAACTCCTTCGAAGAGTAAATGGACCTGTTTTTACGCGTCAGCCATGATGAGTGAAAGTCGTCGGATATCTTACTTCGCGCTCTCCCCACTCTGGCTTCCTGAGCCGCGCCTCTCTTGGTTTGGTCAAAGCTCGATATCGCCCACGCAAGGTTGATTCTGCCTCTTCGAACTTCCCAAGCTCTTTGATCTGTCTGTACGACATGCCCTGCGCCTTACAACGGAGCAGTAATGTATCCTTCGAAGTATCTCTTTGACAGATCCTGGATTCCACCGGTCCAGCTTTCGTAGGTGTTGCGATGACGACCTCGGAGTTAGGTGCTGGCCAGTTTGTTTCGAATCCACTGCTGGGAAAGGCCAACGCTTGCGTTTCTACGTACCAGGCAGGGAGATAACTCGCTTCTGGCCGAGACGTGAACTCCTCGAAGTCTTGGGCGAGATCCAAGGGCACATCACTCAGTTCAGGCAACGGGGGGTATATTGGGTCAGTGAAGCTTTGTTTTGCTGGAGAATGGTTGGTTTCTGGTAGGAAGTGGCCATTATCAAAGTTCAGGGGTGATATTTGCTGTCCACTCTCGTGCAAATATGTTGAATATTGGTCGTTCCAGCTTGAGATAACAGGTGTGAATGGTAATATTGTATTCATGTCGGGTGTGATTGCCTCAGAGGATGTATTTGGGGTGGCTATGCCACCAAAGGTAACGGTCTGTTTGTCAAACGAAACATCTTCTGGCAGTAAGCTTTCCGCCTGTCCCTCGAATTCTGGAAGCATCAGATCGTCGAGGAATCCATACTGAGCCGTGTCCTGCATTGGCAGGTCGAAAGGCTCCAGGGACCGCGAGGAAAGCAGCATTGGATCGATGTGCGTTGTGGGTGCGGTCGAGGCTGCGGTTGGAACCGCCTGGCGGTAGTTATCGAATTCGGCAGGAGGGAGGGTCTGATGGCAAGAGGCATCGTTGTCTGACCAAGACTGATAGCTTGTACTAGGGATCCCTTCTACTATGTTGGCATTATGTTCGGGCGGTCTCATTCCCAGAGGTGCCTGCCTTCCTGGTTGAGGGCTCGCAAGCAGAGAGGCACTATCTGTCGCCGTGCGATACTTGTGCCGCATGTAGGTCGACAAGGCTGAACGACGCATATTTTGGTTGTCAGGAAGCAGGCTGTGGGATTGAACACTTGATAAAGGCGTGCTTGTAGTCGCGCTGGACAGCATATGAGGACTTGGGTTGGAGGAGCGATATTCCCCTGGCGAATATAGGCTTGTGCATGGTTGTCCATTGCCGTGACATGGACGATGTGTGTCATAGAGTGCCGTGGGGAAGCGCACTGCGGCCGTTGTGGTGAATGATCTCGGCGTGGCCAATTTGTGTCTATCCGGACTGTTCGCTGCACATATGTGACTGGACTCGCGACGTGGTGTGGCGTTAGTAGCGTTGATACCCTGATACGTTGAATGGGAATGATTCCGTGACATTGCCTTGATCTCAAGACTGCTGGAAACCCCTTGAACGAAAACCCTTGACGTATGTGCTGAATGCTCATGGCGTTCAACCCCCAAATTCTTGAGCAAGCATCGTTCGTTTTCATGTCGAGTCATTGGACTCTACAATCAGTATATTGCTTGTCGTGAACAAGAGAGTGTTTTCTATGCCTCTTGCAAACAGCCCTCAATTCTCCATTTCGGTATCGAATTGGAATTCCAATGGCCATGATTTCATCCACATGTTTGGGAGGTCTCCAAGCAATGCAAGGCATCGCAGGCTTAATTCCTGGAAGCATGCTTTTAATGTATCGACTCTGTAATAAGCGGCACCGTAATCTGAGAAACCTCCAAGTGTTGATGCTGTAGCACAGTGCACACTCGCCAGGTGGTTGAGGGCTATCCGTAGCCTCGACAGGCCATAGGCTGTCGAGATCGACCTGTCCGTTCGCATGAGGTCAACGAGGTGATTCAAACAGGCACTATTTTCTGTCCAATCAATCGCTCTGTCATCATGATTATGATGCCTTTGCCTTGCGGCCCAAATCTGTGTTTAGAAGCTTTAGGAATACCCCCATTGTAGATGCAAAATAGCTCCACCACGTAAAGCCCATAGAATAGCCCATAAATTGAAAATGACGGCTGTTGATGGAAAGAACACCCATGCCAGTCGGCAGAGGGTGGGAATGGGCAAACACTGGCCGGTTATTTTGAGAGGTATGCAGGTCAATCGTTAGTAGCATGAGTTGAGAGATTTGTGTCTTCTTTCATTTGAACTGCCAACCTGGAAGTCTCTGGAATGCTTTGGCAATTCGGAAAAGATGACAGACTTACCGTGGCAGGAAGCTTGGTTAGACTGGGGCCATTGACAGTAAAGGCAGGTGTCGTACCGATGGCGCCGTCACGCGGGAAGACTGGCATCATGGGAGCAAACATCAGGGGCACTGTACACTCCGTTCTGGCGCTCCCTATGATAAGGAGCACCCGGAGTCGAAGATTTCCAGTTTCGCGATTTCCCGATCTCTTGTTGTAGAGATCTCACAACGGTTGGAGCGCGCGATAGTGGTTTCTAGGGCTGGACAATTGACGGCGGTTGCTGAAAGCGTAGTTTGAAACCAGCATAGTCGCCGGTCTGTAGAGCAGACTGCCAGTGTTCGATGCAGCATGATAGTGGGGGCTGAGTCGTCGGCACGCTGCAGCGGGACGGGTACGGGTTGCCATTTGACATGTTCTGGTCCATATTTCGAGCGGTGAATGCATTCCTCCAATATGGTTCTAAAAACGTGGCAGGCACGCGATGTGTAGCACTCCCACCGCAGTGGCAGTGTTTCTGCATCACATAACATCTTGGGTCCGCTTAGATTGGTAACGCCTCGGTCAAAACGTGCTCTCCAGTACAGTTCCTGAACTCCGGACCTCTTCCAGGGCCTGACTCTGGAGTACCAGTAGGTGCTGAGCCTGGCTAAACTATCGTGCTGACACTGACCGTAAAGGTGAATCCTCTTGGGAGCAACGCTCCGCGTGCCACAAGCTTGATATTGCTGGCGAAAAATTACCGAATTCCAGGTGCCATGACGTTCGGGGTTGGATATACATCGATGCCCCCCAACATTGCAAATTGGTAGCGCTTTTGGTTCTGGCAAGAAGGCATAAGGCCACTGCAAATTCGATTTGATGCTGATGTAAATAGAGACGTGAATGGTATCCAAGGATTCATGAAGAATGGGAGTTCTTATTGAAGTGAAGAATGAATGTCTCATATTTGGATCGAATTGGCATGGCCAAGATCGAGTCAAGGCCGGAATTTTACCGACAAAAGACATAAGAGTTCAACTCACGTGCAACAACGATGTTTCCTTCGTGATTGAGTCATGTCTTTTTGATTCCAAGTTGCCTCCATCCCTACAGCATTGTGAGTTGCTATATCTATGAACGGTTCGGAGTTTCGTAATGATGTCTGTTGAGGCAAGCGACTTTTGAGCCAAGATTTCATAGATATCACCTTCCAAGACGAGCTTCTTGCTGCATCATAACCTGGTGAAGGAGACAAATCATGTCAGAATCGGGCAAGATGCTCGGACTCCTGGAGCCTCTTCAAAAGGCTGTCTCGAAGAAGTTCGAGACTGCCTACCAGAAGAAAGATCTCGTTTTCTCCGATACGAAACTTGCCCATCTGAAATCCAAGACAGGGCCAACGGTAGATTATTCCGAACACCACTGCTGAAGCATATAATATGGCTGACCGAGTCCAGTTCCAGCTACGATACTGCCCAGCACTGGCGCATAAACCAAAGGGAAACCAGAAAGAGGCGAAGGATTCCAAAGGCCCGAAATTCGATCCATTTGCTGATCCGCCAGCAGAGCTCCTCGTTGCTCGTATCCCAGCCCACCATGCCTCACACTTTTTGGTCTTGAACAAGTTTCCAGTCATACACAACCATTTCATTATTGCAACGACTGCGAACAAGCCTCAGACTGATCTGCTGGAGATGAACGATCTTCAAATGACGCACGCATGTCTTCGTGCATGGCAATTCCACGAGAATGACGGGAGCTCGAAGCGTCTCTTCGCCTTTTTCAACTCTGGAGAGCACAGCGGTGCCAGCCAAGTGCACAGACACCTGCAGTTTCTTCCTGTAGAGGACATGTCGGAGTCTGAACCAGGACCCTGGGACCTCCTCATCGACCGAATGACCACCCGAGCTCATCCCGAACTGCCTCTCTTCCACGATCCTGGCCTTCCGTTTCTGCATTTTTCAACTCCGCTTGAGACCGAATCCTCATCGACTGATTTGCTCTCAAAATACCTACTCCTACTTAGAGCTGCGATGTCTGCCACACAAAGCCCTTCGCAGCCATTGAACCAGGAAATTGCAATTGAGGAGAATGGCCAGACCACTTTTAGCTACAATCTTGGGATGACAACGGAAAGAATGGCGATATGCCCACGGAAAAGTGAAGCCGTCGGTGTCCCTGGAGCAGGTCCCGAGAGCTCCGTCGCACTCAATGGTACTATATTGGCGGGCACATTGATGGTAAAGCACGAAGCAGAATGGAACACCCTTCAAGAGACACCATCGCTTCTTAGCGATATGCTTGTCTCCATTGGATACCCTCCAACGACCTGGATGTGATGATCTTGGAACGACGATTCATCAGCCCTGGAGTCAGCATCGTGCGTGACTGCATCCCACCAAATCTACTCATGCGACATGACGACGCTGGATGTCTCGCGTAGGACCTCTGCAGACGCCTGTCAATGATGTTGCACGTTCAACCACTTGCCTACAGCGATTACCGGTTTCCAGCGCTCTGCATACCCCCATTCAGCAGGCAGAAGTACAAAGAGCCTGTTTCGAAACAGCTTTTGCTGTACCTGTGCGAAAGGGCTGACATTTGTGTACCAGAGAACGGTCGCTTCTGACAGCACCAATGGGCTGTCCCGATAGATGCAACATAGAGCGCACGGACCTTACCTGCAGCACTTGATGAAAAGGTCCCCAACAGCTCGTGGAATGTTGCTGCCACTCCGCGCGCTCAAGGTGCTCACAAGCGTTGAGCACGTTGGCGTAGTTCTTTTGGAAGATGTGCGTGGCAGCCGTTGGCCAAGGGACGTTGCACCGCACGGCGCGGCCCTGAAAAGGGGTTGCGCAGGATTGGGCCATGCACCTTTTAGCCCCTAGGAAATGCGTGTAACAACATTGTGTACGATGTACGGAGACAGGATTCATGCAGTAAGGAATTGACATGAAATCCAACCTCCAACTATTATTGTGAACTGTGGCGTTGAGTAGACTTAATCTTCGGCTACAGTGTCTATGCAGCGAGAAATGGAGACAACCACAACGGTGATGGGCAGGTGGTGAAATTGGGATGATCGAGACCCTGAAATTCTCGTTTCCTACGCAAGCCACGGATTTGAAGACATCGTGGGATTTACCACGTCCGGGGGCTAACGAAAACGACATAAGCGAAGAGTGCACGGTGACAAAGTGACCGATCCGAGGGCACGAGGGACCATGGCCCCTGTAAGATGTTCCAAGTCATGACTGGAAGCAGTGAAAGGAGGGGTTTCCATAGGGCTGAAGCTGTCTGCACGCGGGGCCAAAACTGGTCAGAAGGGCCCCAAGGAACTGGACTCTGTCGAATACGAGCGCCGCAGGACCAACAACCGCACACGGGAATCCCTCCTCACACCGAATCCGTCAAGCTTGAGGCTCCTTTCATCTGGTTCGGGCATCGTGGCCTTACTACGACCCTTCCATTCGGTAGCATGCACGCTTTTGGCTGGTCAGTCTGCAAGGAAGCCAGACAAGTCTGACTTGAGTGGTTCTTGACCTTCACATGCCTCCCGTAGCCTAGTTAGTGTTTCCCGGTCATTTATGCAGCAACATACTTGTATTCCTTGGCCCGGATTTGGACTAGACACGACCAATGATGGCCAGGGTTCCTTGCTACAGGGTATGGGAACCGCGTCGATTAGGCTCGAGGCATGTTGACTCTTTCAGATAAGGAAATGAAGAGCGCCAACCAGGAAAAAGGTCCTGGTATTATTGCTTGGAATCCTCCGTGGTCGACAGGGGATCTGAACCATCGACTTGTCTCTAGGTTAGAGAGTCAGAGATAGCCAGCATCAAGCGAAAATCTTGCACGACGTGCAGAGTGCATGACCCACCATGGCCTGTGCATCGTATCGCAAGAGCAAGGTGGACAGATCATTACCCTCCGGCGGTCTGTGCAGCGGTAGAGCCGAAAGTCCAAAGCACGTACCAATACCCCGGCCATGTACAGACCGCTTTAATTTTGGCGCAGATGGAGGGGGAACTGGATTGAACTTCATTATAATGACAGACCGCAAAGAACGGAAATTGATTGGGACTTTTGAACCGGGAAAGCTGTGCTTCGACCAACGATGATAAGTTACCTTTACTCACGACACGACATCACTTAACACCAAGGGGCTCGAAACGTGCAGAGATCCTGGGGGTTTCGGGTATGCAAGAGTATGGCGGTGGTGGAGTCGTTGACGGTACGCAAGAAGTGGGCTACCCGATCCGACTAATTGCCAATGGCATGGACTGTGCCTATTGTTGGCGTTCAGTAAAACACTGGGTGTTTCTGAGGACAGCCGGAACGTGACAACATTTTTCCACAGCTGCTATATTCTGCAGCAGATCTGCAGCCTTACAGCGAGGGGGGCCAGGACCAGTGTCCACACAATGCAACGTGGGTCGGAGAGTTCGCTCTGGTGCGATCAGAGTATCGTCATGAGCATGCAACGGCCGTGTGAGATTGGGCGATACATGTAGGGGGATTTGGGTGGTTGAACAGAAGTATGCATGCCTGGGGATGACTTCTGCTGCAGGTCAATTGGCCGATGGTCCCAAACACGGCTCACTGGGTTACAATCCTCTGAGTAAGCTGCATGAGGGGAGCATGCGAAGACCTAGGACAAACCCTCGAGTTTCCCACATGCTCGAAATGGGGATATTGGGGGAGCCCAAACTTCGAGGCGCACCAGGGTAAGTCGGCTTCCAGTTGGACAGAAATTGGTCCTTTTGAATGGAGGCTTCACGACCATCGAAAGGACAAATGTTTTTCCTCAGCCGCCAACAGATTGTGCACACAATCCGCAAACCCGGCGCAGTGCTGGCTCTTCTGGGACTCCTGCGTCACGTTGTGGTTTTGAGCCAGACAAATCAGCCATGGGTTTACCGTTGGCGCGAAAGCTTACGGGATATCTTCGACTTTCATTGCTTATCGGAAGCCGTCATGAGCAATCCATTATGCCATCGTGAGAGAGCCGAGTGTATGGTAGCTCTTTGAGTTCGCCTAAAACGCATCACTATTCCAAGAAAGGTTACGGTTAACGATTCATCTTCGATGAGGATTGAGATTGCTCGTTGACTTAATTCATCCCATGACTTGACGATGAGGAAAGGGTCAGATGCACATGTCGAGATGTAAGTCTTCCGCATCCAGTCATTGCGATGATCATTTATCACATCACACTTTGAAGTAGGGAACGCGTCAATCACCCATGGATGAGGTGAACACGATCCAAAGCCCGTGTTCAGTATCTAGAATGACTTCACCGTGCCGTCAATCATGAGATTCTTGACATGGCAGCGTCACAAGATACGGTGACTGTGGATGTACCCCTCAGAATGACGGTGACAAGCCTCCCCAGCCTCAGAGCGGTGAGAAAATAGACACAGCGATCGTTGGCAGATGTGGCTCAGTCCTGGGCATCCAATGGGAGGTTCGTGGCAGCGCCCTGCGCCTCGATACCAACTTCATTTAGGCCATACCGAAGGTCTGTGCCCAATGAGGTGCAACGTTTAGCGGATCAAGGTGGATTGACCACGTTTTCACACCCTGTCAGGTCACAGGGAACGAGTCCTGGTTGACCGCATCTGCACGATGGCGCCAATCGCATCGGCCTCGCCTACACAGATACCGTATTACGACTAAGTAAACACACTAACACCTTCTGAGCAGGTGTTCTGGTATTGGCAAAAGGACCAAACCCCCAATGGATCCTCCCTCACTCAAAGAGGTAGCCAGGATCCTCAAAAGACACCGAAACCAGACATCTGCCTCAGTCTTACTGGCCACTTACGGTCCTTTGGTCAACAGCAGCCCTGCCTGCCTAGAGTTTCCACTCTGCCCAAAGCAGTATCTCCAGCCTAATCGCTTCGACCCATCGTCATGGCGTCGAAAATGTTCTTGACGGGAAACGGGCAAACACTTCCGCCGGTGTCGTGGTAAAACTGCAGGAAAGTTGGCCTGACTATGGCAGTGTTCATCAAATTACCACCTCATTGAGCTTGCACCAGTCTACGCGATGTCCTTGTAGCATTGCACTGTTACCTCCTGGTGCTCTTGAAGAGCAGGAAGGAAATGCTGGTGATTTCACAGGTAAAATGGTGATCAAAACATGAGACAAAGCTCACCTAAGTCATGTACCTGGTGTGGACACGAGCCCCGTCTTTCAAGCTTGATAAAATTATTCTTATATCATCACTGTCTCTTGTCAACTGTCCATCTCCACAAGTACAAATTCCGGAAAGCAATCTGTGATCGCAGACAAAATCCGCAGAACACTAAGGGTCGTTTATCCTCTTGTTTGGGAGCCCGAGCCGAATTGACATCGTGGGTCTTAGGCCTCCCCGAGGGACTAGCAGGCTAGCACATGCATTAGCTGTCATTTTGCTTTGTGGGTGGCCCGTAACACGATACAGCCCACCTCTCTGCCTCACCGAAAGACCACGGACCCCCTGCACACCCCTCCCTGCGACTATCCTGTACCTGGCAAGGTATAGGGCTACGGTAGGCTCATCTCAGAAGACAGGGCCCCTCTGGTCATTTTCGGCACACTGTCGTGGTCTATCAAACGAGTATTATATCTCACGATTTCGCCCCCCAACTTCAACCTGGAGACAAACTTCAGGAAACTACTCGAGTTGCTTGCCATCATACATCCTCACAATCTTCACTCATACCCCTCTAGAAAGTCTACCTGGAGCCTACACAACATTGAACCCTCTACTCTCTCTCAAACAGACAACACACCCACCCCAACCTGCCTCGGCTTGATCCTTTCCCGGCGCATCCTGCCCTTACTCCTTACAGTATTGATCGGCACTTTTCAGCAAGCCTTCGGTACCCTTGGCTTGGGTCTCGACTTCGTGTTCACTGACACTTTATCGACATCTACTCCGGAGCCTCAAGCGACCTAGAACCCTCGCTTCCAGCACGTTGCTCCCACGCGAAACGAAATCCGAGTTCCAATCGGTCCACGTTACGGAGAGGCACCTCCCGCGAACAAAACCCGCCGGATCGCCCAGCGACCTCTCTTCTCCCGTACAAAGCCTCATGCAGTAGCTCTGAGCGACTGTCTTATACAATGCTCTCCCTGGAGCACTGCCATCGCCAACAGTTCCTCGAGCAGATGTACGAACTTGAGCAGAACATACAAGCACCATTTCCAGGTTTGACCATGGATTCATATGACCCAATGTCCAACTTTCACCCACTACCATACTCATATCTGGAGAACCCGTCCATGTTCGCGCCTGCGCCCATGCCTTCAATGAAGCAAGACATTCAACAATTCCATGAGCTGCCACCAGCTCTGATCTCGTCTGGGTCCGTCCCATCGATCCCGAGTGCCTCATCATCCACGGTCGGGTCACCATACTCCGGGCCTTCTCACACCATGTCCACCCAGGATGGCTTCGAACACAACGGTGCCCCGTATGGGCTTGGTATGATGCCGACCATTGTGAACAATGATGCCTTCTCACACGACTTGATGGGATCTTGTATGGACTCGGAACTGTCCTTGGACAAAATCTCGGATAATTATGTGGGTGAGTGTGCCGATCTTTCCTCTTCTCGACAAATGGCGTCGAATCTTCCACAATCCATTCCCCAATCTGTGCAGACAGCTTCAACTCACCAACCCACCTCATTTACTGCGTCACCCGAGGCCTTGTCAATCCGTACCTTTTCGGAACATCCCGCATCCACTGTACCCTCAAGACCTTCAAGTTCGGTTTTCTCTCCTGTCTTTCATTCCCCTACCACTGCAAGAACATTCACAACGTCAATCTTCAAATCGCCCACGACACCCGCCTCAGCCCATGCGAGGCGCCGCACCACTGTCGTCAGTCCAATTCGTGAAAGATCATTCCCACAGACTGCCGTCGAGCTGTCAAGCCAGATGATAGCTCATCACACCAACGCGACGTCACCTCACCATCCTTCCACTCGTTTCCAATCTCATTTCTTTGCTCAAAGCAGTGGTAACTTCATGCCACCGCTTGAATCATCTTGTTCGTCTTTTCCGCTGTGTTCATTCTTACCTTTCCTTACCTTGACCTCCACTCTTCCAAATCTTCATTTAGCCTCGGCATCACAAGAGAAGCGGAAGAATATCAACTGACAAAACTGTCGCACAGATCCATCGTTGATTCACGCATCGCAATCGTATGGCGAATCAGCATTTTCCGATCAAGGACTGTTCCCTGCCATCATGCACTCTTACTCCAACACATCCCCGTCCGGCTCTCCAGCTGCCTCTCCTCAACCATATGGCGTCTTTGCCACTGCTCACTTCTCCGAACCACTCACAAACACCAACTACTTCCACCAACAAGAAAACTTGCTCAGCCGAAGACCTTCCCTAATCTCGTACGAGTCTGCCATCTCTCAGCCCAGCCCAACCTCGGATTCTGGGGAAGACGGCAGAGAGAAAGGTCGCTGCCCGCATCCTGAGTGCGGCAGGGTCTTCAAAGACCTCAAGGCTCACATGTTGACGCATCAAGCCGAGCGGCCTGAGAAATGCCCGATTGTGACTTGCGAGTATAACCAAAAAGGATTTGCACGCAAGTACGACAAAAACCGACACACCCTGACCCATTACAAGGGTACCATGGTGTGCGGCTTCTGCCCAGGATCCGGCTCCCCGGCCGAGAAGAGCTTCAACCGGGCCGACGTTTTCAAGCGACACTTGACCTCTGTTCATGGAGTCGAACAGACTGCCCCAAACAGCCGAAAGCGCAGCCCAACTGCTAATACCAGAAAACTGTCCAGCTACTGCCAAGATGCCACCGGCAAGTGCTCGACTTGCTCCGCGACCTTCAACAATGCTCAAGACTTTTATGAGCATCTTGACGACTGTGTCTTGCGCGTGGTCCAACAAGAAGAACCTAGTGAAGCCATCAATGCGCAACATCTATCGAGCGTGACCATGGACGATGATGTGCAAGAGACCTTGGACCGTCATCTAATCAAGACCGAGGATGCGCCAACCAGCTTTGATGACTATGAGGAAGATGATGATGACGACGATGAGGACGAGGACGAGGAAGATGACGAAGATGATGACCCCTCGTTCAACAGCAGATCTGGAAAGGGCATGATCAGGACTAAGGTGCCAGCCTCAGCACGTGCTATTATTGGTGGTGGCATTTCGAAAAATACCAAACCCTCGAAGAAGAGCATGACTTGGTCCAAAGGTGGCGTCGCGCTTGTTGGCAAAGGTCGCAAGAAGAGAAAGCACTACCCACCGTCCTGGGGTATGTCTGCTGACAAGATGCGCATGAAGAAGAGAGTCATGTGCGTGTACGATGGCGAACGTCGACTTTGGAAAGACGACATGATGCTGCACAACGAATTCGAGGTCCGCATGACCTTGCCGGACGGCAAGAACTACGTGACCGATCTGGATGTGGAAACCCTCAAGCGCGCCGAGGCCTTTCACAATGCAACGCAGGAGGAGAAAGGCACTTGGATGCCTTTGGGTGAGGATGATGGTCAAGGCTTCGACTTGAATGCCTTGATGGCTTGATTGAGTTGTCGATTTCTTCGGTGCGTTCTAGCGATTGGGATATCTGGCTATCTTGTTTATACCTCCTAATGTTGGTCGCCATGAAAGTTTTGAACGAGCATACAGAGATGATTATGGTATGAAAATTTGGGAAACGGACCCAAGGGCTCCAGTTGATACCGGGTTGCAGCAGAGATGGCAAGCCTGACATGTCGAAGCTCTCCTTGACGGATGAAAAGCTTGTGTATGATATCGATATCTACCTTAGGCAACATAAGGCGCTGAGCGCTGAAATGTAATAGAAGATTTTCTCTTTGAACATCATGTCTCTGCTGTCTTCATTCTGAGTATCTTCTAGATATGTTGAGCTTGTTCAAACGATGGCTATGAGGCATGCCTAACGACGAAGGATAACGGAAGATGAAGGTGCCATGGGCATGCCCAAGGCATGTTTCTTTAACTAAGAGAAGCTTTGGCATGCGCCAAGGCGCTGTGTTGGAGTAGGCATCAATGACTGCGGAGAAACCGCGACGACATCATTTCTCCAGCGTGGTTTCGATATCCACGACAACATTCAACAGCCATAGCCTATATTGCTGTACTGTCCTTGCCGCGTTCGAACCTCATCCCCTCGCCATCTCCTCGTCGACATAAGTCCTCAAAGGAACTGCATACAAGAAACAACGCTCGACAGCGGCCACAGGCCGGCCATCCTTTCATAATGGCAACCGAATCACAACCTCCCGAGCAACTGAACTCCACCATCATGGTGAACGGTAAAACCTCTCAGGTTGAGACAGTCGTCAAAGCGAGCTCACTAACGGTCTACAGAAACTCCCAATTTCGATTTGCCCTCATACATCTCGAACTACAAAGGTACGAGGATCTACTCAGTCGCCTCGAGATCGACGCATCTCACATTCATTCTATCCAGGTCGAACCGTTTTCCGTCGCCTTCACCTTATCGCAGCATGCTCCACGGCTCTACAAGAAGAGGCAGCGCGTCTGGCTGTTGTTGAAGCAAAGAAGGGTAGCGACGTTCGAAACTACCACGAGGCCGTTGCACTGTTGAAACGAGCCTCAAGGAGCAAGGACATCGACACCTTGTTGGACCCAGTCTGGGCTGCACAACAAGAGAAGAAGAATGCCATCGAAACTGCTCGGTTGGAAAATGAGCTTAAGGGATACAAGAACAACCTCATCAAGGAGAGCATACGAGTGAGTGTGACCTGGGCTAAATAGAATGCGAAATCCCGATACTGACTGGACACAGATGGGCAATGAGGACCTAGGCACACACTATTACACCATCGGAGACCTTACCAACGCCGTAAAAGCTTACTCTCGCATGCGCGATTACTGCACCACTTCTACTCACATCGCTTCCACTGCTTTCAGAATCGTCGCAGTCGCCATCGAGCAAAAGAATTGGTTGGCTGTACAATCCCAAGTCCACAAGATCCGCAACCTCCAAATGAAGCAGGAGGACCAGGTCAGGAACCAGCCAAAGGTGCAAGCGGTCATGGGTCTTCAGCAAATGTCTATCGGTGAATTCCACGAAGCCGCAACAAGTTTTTTGATGACCGAACCCAATTTGGGTGACAGCTACAGTGAAATCATCAGCGCCAACGATGTCGCAGTCTACGGTGGCCTTTGTGCGTTGGCCTCAATGGACCGTTCAGAATTGCAAACCAAGGTGCTTGAAAACAACAACTTCCGCAATTTCCTCGAACTCGAACCTCATATTCGCCGAGCAATCAACTTCTTTTGTGCCACCAAATACAGTCAATGCCTCAACATCCTCGAATCCTACCGTCCAGACTATCTTCTCGATATCTACCTCCAACCTCTTGTTCTTGACATCTACAAGAAGATCCGGACCAAGAGCATCATCCAATACTTTCAACCATTCAGCAAAGTCACCTTGGCTAGCATGGAGAAGATGTTTGGTCCACCATCCGACAAGGCAACCTTTCTTGACGAAATTGAGTCTTTGATCGAAACCGGCAAGCTCGATGCCCGAATTGACCTGGAGTTTGGAACTCTTGTGGCTGTCGAACACGACATTCGTGCTGAAGCTCAACAAGCTGCTCTCGACACGGTCGAAGGATTCATTCGTGAGGCTAGAATGAAACTCATCCGACTGCAGGTGGTCAATGCTGGATTGGAGGTCAAGCAGCCACTAAAGAAGAAAGGATGGGATCCAGATCAGGGCGACATCTACGACGATGGTGGTGTTGCAGGTTCTGCCATCACGTCAGGTAATCCCCAAGCTCCAGCCCAGTCTCAGCGCAAGGGCGGATAGGACACGCCTCGAAAATGACAAAGACTCAAGTCAAACCGACGTTCTCAGAAGATTGGATGAGGTGAATCCTGGTCAAAGGCAGCCTAGACTGACATGAGGACGACCTCTCCTCCATGACGATGACAGCGATCACGATTGCGAAGACACTTTTCAAAACTAAAGGAGCGGAACATCTTAGCATAGCATGGCGCATGGAGTTATGACTGAACGGGCTGAAAACCGAATTACATCACCAAATGGTCAAGAAAAGGGGCCTATCAGAGATGCTCTCACATGCGATTTTCGGGCTGGGAGGCCTAACACATAATGGATACCTAGGTACCAGGTATTTGGGACGGTGTGTGTTGGTATATGCATGAACCCGGCAATACGAAGTGGCTAGTGTCGACATGCAAGCTTGCAGGGAAGCCTGCCAGCCGCCGCACGAGACTCACCAATTGTTGATTACCATGGGGTTTGGGTCAAGACTAGGCTGCGCAAGCCGCAGGTGAACCTCGATACTCCAGAATATGCTGTCCCCGGCCTGTCTGCTCCAGAAATCCGTTGCCTGGTCGGCATTGGGCATTGGTGTTGTTCAGTCGCGTTTCGTCGGCTGTACCAAGCCCGATGGCCCCATGTTTGCTTTGGTACCTGCTCCCTGGGCACTGGGTACATATGTGAGACTCGCCCTGAATCAGGGCTCTTCATTTACTGCGGTACCGTGATCCTGGTACTGATCCTGGCCCAAGGTTTCTGGACGTTGTCAATCACATGCGCCTGAACTGCACTAATCACAGACAATGCTACGCTTCGTTTGTTAGTGGCAGTGGTTGTTGATCAGTATTTCTCGACCGTGCAGGCTAGTATCTGATCTTCGATCTTCGACCTTCACGGCGCAAGATACATAGTAGGAAACAAAGTCCATGGACAGCGATGTACTAGACATGTGCAAGTTGCGGCTCGGCTCATCAGATTAGTGCTACGTGGTACAGTATATAGAATGTCACTGGGGTACGGGCATTGGGACTGACTAAAGGTACCATGAAGAGAGATCGACTTAGCTTGTCTTGGCTCCAGAGGCGGCACGGAGACGGCACGCTTCATGGGTGTCGACAGCGTCGACAGCGTCGCAGGAATCGAAGGAATTGAAGACCTTACTGTAGTCGGTAAGCACCGAGGACATGGTTAGCTGTTCGGGATGCGAGGATTCGGGGTTTGGACGGGAGGTTAGCGCTACGGTATTGACTACAGTAAGTTGCTGGGACTGGGAGCATTGTGTACATATCTGGTAATTAAACATGTTGGAACCTACTGCAGTGGATTTGGTTAACTTTCGTGGTTCCCATGAACCTTGAACACTTGCTCTTTTGGGATATTCTATGCCGTAGGGCTGAGGGCCTAACTTTGAGGCCTGGTAGGGCGTAGGGCTAAACAGTAGCGGGGCTAAGGAGGCTCCATGGCCGTCATGCATGGAGAAAGTGACGGGAAAGAGAATCGAAATGTCACCGTGGGGTCGTCTTGAATTTCATAGCGTAAATTTAGAACAACTCCTATGGATACAGTAAAGTCAATACATTACACACACAGTAGTCTCGACTGACAGCGCCTGGCTGATACGTCAGGCTCTGGCCCGCCGGAAAGCAGCAGCCAGAAGGGTAATTGTGTTGGTCGCGTGGAAACACGAATCGTCGATTTGCGTAGTTACACGCTTAGATACCTGGAGTGCATCGACCTCGTGACCGCATCTGTGTGAAGCTTGGTGGAATAGTACCCAACCCACTTGCAGTGGCTTTCTTGAGTCGTGGAGAGTATTCACCATCGGAATTGGCTTTAAAATATACAACTTTTTTGGGACCAATCAGTGCCTATTCCACACATCATCGAGCGGCGTCCGCAAGCCTTAGCAGTCGTTCTCCAGCCTCGGCTGCAGCGGGAATATCATGCTCGAGATTCTTGACCAGATCCGCCAAAACCTCAACCAGTCGCTTCGCTTCGGACCGTAATTGGCCGTCGTCGTACCGCGAGGCATTGAGAAGCATATGACCGACGCCGAGCAGCTGATGCACGATCTGACTGCTCGCGACCTTGAACATGATGAGGGGAGCTTTGGTCACTTGATCGAGGAAGCTCTCTGCAATATCCACCACCTCACGGACGGGGGCCTGGCAGCAGAGCAGGGTCATGATGCTGACGAGCGCCTCCGTGCAATTGATTTGAACCGTCATGTACCGACACCGGTTACTTTGGGACTGGTTGCCGGGCTCGGTCCAGTAAAGCAAGGTGCGCGATTTGCCGGCCTTGAGTCGAGCCAGACTGCCCAGCAACGTTGTGGGCGAGGGTCCGTCGTGAAAAACGACCAAGCCTGGCTTACGATTCTTGCCTCTCAAACTGGAGATGGCATACTCCAAAAGCCGAAAGAGGTCGGTGATGTAGTCCCAGCCCAACGTCCACGCCTGCGTTTCGGCGTCCATGGACGTAGTCTTACGCGGATAGAGAACCGATACCTGCGACTCCGGTAATCGCACGACGTGCCCGAGGACGCACGCGGAATGGATCTCGAGGCGATAGACACACCAAAAGAGCCGTCGCCGATCATCCACCTCGGTCATAGGTAACTCGGGCCAGCGACTTTCGTCGTGCAGGCCAGTTTGGGCGACCAGGGCGTGGTACAAGCCCAAATAGCGGTGGAGGTCACTGTGATTGCCGCATTGCAAGGAATACACGGCCAGAAGGCCAAAGGATCGCAAGTAATCGAGGTCTTGCGACTCGGACTGGCCGATGCGCGCCGGGACCTTGGAAACTGCTTCCGAGAAGTATTGGTCGCTTTCGGGTACGCAAAGGCCTTCGAGCAAGGCGTCGTCGAAGACCGCGTTCAGAGCAGCCGCTTGGCAGCTGACAGCGCACACCGCCATCAGCAACAGGTACGACGCTCCGTCCTGGTCGGGAACGCCCGTTTCCCAGCGGCCAAGAAGGTCGCTCTCCGAGAGGAAGGGGAAGCTAGATGGCTGCTCAGCACTTCTGACTCGATGGACCAAGGAGACGTTAATACTGACTAGCATTGATACATGGTATTGCAGTAAATTCGTATCAGCCGCCGTATGGTGCGCACCGACTTAAACCCCGGATCTTCATCCTTGGGTTGACCGTCGTCGAGCTCGTCTGATCCTGGCACCGTCGGCTTCCTGCCTCTTCTTCGAATCGGCCGGTTCATCGTGCATTTAACGCCATAGTTGGTGCAAGTGACGCAATCAGCCCGCGACTCCTGCGCCTGGAGGCATCTAAGCCCTCTAGCATGGCAGAAGTCGCAGGCTCGCGATGCGCGCTGTCTCCTCTGGACGGGTTCGGAGCGCATGACTGGGGTAGAGTCCACTTGACGCTGGAAAGTCAGGAGCAGAATGACAGATTGCGGGCCGGGTTGGAATATTAACAGCTGGGAAAGGGGCATGTCCTGACGAGAGTGTTAAGTATCTCAACCATAACGGGGTCCTTATCATCAATTTAGCCGCTGTTAAAATGCGACAGGGTCTTCGAAATCCACTCAACGGGGCAGACCGGACATCTTCACCTTCATTTTGTTCCTCGTCGGGCAATATGACGTGTCCTATCTGCCCAGGGATTGGCCATACAAGACATCTGTTTAACAGCGGCGGACTGTTAATCTGGATTCTGGCGTGCTAGTTTGGAATGATGAGGGACTGTTGAGCGATCCTCGTCCAACTCATTCATTGATTTGATGCCAGAAGATCCTGGACCCGGCTCCTGCTTTACCTGGCTCCAGTACACCTATATCGACAGTGGTTCAACACTACTTGATGTGGATATGATCATCGTGATCTGGGGACATTTTGCAGCGGCTGAATGATGTAGAACCAGTATCAACCGCTGCTATGATACTATCACTGACACGCCGCGTGGGCGTCGGTGCGAGTCCAGCGCAGTATAAAGTACGCTTGAGCCCATGGTGGTGAATCTGGGAAAAGTTGGAATCGTATCATCTGCACCATTTCTACCATTGCACGCAGAGAACCAAGCCGAGGCAATCATGGGTTCGGTTGAAATGCCGTCTGAAAAGACCCCATCCATCGTGGAAGCAACCGTTACAGAGCTCGCATCAGCCCTCTCCCAAGGCCACGTCAACAGCGTCGAGCTGACCGCAAAACATCTCCTCCGCATTGCAAAGTATGACCGCTGCTCCACCCTGCTCAATGCGGTCCCCATCATCAACGAGAATGCCTTCGACGCTGCTCAAGCCTCGGATGATCGACGCGCTCACGGTAACACGTTGAACCCTCTTGACGGCATCCCGTGCACCATCAAAGACTCGTACAAGATCAAAGGCATGACCGTGGCAGCCGGCTCTCCCGCATTCCAGAGTTTGATTGCCAACGAAGATGCCTTTACCGTGAAAAAGATCAAGGAGGCCGGAGCAGTGATCCTGGGCCGAACTAATATGCCTCCTATGGCGGCAGGAGGCATGCAGCGTGGCGTGTATGGTCGAGCCGAGTCACCCTACAACGCCGACTATCTCACGGCAGCGTTCGCGTCGGGTTCGTCCAACGGATCGGCCACCGCGACTGCGGCGAGCTTCGGCGTCTTCGGCATGGGCGAGGAGACGATCTCGTCCGGCCGCTCGCCCGCCTCGAACAACGGGTTGGTGGCCTACACCCCTTCCAGAGGCCTCATATCAATTCGGGGCAATTGGCCACTCTTCCCAACCTGCGACACGGTTGTCCCCCACACGCGGACGGTGGAAGACATGTTCGCGCTGTTGGACGTCATCGTCGCCAAAGATGACAAAACAGCGTGTGACTTCTGGAGGGAGCAGCCATATGTTCAGCTCCCAGACGTCAACATTATTCGTCCCAAATCCTACCGCGGCCTCGCCGATGCAGGCTCATTGGCCGGCAAGAAGATCGGCATCCCCAAGATGTACATTGGGAAAGTCGATTCTGATCGGACAGCGAGGAAAGTCCATACCCGAGCGTCCGTCATCCAGCTCTGGGAACACGCCCGGAAGGTCTTGGAGGGCCTCGGTGCCACCGTAGAAGAGGTCGATTTCCCGGTTGTCACCAAGTTCGAGGCACCAGAGTCCGGCAAAAACCTCGCAGAAGAGGCAGTGGCACCCCCTCATCGCAATGATTTCGACATGGCCCAACTGATGGCATATGCTTGGGACGACTTCCTTGCTGACAATGGCGATGCTAACGTCGCAACGAGTCTTGGGCAGGTCGATTCGGGGACCATCTTCCCTCAACCACCAGGATCTATCCCAGACAAGTACGATTCCAACGACCCCCTCGTTCGCCATACGGACGTTGTGGCGCACATCACCGGCGGTCGTGTTCCAACGTACGACATTCCGGGCCTGGGGAAAGCCCTGCAGGCTTTGGAGTCCACACGCGAAGCGGATTTTGAAGACTGGCTTGACACACTCGGTCTTGACGCGGTAGTTTGGCCGTGCGCCGGCGACGTGGGTAAGGCGGATGCGGATGTCAACGAAGCTTCTGCGGCAGACGCATGGCGTAACGGTGTTCTCTTCTCAAACGGCAACTGTGCGATTCGCCAATTGGGCATACCAACTGTCAATGTGCCGATGGGGGTCATGTCTGACACCAAAATGCCTGTAAATCTGACCTTTGCGTCGAAGGCATACGATGACAGCAGCTTGTTCCGCTATGCCTATGCCTTCGAGAAAGCGAGTCAACTACGGCAAGCACCCACAAGGACGGCGCCGCTGGCGACGGACACCTTTTCATTGGCGGGAGAAGAGAGGAAGTTAGGCTCCTCCCCGCCGGTGTTGACGGTCAATGCTTCAGAGCCAAACAACGGGGGAAAGAAGCTCCGGATTTCAGGCACAGCTTGGAAAGATGAGCTGTCTCAATTGAGGGTCTATATCGACGGGAATGAGCTTGCTGACGTGAGCATTGCGGATGGCCGCTGGGAGGTGGATGTGGACGTCCCTGATCGTTCACATAGTCGCCCCGAGGAGAAGACAGTTCCGGAGCTGGACAAGGCTATGGTCATTGTACTTGCGACAGGGAAGAATGGCAGGTCTACCGGCAAGATGGTGTTTGTATGATTATGAGATAGCTGGCAGCTAGCAAGCCACCGTGACCTAAAGTTCGACCGCGGCGGTATCTTGACCCAACAACAAGGATTGTGCTGAAGTGTGCCTGTGTAGATCATAATCGCTTATAGGGCGAACTAGGCCTCGTGGCGGTCGGAGTGCCTCGGCTGTTTCCTACCACGCAGGGCGTTTTATCACACCGAGATGTCGATGACTACCGTTGGTAGCAACATTCGTGCCGCTCTCTAGACTGCCTGCCTATGTCTCTTGACGAGCAACGGCTCTGTAGGGTAGGCAGGTCTTTCATGAATGAGTGTGATACCAGGTGTCCTAAGCCAGGAAGATTAGTGATCCGAACAGTCTTCAGTGAACTGACCTCCCTGTCACACTTTTGGGGGCCAGAGAGGTCTTTGAAGAGGGGATCATAGGTCGGAGCACTCTGTGAAACGTACTCAACCCCTGTGACATGGTTCACAAAACCCCCAAGGATATGGGTCAGGGGTTGGTAGGAAATTCCTGTCGGTTGATTCTTCAGGGCCAAACAAAACTTTGACGTCTTCGATTGCGCGGTATGAAGTGGTAAGGCTTAGTATCATGCAAGAGGCTGGCTGCGTACACATATCGCCCAGTGGGGCAGGAGAGTGGAGGTCTGCCGCAGCAACGGTTCTGCCGTCCTGAATGGGAATGGGTGGCAACAAGGGCGTCCAGCGTTGACTATGGTGGAGTCTTGATTGGTATGCAGGGATGCAGTAGGACTGGCGTTGTGGGATGTCGTCGTCAATATGGACATGGCTAGGAAAGTTGTGGCTGCCTGCAGGGCGTAAGCACTACTGCATATGTTCTTCGCAAGTAGGCGACTGCTTTCAGCGGCGCATGAAAGCTTGGGTCGAGACCGAGCGATATTCCGTACAGTAGAACACAGCAATGGCGGCGGTGACTCCGTTGTTGAAAGACCACACTTCTTGGGTCGGCTGGGGCTGCTGATTGTTTCGTGTTGAGTACGCAAGAAGTGTGCGACCGTGGGGATTTGATAGATATCATACGCTCCAGCAGCACATATCTGGAAAACACTCTGGAAGGGATGCGGGCCTCAAGCACATGGCCACGGAATTTGTTATAGGATAGCGTAGCATTGCTTGCACCTATTGACAAAAAGGCGAGATGGACTGTCGACGATACGCTGTACACTTTCGAAAGGTGAAGTGAAAATGAAATCGTCATCGGGGATTTGGTATGACCGACTCTTTAGACACCCAACCCAAACGAAACCTGGCGTAAGTCACGTGTAATAACTCACGTCGGACAGAAAACAGTGCGGTCAGACCTTTCTTCGCGTAGACGTCGAACAGGCATTGACATGTCCTCGACGTTCTTCCTCTTTCCAACTCAATGCATTTCCATCTGCGTACTCCGGCACGCTCCTCGGTGAAACAATCTTCGCCAGCTTTCAGGTTCGAGATTATTCGAAGTCTCCGGCTCATGATGCAACAGCTGTGGACTCCTACATAGTTCCTACCTGGGACGGAAAAACAGTCCTGCCGCCGAACGGCGACTTTCAGCCTTGACCAGGAGTTAAGGTAGGTCCGGCACTGTCGTGATAAGGACGTAGGTATGTCGAGGGATCCGGTCGAGAAAGTATATATGGTCGCGCTCCGGTGCTCTCGATGTGAAACGCAACCTGCATCGTCTACTGTTGGAGGTCTACCACAGCAATGGCATCGACTGGAAAGTATATTCTCCTCCGGGAAGGCACTGTTCTCACTCACTCCACCGATGACCATGTCATTCCGCTGTACGACACTGATATTCTCGTCCACGATGATACCATCGTCAACATCGGCAGAGCTATCGATGCACCCGACGCGCATACGGAAGTCATCGAGTGTCGTGGCAAGATTGTCTCGCCAGGCTTTGTTGATACCCATCATCACATCTGGCAGACTCAATTGAAAGGGAGACATGCCGACCAGGGACTAGTAGCTTATATGGTGTCTGGTAATGCTCCCTTGTTATGTGCTTGTCGGCATGTTTTCTTAACGTATGTGCAGGCAATATCATGTCCTTTGTGTTCAAGCCCGAGGACGCATACTGGGGTCAACTGTCAGGCTGTCTTGAGGCGATCAATGCCGGAACGACTCTAGTCATGGACCACGCCCATATAGCATATACCCCGGAACATGGTGAGTCTTCGAATTTGGTAACGGCGCTGTGCGCAAAGTTGACGCGTCTCTAGCCAGTGCCGCGTTATCGGCCACCTTGGCTTCTGGCATCCGGTCAATCCTGGCTTACACCAACCCTCTACGTATGAGCCAGTGGGACCAGTCATGCTGTGTGCCGGATCAAGATCTTCTTCCTCAATGGGCTATGTCGCAGCTGCGCGACTGGGTGGGGAAATATAACCATAACAATGGTGGCAGTCAGTCCAGCGACAAGGTAGCGCCAACGGTCGAAGTGGGCATGGGATTCGACCTGTGGTTCTTACCGAAAGATGTGGTGTTGCCCATGTTGACAGAGCTGGGGGAGAAGGGTCTCCGAGTTCTCACAACACATGTGGGCTGCAATGCATTCCAAGGTAAGCCGATTGGCGTGCGGCATACCTGACATCCGAAGCTTATCGTGACTTCTAGGTCTTCAATCGCCCATTCCCATGTTCTCATCATATGGCCTTCTTCAGCATCCACACCCACCGTCCAACGAGACGACGGCACTCCCATTCCTCCTTCTCTCGCATTGTAGCGGCATACCGGAGGATGACCTTGCCCTTCTTGCGTCAACTGGCACGCCAATCTCCAGCACACCAGATACTGAATCGCACATGGGCATGGGCTATCCTGTCTCTCTGCATTCGTCGCTGCGAGATAGCAAGACTGCAAACGTCTCCATTGGCGTAGACTTGCATACCAACAACCCGGCCAGCATCCCTCTTCAGGCGCGTGCACTACTGCAACTCACCCGCCTGGAGCACAACTCTTGCCTCCTCGCCAAAGACACGTTTCCTGCCTGGGACGTGAGGAGTTCGTCGGAAGAGGTGTTCAATCTCGCTACGATCCGTGGTGCAAGATGTCTTGGCCTGGAAGGCCAGGTCGGAAGCATAGCGGAGGGAAAGAAGGCAGATCTCGTGGTTTTCGATGCGAAGGGGAGCGTCGGCATGCTCGCCGCTGCGGAGCATGATCCTGTTACAGCCATTATCAGATTCAGCGAGAGTGCAGATATCGAGACCGTCCTCATCAACGGCGACGTACGGAAGCGAAATGGCAAGCTTGTCGATGTGGCTGTCAGCCGTGATGGTATTGTTGGGAAGGATGTCGGGGGAGAAACGCATGCCATGAAGTGGTCGGATGTCGCAGAGGAGGTCCGGAGGAGCCAGAGAGACATTCAAGCAAGAATTGATGGACTCAGCCTCGATCAAGGAAGGAAGACTCTTCTGGGGTTGTTCCATGTCGATCAGGGAAACCTGGTTGACGCCTTGTGAAGCGTCATATATGAGAAACCGGTTCTGCAACCTCAATACAAGATACCGGACATCACACTTCCAGCAAACCTCCACCGCCTTCCTCTCGAGTATCTCTTGGCGAGGCTTCATTCACCGCATTGCGCGTGACATAGCCAGCCACTGACCTATTGAGAAATACTGAGGGTGATATTTTATATTTTCGAACTACTGGTCAACAATCTCCCTTCCAGTATCCGACCTCTTATTCTCCTCTACTATGTTACTGAGTTAAAGTCGGAGAGACGAGTGCGTTCCGCCCTGCTCGGCGAGCTCCCTTCCAGTATTCGACCTCTTATTCTCCTCTACTATGTTACTGAGTTAAAGTCGGAGAGACGAGTTTCGATTGCAGACAAAACAGTAGAAAAAAATTCCTCGTGGTGTTTCTCAACTCCTCTCGGGGTTCGAGTTTTTGCCTTTTTGGTATTTTTTGTTTGATGAGAATGCATATTTGCTCGTGATATGAGTGAAAGATTGTGGGAAGGTGTGGCAGAAACAGCATGCACGGATGAGATGGGAGTGAATGAGTTGACTGATTCAGGTTGATGTAACCGTTAAGAGCTGATTCCACTTCGCTAATATAGGAGCAAGCAGTATCAATCTCAATCCGTGCCGGGAGGAATGGGGCAACGTCGAAAAGGAGAACTGGGCATCATGCCCCACAGCTCAATGTAGGTCTCATGCCAGATCCAAAATGACCAGTATTCAAGGGGTGCCTTTCCCACAGGGGGTTTCGATATAACCACCACGCTGGGGCGACGGATCTGCCATCCCGGTAGCTAACCTCTCTATCACATCATTGACATCGATAGCCCACGTTCAGCGAAGCAGGAATGCCGAAGAATTTCTAATTCTCGGCGGGACATATCCAGGCGTGGAGCCAACCTTCCGAGTACGTCCTTCGCAGTCCATCTGCGGTGTGTTCGCGAACACAAGCGGAGACGGGAACCTGGCTCTTTACCACACCCCAATATGCACATACTGCGTCCTGTCGGAGTGTGTGATACTGGTGTGGGAGTATCGTGGATTTCTGTGGCTTTCCGAGCTCGTGGGTCGCTTAGTTCGGCTCTGGATCTCCAGTGCGTGGAAGAACGGCGGTTTAGTGAGCTGAAAGTAGGAAGGCACATTCGACAGTAGAGCTCTCCTCGCTGAAAGCCACTCGTGCACGTTGGCTCTAGCGACTATGATGACTCCGGAGACGCTCTGCCGCCTTACAATATTGTTGTTGTGTGCGGATTACTCTTCATGTAGGATACCGCTGAGCTGGTGTTGAGCCCACTGACGGGCACGCTCTCATCCTCCTCAGATGTCGGTAGCGAATCCCCGCGTCCAAAGAGACTATGTGCTGTCATCTTCAAGACTTGTCCTCGTATGGCCGCATCCACATGTCCAATGGACCCGTTGATCCGATGACCTTTGACCGGTGATCGGACTGTTCATCATGAAATTTCACCGGCCCGGCCCAAGATAGCAGGTCCTTCTGCTTTCGGCACCCAGAAGGTCAAGATCAGGCAAGCAATCATGAGAACGGCATTGAACACCGCCATGATGTAGAATGGCGCTCCAACCGACACCTTGTCAAAGAGCAAACCACCGATCTTGGTCAGTATCAAGATTGCAAGTCCACCGTAAAGCGAGTAAACACCAGCTACGGAACCTTTCAATGCCGACAATGGTGCTCCCTGTGTCGGTTGGTCATCATTCGGCAGTAGTGGTTGGCTCTCATCGGGTCCAGACTCAACGGTGCCAGCATTGGCCACGAGAGCGGGTTTGGTTTCCTGAGGACTTTCAAGCAGAATACCTTTGCCAAGTGTGCCCAAGCTGCACACGATAGCACCGATCTGGCTGATTCCAATCAGGCATACGGCCAGAAACGCAACCACTCGGCGAGATGTATGAGAATCGTCTGGATCAAATTGCGTCGCAAAAAGAGGATACCCAATGATACCCGAAATCGAAGCAACAAGCAGAGGCACTTCTTTCCTGGAGACGCTAGCAGTCCAGTAGCCAAACACGGGCGCTGAGATCAATGCGACCATTTGTGAAACGCCTGTCAGTTCCGCAGCAACGACGTAAGCACGCGGACATCTTCTCTTGATATCCGGAAGGCCCGTAGGGTCATCCCCTGGTATGCCTCCTGGGCAAAGACCGGAGGAAAGAAACATTGCATTGACAATGAGTGGGATGAAAAGTGAGATGGCGACAGAGGAGGCACGAGCAACGAAACCACCGAGGTAGCCGATAGTGATCTCGGAGCGTTGAAAGCCTATTGTGAGTGCTGTTTGGAAGTTGTCGAACATCTCTCGAATAGCGGCCATGATGGGCGGACGATTTTCTCGTCGTGAATCGTCTGTAGGTCCTGGTCGAGGCGAAGATTCCGCGTGCAGATGGCGGAGTCCGAAGAAGCACCAAACCGCAAGGACGACTGCAATGGCTGCGACGATGTAGAAACTGTCTTTGAGCGCAGCCTTTACCCCTACTCCGCCGTATTGGAACTTGGCCGGAAGTGGAAGGAAGACTGTTAGAGCGATGAGAGCTCCACAGCCTGTGAACATGCCGACAAAGCCGGCTACACGGCTTGTAGAGGAAGCCAGCTGCGCGTCTGGACCAGCTGGTTGTCGGGAAGAGTTCTGCTTGGAAGTGCGCGACTGGAACCTCTCCGGGGTTATTGTGGACTCGGAAGCGACCGATGGGCTCGAAGTATGGCCATTGGCATCAAAGATCTGGGCTATTCTCGAGTGTCGCAAGTTGCTCTGTGGTTTGGAAGTCGAAGCAGCGACGGCCGGCAATATAGCGGTGACCATTGTTGAAGCTGCGGCTCCGCCCAGGCTGAATAGCAACCTAGCGAAAAGAAGCTGAGGATAGACATTGTGTGCCTGGACAAATACTGCCAATGCCAGGGCTATGACCAGATAGCCAATAACACAGACCTATTGAGAATCAGCGGGATATCACCGACGACTGTCTCGGACGTCTCACAAAACGCAAACCCATGCGGTCGGATAGCACGCCCCACACCGGACAGGCCACGAGGGCTACCAGTTCATCGGCAAATCCCAGCGTCCCGACTGCATCTCCCACATCGTGTGTTCTGCCAATGAGGTCCGTGATAACGAATGAAACAGATGAGTTCAGAAAGACCAGAAAGGCAATGGAAAAGGGACAGACACCAAGCAGGTACGTGGCTACTTGCAGGTTGGTAGCTCGAAACATGGTAGGCTAGTTGTGTCGGAGCAAGCTATAAGCCAGGAGGAACAGCTCGCAACTGAGTACCAAAACGATGATTGGACCGAATCATACCCTGGTAAGCATAGATTGAGGAAATTCAAGCTGGCCCTTCTGTCACAAAAGATCGCTGTTGTTAACTTGTCATTGAGGTCACAGTCGATTCTGACTTTGGGGGCTGATATCACTTGCCACTTTAAGGCCTCCGTCATCTACCGAGGCTAGCCCGGAAACTGTGATCCAAAACCTGGATCTTCTGGGCGAATTTGTTTGATTTGATTTAGCAACTTGTCAAACACTACAAACATTCTTTGACTTGCTCGAGGGACTGGCCTGCGCTGGTTCCATCTATTCTCTCAACCACCCGACCATAACGTGTTGCCTCCAGGGCGGGCCCTGGGGCCTCGCAGCCCACGTTGAGATATGGCTGACTCAGGCTATCCTGATGATATCCAGTTTGCCGGCCTTGTGCAAGCAGCAACTGCGGCGGCGGACGAACAGACACGCGACCCGTCGATACTGGGGAAGAGAAAACGCCATGACAACATCTTGGACGATGGCTCGATGTTATCTCAAGATGTCCTGGATCACGCGCCTAATTTTGCCGAAGTACCAATCATTACTCCTCAGCTGAACAGCTCGGCTTCCGTGCTCTTCCGCGAGCCGTCTTCAAAAAGCAAGAAATACAGCCGTCCACCGCTCGGCAGAGTCTTTACATCGTTGGAGCTGGCTCCTGAGAACTTCTTGAGGTTACAAAACGCTGCAAAGGACTTCATGCTTGATGACGCGCACCCCGAACGAAGAGACGTCGTGGGACAGAAGAAGAACACGGGCGGCGCTGACGTTGCCAAGTTGAATCTATGGAACTGCGTTGAAGAGTTTCTTTCATTGCACGGTTACGGTGAGCGATATTTCACACCCGGTGCAGGAGAAGGCATTCCAGGCGCGCCGCAAAGGACCATATTCTGGCCGCGAGACAGTCAGACTATCATCAAGCTCATGATGCCTCTGATGCGCAAAATGGTTACAAACGAGCGTCAACGTGTCTATGCTGCTGCAAGCAGGAAATCAGGGTCGAAGGAGGATGCAAAGACTGATGAACACCTGGAAGCAGCAGATGACTCCATCCTTCAGGATGAGTCTATCCAGACCCCCGATGCAGGTCCGCTAGAGCCTGTATCGTCGACTACAGACGTGGAGCTGCCAATGCCGACCTTGGAGAAGCCACAGACTAGGACAACTTTCAAACAGTCGATTGTTCTCTACGTCAATGTGGTCTCGAATACGGGAGGTGCTCTTAGAAGGGTCATACCTCGTTTCCAGCTAACGCCTGAATCTGCTCCAAGTCTATCTTCTTTGATTGGTGAGGTGGAGAAGCGATACAAACCATTCTCGGAGAGTGGAAATCGGCCAGTGGTGAAGGTATGGCTGACGGATGGACTTGTAACCGTGGCCGAGGATGGAGAATGGATGGTCGCATTGTTGAGTGCTGGCGTTGTCGACTGGATGGATGGCGAGGTCAGGGTCCTGGTTGAGATCTGAGTGGCGGACTTCTACCTTGCTTTCCTTGGGCATGATGACTCCAACCCAATGCACATCTGGAGGGCTTCCTTTCCAAAGGAGCTTTGCTGGGAGGGTTTCCTGAGATTCAGCACACTTTGTCGACGCCACATGCCTTCAACACTCGAACAGCATGTGATAGTAGCATAGGCATGGGTTCCGCCGCAATACTCAGCAGCGTGATTGTGGAGAAACCCCGCGCGATCGGCCAAAAGAGGTCGATACACTTTCGGAATCTGATCGACTTTGCAGATTTACCTGGCAGCAAACGGCTGTTGGCCGACAAAAACATGTGCTCGGCTGAGATGACGAGGATAAGTGTAGACTCCTAGGATCTACCCGGCGATGAGCAGGAAGTCTATGTGCGCGACTCACTCATCGCGGCAACCTCGACACTCGACCTCACTGCCCCAATATTCTGCTCGTAGTCAGAATGAAAAACCACGCTTGCATTTTCTCTACGTATTTTCACTTGCTGTGGGAGCTTTGTCCAAATGCTTACGCCGTATTCGTACAGACTCCTGCAGGAGTAGGTTCTGCTGTGGCAATGTCTGGTTGCTTTGCTCCAGCTGCATGAGAGAAGCCCGGCGCCTGTAGATCTCAAGTTCTAATGGAAGAGGTCATTGGCGTTTTGGGAATGGCGCTCGTATATATCTGCGGCACGAAGCTGACAGGCTACATTGTAGGAGGAGTGCACCTGGATGGTATGACAGAAGTGAACCATTAGATTGTCAGGGCAAGCCACAAAGCGCCAATGACTGCCCCAGTGCGTCAACCTGGCCCTTTTTGAGGTTACTCTGTGTTTGAACGGCTGCTGTCCCAGCCACCAGTTAGTCACAAGATCGTATGTTGGGCTTAGATTTTGTATCGACCAAGCCCCTATGATATCACCGACCACTCTTTCTAATACCTGTCAACCCATTTGCAGCATCAGAGGATGCGAGAAGCTAAGCTCGGTAAAAGGCGAGCTCGGAAGATGTGCCAAAGTTACCAGATTGGCGCCCGTCAGCTTGAAACCTTGGCTGAAAGCTCGCCTAGCATAGCGACGGAGGGCTCAAAGGAGAAAGGATGGCTCCTTTGATGTACCAGAGTGGTATAGGCCGTTAACCCTTGGATGGACGATCACAGAACAGCGGCTCACTCAGCCTCGGTGTGCTCCTCTGCCATGGTATTGCCAGCAGTTGGTGAACCCAAGGACAACCTGCTTGGTGAGGGAGAGTCGTGGCAAATTCACAGAAAGGGATATGCCATTGACAGTTAATATAGACCCTCTCGCAAGCTAATTCCGTCGACATTCGGGTGTTTGAGGATGAGGTGGTGACGGTATGGACTCGGCCCCTGGTCCTGGAAGATGCCTAAAGATGCCCTTGATCGGACATGCGCTGTGCACCATGGCGGGGCTCCTGGCGGCGGATCTGCGTCACGGACTTTCGATTTCGGACGCGATCCCGGCCTTTTTGGCGAGCCAGGCTTCACGTCAGTAGCTTGTACCACATCATCAAGCTTGTCACCTACAGGCACCCGACCATCTCACTGGATGCACGGATCCCTTCGCTCGTCACTCTCCGCATCTCGTATCCTTGTACACTATTTCGAACTGCTGGGACGCCCGTTTCCGCCGCATACGAACCCCAGTCCGAATCCTGATTTTTGACTTCATCTCGTCAATCGGGTCATCCCTTGACAGCCAGGATGTTGCTAATGCTGGGTCCAGAAGCGACAGATGGCTCCTGTGGGAGGAGAAAAGATATGTGTTTCATGGATCCTCCGGGCTCACCACCTCGCCCCCTTCCTCCTTGCTCCTTGCACCATGTCAACCCTGCTACGGAACTCCTCATAAACACGCTGAAGACCCCAGGCTTGCCCGTTCACCTCCTTCTGTGCAGACGTGTTCATGCACGAAGTTCCTTCCGTACTTCGCCCCATTGCTGTACCTTGACCCGGGATGAAGTGTATTCTTTGTATCGCTATCATATAGCTCCAAGGCTGAGATATCGTGTCGAGACATCATGCCGACGGCCTTGAGACGCGTGCACGGTCGTGTGACTCGCGACGACATTCGATCAGCCGGTCTGAGAAGATGGGATGGCCGGGCGAGAGTAACGACGGACTGGGTCAGTCTCTTTCATGTGAGTGTTCGACGGTGCCACATTTGCTTCATGAAGAAACTCATCTGTTCGTAGGAGCCCGAGCTTTGTTGGCCGACTGGTGACTGTCTTGTCTATCTGCGTGAACCAGGCCAGTCCAGCCGTGGGCCTGCATTTCGTGTCCATACCGCTTTTCTTCGGGTCAAGGGATTCGACTCGCTGATTGACCGATGCATGATGAGAAACTCCTTTCACACAGCAAGACAATGCGTTATGCCGAACTGTCCAGGATGTGATCCTTACCAAACTTTGCTGGAGCTTTACATTCCGGTTCCTCCAGGCCTGGGTCTACAGGAGATTTTTGACTATCATATCACAACGAGGAACTTCTTCGCCTGGCTGTACAATCGACCGCTGAGTGGGAGGACACTGGGAAAGGCACTGGCAGAGCTCAAGAAGAGGATAGATGTATATCGTCCAGACAACAGTACACAAAACATGCTGGAAGTTGTGTCTTATGCAGAAAACCAGAGGTATCTTGACTTCAGGGAGTGCGGAGACCACGCCCTTGCAGCTCTCTACTTGGCGGAAGAGCTTCAAGTCGAAGATCTCTGGGTCGACGCCTTCTCCCACTGTGTTGGTATGAACCAGCTTGATTTGCGGGCCAGTATTGAGTATGCGGTGAGTAGCATCAGTGTCTCTCCGGTCATCATACATGCTAATATGAGCTAGACCGTCAGCCCAAAATCCAGAGCGCTGGTGAACAAGTCGAGACTTGAGATGGATATTCGTGTCCAGCGACTTCAAAACTCAGTGATCAACTTCTTCCAGGACGAGGTATCCGCAAGCTTCCTTGGACTGCCTCAACCAGCACGAGATCACCTAGAGGCATTCCGTTTGTTCCTAAAGGAGACGTACATCAAAGTATTTGGCTCTTGGCCACCGCAAGATTTCCATGATGAACATATCAAGAATGACATCTGCACCATATTGTTTACCGATTTCCAGAACCTCTACCAATATCTAGTTGACCCAGAATCCACCACCAATATGGAAGAGACGGACATTAGCAAAACTGGTGGCGTCTGCACAATCCAGAACATTCAGGCTTTCGACGCCAAATATGATTATGAACCACTTGCTCAGCCTCTACCTTTGATGCCAAAATATCCAGATTCAGACTCGGACAAACGAGCCAAAAGCCAGAGAAGGAAGTCCTGGAACCCGGTACAGAAACGAAAAGCTGACAAGGAAGCCCGGAAACTCTGCGACAGGCACGCGCTGGTTGCTGCCACTAACAGCGATCTGCTAGTGATGGACTGTCATCTGGTCCGAAAGTATGCCGAGTTCGAACAACAGACTATTGATGATGACCTTGAAGGTCTTTCGACCGTGGAAGGTCGAAAGGTCCGCTGGATGTTGGTCTACGCCGTGCTCCAGACATTCCATTCAATCTCGCCGCCTCCAAAGCAAGTCCGAAATGCGTCCGATCTCACCTATTCCCTTTGCTGTCGTCCTCCAAAGCAGATGCCATGGCAGGATAAACCAATCCCCACTATTCGAATGGTCGATGAGAGACGATTATCGCTGTTGGTTCCTGATCAGAGCTACTCGCATACCAATACTACTCCACCATCTGGTGAGCCGATTTCGAGAGGAAGATCACTCAAAGCCCGTCGATCCACACTCCCCGCCGCTTTGCCTAGCTCGCCAACTGACTCGCTTGCGACGAAGACGTCACCTCTTTCTCGTTCCTCCTCACTGAGAAGACTGATGCCTCGACGACATCAGTCCGCGATGGAGCAAATGCCACCAAAGCGACCTACGTTCTGTGAGATTTACGTTGCAGGTTATGGAAATGGGCTGAACGAGGTCGAACAAGACTACGTTGTCTCTCCGGTGGAATTGACTGCAGAACCGAAACAAGCTGACAGCCCTGTCGAACGACGGTATTCTGCCCCACAGGGGCATTTGGACGATGTGCATGAACTAGATGCCGATGAGGGCCAACATTTCCGTGCCTTGCCGCTCTCACAGAGTTCACCAGCCTTGCCACTCTCTGAAGGTCCACAAGTCCCGCCGCGGTCTGGGAGTATACAAGCCCTCCCACTGTCTCAGAGTACACAGTCCCTGCCCCAGGCGCAGGCAATGTCTCGAGAATCCTCGAATGCCTCTAGGAGCAGCCACTGGTCCCAGGAAAGTTCCAGTGACGATCTGAGTCCAACCACACCGGCCACCGACGCGATCTGCACGCTTCGGGAGATTTTGCAAGCAACTGGTCTTTCTAGGTATCCAGATAAGACGTGTATCCCGGATCCCAAAACGTTCACTGTGCCATCGAGCTCGACGAACCATGTCACTATCGTGGATCATGAGGTGGACCTCGACGACCCCATGTCGATGCCGTCGGTGCACTTCAACACTCTTACCTGGGACAGAATCTTGGCTGAACCATCGATCGCTGTGCATGCATGAGAGATTCTATAATGATAACGACTGAATGCTTTAACAACTGAGGATAGAATTACGACTTATCGTCGGGAAAGTGGCCACTTACTTTAGTGGAGAGCTGCGGCTGAGAGCATGGTGGCAATTTGCTGACGGCCTATATTCAATGATTTTGTTTGATATCCAATCTACACACTTGATAGACTGTATTCCCAAGAAACAGGCAATTTGCCACAGATATTGATCGTCTTAGCATGTCAATACCCCTCGTATATCATTTATCGTCCTCGTTCGCGCCATGCCTCGTCAAGATCCTCCTGACGGACCTGATACGCCCAGTGGTGACAAGTCTGATGCATGACCGGACTGACCTCCCTGTCGGCGTCATTGTCATCATCGAAGATACTCCTCACACCATTTTCGACATACTTCTTCAACAGCATGCGTTTCCACCTGCCCTTGGGCCCGACACAACGTAACCAACGGCCGACCTGTCTCTCATCTTCGCCGTCGTCGCAGCGCCGACCCAGGCAAAAGCGGATATACCACTCGAACCAGCCGCGAGGGTCATGATCGAAGTTCAGCCAGCCTGCTGCCTCCCATTCTGACTGCGTCTGCCCGCACTGGACGCCGTACTTGTTGAGCGAGGGATCGTAGGTGGATGAGACGAGGTATTTGGTTGGTGGGTCAAGTCCGGCGCGCCACGATTCTGGAAGGGTGAGAAGGTAGTCGTCCTTGAGGGTTAGGCGGAGGGTACGGCTGTACCAGGGCGCAAAGAAGGAACCGCCGAACGCGCCTTCGAGGAGGATTGAGAGTGGGGATATGTTAGGTGTGAACGTCGGATGCGATTCGAAATGGTAGGTGCCATTGTCGAGAACGGTGGGCTCGGGGGCGGAGGGTGCCCAGTTGTTGTACTTTGCTAGGAGAGTGGGGAGGTCGGAAGAGGAGTAGTCTGCGGGAGGAGGTGATGAGGGCGGGATGGGTATAGATTGAGATTTTGGCTTGCGAGGACGTTTGAGTCTGTAGGGAGAGTCGTCCTCGTGGAGAATTGTGTGCTTCTCTTCGGTATAGGATATGCGGGTGGTGCCTGCGAGTCTGGCGGAGGATCGCGAGGCCGGGACTGTGCTGTTGAGACGGCGCTTCTTGGGTTGGTGTTTGTGCTCGGAATCCGGCACTAAGGCTCTCACTTGTTTAGATGCGTGCGAATGAAGGTTTAATTGTTCGAGGAGAGCCTGCTTTTGTTGGAGGTTTTGCAGGCGTTCGGCCTCGAAGTCAATGCTGGAAGGCATGGTATGGAGGTCAAAGGAAGGAGGTCAACAAAACAGTAACCGTTATGTGCCGCGACGTTTGAGTTGTGGTAGATCCAAGCAACTCGATGGAGACGACCCTGCAGGGGAGTTGTCGATGCAAGGTTTGCTTACTAGGTATGCTTACCGTTCAACCATTGAACTTCTGTGGGAGATAGAGTCGCGTGTCTGGAGCGCGTTGAGTAAAGGTGGTGACGTCAAAATGGCTGCTCCCGAAGGCAGTCAGTGCTGCACGGGAGATCGATTCTATCAACTGGCGATCATGACGATGATTCGTAACGCCGGGTGCTCGCGATCGCGACCATTGAAATTTGACATTGTGGTAAGTTATCAATGCGGGAGGTGCCATTGACACGAGAACGAAATCTCGGAAAGCCTCGTACATCGGCTGAAGCATGAATCGAAATATACTTGTGGAAGCTAGCTTAGAAAGCGGGCGTTTTTTAGGAGTTGTACCTGCGTCAATCGGGCTTGATATGAGGTGCGTTTAACTGCATGCGGCCATGGTCCGTCGTTGGAAGACGTCAAGACCGACCTAAATTTCCGTTACTTAGAGATCCAAAGCTACGGTATCGTTTGATCCTGTCCACTTAGCCCATTGTCTCAGTCTATCATTCTTCCAGGCTTCCCCGTGCCGGTGACCTTCAACGGCCTAACCAGAATTTCTCCATTCCCCAATGCGACAATTACAAACTACGTAGCTTGAGTTGATGAACGCCCTCTGTCGATCAAGCCACGAACGGCCACCACTATCGTACTTTAGTTGATAGCGCATTCCACCGATTTGATATGATCAGTACATCCACGCTCAGAGCCTCTCCCGACCTCGCTTCCCTTTCCCTACGACCTCACGATGCCGTTGACCGACCGTCTTCACGGGCGCACAAGCCCGGCCCCGATTCCGACGAGATTCCTATAAGATACTCCACAGATAGCATCGTCAACAGTTCGGAGGACGAAAGAGCAATGCCTTCAGCCTTTACTTCAGGAGTGAACGGTCACAACGGTTACTACAAGAAAGATTTGCCCAGATTACAAGCTATCGGAGAATCAGAGAACGGCGATCAATATGCGCCCGTGCTCGAAGATGACCCCTCGTCGTTTGATCTCGTAGCGCCTCCGCCCGCAGAACAGGAAGATACCTTCTCGGTGTTGGAAAAGCAGACACAGGCACTCTTTTCCAGAAGCCATTTGCAGGTCATCTTCGCGGACCCCGGACTGCTTCTCAAATTCACGTCTTTTCTCGGTGCTCACAGACCACAGTCCGTGCCGATCCTCGTCCACTATCTGGATTCTCTCAAATCCCTCCGAGCGATTCACTATGCAAATGCGATCTGCGAAGGATTGGATCCCGTTGAAGGATTGGACTTTACGCAAAAGCCGGTCAAACTTACTATCAATACTACATTGGAAGATCGCGCACACAGGGCGTTTGAAGTACTGGTAAACCAAGAGCTACCAGCATTCATCGCACACCAGTATATCCAGGTTGTCAGTGCTAGCGTAACTGCGAGAATCACTGGTGCTCTTTCGCCTCTTCTGAGAGAGGCTTCGGACGGGTTGGCGGAAGTGTTTTGTTTGACGGATCCATCACGGCAGGACAATCCGATCGTATTCGCATCCGAAGGTTTGTCGCAGATTCAGACGGATGATACGCTATAATGACTAATACTCCTAGAATTCAACCGGATCACGCAATATGGCATGAATTACATTGTTGGTCGCAATTGCAGATTTCTGCAGGGTCCCATGACAAACCCACTCAGTATCAACAGAATACGAGATGCAATCAAGGCTGGCAAGCAGCATCAAGAAGTCGTATTGAATTAGTATGTACGCCCTGACAGTCGAAGTTGGGCACGACTAACTGTATGTCTAGCCGGAGAGATGGCTCTCCGTTTGTAAACTTACTTCTGATTGCACCGCTTGCTGACAGTCGCGGCGTTGTACGATATCATATCGGAGCACAAGTCGACGTCAGCGGACTGGTCAAGGACTGTGCAGAGATGGAGTCACTTCAAAAGCTGATGGAACTTCGCGCTCGAGGCGAGGATCCGCCACTACCGGAAAAGCCAAACCCGGAGAAGAACGATGAATTGCGCGAATTGAGCGAAATGCTCAATCAAGGAGAGCTCAATACCATCCGCCGGTACGGAGGGAGGATGCATCGTGAAGTGGCCGATGAGGATCTCGAGAGTGTTAGCTCGCAGCAACCGCGACTGTTGCTAAAAGACCCGGACACAATGACCCCACCTGCGGGTAGCATCAATGGCAGGTTGACTGGTGTCTATCAACACGTGAGTTACGATCTGCAAAGGCTTGTGATCACCCACCCACTAATGCGCTTGTACAGTATCTACTTGTCCGGCCATACCCTTCCTTACGCATCCTCTTTGCCAGCCCTACACAGAGACTGCCTGGTGTCCTACAATCGCCCTTCATGAACAAAATTGGCGGATCGAGTCGTGTCAAAGAGGAGCTCACAGCAGCATTTGCCGAAGGCCGAGGCGTCACAGCAAAAGTACGATGGATCAGCAGAGGCGACGAGCAAGGCAAGAACAAGTGGATCCATTGCACGCCTTTGGTAGGCCACCATGGTCAGATTGGGGTTTGGATGGTTGTCATTGTCGACGACGAGCAGAGCAATGAAAGATGGTCACATGCAGCTGGACGGCTACCTCCGTCCGTGGCCACACCCGAGAGACCACGGACCCCGGGTAGTGGACTGAACGGCCAGAGAGTATTCAGCCCAACTCAAAACAGCTCCGCCAACATGAACGGGTCGCATTATGAGCATAATGGTAGTGGCAGTGCAGGGAGTGGCAGCGTCACAAGTTTCAGAATTGGTTGACAAGGATCACGTTTGGACAGCGGGTTGACTCTTCATGTGTGTGATATGTTCAGATATGGATGTTTTAATCAGGTGGAAGATACAAGATGAAATATAATGATTTGATGCGGCCTCGCAGCCTAGCATGATCATAAGAAAGGTTGGTTAAAAGAGTACAAGCGCCTCATCGGCGACTAAAGCACTCTAAAAGACGTTGATATTAAGCTTTGTGGCTTCCATTTTCCTAACTTAGTGCTGTTTTGTTGACAGGTTGGCGCCGACTGTAGGGCTGCGGCCGTGCGCTGTGGATAATAAATGCACGGATTTTATTTATGCCTTTGAAACTTACGAGGCCTGAAGCCGTCATCCTATTTTCCCTTTCAGAGTATTAGGGGCCCAAGCATGGCCGCGTGTTTCATCAACTGACATGCTGTGGGGCAGGACCTGAAGAACTGTTTTGTTTCGAAACTTCGATATACATAAAGTTGTTGATCATGTTTGGCGAACAACATTTGGGACCTCCTGCATGGTTGCCTTGCTGCTGATACAGTCAGAGCAGGCCAACCGTCTCTTCACTGCTGGAAGGTTCAGTTTTCCTTGACGGTTGCCACGCCTGATTTGGTGACGGCCTTTCCTTTTTTAATCAATGCTGTTTGATCTTTCACCTCGTTCCATCGTCAACCTGAATTTACACAATTAAGCCTGGCTCAGTCTGCCACGATAGCGACATCGGCCACCTATGAACACGAGCTAAACGGGAACGGCAGGCCTGAGTTCCGGTAGCAATTGAGTCATTTGGCAGTTGACAACGCGACATTTCGAATGAGTTCTCTACGACGTCCACTTCCTTGTATATACCTCGACCATGACCCCCGCGAGGCGCGCTCTCGTCTGCGTGGCCATTGCGACCATCCTGGGTCTACTACTGTATTACCGATCTGTCAGCTCTTCTCTCACTATCAAGTCGCTACGGAGTAGTGTACCTCAAGTCATTGGACTCGGAGATTTGTTTGACTCAGAGGATGAATATGAGCAAGACCCCTTTCTCGGCTTGGGCGCCCATCACCGGCTGACTCCGGCAACCACAAATTCAACACAAGCAGCTACCCCAAAGCCCACAGGCCCCATTGCTTTCGGAGAGAAACCTTTCGGGCTGAAGACCTTCACGCGAAACCTTGTCATGGCCAGGACGAAGGAGGAGAACGTTACCTGGCTCGACGAAGTAGATCTAGGCCCGGAGATCAATAGGATGATCTACGTTGCCGACGACCCAACTGCTCCATTACACCCACCGAAAAACAAAGCGCACGAAGTCATGATTTACTTGACCTATATCATCGACTTTTACGATGAGCTACCAGACATCAGCATCTTCATGCACTCTCATCGCTTTGCGTGGCACAATGATGACTTGTTGAACTGGGATGCGAGCGAGATGATTAAGCGATTGAGTGGTGAAAGAGTACAACGGCAGGGCTACATGAACATGAGATGCCATTGGATACCCGGATGCCCCGAATGGATTCATCCCGGCCGAGTTGAACCAGATCACGAAAAGCTGGAGCAGTCGTTGATGGCGGACGCTTGGGCTGAATTGTTTCCGCTCAAACCAATTCCCGACGTCCTGGCTCAACCTTGCTGCTCCCAATTCGCACTGAGTCGAAACAAGATCCGCGAACTTCCCCGGGAGACATACTCACACTTTCGAGATTGGATTTTGCGATCCGACATTCGAGATTCCATGAGTGGGCGAGTCTTCGAATACCTTTGGCAGGTCATATTCACGGATCAGGCTACCTTTTGCCCCAATCAGCGATCATGCTATTGCGATGGCTTCGGCGTCTGCTTTGAAACTGAGGAGACATTTGACAAGTGGTTCGAGGTTAGGTACTACAAGATGAAGGCCGAGCAAGAGCTCCAAGAATGGGAGGACCAATTTCAGGCGATCGAGAAGTATCGCAAAAACGGCAAGTTGCAGGGAATCGAGGGCGATGATCTTGAGATCCCCGAGTTTGGAAAGAAAGAAAAGCTCCAGGCCGCCATTGGCGAGATGGAAGCCGATATGGAAGATCAAAGACTACAGGCTCTTCAGAGAGGTGTGGACCCGAAAATGAGAGCTGAGAGTGATGGGAGAGACTGGAAAGAGGGCGAAGGGTACTGAATTGCTTCACTGGTTTCGCCCATCCCAAGGTGGATGCGTGATGGCAGCCCATATGTGTTTTGCATGACTGAGATGGGCGTTGATGTACAGCAGTCTATCGGCGTTGCTTTCGCTGGGGCAGGAAGTCAGCTTTATACCATTTACGACCACGGCATATATAGAGCAAAAGGAATGACACGGAATAGAGGGTGTCGAATATACTGTACAATCTCTTATTGATTTCTCGTATCATGGTATGTAGCCGATTTAGGGGGTGGAGGTGAATAAACTGGGACCTACAGTACCTACTGTACTAGTAGGTACGTAGGCACTCGTGTAACGCCACCTTTTGGAGTTGTTAGGCTGCGATTTAATGGCTTGCGGAGGAACATCGAGGAAACACGAAATTGAAGTGAACACCTTTCGTCTACCACAAGAACACCGCAATCGTTTTTGGTGCATCATTGGCATCCACTGGTGATCGAATATTGCCGGTGATAGTTTTCTTCTTCATCGCGTTCTGTGCGCTCACGGACCTGCACAAGTTGCGGTGCATGATGGCCTCAAGTACGATTGACATCCCGTGAGACAGTCTGCATCGCGATCAGCAAACACCATGCCGCCGCGAATGAGAATGAGATGGACGGCCTACGCCGGGGTACGTACGCACATGATCCTGTGACATTGTCGTGAAAGACTTCGTTGCAGGTGTTTGGCATTTACTAACGCATGTCTATGCAGTTCTCTACAGCCCTGGCTGGCGGCGTTATCCTCAAGGCTCTTGCACAACGACCGAACTTCTATTCTGCAGCCGTGTACTTGTCGCAGTCTTCGGCCAATCTTATGATCCTGACGAACCTCCTCTTTGTTGTGGCGTGCACCTTCCTGCTTGGACTTCAGAAGCTCCTTTATGGAACCCTGCGGCCGATCGAGATTGAACAGCTATATGAGAAGGCATGGTTCGCGGTCACCGAAACATGTCTCGCCATGACCGTGTTCAGAGGAGAGCTGGGCCTGCCGTTCCTCGCAATGTTCTTTGCCCTGCTCACTGGGAAGGTTTGGGGCTGGATAGGAGAGGGTCGCGTGGAGGTGCTGGAACAACAACCACCAAGGAACCCGAGGCTTTTCCACACCCGTCTCGCGCTCAGTCTCGGCTTGAGTGTCGCTTTCGATCTGACTATGCTGGAATATGTGGTGAAGCAAGTAATGAAGATGGCTCGGCCAGACATGATGGTCATGTTCGGCTTCGAGTTCGCAGTGCTGTCTATTACGAGCATTGGAACTGCGGCCAGATATGCTGTCAATCTGGTCGAAATTGGCATTCTTCGAGAACAAAAGCGCCAGCGGATAGATCAGTTGAAGAGAGAGAGAGCCGAAGCAGCGGTTGCAGAATTCCAGGCGGCCCAGACACGAGAAGCTGCCGCTACAAGCACCACTGATGCTACTACGACGGACCCGATCCCAACCCAACGCACCGCCGAACAGGTAGCCCAAGAAGCCTTGAATCAACCAGTGGACGAAGCCGAGGTTGAAGTCGAGGGCTGGGAAGAGAAAGGCCGTTACATGTTCTACCTCAACCTTGCCACGGACTTTTTCAAGCTTGTGATCTATTTGGCGTTCTTCTTCATTCTTCTTGTTTTCTATGGGTTGCCGATACATATTTTACGAGATGTGTTCTTGACGATGCGATCATTCTTGAAGCGAATTTCGGATTTCATGAAATACCGAGCAGCAACGCGGGACATGAATGCGAGGTATCCAGATGCCACGGCGGAGGATATTGGACGGGAAGATGTCTGCATAATTTGCAGAGAGGAGATGCATCCATATCAACCTGCAGCTCCCCAGGAAGGTCAGCCACCGCAACCGCCAAATCCAGTTGCGGAGAGGATGCGACCAAAGAAGCTACCTTGTGGACATGTGCTGCACTTTTCTTGTCTCAGGAGCTGGCTTGAAAGACAGCAAATATGCCCAACTTGCAGAGCCAACGTCGTGCGACCTGCCGGGACACAGGCAGGTACAGACAATGCCGGAGCAGGGGCAGGAGCACCAGCAGCAGGTGGACAGCCTCGGCCAGACAGACAGGGACCACGAGTCTATCAGTTAGGTCCGTTACGGATAGGGGTCGGCGCAGCGAGGGGCAACAATATGTTTGAAGAACTTCAACAACAGCTTGCTCAGGTGGGCGGTGCTGCTCATCCTCCAGCAAATCTAAATCCAGATCCGAACGCACCACGACAGTTTGGGGTGGGATTTCGATGGGCAAGAGGACGAGGTCGCCCGGGAGACACAAATATGACAACAGAAAATCATCTAGATGCGCTTGGACAGCAAATCCAACGTGAGGTCAACGATCTGGCACGGAACTCGGCCGAACTGAGCCTTCTTCGGTCAATGCAGACTGAACTACAGAGACTGCGGGCGACCAGGGGAATGCCAATACAGCCTGCCGCCACAGCACAAGCTACGCAAGGCGCCGAAGCTGCTAGCAGTACCAACAACATCCAATCAGGACAATGGAACGTCACGCGGCTGGAAGGAGGTGGTCAACAGGATGTCATACAAGCGGGAAATGACCGGTTACCACCAGGCCTTACACTACCGGAAGGTTGGTCAATGATGCCTCTGCATGCTGTGCAAAACACCGCATCCATGCAATTTCCGTCCGCACCGAACAACGCCCTACCAGGCTTCCCGCCTTGGCCTGTTCAATTACCAGGTTTTCCGGGTGGGCAGATGTTCCCGGGAGCAGTGCCACCATTCAATGCTCCTTTTGCCGGCTTCCCTCCACCATTCGCCAACCGAAACGTGCCGAATGCGATGAATCATGTACCAACCGCGCAACCACACGGAAATGGACTTCAAGCTCCAGGACAAGTAGCGCCTCAAGGAGAGCCTCAGATTCAGCCGCCTACTCATCTCCAGGGAAATGGTCAAGGCATGAGTCTACCGACGTGGGATACTCTTGGTGGCCCACCGGTTGCACCAGATCCAGCTGGAGGAGCAGGTGGTGATTCACGTCCTGCTGTTGCAGCTCCTACCTCGATGTCGACGTCTGCACAACAAGAAGCAAGTGGGCGTCCTGATATCGAAGTTCCCAATCCTACGTCTGCAGAAGCGGACGATTTCGGTCGGCTTGCTGGCGAGGCGGACATACCTCAGATGGTGAACGGACATCAAGCAACGCCCCATTCCTCTTTTCAGACCTCTCAACCTCTGCCATCGTGGGGTTTCGGCGCTTCATCCGGCGCTGGTGGAAGTGGCAGCAGTGCTACTCAACCGAATGGCGGTCATAATGAAGACAATAATCACGACGAGCATTCGACGTCTGCTGAGCAGTCAACATCGCAGAAGTCGGGAGCGAACCCTAAAAGTGCTACCGTTGAGGATTTGGTGGAAGATCCGGATTGAGCAACAATGTGCTGTGGCTGCACAATGTATTGAATAGCAACCTTGAGCATTAGCCAGGAGTCATGGGAAATACATGATATTAGTGTCCATGAAGTTGGAAGGCTCCCGGCCAACGAAGCGTCACTTGCGTCTAACCCGAGCGACGCTCATGTGACACCGCGACTGTGGCAAAATAGGCTACGTGGCTGCGAAGTTTAGGCGCAATTTACACGTTAGAAAGGCGGAAGTTGAACGCCCTCACTTGAGAGCAGCGAGCATCAACCACTGGTTTGTTGTCTATTCTTCATCCCTGCAGCAGCCGTAAAGCTGACGAGTCAGAACTGGAGTTCCATCTGCAGGGAGAACTAAAGTCTGAAACAGCCTCCAAACAAGCGACAGTTCGCGCAATAGGCCTGCCCGTTGCTGCGCCCCTCTTCCAACATCAAAAAGCTGGTGGCTTGCAACGTCCACCTACTGTGCACCCAGCCTGGAATTGTGTTGTCGACGACGTGGCCAACTTCACTTAAATTTTTCGCTCTGTACATCTTTCATTTACTTTCACATTGTTGAGTCTTCGCGTACCAAGATCTTTGCAGTGACGGACCAGAGAAGACTTCCTTCGACCTAAAAGTGGAAGTGGCGTTCTGCATCACCGTGACAAGGGTCCTTGAGTCCGTGCAAACACATACGCCACCGAACTCGACGACTTCAACTTTCCTCGAAATCCTGCGTTGACTTGTTCTGCGGCCAGCTTTTGGGTGCCAGACTCTTTTCATACTGCAATCCCTCGAGTTCTCCACGAGCGAAGCACGTCCATTGACAAGTTGGAGATACAATGGATCCGTCAAGCATATTCCGACGCCAACTCAACACCGATTCTAATGACGATGGGAGCGACACTTACAATGGATACTGGTGGTATAGCACTGTATGCCTGTCTTCTTGAACCTTTGCGATTATACAGCTAACGATATCCTCCGCACAGACTGCCTACGCTATCAAATGGGCTGTGATAGCCGCGATCCTTGTACTATTCTTCCTCTTCTTCGTCGGCGGATACCTGCATGCCAGAAGAAGGATGCGTAAGGGTCTTCCTCCGTTGGCATATCATAGGGTACGTCTTGTTTTGTCTTCCGAGTTAGATTTTTGCTGGAGATGTGTTTACTGACGGCCTTCTTCAGTGGTTGGTCCCAAGAGCACAACGAATTGCTTTCGCCCAACGATATCCTCAATACGCGCATCAAGTTGGAATGTACAGAACGACACAAACTCCTTACGGTCATGGTCACGCATATCCCATGGGAGTTTATGGGCCACCTCCACCTGCATATCACGAGCCAGACTATGTGCCTGCGTACACGCCGCAAGCACCGAACAAGGTCGATCCCGATCAGAATAAGCAGTTCGTCCCTCCTTATGGACCTCCGCCTCCGCCAAATGCTGCAGGTGGACTCGGCGTGCCGAGTGGGGAGCCAAGTCAGCCTGCTAGGGCGTTCAGTCCGTCTGGAAGGGCTTGATTCAGTACATGCTTTGGGAGAGTGCCAAAAGTTGAACACAAATTGTGAGAATATGAGGCTGGAGGGTGCTCGAAGCACAAACAAAAGCTTCCGGCTATTGAAAACCACACTGTACAAGGGGTATCATCTATGAAACATTGACATCCAAAACTCCAGGCTAAAAGGCATGTAGATGTAAAAACAGGCGCTTCATTCGATCTCCATCATATCAAAGTCTTCATCTCGGTGCGACGAGTGATCCGTCGCAGCATCATCTAGCTCAAGGTCATGGTCATGACTACCTTGTTGCACTGCTTCCTGTCTTTCTCGCTCTCTTTGCTCTTCTGCTTGCTTCTCCCTGGCTCGCGCACGCGCTGCAATGATGGCCAGTCTCACCGCGTCTCCTTCTTCGGGTATACTGATGCTGGCGGGATCCCGGTATAGAACTAAAGCAGTGTTCGTACTCTCCGGTGTTGACGCTGCTTGACGGTTCTGCAACAGCTTCTGAGGAATGGAAGAGACCTTCTTGTCGACGTCAGGAAGGAAGACGGTAGACGCGGCCGCTGCTTCGTCGGCTTCGATTCGTGCAATCTCAGCATCCAGATCATTGATAATGACCCGGTGCGGAGTATCGTCCACGGTCATAAACTCCGAGTCGGGTAGTGTTGGAGGTTCGTAAGAGGGAGTTGTGTCGTAGTCATGGTTCTCGAATGACGGAGGTGCAGGCCGTATATCTGTGTCCGCAACGAGAGGTCTGTACGTGACGCCTGATGGCGAGGGCTGTGGTTGCGGCACCGCATGATTCAAGCGGAGTTTCTTGAATTGCGACGATATGTTCGACTGGGCGTCGAATTCATCTTCGGCTTTCCGCTTGCCCACGAGAGTGCTGCGATGCTCGTTCGGGGACGACCACACTGAGGCCGGGGCCGCAGTGGCGTAGGGTGCCATTGGTGGTAATAAGTCGACTTGTTGTAGATAAGGTGCATGTGAGGAAGTCATCGGGACTGGGCTGGAACTGAGATCCTCTTCTCCAATTCCAAGGCTCCCTTCAACTTCTTTTCCTTTATCCTTCCTTGCAGCGACGAATACAACTTGCTTCGAGGTCGAGATCGTGACTTGACATTGTCCAGTAGCATCTGGGAATCTTGCGGTGCGACGACAAGATCCACGCTCTGAGCTTGATATAGGGTCTGTTGGTCTGGAAGGTGCGAGAATTGGATGCAAAGCATCGGCGGCGGAGCTGCGATTTGGAGAGCTGCGCGCTTCTCCTCTGCAGTCCACACCATTGTCACCGCGCAGACCCCTCGATTCAGAAATTTGGTCCTGACTCACAATTCCGGCGTACAATTTATTCGGTCTTGTTGCACGGTTGGTCTACAAGGCTCTACGAGGCAGGCAGGCTTGTCGAATCCTAGAAGTCGTCCATTTTGCAGCAACTTCAGTCATTCGAGCCGGAAGTGGGATTTTTCGACTGGTGTGAGCAATTCGACAGTGCGCCGGCACACGACCAGAAGGATGGCTTCGAACACTACGGAAGAAGCTCAGCAATGGAGCGCTCCGGTGGTGAGAGATACGTTTCTCAAGTTCTTTGAGGAGCGTGGACACACATTTGGTGGGTTCTTGGATTCGCATCTAAACTCCTAGATGCGCCTCTGCAAGCTGAACGCTTACTGACTGGTCCGACAGTGAGATCGTCGCCTGTTGTACCTCTGTCCGATCCTACGCTGCTTTTCACCAATGCTGGTATGAACCAGTTCAAACCGATATTCCTTGGTACCGTCGATCCTACGAGCAAGGAAGGCCAGTACAAACGAGCGGTCAATTCGCAAAAATGCATACGTGCGGGCGGAAAACACAATGATCTCGACGATGTCGGCAAGGACAGCTATCACCATACTTTCTTTGAGATGTTGGGGAACTGGTCGTTCGGAGACTATTTCAAGAAGGAGGCTATCACATACTCGTGGGATCTTCTAACGAAAGTGTTCGGACTGGACCCGGACAGGCTGTATGTCACCTACTTTGAAGGTAACGAGGCTGGAGGACTGGAACCCGACCTCGAAGCCAAAGAGCTATGGAAGAGTGTTGGTGTCGCCGACGACCATATTTTGCCTGGCGATATGAAGGACAACTTCTGGGAGATGGGTGATCAAGGTCCATGCGGTCCCTGTTCCGAAGTCCACTACGATCGAATTGGTGGGGGAAGAAACGCTGCCCACCTTGTCAACCAGGATGATCCCAATGTACTGGAGATCTGGAACAACGTGTTCATCCAGTACAACCGTGAACCCGACAAGAGCCTACGGCCGTTGCCGAATAAGCATGTCGATACTGGTATGGGCTTCGAGCGGTTGGTCAGCGTGCTGCAGGATAAGATGTCCAACTATGACACCGATGTGTTCACGCCAATATTCGAGCGAATTCAAGAGGTTACCGGAGCCAGACCGTACTCGGGCAAATTTGGCGAGGAGGACGTGGACGGTGTCGACACCGCATATCGAGTCGTTGCGGACCACGTACGAACGTTGACCTTCGCCATCAGTGACGGCGGCATCCCTAACAACGAAGGAAGAGGGTACGTCGTCCGAAGAGTGCTGCGCCGTGGTGCTCGATATGCTAGGAAATACTTCAATGTTGACATTGGAGACTTTTTCTCCAAGATCGTGCCAACATTAGTGGAACAAATGGGTGGTATGTTCAAAGAAATCGTTGGCAAGGAGGATGAGGTCAAGGAGATCCTCAACGAGGAAGAACTCTCGTTCGCCAAAACCCTGGACAGAGGAGAGCGTCAATTTGAGGTCTATGCACAAAAGAGCCAAGCTCAAGGCTTGAAGAGTCTACATGGTGCTGATGTATGGAGATTGTACGACACATTCGGCTTCCCAGTGGATCTAACGAGGCTGATGGCTGAGGAGAGAGGTCTTTCCATCGACGACAACGAATTCGAGGCCGCAAGATTACGTGCCAAAGAAGCTAGCAAGGGCGAGAAGAAGGCCGCCAGTGACTTGCTTAAATTGGACGTACACGATCTCGGCGAACTCGAGAAGATGCCGGGCGTCACAAAGACGGACGACAGTGCGAAGTACGGTCGGGACAACATCACCGGCACTATCCAGGCTATCTATCATGCGAAGAAGTTCCACCCTGATACAAAGAGCATTCCGGAAGGCGACCAGATTGGCATCATTCTTGACAAAACATGCTTCTACGCAGAGCAAGGTGGTCAAGAATATGACACCGGTCGAATTGTTATCGACGGACAAGCGGAGCTTGAGGTAGAGAATGTACAGCTCTATGCTGGCTATGTCTTACATACTGGCTACATGAAGTATGGCCATTTCTCGGTGGCAGACAAGGCAATCTGTGAGTATGACGAGCTCCGAAGATGGCCTATTCGGAACAATCATACCGGTACACATATTCTCAACTTTGCTCTGCGGGAAGTCTTGGGCGATGGTATTGATCAGAGAGGCTCTCTGGTCGCGCAGGAGAAGCTTCGATTCGATTTCAGTCACAAAGCGGCGGTGTCAGATGCTGATTTGCAGAAGGTCGAAGACATTTCGACAGAGTATATCCGGCAAAATTGTCCGGTATATGCCAAAGAAGTGCCCTTAACCATCGCGCACGAGATCGCCGGGCTCAGAGCTGTCTTTGGCGAAACATATCCGGATCCTGTGCGGGTTGTCTCTGTTGGGGTCGAAGTCGATGATATCCTGAAAAATGTCAAGGATGATCGATGGAAGACGGTCAGTATCGAGTTCTGCGGTGGTACGCACGTGAAAGCCACTGCCGATATCAAGGACTTAGTTGTGCTTGAAGAAAGTGGTATTGCGAAGGGCATTCGAAGAATAATCGCTGTCACTGGCGAGGGTGCATATCAGGTACAACAAGTGGCTGAGGAATTCTCTGAGAAGCTCAAGAAGTTGGAAGGCATGCCTTTCAGTGCGTCCAAGGAGTCAGAAGCCAAGACGATACAGGCTGAGCTCAACAACTTGTCGATATCGGCTGTGAAGAAGTCCCAGTTCAGAGAGCGGATGGCCAAGATTAGCAAAGAGGTTCTGGATCAGCAGAAGAAATTGCAGAAGGAGGAACTCAAGAAGGCTACCGATACGATAACCCAGTATTTCGAGAAGAACAAAGACAGCAAAGCGGCGGTTCTGAGGTTACCGATTGGTGGCAATGCCAAGATTGTGCCGGACGTTGTCAAGCATGTCCAGACAAAACTCAAGGACAAGAGTGTTTATGTTGTCGTTGCGGATGAGAAGGATCCTGAGGGTAAGGTGTTCCATGGATGTTTTGTGAGTCCGGTAAGTCAAGCTTCCATGGTCTAGCGGGTCGGTTCATGTACTAATTCGGCATTGCAGGATGGCACGAAAGCTGGCATCACATCGGCCGACTGGTCGTCCCAGGTGTCGCAGCTTGTAGGTGGTAAGGCTGGTGGAAAAGCGCCTGTTGCCATTGGTACAGGCACGGATCAGTCGAAGGTCGATGATGCGCTGAATGCCGCGACGGAGTACCTTGAGAAGTTTAAGCTGTGAGCATAGTTCGGCTCGAATGGCCTTTTCGAATTGCATTCCCAGGTTACAGCCCAGGAACCGTTGTTGTTCGACGGCGTTGTATGGGCGGTGGACATCAAAACCAATGGCCGAGCTGCAATGCTGAACCACGATCGAGCAAGCTGGCGGCGCCTGATCAATTGATTTCGCGCTGATAGTGTCGTGAACAGCATCTCGAACGGAGAGTATGGGACACTGGGCTTTTGGGGCATGTACAGCGAGAAGTTATGCGCTTGCATGCTGTAGGAGGACTTGTGCTAGTGACAAATTGAGCATATCCGCTTGATGCATGTACAAGTACGAAAGCCCCTTCCGGATAGAGAACAGAGATACCATTTTCTGCATCCAAGATAGTAGGACTTTTAGGGAGACCTCTGAAGAAGCCAGCGTTCACCCAATCGGAAGCCTGAAACGCGTCTGCCATACCACCAATCACAAGAGCAGTATGCTACCTAATTGGGATACAATGACGAGGTGAGGAGAAGAGTTGCATGACGTCGAAAGTACGTCTTTGAATGAGGTTTCTCGATGAGACAGCGGTTGACATCTGACAACTCGTGATTCTCTGCATTAGACATCACACGACCAAATACATAACACAATTTCAGGATCTGTAAGAGAAGACGGGACATGCCAAGTCTTCGTCCTATCTACAACTACTGCACGAACCCTCACAGCATCAACGTCGAGCAACCGCGATAGCTTCTCAGCTTAGACCTTCGCCGACTGCAACCCCCTTACTCAAAGGTCCAGTTTGTCTCCCAGACAACTCTCCACGACACGCATCGCAGCCATGAAGTTCCCTGGAGGATGTTATTGCAAGAAGATCCGGTATGAGATCGAGCTTGAGGATGCGGATAAGGCGAGGACGAGTCTCTGCCACTGCAAGAACTGCAAGGTATGTCTCCATTTGCTCTCCGTCCTGCTCTTACGCTGGTGAGGTGTGTCGAAGAGTGGTATCACTAACGGTGAGTCCGCAGAAATTCACCGGTGGACCATTTGGGGTGACAACGAAGATCCCAAAGAGCAGTTATACTGTTACCCAGGGCAAGGAGAAGATCACGGAGCATGAAATGGATAATGGTGCCGGGACACTTTTACATCGGGAGTTTTGCAATGAGTGCGGGAGTCCGTTGTTGGAGTACGGTGTAAGTTGCCCCTAACGCACCAAAAGAGCCTTGTCCTTGGGCCTGGCAGTTGAGGTAATGTCTTCTTACATTTCTGGAAATAGGCCAATGCGGGAGAAAATATTTACATCTTTTACGGGACGCTGGACAAACCGACTGATCTGCCGCCGAAGGGAGAGTTCTTTTGCAGCAAGCGGGACAACTGGATGCCCGAGATTCCAAGTATGTCTTTCCCTCGATGACGGTGCCTTTTCATTTGGGGTGTGGCTAACTTTGACAGATATCTTCCACAAGCAGAAGATCCAGGAGTGAACAGGTCCGGGGGCGGTGATGGTGACTAGGAGCGCGTCAAGACTCAGCAAGGTACTGGAAGTTGGTTGTCACGCCATGTTACTGGTGGGGTGCTTGCCGTTGTCAACATCTTTCGATGTCATTTAGTGGTGGTCATTGATAGAGTGTGGTTCGCCGGCGAGGAACTTTTACGGATGTACTTACTCTACGCAAGCCGTACTCGAGTTTGAGAACATTCTTCTCTTGACCAGGGGCCTATGCCTCGTGCCACGTATCTCCATACATCCCAGCCCTCTCGAAACAACAGAACCGAACACAGCTTCCAGTGTCAATGGAGAAGCTCGTCCTTGAGCACTCACATAATTACGGTTCGTCGTCTGTTCTCAACCCCTCGATCAAAGGAGAGTCATGCAACACTGGTTGGGATTCCTTATCGACACGGCACTTTTGGAGACTGTGCCATATGCTCGATTCCCGCGTAAATCTCCCCAATTTGTGACTCCAAGTGAATGCAGACACGCAAAACGTTTTGCTTAGTTTATGACATCCTCCTGTCTCTGTTCCATGTTCCAACGTCTCTTCTCTTCCCTTCCGCCTTTCTTTTATCTTCAATTCGACATCATCAACCTCGCGGCGTCATGTCTTCGTGCACCCAATGCTTCCTCTTCGGGATGCGCACCAGCTGGCCTTTGCGCAGGCACTCAGTAGCAAGGTAGGTCGTGTTATTGCGCAGTGGGTGCTCCGACGTGGCTGAGGCTATTCGTACGGTGCTCACACGTCTATCCTTTGAGCCTGGCCATCTTCAACTTGGGTGGCTGTTCTACCAGCTCTGATAGTTCTTCGAAGGCATGCTCATTGTCTCTTGGGTCCTACTATCACCACCGTCATCGAAGTATTGATGTGTGGTAAGATGTCGTCACTTTCCTTGCCAGAAGCCTGCGATCTGTTGTCCGAGTGGTCGCCGATGGCTTCATGCGGTCCAAAGGTTTGTTCCCATTCGCACTGTTTCTTTCAACCGAACAAGGTTCGTACTCGGAAGTCGGGAACGTCTTGAGGACATCGGCCATGTATTGTGCTTGAAGCTTGGGAGGATGAGAATGAGAAAGCTGCTCGGCATTGCGGTTGGACGGCGGCAGTGCTTCCTCATCAATCTGAGGCAAGTACACTATACCAACAGGTCACCGTCGGAACTCCATGCTCATCCCGTGGCTGTTGAAATCGATCACACGGGTGGACTGGTCGTCGTCATCTGTGGTCGATGAGGTGGGCGCACCCCTCTACACTATCGCCATACATCCTATGTCATTCGTCGATGCTACTGATATCCTCCGAAGGTCCCACCTACCTCGTCATCGTCCTTGCCGTCGTCGACCTTGTTTACATCTTGCTCCTTCCGGAATAGCGTTTGGTCGCCTCCCAAGTACTTCTGGTGCGTCTTCTTCCTCTCTCTCTTTTCTTTTCTTCGGCACGCAAGACAGCAGCAATGTATGCATATCATTCCCCCACCATGCATGTGTAGTGACGCTAACGCGCATAGTACAGATCAATACTCACACACACTCGTTTTTGTCGCTCTTTGTATGTCCTTCGCAATGCTGGCTGAGGGTACACGCGCTAACGGTCTACAGAACTAACTTCAGTCACTGCTTTGGTCTTGCTGCCCTGACGCCCGCCAGGCACATATTCTTTTTTTATTTTTACGATGGCATGGTACGTGGCTCTCAATGGTGTTCTTTGCATCCTTCTAACGGGCGTACAACAGTCCACCAGTGGAGTGCGTGTGTGCGGTGCCCTCGCTGCCCACATGGGTGGTTTGGGGTGCTGTTGCCGGCGGGTTGTCCGCCATGGTTGAGGTCGGGCTTTGGGCCTAGGAGGCCTACGAGAGCAGGCGGGCCCGCCGGGGCAACGCTGCCGCTGGTGTCGCGGCGTGAGCGGGTCGGTTCTTTTCCTGCTTGCAGGTTTTCTCCAACCTAAAAAAAAAGGAATAATACACATCCTTACATCAGAGAGAAAAAACAAAAAAAATGACGACCAGGTCACCGCCTCCTCGCGGCGTCGTCGGTAACTGGAGAAACCCAGGCCAAGGGTGACCACCCAATCTCTGAAAGTATCATTTGGCACGCGGAAGTCTTCCCATCCACTGAAGAGACAAGTGCAAAGAATGCTTGAAGGACAACTGCGCCATCGCTCATGCCATCAAGTCTAATATCGATACGATCCAAGCTCCGCCCGAAATCAACACGCTCAACTCAGCTCGCTCCTCGCTTGAGATCATGAAGCACCCTCACTGCAAGGCACATGCACTATACAAATCAACGTCCGAACCAACCGCTCTGCAAGCCAATCTGAACATGATACACCTAATATCAAGTCAACCACTTTTCGAAGCTCACTCGCGCCTCACATCATCCTCGTGCTCGGACCATCACTATGCCGACTCACAGAATACCTGCTCAACCACTTCAGACGGTCTTTTTTCCCCAATGGGGCTTTTTTCGGCCTGTCAAGAGCGAGGACATTTACCACATCCTGTCAACCCGTTTCTGTGTACCTGCGGCCGCCTTTTTCCCCTCCCAGTGAGGGTTTTTGGCACGTCAAAACAATGCACGCAAATCTTCGCGACGTCGAACCTCACTTACATCTTCTTCGACCCTGCTGCACCAGCGCATTCAATCGCGACACTTCGACAACGGCATTCCTGGACCTCAGTTGCCATGCTTGCAAACACGTTGGCTCAGGCTGCAGCAGCAGTTACACTACAATTATACCTATACTCTCGAGCCCGAGTTCACTTGTCTTGATCACTGGCCTTCTGAGACGGGGAACTACGACGGAGGTACCTTTGGCCGCTCGCTTATTTGGGTCAATCCTGCAAATACCACAATCAGAGTGATTATCGATGGCGACGGACGCACGACCTCGATCTCCCGTGTGTCAGCGTTTAGTATGTCCTTGTTAGCAGTCTTCCACTCTCACCGCGCGGAGATGAACAATGTTGTCGCATTCCCCGGGAGTGTTGGTACTTTTGGCATAGTCTGGGCAATCAGACCATGACCAACAATGTTATCGCAAAATCCGAATGCTGCATTGCAGATTTTGTTAGGCCAAAGCCTGAATGTCCAAACCCACCCTACCTAAAAACAGCAAATGTTATGAACTTCAATGAACCACCAGCCTGCACGCGTGTTGAAGACAGTTGACTCAACAAGACGAAATCTCTTGGGGCTATTGTTCGTGCGGCTTTGACTACCGGGAGGAAAGAGTCAAGTGGCTCAACGACGGAAGGACGAGGATCGTTGCAAGTTGGTGCATCATCGATGGTTCTTTGTGCACGGTGCCGCGTGAAAGGGATTGGAGGCAGCATACTCAATATTGATGAACAAAGTGAGCCAGACAGCATGTGCAAGACCATGAGTTGAGGAACTTTACTGACACATCACAGCAGCAAGCCATCATGACGTTTCTTCCATTATTCCATAGACTTGGAGGTAGTACAATCGGAATCCCATGTTTCATCTCCTCCACAACGCCACACAAGGCTGGGCGTCGTCGCAGTCTTCATATCGCGACACCCACCAAAGTCCTCCACTTACTATGTGCACTTCCGCGTATTTGACGTCCATTGTAGCAGTATTCTAGTCCAGTTGAGATCAGAAATGCCTCCAGTTGCTTCATTTTCGGCCACAACATACACCCGTTTGGAAAACCTCGCCATGATTATGACAGCACATCAACAGCCACAAAGCCTTACCTTCTTGTTAGACGAACCTATCAAACTCGAGGGTCGTGCCCAGCCACGCCGACAGGGTTGCTCAGGCCGCCGAATTCAATTCAGGTTGCAACCAATTGCGATATGGTGGCTATACTGCATGATTAGCGCCGCAGCATCACACTGCCTCGAATTTTCCCAGCACAGCCTTTTGCCCGACCCATAAACACCGGCTGCCTTTTAGCTATGACTATCGCCACCACTGAATCTCCTCTACACTCATCACCAGCGCTGGGATGGCTGTCGTGGGTGAGGCTGCCAGCATCGCAGGACTGGCTGCACTGGCCGGCCAAGCAATTCAAGCCGCTTCATCACTCTACTCTTTCATCAAAGCTTACAAGAACATTCATCCCACCATAGAACGGGTTGCTTCAATCCTACAAGCATTGCATACTTGTTTGAGCGATGTGCGAAGGATTGCCTTACACGCTGATGATGTGCATGGTCATCACCATCCAGAGGTTGCTGAGATATTTTCTTCAATCAAGTGTTGCTACGACCTTTTTGACCAAATCGAACAGCGGCTTGATCCCATTAAGTCTCGCGTGCGAAGAACCATAGGCAAAAAGCTTAAGATTGCAGCCAACGCTGGTTACTTCCCTTCGATTTATCAACAACTTTCAATGCAGCATCAACGTCTTTCGACCTTGCTGATCACGGCGACCTGGTTTGTGCACTACATAGTCATTCAAGTGAGTCCCATGCTGACTTCAGCAGGTTTACCAACATCGAGACTCTTGTCGCTGTTGGAAAGCTCAATATCACGGCCACCGAGATTCAAGATGTTCAAATACAGTCCACACGGCAAATCGGAAGCCACCTTGCTTCGATGGAGTCTCTACTACATTTGGAAGTGGCACAAAATGCAACATCAGAGTACCTCCTGCAACAAAAGCTGGACGCCATATTGCGAACAACCGCTTCAGGAGCCACGCAAAATCAACTTGCCGCCATCGAGGCTAGGCTGGCCTCATTACAGATCCAATGCCTGCAATCAATTGACACGGCTCAATCAGACTCTCTTGCATCAATATCATCACATAACGTGCAAGCCTCGGACCCACATGAATCGATCGCATTGGATGCTTTTCGAAGCTCACCTTCACCGACTATCAAGGAAACAACAGAGTCCCTCATGACAGTTGTGGATACTGCCCTGGTGCTAAGGGTACAGCGCGGCCAAATAACGTACGGCCTGCAACCAGAGGAAGATACAGTCTTTGCAGCCCTATCAATACCGCAGAAGAAAGTCGTGGTGCAGTATCTTCAGTGCCTGAGGCTGGTGATCTGGCTCCTGCGCAAGGAGAATTACATGATGGTTGCAAGCCGCCAGGGTCCGCGGCCTTGGCCCTCACGCTTATTGAGAGAAGCTTCGATGAGTTCCTCAGCAGAACTCACGCATGAGATTGAGGTCTATAACATGCGCTATCAACGTCCCCAACCCCAGCCTGCTCCGCTTAAAACTTGGAGCCTTGCATGGGCCGACATGAGAGCTTTCATACGAATGGTGTGCATGATGGAACGAAAACTGGAATGCACAATCACCGCCATCTACGACGATCTAGATGCAAGTTACTTTACCCCCGCCAGGAAGATAGGGTGGGACCAATGCTCTGGCATCGACTCGATGCCAAACAGCCTATTTGGTGTCCTAGCAATCGCCGCTCCTACTCACTATATCGAAGCTGCAGTACTTACCAGCGCCGCTGCATGCGGTCATGACTATGTACCAGTATGGAGTATCGAGAAGGCCATCAATGACACTGTCCCACGGCTCTCTGCGAGCCTGTTGATGGCTGAATCTCTGCAAGGAGCCTCTCTTCTGGATTCACCCTGATGGAACCCGCAAAATGCTGTAATATAGACATATTTGCGCTCAGCTACCGCGGCCGGCTCACCGAATTTCGCGGACTCCGCGTAGGAAGTCATGAAGTACTAGTACTATGGCGCACACGTCAGTGATAACTAGGGGATCCCGTAATCGGATAGGGGTCCAATGATGGGAAGCTCGCAAGGATTCCTGAAAGAACTGGCGCTGGTCGTGGTGTTCAGGATTAGTATTGTCCCGAACACGACGGAAGAAGAACCGAAACGAACATGGAAAATTCCAAGCTTTGAATCTTTATATGAGTCGTATTCATACTTGGGCGACGAGCTTTTGGTTACCCTGCCTGCAACCTGTTTCATGAACATATCAGAACTCTATTATGTTGGTATAAAGTTCAACGGCTGGATTTATGACGTTTACATGCGCGCGTCTTGGAGCCCGCAGATAATGATTATTTAAGCATCAGGCGTACCTGAATTTATACGCTTTCCGACGGGGTACTATATATGCGAGAGTGATCCCGTCTCCCATGCTGCTGTCTGCAGAATCTGGAAGACCGGGTTCCAAGTGCCGGTCGGTAACTGAACACTATGACCTCAACGTCCAACATCGAACTCACCCAAACGTTTCACTATTCCACCAATACTCACAGCTACGACGTCCGATGGACATCCCTTGGCGATGAAGTCTTGCCGCCCGTGATATTCGTACATGGCACGCCCTGGTCCTCCCGGGTCTGGCATGTCTATGCACAATCATTGGCCAGATATTTTCACGTCTATCTTTTCGACAACCCAGGGTTCGGCGATAGTCCGCTTGGCAAGCCTCTCCCAAGCAAGGCGGGTAGCATCAGCAAGGAAGTGGCACTGGATGCAGACCTGGCTCAGCAGTCCGAAGTCTATGCCGCGCTGTATCACTCCTGGGAGCAAGAATGGGGTAACAAGAAAGCCCATGTCGTTGCTCATGATCACGGAGGACTGATGAGTCTACGTGCGCATATCCTGCATGGCTGTGAATATGCGAGCTTATGCCTGATCGACGTGGTTGCGATGGGGCCATTTGGGCAGCCTTTGTTCAAGTTGGTGGCGGAGAACGAGGGTGTATTTACTTCCTTGACGCCGACCGTCTTCGAGGGCGTGGTCGAGTCGTATATCCGTGACGCAGCGCACAACCAGCTGAGCAAGGAGACGATGGAGATGCTGAAGCGGCCGTGGGTCAGCAGTGACGAGGGCAAGAGAGGGTTTGTGAGGCAGTTGATGCAGGCGAACAGTCGGAACACCGAAGAGGTCGAGTCGAAGTACGCGGAGGTTGGTAAGAAGTTGCCAATAAGGATCATCTGGGGGAAACAGGATGGATGGCTGCCTGTGGATATCGCGGAGAGGTTGAAAGAGAAGTTAAATGCTAAAGAGGTGGTGTTGATTGATGGAGCTGGACATTTGATCATGTATGATCAGCAGGCGAAGTTGGGAGTCGAGTTGACTTGGTGGTTGAGTCAAGTTCCGAGGTGATTCTTGAAATGAAATCAAAATGAGAAATCGAACATTTTCATATACCTTGATTGATGGCCGATTGACCTGCTCGCCCCTTCCCTTCCCGCATTATAGTCTCGATGAGACGAAACTAAATCTCAATTCTTCTGCCATGTTGCTTACCGCTACTAGTAGCTCCAAGGGTTGGTACGTTACTGTATAGTAACGGAATCTTCTATTCACTTTCACTACAACAATGAGGGAGGTATCATCTTCGATTATTCTGAAACCCGCAACTCACTGCATTTTCACTGCATTTTCACATATTGGCACGAGACTGGTCTCGAAGACATTATTAAACCCTTGAGCCCGCAATGGTACGGTGCAGCTCTGATGGTGCCGGTCATACAGTGCTTCATGGTATCGATCGCTCCATACTGCTATTGTAGTACTAGTACCTCGCTGACTAGTACTAGTGCTGTTGTAGCAAAAGCTGACCATCGTCGCTAGGCAGACCCAGGCATCTCTGAGCCTGGTTTCCATCAATACCTCCGTCACATCCAAAGCGCCCTCGCTACGATACAGTACCGGTCTCAAAACCGCAGTCCACTCCCTCGAGGCCTAAAAGTCAGCCCGTACAAAACACTACCATGAATCATCAGCAGACTCAGCACACATGTGCCTGATTCCGACCAGGCCTCCGTCGTATCTAGACATGCAGGCTGCTGGGATGGACGGCAAAGAGCCATCACAAAGAAAAATGCCTCGAACTCGAGTATACAAAGGCGATTCAAATGCGCGATTCGAGCCGGTCTCGGTCTGCGTTACGCGACCCTGTACTACTGCGAACACGGTACAAGGTCTCAATGTGCTTTCCGCTTGGTCAAAGGTTCATGTCATTCAAATGAATAGTACTGATAGTACTGTACTGCTGCTGACAAGCAGTACGGTTTGGCTTGCGTACTACTACTAGTAGTATGTATTCCTGCTGAGTGTGGGAATACTTCTTCCGACTGCTGCGTCTTCACGAACCTCGAACTCACGAACCTCGACCTCACGAACCTCGACCTCACGAATCGTCCGAATGCCCAGATTTCTTGAAGAGGGGAAATCATCTGTCCTAGCACAAGTTATCGTGGACCTGGTCAACGAAAGTTGCTGAGTACTAGTACAACAGCGCGATGTCGTCGCAACAAATCCGCGTGAAAACTTGGTTTCACACTAACTTATTGCCTTAATACTGTACTACCACAGTACCTCGCCTCGTATATCTCAGCGGGCCAGCTCGAGCCAGCTCCGATCCAGGTCTGATCTGGCCCTGAGCTGGCCTACTCTGATATAGAGCTGGTATCGGGCTAAGCCTGAGCCGAACGCAAGCCACAACGGAGCTTGGGATTAGGTCGCCTGGGACCCAGCTCGAATGTTGGCGACCAGCTCGGTGTCTGGTGGCACGGATACTGGGTACTGGCTGTGCCTCACCGCCTGATGACCCCGCGTCGTAAAGTCTTGCTTGACAGCTCGTTGCCACGGGAACACCAGTCCACATTCTGCACCATGCCTCCTGTGGCATTTCAGATGCTGCTGTTCAATCCAGGCTCGTTGGAGAGGGTTCTATTTCTGCTACCGACAGATCGCGAGGATCAATTATTCGACTCACCCCCAAAAAGTTCGTGCCTATAATTACTATATATCTCTGGATTTTCCATGTATTTTGCTAACTAGAGCCTGCTCCCATACCAATCTTTCATGTAGAGACAATTAGCACACTGTCCTTAATACTACTAGTACATTATGTAGTAGTACACTATACATTAGGATTCGCAATTTTCATCGATTTAATGGTACATAGTACTAGAATTAGGCAGTCCCCAAGATGACAATCCGCTCGTACCGACTGCCACGGTTTCCCTGTGAAATATTGGAATACTATGTACTATAACGTTGCTATGGGCCAGCCCGGGCCGATCCAGGCTGAAATCGAGCTGACCCGGGCCAGACTGGGCCAGAGCTGATTCAGGACTGGTTCGAATCGGTCCAACCCAAATCGATCTGATTCTATCTGGTTTGATCTGGTTCAGATCAGGCTCAGAACCTGCGTAGAACCGATCTGGACCCGAATCTGACGTATTCAAGCTTGGAATAAACCGAATCGGTACTAGTATGTAGTGCTTGGGCCACCGACTTCGCTGCCAGCACATGCAGCTTCATTGCCTGCCCTTGCGGCAAGCCCGCTGCGAGATCGAGCCCAGCTCGAGCTTGCGTCGATTTCGGTGTACTACTGGTATGTATGTATTATAGGTGAGCTAGCTCGATCTGAAGTCGACCTGCAGCAGACCCAGACCGAGACAGCCTGAGCTGTGGCATTCCCAGATCGAGCTGTACTGATTTTGGGCTACACTACACGGATTGACGAGATCGACCTCTCTTCGCAGCTTTGGATAATGTACTGTAATGTGGGGGTAGCGCGACGTATGTTGTAGGAGTCAGGTGCTGCGCGCTTGTGACCTCGAATTTGCACGCTAGAAAATTCAAATTCAAGGTCACTTGTACTACGAAAGAGGAATACAGTACAGTATGTTTGCGAAAGGTGTCAGATGCGAGTTCGTTTGAAACCTCCGATGTCTGCTGCCTAGGAGGAGCAGGAGATCTAAGTACTACTAGTAGTAGGCTAGCAACATATCACCACCATTTCGTCCCAAGACAGTCACTTCTGCAGCGACCCGACAAGCCCACTTCCAGAAAAAGTGGCACAGTCTGACTTTGAGAGCATTTGGAAGCCAATTCGATAGCCAATCTGGTCAGGCTCGAAGGAACGAATGCTTGTGATCATCACAAAGTCCTTCGTATACAGCGTCGCACACATGTAACCCTCCGCCTGGACCGTGCCATCTCGTCTTCTGGAAACTCGCTTGCCGACTCGGCATTGTTTGCTGGTCTTACACACTGGCATTTCTGTCTCAGATCTTTTCTTTTTCCGCTCAAGGAACAGCATTCATTCCTTGGGCTCGATCCCGAATGAATGATCGCGAAGCTGCAATGTCATCACGTCCCTCAGGTCCAAGCCAGATCAGGCGTTCAGGTTCAGAGGACTAGTGCAGGTGAAAGAATTGACCTCTGGAATCTTGAAGGCATCGATCATACCCTGGATGGCCGCATACGCACCGAGTCCAGCGGTTGCGAGTGCACCACCAGCGTGAATGACATGCCAGACATTGATATACCATCGATCTGCGAAAAAGCCTCTGATGTACCGCTTGATACCACTATCGCTGCGTCTCGTCTGGCCGGTCGCCGGATCAAAACCCTCCCCTGGGAGCACGGCGTTCTTCTTCATCGTGTAGGCGAGATGAATGATAGGCGGAAACGAGTAGCTGAATTGAACGATGCAGAACGCAGCGATAACGGAGACGAATCCGAAGTAATCTGGAATTGCAGCGGCAACAACGAAAGCAATGCTCCAGTAGACCGGTACAATCGAGGCGAACAAGTACTTTCCAGCCTTTGATGTAAGAGGCGGAGCATTGAAGATTTCCTGGAGGACTTGGTTGTACAAGACTTTGATACCAATGTTGCCGTAAAGTCCAGCGGCGATCAGCCCCGAGATCACGACGAGCATATCGCAGGCGGCTTGGAACCCGTAGACACTAAGGCCCATATAGGAGATTTCGAAAGCATATTGTCCTTGGAAATGGTAGACGTAGCATCCATAGATCAGATAGACCGCGTAGATGAAGAATTGAGCCAGCCACATGGCTTTGATGAAATCCCAGGGCCGGCGCATCTCAGCCATGATTTCGACGAAAAGTTGAGCTCCGCCGTATGCGAAAACACCAGACATCAGACCGTTGATGGCACCGACGAAATTGCCCGAGTCAGGCATTCCTCCGTAGTGGATGATCGGAGGGTAGACGCCATTAGCATCAGGGGTAATCGTGGTTGCGTCAACAGCCGAGCCCGCGGATCCCAACGTACTGATCCCGTAGTTTGGAGGCGAGTGGGCCATCACCCCCATCGAGATGAATATCACCAAGAGGTTGATGCCCACGGCGACCATCGAAAAGACACCAAAGTTGCGCAGAGTGCGAACTTGGCCCATGAAGAAGCCTGCAATCACAAAGAGGACCACGCACACAGCATAACATAGCCGGAACTTGGAGGTCTGTGAGATGCCCATTCCATTTTGAATGATAACTTGGCCACAAATGAGAAGGAGTTGCAGCGACTGAAGGATGTTGACGACATATCGAGCAACATTGCCCATTGTCCGGTATGCAAGGTCGCCGTAGTTGCGGAGCGGAAACTCGTATGAGTCAAGACCCAGGTAGACTTGCCAAAGGAGGTAGCCAGAATAGCCTGCCATGAAGGCAAAGACGGTGTAAAGGGCAACGCCGGGACCCCAGCCGAGAGTTCCAAGGGCAAAACCAACTCCGTATGGGCCAAGAATATCTGTGGTGATGAGGTAGAAGCCGGCGCCCCAAGTTGCTGTTCTTAGAGCGCGTGCAGCCTGTCGCCATTCCTCTTCAGGGACCATGGAATGTCTAGACAAGAAGCTCTTCCGACGTGGTTGATCGTCCGCTCCGGGGGAAGGTGTGATTTGCTTCTCTTGAAGACCAGGCGAACCAATTCCTTCCTCACTCGTGGCGCCGTCATGGTGCGTTGTCCCTGGTGGAAGAAGTGTGGCTGATTCTCTTCGGAAAACCTGTTGCAAAAGACCCCCTTGAGGAATGTGCTGCTCGGCTTCCTCCTCAGCTCTTGTGTGCTTGGCATAGTGCATGTATTCCTCAAATGTGACGTTTGAGTCATAGAGTTTCCTGTGCATAGGGCTAATGAACGTTGTTGGGCGATCAGGATCGGTCGGCTTTCCGCCATCGACAGCGTCTGCCAAAGACATCTTTGCGCCTGGTGAATTACCTGATGAATGGCTGGCAAGGCTCGGTCACTCGCTACAGGGAAGGTCGCGATGGAAGGGAAAATTGATCTGAGAACAAAGTGAGAACAAATTGAGGGAAGGCTGCATTGTAGAAGTCGCGAATACCCGGTTGGGATATCCCGGGCGCCCTTCCATTCCGTAACGGTCGAAGGAGGGGGGTGTTGATCAATGTAACCATGCCGCTGCTGGATGAACGAGATCCCTGTACCAGGTATGTTATTGTGAGGTGATGGTTCCCAAAAGCAGTTAGACATCGAGATTATTAGGGATGATGCAGGATGGCGATAAGAAAGCCTGGGGCAGGTCTTTTTGATTTTACCAATGGAATCCATACAGGGTCAAGCTTTAACCAAGCAAAACGCCTTCCGAGGGAGCTACGACCGCCCACAAAGCCTATAATGATCCTCCACAACCTCAAAATGGGATTCGTCTGTCATACGATACCCAGCTGGCCTTCCGAGAGATCCTATCTCTTGCAACCCTACATTTATATCCAGTAATTCCAAGGACTCTTCGATTTATCATCCCTCGTGGTAGGCAGCAGGCTGAACAATCCAACCGAGGATGCAACAAAGATACGGTGAGGCTATTTCGTGACTCAGTGCGGAAGATTTCCCTCAAAGGTCGTCGACATGGGCCGTGGTGCTCCAGGCTTTGTAGATTGGGCCACTGGTTCGCCGCACAACAAAGGCATGTACTGTGTTATATGCAAGATGGATCCCAGCCGCCGTGGCAAGTGAAGACATGTGGATACTGGTAGCCTAATCTTCCTCGCACCTTTCGAGAACTTCGTATGAGATGGCCCCCGAGGCCAAATTTCGGCTTTGCTCGTCGAGAAGCTCTTGTTCTGAGAAATCAGTGGAGCACATGACATGATATGCTTGGATACGAGAAGCAAGGTCCCACAACATGGTTATCCAGGCACAAGATCTCAGGCGGCTTCACCGTTGCGCCATGACTGCTTCAGCACTGACCTACCAGCAACTTTTGTGCACGACGGGCGGGCGACCTCCCGCGCGGATGTGGCGAGATGAAAGCCTTGACGTTCATGGCCCTTGCGCTTCAACAGTCCGGCCCGGCAAGGTTTCATTCATCAAGACGTAGCAGCGTAAGCCATTGCCCAGAGGAACGCAACAGACGTGGCAAGAATAGACATACGTTGAAGTAGCAATGTATATGGTGATATCTGACGGTCGGAATGAGTCATTTGTGATCAATTCAGGCAAGACCTCGACACTGCATAATGGTCCATTGTTTGCGAACTCGCACCAGCTCATTCATCATTTCCTGATTCCCAAGGAGTCTTTCAGGCCACCATTCGGGTTGATGTCTTGCCTGCGGAGGTCGCTCGCTGGACCACTCAAGGGAGCAGGATCCCTCATTGAAATGTAGAAAGTGACATGCTCACTTCACGGGACGCGACGATCCCGTTATGCCTCTGATACGAATACGGTTTGTCAGTGTGCGGCATATCAAACACCCATGATGGGAAAGATGGTCAGCGTGAGATCTGACATCGCGTCTCTGAAGCTTATGTGGTGGATGGAGTAGGTTTGAACTAGAATCAAATCGCGTCGTCTCTGGCCGGAGGGCGCTTCGGCTGCCGAAGTTGAACAACGTCAACCACAGTCACACAGCACAGCAATCCGTCTGGCCTGCATGAAAACTGGAGAGAATTCAATGCAGGGCTGTGATTGAAGATCTCAGAAGACAATGCAATAATTGTATGTACGGCTTGCTCCGTACTTTTACTCCACTAGGGAACGATAAGCGATATGGCATGGAGTTTAGCGCAGCAAGTACTACTATCACATTTCTCGGCAATAAGCAGAGACTCCTTAGCACATCCCTTGCCTACTCCTGTCACGATGGGATCTATGCAAGGAGAAGGTGGCCTAAGTCAGGACACTATCATAGTACAATTTCCTGGCGACCCCAGACAAAAAGTCATTGCCGAGCTTGAAGCCAAATTTCCTGGTCTCAAAGTCCATTGGCAAAATGTGGTATCAGGCTCAGATTTACTTCCACAGGAGGTTTGGGACAATGTCACCATCCTATGGACTTTTGACATCCCCAAGGTGACCTCCTTGCCAAAGCTGCGTTTTGTGCAGATGCTCTCAGCGGGAGCAGATCACTGGGCGGAAACGCCGTTTTACAAAGATCCCAATGTCATCTTTTGCACTGCCAATGGTGCCCACCCGTAAGTCACTCTATCACTAAGATGACACGCCAACGACAGCTGATGTCGATGTCATACAAGACCTCAAATCGCAGAATGGGTGATAGGGACGTGGCTATCACACCAGCATCAGTTTCCAAAATATGCTGCTCATATGAAGGAGGGCTACTGGGAGCCTATGCACGAAGCGCCACTCTTTCAGGACTCCTGGAGCCTTCGAATGTGAGTTGACTTGTTGAGCTACAATGTTTAAGATTTAACACTTTCGCAGGGGCATCTTGGGATATGGAGCGATTGGCCGTCAGTGCGCCAATGTTGCAAAGGCCCTGGGTATGGATGTGGTCGTGTTCACTGCCCGCGAGAAACCTACTCCAGAATCGCGCAAGGATGACAGCTATTGCGTACCCGGTACCGGCGATCCGGACGGTCTTATCCCTTCCGAATGGTTTCACGGGAGGACAAAGGAGGACATCAACAACTTCTTGGACCAAGATCTAGATCTTCTGGTGATATGCCTACCATTGACAGCGTCTACAAGGAACATCATCTCGCGACAGCAGTTCGAGATACTGGCGAAGAAGAAGACGTTTTTGAGTAACGTTGGGCGCGGTGGTCATGTCCAAACCGACGACTTGATCGAGGCATTGGAAAAAGGCATGATCCGCGGCGCTGCCATGGATGTGACAAACCCGGAACCGCTACCGGAAGACCATCCATTGTGGAAGGCTCCAAACCTCTTCATCACTCCACACGTGAGTTGGATGTCAGTCAATCACTTCAGCCGCATCCTACACATTTTCGAACATAATCTTACGGCGCTGGGCAAAGGCGACGGATTTGTGAACAAAGTCAATAAGGAGTTGCATTACTAGCAGGGCCACCGCATTCAATCACTTGCATTTAGATGGAGCAAGGATGGGCTTTATTGGCAAACAGGCAAACACATAGACTCTGCGTTGACGTTGAAGAAGGACGGACAGGTGTTGGAGAAAGCATCGGAGAAAACTGACCGATGCCTCGGCGTTCATTGGTTAAAGACGTCATGCTAGAAGTGACCATCCTTCGTGATCACTCTGGTTCATTGCAACTCCCTACATGATCATGATCATGACCGTCAATGTGCAAAAGCCATAGATTCTGATCAATATGTCTACCGAATTGCGGAGGCAGGTCATAAACATATACAAAGGTCAATCATTTGATGGTCCCCCAATTTACCCCCTCACAGAAGCTGATGGCTATACAGAGCTCCTGGAGATGGGCAAACACTACCCACTAGGTTATGAATACTTTCAGCCACGCCTACACAAAGCATTCATGTCCAAGGCCCACATCAAGGACGAAGAAGAGATACGTCAAGGCATCAAGCGAGCGGAATTCGTCAAGAAGGAGATTGAAGCCCTTTACTTTCTCAAAAAGTACCGATCCATGAAGCACCGTTATTCGTAAAAAGTGTGTATCACAGCTATTGCAACATTTCCTTTGCGACAATGTCTTGCAAAGGCAAAACGGCCGGAACGCATTCCAAATCCAGTTCTTCTAATGCTCCCGCAACCACCAGTCGTCTGCAGAGGACCGCTTGGCGCTTCCAGTCGACACGATGGGATGGTCTGGATCTCAAGGAATGGTACAGCTTCTAGAAAGTGGCTAAGGTTCTCCAGCACACGCATCGTCAATACAGACGGTGTAGCACCATGTCACCTCCTGAGCATCCAAACGTCCAAAAAAACGATGGTGCCTGCGAGGTTAGTGTGCTGAAGGACTACAGCACCTGCCGTCGGACGAGCTGCCCCCGGAAATTTACGTTGAGAAAGCCTGACAGAGGCCAAAAATCGGCCCTGAAGTCCAGTATTTTCATGGCACAGGATGTTTCGTCAAAGTCTTGGATTAGTAGGGAATACAGTGATGGAAAGCGTGTTACTTCGAGTTCGGTTGTAATAAATTGACGAGGCTGACGATTCACTAAAACATTGCCAAGAAAATAGAGGCTGGTACAAGGCTGTCGAATAGCGAATGGCGATTTACCCCCAAGTGAAGTGCCGCTGCCCTCTGATTCCGCTGAGTCCTGACCTTCTGCTGCACCTTGCAAAAGACCAAGCAAAACTCATTCTCAATTCACTCGCTCACTTAACATCTCCATTGATATCTGTGAGTATATCACTTTCAATATTCAGTCGACCACCAACAAATACCCTTGGCCTGATAACACCTGTCACGGGCCCTAACCCCGAGCGCCAACTGTCTTCAAAGCTTCGAGCCGCACTCAATTCCATCATTGCGACCTCAGATCTACCCACCACCCCCAGATCCACGCTTTGGTGCCTCTCTACTGATCTCGACCTCTGCACCGCCTGGCTTTCGACATCGAGCTCCTCAGAAAGGATCTCATGTGTAACAAACGAAGACTTTGCTCCTCCACCCGATCCTCATTCACTCATAACGCCCTGCGTACCCCTCCGCTCCTGTCGCGCCGTCGATTTCTCGTTCGGACTCGAGCACAGTCAAGTCAACAAGATCTGCCACGTTAAATGGCAGATGGTGCATTCCGGTTCCATCAGCCTGGGGCCGGGCAATTCTACCCTGCGCAACACACTACCCATCGTAACCAAAACCGAGCATCCTCACCTTCAGGCCGAAGACCATTCAGCAACGACACGCCGTCGCCTTCACGATCGCCCGTAAATCCTTCCATTGCTCACAATTTCAACATGTACTCGCAGAATGGATATCAAGGTCAACATGGAATGATGAACGGTGCGCAGAGTCACCAGCGGCATGGAAACATTCACATACCAAAATACCAGCCACCTTACCATACACAACACCACGTGAATCAGCATCATGGACAACACCAGCATGGGGCGCATTTGGGTCATCAGCAGAATCTCTCACAAGGCGGTTATCAATCCTCTACACCCCACCTTCCTTCCTACGCGCACGAACATCTCCAGAATGGGAATGGCAACGGAACGCCTCACGATGATGCGGACGAACCAGACAATGAGCACTGGCGGGAACAGAAACAGTACTGGGAAGAAAGCAAAGATCTCAACGGGCCTAATCAGCGCGCACGTACGGTTGCACACCACTCGAAGGGCGTCAACTATGTGCCATTGGGAGCCGCTGCTGAGGATATGTCAACGGACATCACGCGAAATACGACAACTTCCGGCAACGGTGCAGGCAGACAAACCTGGGATGAGCTTGATCTAGGCGGCCAGGGCCTGTGTGCACTTTCTCCCGTGCTGTTCCACACTTCGTACCATTTTCTCAAACGACTCGACCTTGTATATAATCAGCTAGAGACACTACCACCGGAGATTGGACGCTTGAAAGGCTTGGAGCACCTCGACGTTTCCTTCAATCAACTCACCGAGCTGCCCGAAGAGATAGGAATGTTGACGAATCTCAAACAACTCCTGCTCTTCAACAACCACATTCAAACACTCTGTTATGAACTCGGATTCTTGTACAAATTGGAAGTACTTGGTGTTTATGGCAATCCGTTGGAACAAGGGCAACGCGACAAAATCACTGAAGGCGGAACGAGAAAGCTGATAGAACATTTGCGAGAGAGCATGCCAGGTTTGTCATTCCTCAAATTCTCGTGTGAATGTTTGCTAACCACGAGACAGAGCCTCCACCTCCTCGAGAAAGAGAGTGGCATCAACTGGAGGAGGTTTCTGACGACGATCCTTCGCAAGATACGATCAAAGCATTGAATTACAACATTCTGTGCGACCGTTATGCCACGCAACAGCAATACGGCTACGTTCCGGAACGTGTACTGACTTGGGGCTACCGCAAAACACTCATCCTTGAAGAGATCCGTGAAATAAATGCCGACATAGTGTGTTTGCAAGAATTGGACCGAACCTCTTATGACGAGTTCTTCCGTGGCGAATTGTCGATCTCTGGATACAAAGGATATTTCGCACAGAAGGGTCGCGCCGAGACTCTGGGCGAGCTGGCCAAGTTCGTTGACGGCTGCGGCACGTTCTGGAAGGATAAGAAGTACATGGTGTTGGACACCCAACATCTCGTACTTGGTAGAAAGGCAGTCGAACGACCAGGCGCAAAAGCTTCTGCGGACATGTTGAACAGAGTCTGGCAAAGAGACGATATTGCCACTGTTGTGTTCTTGGAAAACCGCGTGACAGGGTCTCGAACTATCGTCGTCAATGCCCACATCTACTGGGATCCAGCCTACAAAGATGTGAAACTGATTCAAGCGGCCGTCCTGATGGAGGAGCTTTCGAAACTGGCGGACAGATACGCGAAGTTCCCACCTGCGACGAACAAGCAAGCGTTCAGATTCTCAGATGCCGAAGACGCTCCTCTCCCAGATCCTGGACCATCGTTATCATACACCAGCGGTCCTCAGATACCGATGATCATCTGTGGAGATTTCAACTCAGGATCGGGATCAGCCGTTTACGACTTGTTTACGAAGAAGGGAATAATTGCTGAACATGCCGATCTGGATGGTCGCGACTATGGTGCATTCTCACGCGCTGGAATGTCACATGCGTTCACCTTGAAATCATCGTACGGAGCCATTGACAACGAGATGCCCTTCACGAATTACACACCGTCTTTTGTCGACGTCCTGGACTATATCTGGTACTCCAGTACTAGCCTGAGGGTGGTTGGTCTTCTGGGCGCTATCGACCCGGAGTATCTGAAGCGGGTTCCTGGCTTCCCTAACTTCCATTTCCCAAGCGACCATATCGCAATAGTGTCTCAATTCAAAGTCGAGAAGCAGAGAACAGCACAAAAGGCTGTCGAAGCTGACTTCGGACCCTCGTCCGGCAAGAAATAGCGTCTTCTAGCCAACTACATGCCAGATTGGAGGGGAGGCTCACCGCCTTGCTGTGCTGCCGTTATCGATAAGCATCGCTAAGATGGGAGGTTCGACAGGGTCGGCGACAGAACAGGAACAGACTGGATGGCCGTTGGGACAACGTCTTTTTGGTGTGGAGAGCGACCTGACTGACAAACAATTCACATTCCACGAATCTTCTCTGTACTCTTTGTTTCTCCGCTCTCCGCAATCAGCCGTCTACCAATGGGCGTCTTCCTCAACCACGGCACGAAAACGGTGTCAGCATCTGTTTGGAGTTCACGGACTGGGCGAGGTCGTGTGTGAGGTATCGGAAATGGAACGGGATGTGAAAACGAGCAACGTTGTGGTGTGGGCAAGTACTACTTTATGGGGAGGCAACCGAGTATATCGAACAAGGATGGAGTCCATGTGTGCTGTCTTCTCGGGGAACTGTCTTTGCATGTATGCTATGACTTTTGTTTGCTTAAGTCACTTGGATGGACATGGAATCAAGACGGTTGTGCACCTTTCATTCCGTGCATGATAAGCCTTTAGCATGCTTAACAACCTGTGCCGTGGACACAAATACTCTCTACCTTGGTGCTTCCGTCACAGCGACTCCTGTCTCTCCTGGTATGTTGGATGTCTTTAACGTCGTCATCCAGGCCTCCGTATCACTCAAGTTATTAGTGATGATTGCATCTGTGAATTCATACCAGTGTGCCACGCTTCATCATCGTGCAAGCTGCACGTCGTGATCGTCGTGGTCATTAATATGGCCAAGCGTGCCACGTTACTGTCTGTATCATCGTCGAATACCTGGTCGAAGTCTTCCACAATCAAGAGTAGTTTGCAATGTCAAGAACACAAGTGTCGTTGACAATGCTACTCCTCGTGCTGCCGACATCGCTTGTGGGTCGTTTCATTCCGTATGAAGCGGCCACCACCTGGCATGTGTTTCGCCTTTGGACGTATACATGATGTAGAGCAGATTCAAGACCAACATCCCTTGTCGCATGGGCCTTCCTGGTTTTAAGACCTGCCGAATCTGTGTGGCCGTAGAAACAGTCAGACTCTCATCTCTTCAATCCTATCTCTTTCTTAATCTGCTCTTCCTCGGCCTTTTCGTGCTGTGACTTGTGCAGGTCTTGGATTTTGCGCTCAAGCTGGATCTTCTGCGTCATCAGATGTCCCCGCTTCGTCTCAAGAGTCTGAATGGGCTTGCTGTAGTCTGTCGGAACTGGTTGCCCCTGCTGTGTCTGTGCCTGCTGGTGTCGGGCCTGCATTCATGCACACTGTCAGATCATCTGTCCCAGGCATTCGACGCTTGGTGCAGGGTAGGAATTCATATATACCTTTCCCGTCTCCTCTTGCTCGCTCATCTTCAGGATTGCCCCGATCAGGGCCCCCGACCCAGCTATGCCAGCAATACCGAGAGCGTAGACCAACGGCTTGAACTTACGGCCTCCGGGCGCATGGTTGGCGGCATCTTGAGCGGCCTGGAACCGTTGTGGAGGAGCTGGTGTCGCCGCAGGTCTAGGTGGCAGACTTGGGCGTGGACGAGGTGGTTCCATTCTATGTGGGCGCGGCCATCTATATGGCTTGTTCCTCGCGACGGAACCGCAAATCTTCACGCACCACACAGGTAAGTAATGCAGGGCATCTTCGAGGAGTAGATGTCGGCACCGCGGTCTCGCCGCAAAAACTTTAAAGCAGCACATCCACATAGTCGATGAGCGTGTCCACGTGACCGCCAATCTGTTCTCTGGGGACGACGCGCCTGCACTCGCTCCTCCTGTTCAGCCCGACTCCGAACATTGCTCTGATACTGTAGACAAAGCCTCGCCAAACTACACGCAGTCTGTCCAGCATGGCGGACGAGCCCGGCACCCTCAACTGGCGCCTCAGTGACCACCCCATCACCCTCCTCACATACTTGGGCTTTCGGATAGGTACGCGCAACTACTCCTCAGTGCAGACAACCACGTCTCCTCCGACGAACTGACACAGCACAGGCAGTCTACTAATGTACCTTTTCGGCGTCCTATTCATCCGCAACTTCGTCCTCGTCTTCATCCTCACCCTACTTTTGTTGTCTGTCGACTTCTACTACCTCAAGAACATCGCTGGCCGGCGCCTCGTGGGCCTACGATGGTGGAACGAAGTCAACACCTCAACAGGCGACAGCCACTGGGTCTTCGAGTCCGCACCACAGGAGGGCCGTGACCAGAACAAAACGGACAAACGCTTCTTCTGGCTGAGCATGTACATCGTGCCCGGCCTGTGGGTAGCGCTGGCCGTGCTCGCGCTCGTCAGGCTACAGAATCTGATTTGGTTGGTCACGATTGGTACGTTTACTGTGCAACTTTTGGACTACCCATAACGCCGTTACTGACACAAATCCCAAGCTATCGCATTGGCGCTGACCATTACAAACACCGTTGCTTTCTCCCGCTGCGACAAGTTCAGCCAGGCTTCGAGTTTTGCTGGGACTGCGTTCATGGGTTCGGGTATTGCGAGGAATTTGGCGAGTAATATGGTGGGACGGTTCTTTAAGTGAGAGATGGAATGTTGCTCGTGCCGAGGAAGATCGGGGTGAAAGAACCAGGGCTGTATGTTTGTTCGACGAAAACAATATAATGCCGGGCAGCCTTTCTCAGGCTCGTGTTTTGGAAGCCGCTTCCTCTCTCGACACTACATGTACCAGCTCCCCAAGCAAGACCGCTCCAGCAAGGATCCTGCAGCGCTCCCTATGCTGCCTGGATATACGTTGGTCCAAGAAGGGCGAAGACGGTGCATACAGGATGTTCGTGTATGCTTGGTCCGGTAGCACAAAAGCAACCTGTCATACGTAAACTTTAGAAGGTCGACCTGGAGCTGTATTAGTTCATGTACGGGAGAAAGCATAGCCGCTGGGCAACTTTTCAATTCCTCAGCCAGTAGGCGGCCTATACTATACAAGAAGAAGAAGGCCCCCTTACACTAGGCCTTGTTCCCCTTTTCCGGCGTTCTTTTGCTCCTGCAGCAGTCCGTTTTCCATATCTTGGAACGGTCCAAGGACTTTGCCATATTTCTCCCATATCTCAGCATTGTACCCGTCAGCGATCTTCTCCACAAACTCTTCCTCACGCCACCTCTTGCCGATGAGTTCCTCAAATGTCTCGCCCTTGGCCCGTTCGATCGCCCAGACGGCTTTGTACGCTGCACCCAGCGCGCATGCATTCTCGCCGACGTCAAGCTTGAACACACCTTCCGAGCCGCCGAGCACTTCGCCCGCGACTTTCGCGATAGCCTTGTTTCGGCTGCCGCCGCCAACCATGTACACTCTGCGTGGTTGAGGTGGTAACCCCTTACCAGGCGACGAGACAAGCTCTTTTGAGCGCAGCCGCAGCGACAGGAACTGTGACTCGACTATGACTCGGGCATCTTGCTCTGGGGACTGTGGCACACTTCGGACGCTCGACAGCTTATTCGCTTCTAGGTCGTATGTGAAGTGCCACTCGCCGACAGGCAAGGGAGGGATGATTTCTGGTCGCGGGAAATATAGGCCTAGATGAGCAGACTTCGAAGGGTCTCCCTGTGCAAGCGGCGGCGTAGACAATAAATGCTTGTCGAATTCCGTCCAAGAACTTTTATCTGACACACCCGCCTTAGCATTGATGGCATCGCGGACCTTCTCTCGTGCTAGGCCACCGTTCTTGTAGCACAGCATGAACATGTACAGTCGTGGTGTTGTGGGCGAGTTGAAGAAATGTGTGGCTGGATCGGGTTTGTATTCCTGGGTGGACATGAGAAACGTTGTCGACGTGCCGAGTGAGACAATTGCGTCGTTGGAACGGAGTGGTAGTGCGAGGATAGTTGACGGATTGTCTCCTGTGGACGCGACAACTGTGCAGTCCTCGCTGAATCCGTGACGGCGTACAAAGTACTTTGAGACGGTTCCGAGATGAATACCGCCGTCCTCAGGAACGTCACCCAACTTCTTTTTTAGTGCATCCACGCCAGACGGACCAGCCGCCAATTCGAGCAGTTTCTCATTCCACTTCCCAGCCTTGATGTCCCACAGGTTCATGCCACAGACGTCCGAGATGTCGAACGGTGCAAACTTGCCCAGAAAGATGGTCGCGATCCAGGATGAAACAAGAGTGATTTTATAGGTCTTAATGTACTTGTCCGGGTAGTTCCGCTGAAACCGCAGTATCTGAGGCCCAGTAAAGCGGTGGTGTGCTTTACTTCCAGTTGCATGAGCTAGTTGTTGTTCGCCACCGAGAATGGCATCGAACTCGTCGCACTCCTTCTGTGTGCTTGCATCTTGCCAGTTGGGGCTGTAAGGATGGGCGAAAGCACCATCGAGCTGTGATTGCAGTGTCTTGTCCGAATCTAGTTGACTTAGCAACTGCTCGGCATCTGCGTTCCAGAACACGCTGCCATGCTGCATCCCTGAGCCGCTGATGCCCTTCACTTGTTTGAAGTCGAGACCATCGTCCTTCAGTCTCCCCAGTAAAGTGTCGATGGCCTGCAACCACATTGCCACAGGGGCGAAAACTTCATGTTCAGCTTCATTGACCAATACCCCTTTTTGTACACCGAAACCCTTGGAATCAGCGTCGAAATCAAACTTTGCTTCATGGACCTTTTTGAGACTGCTGTCCACGACCAGCCCCTTTAGTTGCTGGGTGGACAAGTCGAAGCCCAGATACAGAGGTCCCGAGGATGTCATGGCCGATGTTGACGCACAATCCAGGTTGACAGCAAGCCCAGACTGTGTTTCGTGTAGGTCGGTTGCAGCTTGTATAAGAGGTAGCGAAACCTTCGAGGATGTTATGGCTATGATCGAATAAGGTGGGGAAATACGTGGTTCCGGTGGTCATCTTGGCAGTATGATATCAGCCTGAAATCGATCTGTCGATGTGGTGGAGCGGACTGACCACCGAACATTCCGAAAAGGTCCACAGAGGATCCAGAGAGCAAGAAAACACGTCTCTATGCATCTTTCTTGGTCTTGGATGTCGTTGGCGCATAGCCATTGGGATGCTGATGACCGTCACCTCTGGCGTGCGCCTTGCCGTGATCATGGTCATGATCGTGGTCATGATCCCGTTCGTCCTCTGGCTCTGGACTGCTTCTAGGACTGACGTCTGGGTCGATAAAGTCGCTGGCAAGCGTGATCTCAGTATCATCCACAGGGACAAACTTGACTCGAACACGTCGGACTCCCCGTACTTTGGAGCCTGCCCTTTCTCGGACGGCTTCCTCGATGTTTTCCATCTGTTGCAGCGTGAAGTCTTTCGGGACGCCCAACTCAATATCCACAAGGTAATTCTGACCAGATTTGGTACCCTGGATATCTCTGATCTTTGTCTCGTTTCCAAAGTCGACAGCTGCGATGCCTTTGGCCGAGTCACCTTGCAGCGCTCGAGTGACGGCTTTCCGTACCGCAGACTTGACATCGTTGTCCACCGTGATATCGGCCAATTCAAGCAGAGCAGCCTTGGTGTTGCTCCAGCCAGCTCTTATGACCATGGCCGAGATGATCAATCCTCCGACAGGATCCAACCATGAAGCGTCAGTGAATACATGTGCTCCTCCGATAGTAGCAAGAGCTACTATGCTCGTCAGGGAGTCGATTCGGTGATGGACGGCGTTCGAGGCAAGAACTGCGGACTTGCGTTCTCGGGCAATCTTCATGGCTGGTAGACGTTAGTATACTTGACAGACGGCTTGTGGTGTGTCACCTACTAGTACGGTACAACCACTCTTTGACGATAATCGACCCTCCAGCAAGCCATGCAGCATTGAGGTCAGGTACGCCTCCATGGCTATGACTGTGACCAAGGAATCCAAACAAGCCAGATGAATGTTCGGCATGGTCATGCGCGTGCACAGCCGCTGCGTCAACGACGAACTGCGAGTACAGCACATCAAGAGCGTTGAATCCAATGCCAATCCCGCCAAACAACAAGAGACCACTGACGCCCAGGGCACCCAAGCTCTCAACCTTGCCATAGCCACTCGGGAAGCGTGACGTTGCGGGTCGTAAAGACCAAGATATAGTTGCCAGCGTCATAAAGTCAGACACGAGATCGGTCAGCGCATGGAAACCATCCGCAATCAGTGCTTGAGAGTTGAAGACGTAACCCCCTATTCCTTTGCCAATGGCCATGCCCAGGTTCACAAACAGTCCTATTCGTGTGATTCTGACTCCCGCATCATTTTTATTCTTGGACGTCAGATACTCTGAGCCGTGGGCATGTCCATGTCCATGAGAGTGTCCTGCATGGCTTCTGGACTGCGTAGTCTGGGTAGTCGACATTAGGAAGGGTGAACGGTGAGCACCAACGGACGAAAGTGCAGGGAGCGTGGTCTTCGAGGGCTGCAGGATCGCAAATGAGGATCTATTGGCGCTATAGCTGCTTGCTAGTCTGCATGTTTTCGTAAAGAGCTTTTGGCTGGGATTGAGATGCTTTCTTAGGCAAGGGGACATGTGTCGCGTTTCAGCGCGGAGGAAATGCGTCAGCGGCATCTGGGGCTGGAACGCGCAAGCGAAAAGGAAAAAGGAAGGAACGACCTCCAACAGGAAGGCGAGTCTGCAAATCGTAAACTTTGGAATTCAACCCATATTGTTGTTGCGGAGCATGATCGAGCTGTGCTGTGACCGCTGTCGTGGACTGCGACCCGGACTATACGTAATAGACAGTTAAACAGAAAATTTTAGGCGTGAGCACGCGTTTCAATAATGTCGGGTTCTTGTATGGCTGTCGCCTCTATTTCCGGTGGGGAGTTCTGGGGTTGCGACCGTGCCCAAAGCGCTCCCTAAGCTGCCTTCCAGCTTGGCGATGTATCTCACTTCAGATGTCCGTCGCCGAAGTCCCTGCCTTGCCTAACACCTAAGGTATGGGAGCACACAACGCGAGACCTAGAAGGATCGTCATGTGAATGCTGGGATATGATCGCAGATCATCAATGTTGAAAACGGTATCACAGCGGTTGTACAAAAGACCTCCTAACACATGCTCGACCTCCTTTAGCCTTCCAGTTTCAACCTCTCGAGGTCCTTGATGGCCTCCTCTAATCTTGTCACTTCGCTTTCTGCATCCTCGAGCTTCTCTTTTTCCTTTTGTCTCGTCTCTGGGTTTGCCTTTTCCCAACCAGCTGCGCTCATGATCTTCTTACTCTTTTCCACGCGAGCTTTGGCATCTTCAATACTCTTCTCACGCTTCTTGAATTCCTCCGTGAGGTCAATCTTCCCTGCAACTTTGAGGTACACGGCAGCTTCAGCGTTAATACTTTGCAGCGCACAGCCAGCAGGTGGAAGCGACGCTGCGTTAGGAGCCAAGACTTCAATATCGCCGGCGTATTTCCCACCAAGGGACTTGAGAGATGTGCGTTCGTCGGACGCAGTCTTGAACGCAGCTTCGGAGTAGGTCTGGATGATAAGATCTCCAGGCTCTTTGAAGCCGTATTGAGAAAGCAGACTCCGTATGCCGGTTGCAATGGCCATGATGAACTCATACTTTTCCGCTTCTTTGGGATTATCCAGCTTCTCACTGTATTCTGGGAATTTGGCGATCATGATACTTTCGGTAGAGTCTCCCTTGCGTCGAGGCAGCTTCTGCCATAGGTGTTCCGTCAAGAAGGGCATCAGGGGATGCATCAGTAATAATCCGCTTTCCAGTGTGGTGTACAGTGTTTGCTGAGCAGACTTTCTCTCGTCTTCGGGAGCCTCGGGAGTGAGGATGTATTTCGAGTTTTCGATGAAAGTGTCACAGAGCTGGGTAAACCAGTATTGATATAGTGTGCCGGCGGCCACGGAGAAGTCACGTCCTTCAATCGAGTCGTTGACTTCTTTGGCGGCAGCGTTAAGCCTGTGAAGGATCCACTTCTCCGCGAGTGATTTCGGCTCGTTGTCTATCGGGGTGGCATCTGGCACAAAGTCTTCACCAAGTCTGCCCAGGGCGAAATTGGTGGCTTGGTAGATTTTGTTGCAGAATCTTCTCTTGGCCTCGATTTCCCGGATGTCAAAAGCGATATCTCCTCCACCAGTGGTATAGTTGACCAGCGTGAAGCGTAGGGCGTCCGCTCCGCACTCCTCGATGCCCTTCGGGAATGCCCCTTTTTGATAGGCCTTAGCCCGTTCGACCTCTGCTGGATCGAGGTTACCATTGTACAGAGTCTTGTGGAGATCTTCCAATGTGATGCCTCTGATGATGTCCAAAGGATCCACCACGTTGCCTAAGGACTTTGACATCTTTCGTCCTTCTGCATCCCGAATCAAGGAGTGACAGTATACCTCAGTGAACGGCACATCGCCTGTTAGCTTCAATCCAAGCATTACCATCCTGGCTACCCAGAAAAACAAAATATCCCATCCAGTCTCGAGCATAGATGTGGGATAGAGCTCCCGCATATCTGTTGTCTCTTTGGGCCAACCCAGGGTTGAGAAGGGCCAGAGACCGGACGAAAACCAGGTGTCGAGCACATCTTCGTCCCAATGTAAAGTGAACTTCTTGCCTGGGAATTTCTTTTCCGCCTTCTTGCGAGCTTCCTCCTCGTCTAGTGCGCACACCCAGAACTTATCATCAGCCTCATCACTGCTTTCACCCTCAAGCTGGACATAGTATGCCGGGGCCCGGTGACCCCACCAAAGCTGTCGAGAGATACACCAATCTTGAATGTTTTGCATCCAGAAATGGAAACGTTTGGCTTCTGATTCGGGTTTAATCAGGATCCTACCATCAAGCACGGATTCATCTGCAGCCTTCGCCATCTCGGTCATCCTCATCCACCATTGAGGTTTCAACACTGGTTCGATAACGTCTTTGCTCCTCTGGCACATGGGAATCGTCATGGCATTGTCCTCCTGTTTGGTATAGAGATCGAGCTCTTTCAGAGCATTAATGATCTCGTATCGAGCATCAAATCGCTTGTGGCCGGCATATGGGCCTGCGTTTTCATTCAATGTGCCGTCATCGTTCAGAATGTTGATGAATTCCAAGTTGTGCTTTCTGCCCTTGTTGAAATCGTTAAGGTCGTGTGCTGGCGTAATCTTCACAGCACCAGTACCGAAGTCCATCTCCACCTCCTCGTCTGCAAATATGAGGATCTTGCGATCCGGGATGAATGGGTGGATGGCGGTCTTGCCGTGCAGGTGCTGGTATCTCTTGTCATTGGGATGCACAGCAATACCAGTATCACCAAGCATAGTCTCAGGACGTGTTGTTGCGATCTCGATGAACTCGTAGCCTTTGAACCGATCAGGTGACGTGGACGATTTGTGCGAGTCGTCTCCCTTGCTTATCGGATATTTGAAGTACGTGAGCACACCAAACTCGATCATCTTGTCGTAACCTGGCACTTTCAATTTGGTGCGTCCCTTCAACTCCTTGTTATCAACTTCGAGATTGGACAAAGACGTGCTCAGAGCGGAACACCAATTCACGAGGCGGTTGGCTCTGTAGATACTGCCTTCTTCATACAGATCAACAAAGGTCTTGCGAACGGCAAGAGAGAGGTTGTCATCCATCGTGAAAGCCTCTCGCGACCAGTCCATGGAGCCTCCCAACCGCTTCAGCTGATTGGTGATGTTCGCATGGTATTTGTCTTTCCAAGCCCATATCTTCTCAAGCAGAGCTTCACGGCCCAGCTGATGCCGAGTCTTACCTTCAGTCTTAAATACCATCTTTTCTACCACACTCTGTGTTGCGATACCGGCATGGTCACAGCCAGGAATCCATGCGGTTGTCTTTCCCTTCATCCGCGCATGTCGGATCATCGTGTCTTGAAGAGCATTCGTGAGAGCGTGTCCCATATGTAGAGAGCCGGTGACGTTGGGAGGAGGTATAGGAATGACGAATTTGCCCTCTGGTTTGACCTTGCCATCTTTTGTAAATTGCGGCTTGAAGTAGCCTCTGCTCTCCCACCACTCGTATCGGTCAGCTTCGATTTTCTGGGGTTCGTAGGCGTCGACAGCGGTAGGTTTCTTGACCTTCTCCTTCTTAGGTGCTTTCGAGGTGGTTTCCGGTGTCGGGGCTTGCTTTTTCTGCTTCTCTTGGAATTTGGCTAGCTTTTCGGCTTTCTTACGTTCTTTCTCAACTGTGAAGAGCATAATAGTCAGAGTCTCGATCTTCACATTATATATGAGGAGCAGTGTGGCAGATGTCTATTGAGGATGCGGACGGCTGACTATGAGCGGCTGGCTCGCTCTATACAACACTTTCCCAGTCATACACCACGAAACTCTGGCGATCTGGTACTCGTCCTTCATATGACTCATTTTCCAAATGCAGCCCATCATGCCCGAGCAGTGCGTGTCAATGTGGTTGTTCGGCGTTCTCGTTCTTACTTTCTTTGGCAGTCTTTGGCTTCCCGGACATGCCCATCACGGTCTGTCCGTCCTCATTATTCTGTTGATCTTTGCCCGGCACATTGTTGCCCAGCGCATCGTTCTTGGCCGCATCCTTGGCCGTGTTTGCTATCTCAGAGGAGACTGGCGGAGGAGGACCTGAGGGTGAGCCGGTCGGGTCTCCAGCTGCAAGATTGTTAGCAACGCAGTCTCCATAACCGGCTTCCCTGCTTACTGATGTTGTGAGAAGCGGCATTGAGGGCCATGTTGAAACGAGGTAGCCGTCTCCAAGCAGGAGGAGGGCGCAGTAGAAAAGGCCGGATAAGTATTTTGCTGAACAGCCTCAAGGCTTGACTACAGCTCGAGAAATACAATTCAGAATGAAAATGGGATCAGCAGTGATAAGTAGGGACAATAGTAAATGAGTCACTGTTCTGGTCTGGTCTGCGAGGAGAGGAAATATGATATTCGAACTAGAATTCTGACGGTCGCAACCCCGAATTGGAGTCAGAAGCGCATGACCACGCCAAGACCGATGTTCAGGACAAGCGATAGGACTGCAATGGTTCAAAATCTGATATCGATCCAGTCGTAATCAGACCTCTATATGAGTGAAGATCAATGCGGGCATGTCGTTATGAGTTGAGTCCCTTGTAATACACTCTGTCCTGTCCTCCACGCTCAATTGTCTTCGTTGACTGACGGTGCCGAGCTTTCAACGCTCTGGAATTGACGCGTCCCATCGTAGTCTGTATCGTCCAAATCCATCCTCGCACGGTCACGAATATCTGGGATAATCTTGCTGTCAACCCCGTAGTAGCTACCACTACTGACGGATGGTGAAGTGGTAAGAAGCGGTCGTGACGACTGTCCGCGATGGTCCATTTTGTCATTGTTAGGAAAACTGGTACTGCAACCTGGGCTCTCTCCCTAGGAAACATGATTTTGCGAGTTCTGTTGTGCAGCTGCATTCCTTACGGGCGCAAAGTATGGATGTGCCATGGCTTCCTGGGCTGTGAGTCGTTCCTGTATCGAGAGTCAGTATGAGCTGCCCGGTCAAATTGAGGTACGAACCTGGTGATCGTATCTGAGGAGTTTGTCGAGGAAATCGATGGCCTCTGGGCTGACGAAGCGCTGATTGTCAGCATTCACAAAGCTTTGCCATGGTTTCTTTGGGAATCTGCTGAGGATGTCGTCGTATTGAGCGTCAAGCTCGATGTCATACTTGTCGAGGTACTCAAAGAGCTCATCCGTACCAAGAACCTTCGCAATCTTGACCAGCTGGTCAGAGTTACTATTTCCGTGGAAAAAAGGTTCTTTTCGGAAGATCATGGACGCAAACATGGCGCCCAACGACCACATGTCCAGGGAGTAATCGTATTCTTGGTAGTCGACCAGCAGTTCCGGACCTTTGAAGTATCGCGATGCGACTCTGACATTGTACTCTGTACCCTGGTGATAGAATTCGGCCAGACCCCAATCGATGAGCCTTAGCTGCGTTGCTGTCAGTGTCTGACAATCATCTAGCTTGGGATGAGCTAACAAACCTTTCTCTTTGCATGATCGATCATAACGTTGTGAGGCTTGACGTCCCGGTGCATGATACCCTTGCTGTGGCAGAAATCCAAGGCTTTTAAGAGTTCGAAGATGTAGTAGCGAACATCGTAATCGACGAACCGTGGGTAGAGCGTCCTGAAGTCCGTATTGTCCACATTCTCAAATATCAGACTGGGTGTTTTGCTCTGGCTGTCCCTCACAACATCGAGAAGTGCGACGATATTTGGTCCGCCAGAGAGGTTTTGTAGGATCTTGATCTCTCGCTTTATTTTCTTCTTCTTTACAGGCTTCAGGACTTTGATGACGCATTTCTGGTAGTTGGCAACGTTAATGCCTTCGAACACTTCGGAATATTTTCCTCTTCCTGAAGGCGCTCTGGTTAGTCCACCATTGACAAAGATATGGCTGCGACTCAAGCCTACCAATCTTCCTCACGATTTCGTAGTTTTCCAACACACCCCATGAGATCGATACGGAATCATAATCCCAATACGACCGGGGCATGTTAGCATTGACGTCGGCGTAGACGCGCGCCATGGCTGCGATGGTGGAGGGGATCGTGGGGTTCTCTCATGCAGTAGCGAATGTCAATAGCGTGACCATGCAGGATAGTTGTTCGAGGATTCGTCGGGTTCCTGGCGCGGGGAATGACAACTACGCTGCCTACTGCACAGCTTTCCGATATGAGTGACTTAAGAGAATGAAAGTAGTCGAATGTATTAAGATGAATGTGGTACGTTCTGGCCGGTAGCCTTTGGGTCTGCGGCCTGGAGTGCCAGTGAGTAACTTGACTAAGTCGGCGGATAATGATCCCGTTGCTTGGCGGGACAAGCAGAATACTGTAGTACAGTAGGACTACAATCTGCCCCAGCCTCACGTGGGCGCTCCAAGTACTGTACCATAGACCTAGTGAAGCGACCTAGAATCGAACAATACCAGGTAAGTATGTGTACTCATTATCGAATCACGTCTTGCATGAGACAACAGTCCGCAAGGTAAGTCAAGCAGTTGCGAACATGTTTCAGGGAACCAAAAGTCCCGATTCAGATTCCACCTCTTGACGCCCTCACCAGCCAGCCGTGACAAAGGTTCATGAACACCTGTTCCGGGAATGGAGACCAGCGCAATCCCCACAGACAAACCACAAAGAGGTCACAGAGGTCCAGCATTGCTTCAATGCTAACGAAGTGTTGGCACGGGCCTCGTTAATCGTTGCAACGTTTCGTTGCCGAATATGTCTGTATTCGGAAATACTCGCGTCTGGACCAGCGGTTCACTGGAGCTTTGACTCTGGTAACCTCTAGTCTGGCAACACGATTGATAGGAGTGGACCACTTCAATTGTTGCAATGGCTCAACAGACTTCAATACTCGCGACACGGCTACGAGTCTGAACCGACTTTCCAGAAAAATTCCAAATGCGTCTCAATCTGAGAAGCTATAAAGAAGAGACTACATGGCCCCAGGAACGTCGCCGTGAGTATACGCCATGTACAATCTACTCCCTGCTATCATCGCTTTCCACTTTGCTTCCTAAGGACTGGAAGAAACCACTACCATCCACAACAAATACTATCTCTATCAGCGAACGTTAAGGCTGTCTGTCCTACCATCCGCTCACCACTGGCAGAAAATACGTCTCTTTCAGTCAGCTGTCGCGCCAGCGACGCTCATGCTCCTGAGAGGTCGTGTCTGGGCGGCGGCGCTACCGGTGGACGAGGGCTCGACGCCGACCAAGACCATGAGCGTCCGCGGCGACGGCAACCCTACCCACGATTGTGATATCTCGATGTCGACAGCCCTCACCGATGACAATTTGTGTTTCGGCTCGATAATAGTGTGCCGATCCGTCGAATCCGGATACTGTGTGGCTGCTGAGATGGACCTGAATGGCTGGTATGAGGACGATGGAAAATCCGCTTGGATATGTGACAGCGCTTCGGACACAGACAAGGGTGTTCAATGGGAGACGGTCGATGGCGTCCTCCAAGCGAGCGCGACATTCAGAGCCGAGTGTGCTCCTGCACGTTATTGGGGCTTCGCGCCAGAAGCGACCTGGACCTGGGGTTACGACGTATAAAACTAATGGACGACTCATGCTTCGGGCAACACTGTGTCGATAGCGAACACCGCATACTAGCCTTGATGCGGTCGCGGGAATTTAAAGACTGGAGGGACATCCCAAACAAGTAAGAAAAAAACAGCGGATCAAGCGATAATATCCTCTGGCATTTATTCTGTCTATAATAATATAAAGCATATTGCTCACAAGAGTCCAGTCCGATTAGCTGTCATTCACCTGGGTTGCACATTTCGCTGGCATGGATATGTAGTCCTAGTGTACAGTGATATACATTAAAGCAGCCATATACAGCCTCCGCTGCGTCATAAATTACCCAAATAAAATAAAAATAAAAATACCCCAAACTTCAAGACCATCGGGACTCTTACATACCACACCCACCACAACGATGAACCTGCTTCCCTGAACATACCAAGGGTTTCTGGCTCGTCCTAGCGACACCATGCTCATCCCCGCCGACCTCTCACGTCACACACATCGCTGTGTTCCAGCTCACCACCACAGTCATGCCCTTCCACGACCTTAACGTACCCTACACATCCAACCACGCCGACCTCTCCCACACCCTCGCCTTTCACGCCGAACTAGGCTACTCTGTAATCGCCATCTCCCTCCTCGCAACAGGCAAACTCCCAAGCACACCACAGCCGATTCCACTCTCGTCCCTCACCATCCCCAAGAGCCTCACAACCCTGACACGCCTGACGATCACCATTTCCGACACAACCCAGAATCACCGCCTCTCGTCCTTCGCGCCGCATTATGATCTCCTCGCATTGCGCCCCACTACCGAGAAAGCGCTCGCTCTTTGCTGCCAGTCTCTAGAGTGCGACCTGATCAGCCTAGACTTCAGCCAGCGCCTACCCTGCATCCTGAAATTCAAGACCGTCGCTTCAGCATTACAACGCGGCGTGCGCTTCGAAGTATGCTACGCGCCAGGAATTCAACATGACTCCAATGCGCGAAGAAACCTGATCAGTGGGGCCGCACAGCTCATCCGCGCAACGAGAGGACGCGGGATCATCCTCAGTAGCGAGGCCAGGAACGCGCTGGGCGTGCGAGGCCCGCACGACGTCATCAACCTTGCACAGGTATGGGGTCTGGGTCAGGAGCGAGGAAAAGAGGCGCTATGCGAAGAAGCGGGCAAAGTCGTGAGGTTTGCTGGTATCAAGAGGACGAGTTTCCGCGGCGTGGTCGATGTGATTGATGGCGGAAGTCCACCCGTCGTGCAAGGTCAGATACAGCCTGCCCAGCGACAGTCACAAGCTGCAGCGGCAGCAGGGTCCAACAAAGCCAAGGATGTCGTTCTGCCGGCTACTGGCACGAAAAGGAAGGCTCCTTCGATGACATCCGCCTCGACCTCAGGTGCTCCGACAGCCGAGAGTCAATCTACAGATGGGCAGCCCCTGTCGAAGCGCGAAATGAAGAGACGTGCCAAGAAGGCAAAGATGGAGGGTAAAGCTGAGCCCGACGACACAGCTACATGTGTGCAAGATACCACTGCATCTGCCTTTCCAATCGAGCACGAGGCGCTCTCCAGTGAGAAGAATAACGTGCCCAGCAAGAAGATCTAGCCCTCTCGCCCTTCTGTTTTAGACGTTCACAAGAAAAGAAAAAATATCTCGCCAGTACTCCATGTCCTGTCCCAGTTTGGCAAAATGGGGTATTTTTATTTCCTTAGTTCCTATCTAAAACCCTCATGATAATGTAGGTGCAGGCCCTCTCTTTCCAATGCCCAGGGTATAAGCGTTCTTGAGTGTCAATGTTGCAGGGTCAACTGTACTAAATGAGCCAACAGAAAAAGCGGCAGCCGTAGAATCCGCCAGCTTGTCGGCAGCAGAAGAAGAAGACGATGCTGCGGACGAAGATGCCGCAGCTGTCGTCGTTGATGTAGATGATGCAGACGATGACAACGACGTCGTCGTCGTCGTCGTTGTAGAAACGGTGCTAGTAGCCTCGGAAGAGTCAGTTGAGACGCTGCTAGAGGAAGAAGTTTCCGTACCAGCAGAACCTTGAAACACACGAAGTCAGCAAACGACAGAATGCAGGATTGCTAGAAAACTTACTTGAGACTCCAAAGAAGCTGCCGGCAGAAACAGCAGCGGCTGTGGTTGTGGCTGGTACTGCTGCAGCAGCGGCAACCGTCACTCCTGTCACAACAGCATCTGCCACTGGGATGGAGGACAGGCCAGGAACAAGGGCGCCGAGAGTGGTAGTCAAGATGGGAGCGTTGCCCAGGGGCATCCCAATCCCTCCCGTCACCTCAGCCACTGCAGCTGCATAGGTGGCGGAGCCGCACCAGCAGCCCGCGGGCGCGTTCATCCATGATGTGACAACGGCGGTAACCACAGACGATGCGCAAGCCGACACTGCCGTGACGGTGGTCTAGATTCCCGTGTCAATGCCTGTCTTCACGCGGCGCCACTCTCAACTTACAGTCTCGGTCATGGTACTCGTTCCAGCGGGTGGGCAGGTTTCGGCTTGGACAACGGCTGCGGTGGTGGTTGTCGTTGTGGTGGTGCTGGAAGTCCATTGATTGTTGGAGCCGCCGCCACCATAGCTTCCGCCGCTGCTACCGGAATTGCCCATCCCACTGCCACCACTTTTATCCTTGGAGCTGCCGTCAGAGCTGCCAACAGAGCTGCCGCCCCATGATGAGCCGCTACTACCGCCTGAGTAGTCGCCGCCAGCCAGTGCCTGAGTCATTCGTTAGTGGAAGTGGCAGTGAAGTAGGCTGGATTGCCATACTTGCGCCAGGCAAGCTGCCAAAACTGTAAGAACGTATAATGAGCGGAATGCCGGCATTGTGATTGAACGAGATGTAATGTCTAGTAAGGACACAAGCTAAAAAGGAATGGAATTTGGGGCAAAGGGTATTAGATGATGGCCTGCAACAAATGAATGACTTGGGGGGAATGAGGAAACAGAAACTTGAGATGAAAGAAGGGGTTTCGACGAGGGTTAAGTCCCTAGAAGACCATTTTGGAATGTCCAGCATAAAGAACGATCGCAAACAACCAGATTGAAGGGAGATAGTTCCTCTCGGTGAGGGAGACATCCGGACAGCGGCTTCAGACGGCGAGTGAAGAGAGATGAACAGGGAGTATAAGCAGCGGGATCAACCGAAGTGTTTGCAGTTGTTGACCTTGAGGTCGCGATTGGAGGACTGCAGATCTCAAACGGAAGATGCGACGTGGACCTCTTCATCATGGTCTCGAACATCTGTACTTCTGTGGCTGAAGAGTATCATGTTGAGGGCGGATGTGACAGAAGTGTGGTTGCTGAGACGTGAGGCGTTTCACACTCGCGCGGCGCTTCTCGTGGGGTAATTGCACCTGGCGTTGCTGGATCTCAGATGGATCAGGAGTGGTGCCGGCAGGGACAAAGATGATCTGGGCCGGATCTCAAGCGATAGCCAAGTCGCTAAGGAAGGATCTTACCATAGTATTTGAGATTCAGTAGCTTGAAGAGGGCAAGTTTGGAATGAAGACGAGGTTTAGAAGAAGATTCGCAAGTCAGGGGGTCTGGCTATTTCTTGGCGGGTTTCGCGAGGTTCCTGCGAGGCTGGCGCTGCCCTCGATAGCTCCAGCAAGGCTGCACTGCGGACCTCAAGACTCCAAAGGTCTAGACACATCACAGAAGCAAGGACCGAGAGTGGGTTGGAGATCTTTTTGATCTATTACAAGTCTGGATCTGCCGAAGCTGACCATGTTTCAAGCTGGCAGGCACGACAAGATGACTGCCATCTGTCTCCTTGTGCTTGGTTATAGTCGGAGTCAGTCACAGTGCAAGGTAATCTCATCCTGTACTGTTTACTGTTCGAGGACGGTCATCGGATTGCTGTCTTCCAGCGCCATCTGCTTCTGTCCTTCGAAGCAGGCCTCCGTCTCACATAGTCTGCAGCTACCGACATGTGAGTCGCGACTCGTGTTGATCCGCCATGACGGTCATACTTGTTCTCACAACCTCCAGACTGGGCCTGGGGAGGTGGACGCCTTCAGACATGCTTGTTGACCATGGTGTCCTCGACGACTTCGGGATATGCTATGTTCAGCCGACCGTCAACTTCTCTGTCTTCGGAACCAGCTTTTTGGCCTCAACTCTTCTAGACACTTCAGCTCCAAGGTCGGAAATCTTGACGAGCACGCCTTCTTTCTCACTGTTCACATATCAAGTCAGCCACGATATCGCAAATAAGCATTGCATGCAGAAATACTCACGGATGACCATCCGGCAACCCCATCTCCTTCACGCGCACCTCTCCCTTCGTCTGCTCCTCCTCACCAAGGATCACGGCAAACGGCGCTCCAGCAGTCTCCGCGTTTTTGAACTGCACCTGCGGTTTCGGCTTCTTCTTGTATGTGAATTCCACCTTCAGACCAGCATCCAACAAGATCTTAGTAATCTCAATGCGCTCCTTGGCCATGCCACTGAAGCCACCTCCACCGAAAGCCATAACATAGACATCAGGAGCGTTCGACGTGATATAGCTGAACGTCTCACCCTTGGCAATCCTGGCCTTAGTGATGCTGAATATTCTGTCCACGCCGAAACTGACGCCTACGCAAGGCAGGTCTGCGTTTGGCCGAAATCGTTCGACTAAGTGGTCATAGCGACCACCTGCAGCGACAGATCCAATACCGACAGATGGATCGTTGGATCGATCTTCGTCCTCGTCGAGCACCTTCTTCTCCTTCTTTCCCTGCTTGTGCAACTCTTTGGCGACCTCGGCACCATCGGCAACGACAGGCGCAGAGCCTTCCGTCACAACTTCATAGATGACACCGGTGTAGTAATCCAGCCCTCGAGCCAGAGATAGATCAAACGAGATTTTGTCCAGCGCATTCCACGCCGTCAGGTACTCCATCAACATATCCATCTCTTCGATACCTTGCTTTGCTTTCGCATTGCTCATCATAGCATCATCCTTCTTCAGCTCTTCTAGCAGATCTTTCCCGCCTTTTCTTGTGACATAAATGCGAATTTTGTCTGCCACGGCTTCGTCAAGTCCTTTCGTCTCGACCATCTCTTTCTTCACCTCCTCCCAGGGTGACTTGTCTAGCTTGTCGACCGCACTCGATATCGTTCGGATCTTGTCTTCTGGCACACCACACACCTCAAACAACCCGTCCAATATCCTCCGGTCATTGATCTTGATGGTGTATCGGCCGGTCCACTCCAAAGATTCGAAGACTTCAACGATAATACCAATAACCTCACTGTCCGAAATCATGGCGTCACTTGCGCCTGCGAAGTCGATGTCGCATTGGTAGAACTCCCGCATGCGACCCTTGGCAATAGCAGGTTGGTCTCTTCGGTAGACTTTGCTTATGGCGAATCTCTTGTAGTTCTTGGTATTTGCATTCATGGCTAGCCACCTGGCAAATGGTACCGTCAAGTCATAACGCAGCGAAAGTAACTCTCCGCCCTGATCTTTCAAGTCGTATATCAGCTTCGAATCCTCGCCATATTTGCCCTTCAGCACTTCTTCTCGCTCGAATACTGGAGTATCGAGCTTTTTCGCTCCGTGTTTACGAAAAACCCGGGATATCTGCGCAAGAATATCTTCTAGTAGGTCGACATCCTCCCCTGACCAATCCCTTGTTCCTTTGGGATTCTTGATTAACTCTTGCTTCTCCTTCTTGTCCTTCGCCATGGTTGAGCACCACCTGGTCGGAGGCTTATTTCTGAGGCTCCGAGACGCAAACGGAGGGCTTCTCTGGGGGAGGCTCTTGCCTATCGCTATGCAGGTCCGGGAGAAGGGGCGCATGCAGCGAGATAGAAGGACAAGGCACAAGGGCGAGTGAGTCAGATCCAGTCGTGGCTATGAACAAAATAAAATCGGGCCTTGAGCGCAATTGGCCTCAAAAAGTTGGGGTACACAATCGTCAAGTGGTCGGAAAGGACAAGTGCAAACATGCCAAGATCTGAAGGAGACCGCAATGGTGACCTGGAAGGCACCAACGATAACGACGATAACATGGACGAACAACGAGAGACCAATGGCAAATCAAGATTGCGAAGATGGGAACACTTTTTTCGAGCTATCTCATCAAACTGTAAACCTTCACCGAATTGAAGCGCAATCACTCTAAGAACCAATCTAGCACCGGCTCGTTCACCAAGTAGTTGACCCTGGGACATGTCCTGGACTGTAGCTGCCTCGTTGAGGACTACGCAACGCACTTCCAATGATTCCTGCTGCTGGACTGCCAGTATGACCTCTGCTACTGCCACTTCCCTTGCGTTCCATCACCTCATATTCTGTAGTTGAAGGCATGGGTGGGATAGGGTCCGCATCCTCGAACTCGGCGGAGAGGTTGCTTATCCCGCCAGCTGACTGATTGGTATTGGATCTGGGACGCCTTTGATCAGTCGAAGGAAGTGTTTTCGCATATGCAAGGAACGGCGAGCCTTGGACTTCCGGAATGACGGGACTGTTGGGAAATGCTTGAAAACTGCCAAATGCGTAGGGTCGAGCGTGCTGTGGCGTCTGTCGAGTACCAGGCAGCTCGCCCTCGGGAGTCAAAGGCCCACTACTGCTGATCAAGATCTGTCGCGCATCCTCTTCCTCAAATTGTCTCAATTGTCGGCGGTTGGCATCCAGCCTCATCTTCTGGCTATTGACCTCACCTTCCAGGTTTTGGATGTGGTGCAACAAGTCAACCTCGCGTCTTTGTTGATCAGTGTCCTTGGCATTCGACTCGGCAGCTTTCCTTTCCCGCTCGTTCAGCCCTTGCGCATTGGCTTGCGTTATACGGTCGTGCTGCTCCGTCAATTTGGCATTGCGACCAGTCAGACGTTCTTTGCGGGTTACAACTGTAGTGAGCTCAGTTTTAGCACACTGAAGATCAGTGTCGGCGGCAGAAGAAGCACTCGCGAGAGACTCCTTAGCCTCAGCGAGAACTCTGGATTGTGTCTCAAATGCACTTTGAGAAGCACTGTGATCCTCGATATCGTCCTCAGGTGTGGTTACCAGGCCTTCCAAATCCGCGTCGAGCTTCTGCGTGGCAGTCCGTGTTTGTTCAATGCTACGTTCAGCTTGCAACAACTTTTGCTTTTGCTTATTGTCATCCCCGGCGGTTCTGAGGCGGGTATTGTAGCTGTCCACCTCCCTTTCGACTTTGGCGAGGGTAGTCCGATGTTGACGGCGTGCTTTATTGAGACGGTTGCGAGACTCATTTAGATTTGCTTCAGCGGTCGCGATCGAGTTTTTCAGGGTCGTCGTTGGGGAGGATGGTCTGGTAGATTGACGGACGGGCAAAGGCACCATGGCACCAGAGACATCTTTATCAAGCAGCATTGGAGTTCTGACCATGACTGATGCGTATTCCTCGTCTCCGTCTGCGCGGATAAACGTGCAGGTGTAGGTGCAATTGGGTGCCAGTCCTGAAATCGTACCCGACCATTGAGCACTGGAGCTTTCAGTCTGCGATGCGTTTTCTAATGCTTCAAGAGTGACAGAGTGCCATTTGGCACCATTGATGCGGACATAAAAAGGCTTGGTTTCGCTTGATGATCCCGCATCCGGTCCTTCCTCGGTACTGCCAGCGTAACTGGTTTCGAAAGAGATAGACGATGGGTCGACATTGGTAACCCACACAAGGTCCCGATGTGCTGGTTCGAATGGTGTTCCCTGGTTGTTCGCAACAGTTGGTAGAGCCTTGTTATGCTCCACTTCTCTGATGACATGAACCTTGGTACTGGCAAGGGCAGCCCAAAAAGGTTGTTTGCTTCTGACATGGTTCGCCTGTTTTCGCCTTTTCTTCGCACTCGTGTTTTTCTCCTTACCTTCTTTGAGCCCGGGTGTCGGAGGCGGCTGATAGTCCACCGAACTGGATATGGCCGTCGACGAAGTACCGTCCATAGTCGAGAAGTCGGAGAATGCGCCCACGGATGCTTCCATGTCTACTCGCTTTGCCTTTGTAGGTCCTTGAGAATTAGCGCTTTTGAGCCGGCGGCGAATGACCGCCAACACAGCTTGGCTGATGATGTGTATTGCGAAAAGACTTCGAATCTGCGACGGAGCTCTGGGACTCTGCCCAAAATCGGCATCGGAAGGTAAATACCTCAGATATTCTGACAGTCCAAGTTGAGAGATTAACTCTGTAGGGACAAAATTTGCAAACAAAAAGCGCCTAACACCCTTACTCCGGACTAGATGCAGCAGGAGTACACCTGTCAAGCAGAAAGTATTGACTCGGCCGTTTCGCCCAGAACTTCCGTTTCCAAGTACCATGGCAATTTGTATTTGAGCCAGGTCCAGCGTAAAGTTCTGAGCCCAGGGCCACAGGCACAACCACAGTCCGAAACAAATAATGTCCACGATCGCCCTAGTCGTGATACTGGGTGCACCTGCAGACCCATGAAAGATATCGACCAGAGAAAGAAATGCCGAAGACGAACTGCCGCCGGGTAGAAGTGTCAAAGAGGCAAAGAAGGCCTGAACAATGGTCAAGATCATGGTTGGCAGAGCCAAGAGCACGATCAGCAAAGAAATGGTGTCGCATGCCGGTCGAGACTTAAGGATAGTCGACGCAATCTGGAAGGCACTGAAGTCCTGTATAGACTTGGCTTGCGCAGTCGACGCATCGCCTCGTTTTTGTTGCAACATTGCTGACCCATTCGACTCTTTTGGAACCTCCTTGTCCTTGATCTCGCCCGCTTCCGACTCCGCGGGCTTTGAAATGGATGCTTTCGGGGGGTCTGGATTCGAATCGGGATAGGCAGTGGTGGTTTGCTCGTGGACTGATCCCGTCACTGAGGATTCTGCAGAACTTGATTGAGAAACAGACTCCGAGGGGACAGGGCCCTTTGCGGCGCCATTGAGGTGACCATTCGACTTTTGCTTCGAGACACGTTTTCCGGGGCCTACAAGGCCATTTTCGTGGCGATTGTTATGCTGGTGCTTTTTCGCCGCAGGGTTTCGCGGCATGAATGGTTCGACACTCGAAGCGCAGGCTCAGAACCAGTCAGCTTGTTGACTCTCCTCAGGTCAGCAAGCCAACTGGACGAGTTGTGGGAGGGTTCGACCGGGAAAAGGGAGAGAATCTATATTCGGAACAGGTCGGACAGATGGAAATAAATATACAGAGGGTAAATGGTCGCGATCGTGGTCGTTAGGAGGGCGTAACGGCGTCGATGTCGATGGAGGAAAATATAGGATAGTATATGTGCAAAGCTCAAGACGTGGTTTCCCAAGAAAATGAGCCGAGTTGCAGTTTGCAGTCTAAGGTGGCAGTGGCAGAGTCCGTCAGTCAGGAAAACGGGGGGTAGCCTAAAATCATTGACTAAGTTCACATCCTTGGGGTTGCCTGTTCATTGGTACACGCCCACCCAAATCCACTATTGAGTAACCCTGTATTTTCTTATAGGGACCCTTAGTGCACCTAACATATTCTCAATCTGACGTATTCGCACTGTTGGCATCATCCTTTCAATTCTACATCTACGAGTATCCGCACCAACGCATAGCATCAGCCTCAAACATAATCAGAGCCATGTCCAAAGCCAACGAGGGGCTTCTGGGTGTAAGATGCAGAAATTTCGTCCATAGTCAAGGCGCATCCAGTGCGGATCAACTACAACTGCAAGTCACTTACCCTGACAGTTTCAACCACTCAGCAAGAAACATGATGTTGTGGTCCTTGTGGAGTCATGAGCACGCATTTTTCCTGGCCATTATACTCTCTCCATAGCGACCAAACAATCCAATCGTGCGACCTACCGACAGCGATCACATCCTTGAAGAGCAGGAACCACAGGCAGGAATATATTTCTAGACTCTTTATCCGTCCAGAGCCCATGCCTTGGAACAGTTGTTTTCATTCAAGGGAGAAGTGCCCCTTGGTCCGAGCAGATTGACCTGTATACTGCCGAGCCTACTCGGAAATCGATGCGCCATCCCGCTTTGACGTGTGCCCGCTGCGCCTCTAATCCGATCGAATTTCGCCCCGAGCGATGGTAAGGATTACAACTTACGGGGAATATCACCAGCCATGATCCAGATCGTTCAGGTGTTGAGGGAGAAAAATCTGAAACACCACTCCGAATCCCCCCACAAGACCAATCCAGGCAAATGAGATCTATCCTTCGGGCCACTACAGCCTTAGGGCCTGACGTGGAGAGCGGATCGTGGAGGATGAAGCAGCCAAAGAGAGGAGATCAAGGCACAAGTTGAAAGACACTTTTCCGGCAACAAGTCTTGCAACACAGAAGCCTTCCATTAGCTGCAGCATATTTGAATGTGCGCCTCCGCCTGCCAGGGAAACAAGCCTATAGAGTCAAGGTAAGGTCTTTACGACGTTATCTGCCATCCTGAGGAGGCGCACTTCCCGAGGTTGTCCGCTACCAAGCCACGCTAGCCGTCGATCATTGCAAGCCCTTTTGCATATACTTTGCTCTCAAGAGTTATATTCTCCCGACTGTTACTCATGCTTTAGGTGCGTGACAGGCACTGGATCCGCGGGGAAGACTGCTTTCAGCGTTGATCGGGATGCTTTATCGCTACACTGCCTCTGCATAAGGAAACGCTGATCTGGAGACAGAAATCGCTCACGGGTCCACTTGATGGATGGTCCTTTGCAGAATGCGGAGTGAGTGAGATTCACTTTGAGTAAGCAGCTCGCCGATGCTTACTGTTCCAGTACCTGTACTGTCTGACTCCATGATATGGGGGCGTAGCCATGCTGGCTAGATCTTCGCATCTTATTTGCGTCAACCGAGCCTTGAATTTTGTCTTGCCCTTTGGCCATGCTATCACGGAACGCCCTCTGTATCGTTGAAGTTCATCAACAAAAGGTTGCAGGCATGTTCAACACCATGATGCGGCCTAGACGATGGACATTCACAAGCGGGCCCACACCACAACATTTGCGGTTACTACTTGAGGAATGCCGGCCACTTCCGCGTGGAGAGGATGTGCGATTATGACAACAGGCCCCTGGTAGATCCTGACGGTCAAGAAATGAACTTATCAAACCCATGTGTGATCACAATGTCAGTCAATCACCACACCAATCAAAGGTCTGCGGAGTCTACTCTCTCATCGAGCTTTCAAGTGCTTCGCATTTCTCAACGGCTACGCACATGAAAGACGACCCCTGTTGAGGATCAGCAGACATATGGTGGAATCATAACATTGGTCATCTTCTATTCATTGGCTCAACCCGTTGCTGCTCGCCTAGGGCACTTCTGTGCACCATCCGTCTGCACAGGCTCCTTTGGCCGACTGATTGACGCGTGCAAAGATCCCACTAGCATGATCACATCGTTCGCCAGGAAAGATGCAGGATATTCGCCGCACAACGACACCTCAAAGGCCTCTTCTCGAACCGGGTATGGATGTGAAGCATGTATTGAACCCAGTCAAATGCTGGCAGGCTGTCACCGATTCTGTTCAACGTTGCCAGACATGCTCGAGATACCAGGCATGTTACGGCACTCACGCGGTCTCATCACAGGTAAGAATCCTGACGGCGGCAGCGGCCATACACAGGACAACTCTCAGTTCAATAGTACATTGTCAGACAATATTCTGCATCCCGGTCCTATCTTAGCAGCGTCCGCTCAGAGCTTGGTTTTTTTCAAACCCTCAGTCTCTTCGATGTGATATACATATTTGACCGCGCTCGCCTTACCATCTTTCAAATTATGCAACCCCGTCTGCACACCTCCCAACCCCCCAGGAACGACCTCAAAGGGATGACCACTAAACCAGCCCTCTTTCAGTCCCAACCCGAAAAGGCGGAACCAAGCATACCCAAAGTCAGTCAGATCATCAGGAAACCCATGCACAGCACCGACCGTCGTGGTGGTCTTATGTACCGTCTCCGGTATCCCTTCATACTTCTTCCCCGGCAGTACCAGCGTGATGTGCCCCTGCGGGTCCAAGACCTTGATGATCTGCTGATAACTTCCTTTCTCACTGACAGCGTCAAAAGCATACATCAGCTTCTGACCCTTGGGCAAAGCCTGGCGTATCGCTTCAACGACTTTATCCGCGCCACTGCGGTAGTCAATCACCGTATCGCCCTTGGACCGATCGATCAGACCCTCAACGAATGACGACGCACGTCCTGCGACACAGATGATAGGATGGATCTTGGCCCGGACAAGCAATTTGACTGCGAACGCGCCGACCGCACCACTTGCGCCGTACACGACAACACCACCCTTCAAAGTGTCCCTTCTGGGTCCTGCAACCCACGGCTCCGGCAGGTCAAGTCGGCAGAATAACCCGACTGCAGCAGTCATCGCAGCCAGTGGAATGGTAGCAGCTTCTTCGAACGATGTCGACTCAGGGATGTGGAAGATCGTCTTGGCCGGGGCGATGGCGTACTCGGCGAACGCACCGTGCGGCTTTGTCATTTCATGGAACGCGGCGACGCGGTCGCCCTGTTTGAATCCTGTAACGTTTGGGCCTACCGCCTCAACGTACCCGGAAACATCGTCGCCTGAGTTCGTGCCGGACTGGCCTTTGACGGTTAGCGGGAGTTTCCAGTCTTTGGGATTTGTGCCGGCTACGACGACTTTGATTAAGACTTGGTCGGCTTCGGGTACGGGTTTGGGGATATCTTGGATTTTGACGGAGAGGGTTGTTGGGGAGGCTTTGAAAACGAGGGCGGACTTCATGATGCCACTTGGAGGTGAGTACTGAAAGGTGATGTCTGCTAGAGGGGCAGGACTTGTATTGCTTGATATGCTGTGCTCGTGCTGTGTTCAGTAGTATAGAGACGGATATGGTGTTTTCTTGCGGTACAAGTGCTGTTAGGTACTCGTTCGAGCCTGATCGACAACGACAGTCTGGATCGACGGTGCTCGCACTCTGTTTTTTGGACGTCTTTGCTTTCAGCTCTCCTGCTGACCTTGTCCCAGTTGTCTGTTTCTGATTGATGATGACAAACGAAAGTTGTTACAAACTCACTGGGGACATACCTAGGTATGCCATATGGCATAATGAGGGGTCGCGCGTCCCTCCCCGGGACCGAACCCACCTACCCGCGGAGCTGTGGCTGGGCCGAGGCTCTGGGTATGGATTATCATATACACTGTCAAGTCGATGATGGGACGTCCCTAAGTACTCCGTACTATGTGCATTGATGGTAAAAGCAGATATCTAAAGCTCGTAGTCGATAGGCACTATGCTCACCGATGGCCAGTGGGCCCCCGACTTTTCACTACAGTACATGCTCGTGTCCCAAGCATGCCTTGCCCAATCCCCATTGATACAGTAGAAGGAGTTAGAGAACATACAAGTGACGGACATACAATTAAACAGTGACATACGAAGTACAGTATTTAAACATGTTTGATTTTGGTGGTGGCTATCCACGTGCCTCACTTTATGTGCAGGAACACTGCTCGCTCCTTTGGCGAGACTTTTTAGTATCAAATGCAAGCGTTCTATGAACTCTCATCAGAGGTTCAAGACTCAAGATTCACAATTGACATCAGCCAAGAGTAATCGACCCTCCCTGTATGTTCAACCCAAGGTCTGTATCACCGATAAATAAGGCCCTCTTTGTGTCTGTTGTAAACTTAGTCTCTCATCGCCGATCAGTAAACTCATCAACCATCACGCCGTTAAAGCCATTAAACCTGGATCAACTGAAGGGGAGGTAATCTCGACCGAACACCGGCTTCAGCCTTCGGATGAGTGGCTCTCGGCGCTGCTGCCTCCGTCTGCTGCGAATTTCTTCTCAACCGACTCGAGTCTGTCTTTCGTGTCTTTCAATTCGGTCTGCAGACTCTTGATGTAGACAATCGCCATTTCGACCGTGCTGGCTTTGCTGGCTCCTTGGGCGGAGGCAGATGCTTTGCTTTCGGCGTCGTCGTCCTGGGAGCCCGCTCTTTCCTTCTTTCCACAGGAAGCAATTATTGCAGGGGGCAGGAGAGTCTCGATCTCCTTGAGCGCAAGGTTGATACGATTCCGGCGTCCCTGTTCGGCGATCTTATGCGACGTTCGCTTTGATGTCAGATTTTCGGCAAGAGTCTCTGGATAGGAGACTCCAGGAAGATGTGTGCCTTCGAGGATGTTTTGGTAGTTGGACTTTGATGCGAGGTACAGGGCGCTAGTTTCTGCAGAAAGATGGGCCATGCCTGGACCTAAACCTGGTTAGCAGGAGTCACATGTGAACAAGTACCGATAACACTTACCCGTCGCCGGAGCTAGAGGATTGATGCTAGGAGAGATTTTGGGGCGCAAAGCGGGAGAAATGGTGGCAGAAGAAGTGCTCTGGCGCTTCTTGCTGGCGCGACCTCCTCGAGTGTCGAGTTTTCCAGGCTTCGCAAAAGTCTCTTGCGAGTCAGTCCTGATCAACACACCGCGAGGCGTACTATTGGCGCTCAATTTTGCCGACTTGGCCGAAAGCGTGGGCGTGTTTTCAGTATCGTCGCCATTCTTGGTGGTATCGAGTTGGGCCAAGATAGGTGGGCCTGCTGCGGCGTCTGGGAGCATAATATCGTCCATGGGCTCGTCCAAATTATGGGCAGAAACCAGCTGTTCCATCTGTTTTGCCGAGACCGACTGCGTACTCGGCATTCTCATCAACGTGGCCGGTGTGACTGGGTTATTGGAATTTTGCGAGTTGGCACCGGGTTGAGGAGACTTGACATTGGGCGGCACCGGAGGAGGTCTCATGGCAGCTTCTGACAAGGGTTCTGGCGACACGGAATCATCGCTGGGTTGTATCACAGCGCTGTTGGGCGCCGATGGGTACAAAGTGGCTCCCTGGGCCGTCTGGGGAAGCATGTTTCCGATCTTGTCCAACTGTAGGGAACTAAGCGACGGATGTCGGCTGCGATGGTTCGGCTTCATAGCTGGGGATTGCTTCACGCTCCGCGCATATGCACGAGTCTGGCCGTTGACTTTGCGCCGGGGTCTTTTGGCGGCTGGTTGCGACGTGTTGGGAGCGCCCTGATCAGCATTCAGATCGACGGGAGACGCCGTGGTACCTGTGCCACTGAATGCCGCTTGCGCCTCGATTGCAGGTGAGGTTAGAGGGCTGAAAAACTCGTCGGCGAGACCATAGTCGGACATGGTGAAGCCACCGTCCATGGGGGTTTGCGCAGGAGACACTAGCGGAGTGAACGAGACCTGAACGATGTCAACAGCGGCACCGCATGGGAATCCAACTTTACAAACCTGCTGGTGATCAAAAAGTATCTGCCCATTGTTCCCCATCTGATGCACATACTTCCTGGCCTGCATCTCAGCGCTCACAGGCGTCGGAGGGACGTGGTATTGCTGCGGCATCTGCATCTGCTGGTACTGCGGCTGATACTGCCCGTATGGCTGATTCGAGGCCAGATGATTCTGATAACCGACCGATTCAGTCGTAACAGGCAGATTCATCTGCATCTGCTCCTGGTTGGCATAGGCGAGATCGCCATTAGGATTGCCGAAGCCGAGACGGCCCATGGGGGTGTCGAGGCCGGAATGGCCATTGTTCATGGAGGTAAAATGTTGAAAGTCATTATCGAGGTCGAGGAATTTTGTGAAGTCGTCGTCGCCGACCCCAGCGACCATTCCATCATCTTGCATATCCTGTGGCCATACGACATTCTGCTCGCCCTCTTGTGTCATATTCGAGGTGGGGGTGGTTGTGGTAGTGGTATGCGCCCGCAGGTGGGCTGCGGGAGGTGGTTGGAGGACGACACGGCTATCTCAGAGGGGGAACAGCATGGCTGCAGATAGCGATCGAAAGGGAACCGCTGTTGTCGAGTCTTGACGAAGGACGATGGAAGTTGTCGTTGATTGAATGAAAGTGAAGAGGTCGTCGAAGCGACAGAGCGCAGCCTTGTAAGAAGGAGAGAGCGAATGGAAGAGGTCGTAGATGGTCAAGGTACGACGAGGGTTAAAATTCGAGGTCGGCGGTGGTGGCAGATGATAGTCGATGAGGTTTGGGGGTCCACACGGCGGGGTGAATGGCACGGGCGTGGGTTTGTGACCTAAACCTGCCACTCGCCGGGCGTTTTCTCACTTTAGACTTGCAGTAGACCGGCCGTGGCGCAGAATCGCTAGGCCTATTGTGGTCCTCATGGGTGGTCCGAAAAAGTGGACGGGGGGTTTCCCAGGAGGAATGTTGGCCCTTGTTCTTCTGACGAAAGCTGATGAGAGACTCGAGAGTAGGTCATGGGCTGTGATGCATGAAGTCATGCGTGCGCAAGGGACATTAGCCAGAGCACATGAAAGTAAATTAATCTTGATGCTAATTAGGATACGAATGATGGTGGTGGTTGTGATGGTAGGTACGGGAAACGGGAAGGGAAGTTGAAGAAACAGGGATGACAGTCTCTGCAAGGTCATGGTCACTGCTGCGAACTATTGTGATTCTTTTTTAGAGAAGAGATTTGAGGGTGTGGATGGAGACTTGAATCTGCTCTCAGCTGGCTCCTCCTGCTTGAGAACATGTTTTGGTGCCGCCCGGGACATGCCTTCTGCTCTTGTTGGCTACCTAGGTACTTGACTTGGGTGCTTGACTTAGGTGACCCTACGCCCATTTTCAAAGGCCCGGGCAGCTTCTTTGCCTGACCGACACTGGACAGGCTTCCTGCGCAAGCGAAGAGAACCACACCCGAGTCAAGCGGGTCGGCGAGTACTCCGTAAAGGGTGGGCATAGGCACAAGCACAGTTCGCTTCCTCGGAGTAAGAAGACACGAGCGTGGGATGATCGTGGATGGTGAACCACTGAACCATCTCTTGAACCTTTCATGCTCCAAAACTGTACCACAGTACTCGTACCTAAGGATGAAAATTTCTGCTGCCGGTCTTTTCCCGTTACAAAACTCGAAGGGAAAAAACGCCATCGGCCTCCAGGCTATGCCGAAATTGACGTGCCGATGGGGTCTATCCAATAGGCCCGTCCAGGTTTCGGAGCCTAAAGGATGCCATGCAGCAGAATCTCGAGGTCCCCTTACTCGTCACGCTATGATCGAGTCAAACCTTTCGACTCTATACTCCGATCCTCCACCGTACATGTCCGCGCAAGTGTACGTACCGACTTTCAAGTTGACTGTTCACGACTGTTAGCGTTGATTGGTCATTATTATTGCTCTACTGTCAATGACATCTGAATAGCCGCCCACCTTTTCTCGGGAAACCGACCACGACCTCGCGAGAGACTCTGCCTGGTGCCATCACACCTCTTCCTCCTAGTTCGGTTTTGGCCTAGTCACTTACCTTCTTATTTCGATCGGGCGAGGCGTGTATCGGTCTCAGCCATTCGACAAGGCTTGCCGTCCGGGGTATTTCCCGCATTGACGTTACGCCGGCCAACATGTCCAAGCCCAAAGCCTTTCTGAAGCACTCAAAGGCGAAGAAGAAAGCTGAGCAGGTAAGACATCATGCAATACTAGCTCAATGGAAGGGCGGGTAAGAATTGAAATGTTAACAATGCATGGTCCAGGTATTGGACACCGCAGACGATTTTCAGGCAGCCGGGGTCGACTTCGAAGAAGCAGCAGGAAAATGGAGAGCTGGGGATGCCGTCAAGTCGATGCGATTCTTCTCCAGAGCCATTGACGTATATGATCGGGGTTTGCAGAAATTCCCTGACAGTCTCGATCTTGCATACAACAAGTATGGCAGACCCTCCCGGTGTGCCTGACAAGAACGCTAACACTGTGACAGGGCCAGAGTACTTCTAGAAATTGCAACACACCCTATCCTTGTACAACAGCTACAGGCGCCACTCCTAGAAGTGCTGCAACAAGCCCTCGATGCTCATCGATATGCACTAAACCTTGATCAAGACAATGCCGATGCTCTATTCAACACTGCTCAAGTGTTGACCACCATTGCCGAAGTATTTGCGAAAGATCCAGATCGACCTGATCAAGATGCCTTGCAATCACTCGAGGAGGCCCTCGAATTGCAAAATCGTTGTCTCGCCATTCAGGAACTCAAACTCGAGCAGAATATCCAGCAGCAAGATGAGGCCGATGCTCAAGGCGATACGGAGGACTTTCAACCAGCGCCTCCCGAAGGCAACAACGATAATATCGATGACTCTGCTGACAAGGCTTCACGCGACAATGAAGAGCAGTGGTTCTCGGTCGTGGAACCAGTGACAAAAGAAACTCTCATTGACACCATCCTTGCCGAACTAGGGACACTGACTACGCTTTGCAGCATCTTGTCCTCCACCACCACCTCCGCTCCCATCACTAGCCTTGCCTGGATCGAAGAATTTTCTTCGAAACTACTCAAGACGAAGCTACCAATCCTTCTCCGAGATGCAGAGCCTGAGACCGTGCAGGAGGTTGCACTAACCCGGGCCAACTTCATCTCTGTCTTGCTTGAAGCTGGTTATAAACTTGGATCCATTGATGCAGCAACGTACAAGAGGGAGCGCGACGAAGCCTTTAAGTCATCCGACCTTACTCTGGACAAAAACTTTGTCGCGTTACTGGCCAATGCGAACAGCCTGATTTCATACAATGCTGCCCTTGCGGATCGTGATATTACGATAGCCGAGTCTCAGATCCCGCAGAGATGGAACGCTCTGTCTGCCGCGATAGCCAATATGGCAACCGCTTCGAAGATCTCCGGTCCGGTCCCAGATGACATCGCCGAGACACATTTCATACGAGGAAATTGCTCACTGCTACAGGTCAAGCTCGGTCATCCGCCTGTATCTTACCAACCAGCCATTACGAATGCAGTACAATTACTTAAAAATGCCGACACTTTCTACAGAAATGCGGCGAAGCTGTATCAAGATGACGAACAGAAGGCTACCGGTCAGCTGAGGGGTGTCGTTTCTCGGGCTCTACTGGCCGGCACTGATTTGGAGACAGCACTGACTCAGGCCAACCTGGGACAGACGGGTGAATGGGTACGGGGCCAAGTTGAGGATTTGATTGAGGATGGTCTCATCTCGTTCAACACCAGCACCACTTGATTTGGACTGGTGATGACGACTGTCACTATCCTCTCAGGTAGCATGAAAGGCGACCATGTGCCGCCACGAAGACTTGAGACAAGGCTTTGATGACACGGGCGGCCTTTGGTGACAACTCACATTTGTCTCCGGCTTGAGGTCGTAGACTCCCCTCCTATTGTGACTCGGCTGGAGCGTCACTTGGCAACGATACACAGTGGTGTGGCAGAAAGGCACAGAAAACTGAAACCTGCCACCATTATCAGGAATTTTCCCACGATGAATAGAATCCGTTCAACCTGGCGCGAAGCCTTTCAGCGATCGAGATGGTGGAGACTCCAGCTCATGTCGAGCGAGTCCGCGGCGCAAACAGGAGGATCTCGTCTCACAAGGATGAGCTTGTTAGGGTACAGAACCTTCACCTCACCCACCGATACAAGCAGTGTATCTCCCTGTGTGAGCAGCTTCAGAGGCCAAATGTATTGTCACCCAGGATCGGTCGAGCCGCAAGAATTGAACTCCTCACTGACACAATATCAGATCCATGCGCTTCACCGAACTTTCCTCTGGTTCTACCGTGCAGTCTCTTACGAAGCTATGGGCCTCATCGCACATGACTTTTCGAACAACAAGATGGAACTTCTGTTGCTCGCACAGGACAGTTTCAAATCCGCTCTCAGTGTCTTGCCGCTGCCTTATGTCTCGGCCGAGCAAGGTTATTACAGCCAGCCCGAGCAATCTCCACCGTACACTGATTGGCATGTCTCCCCTACAAATATCAAGAAAAACATACAAGGTTCGCCAATACCAGGCATTGCAAGTTCAACTGTCACACACTCTGCTTCAGCATACAGCATCTATTCCCCTGCGCCGAACTTGTTGTCGTCCGATGTCGAAGTCTCCGGACCACCCGAGGTATCGGACACACTTTCTGCAGAAACTGATGAGACGCAACAAGAAGGACTGAACTGCAACCATGTCAAGTCACCGCACACTCCCATGACACACCGCGCTCGACTCAGCCAAAGCTTGAGCAACCCTCATGCACTAGCGGAAGAACTCGTCCCATCACCCTTATTCAGTCGAGCTCCCAAAGATGCAGAGCCCGCCCAAGCCCAGACCGACACTACCCACCGACCCCTTCCTCCTCTACCGTTCGGGCACAGAGCCGGTTTTGAAGTCCAAGGTTCTCGCATCATCCAGATCCCCACCATGCGCAAGACGGCAGTACAAACCCTCATTGCTCGATATGAAGGTTCCTTGCCAGTGCTGCAGTCGCCATCGCCGGAAGAGACAGCCACACCTTCTCCAGTGACGCCACGCTTCCGAATGATTCGCGACGCCTTCAGTCCAGACCCTCCGAACGACCATCTGGACGCTTACCTCTCATCGGCCAGCCTGACGCGGTACAATGCTTCGTTATCCGATTTCGCAACCCAACTGCGCAAACATATCTCTTTTCTGGCCAAAGACCTCGATCGAGTGCGCAGTCTTCACGACGAACGCGCCACTGCCAAAGCATCAACGAACAACCGCCTCGCTAGTTTCTGGTCGTTGAGCACTACCTCCCCGTCTACTCGAGCTGGTCGCCAACGAGAAGACAATGATGACGACGCAAATGGAGGAGATCCAGCGACTCTGGCCAAGAAAGAACGAATCAACAAATTGAGACTCGCTGGATGGAACGTCCGGAAAGAGAAACATGGATACAAGGGGGAAGAATGGTACAACAGTCTCAGACGGTGTCTCGCGCGTGAGCTCGACGATCATGCTACGCCGAGGAGTTGATAATCATACTTGTATCCCTCATCGGGACTATTTCAGGACTGTGCACGCCATGTGGGAAGTACGCTGGGGTTTGTATCAGGTCAGGCTATGCTGGGGACGAATGCGAACTTGACAGAGATGGTCTATCACCTAGTTGGATGCACCTGAGAACGAGACTTCAAACTGCCTGTGATAGCATGTGCGCATTGAATGACTTGTAAGCCAGCCAAGATCTCATATCATCAAGCCTACAGGCAAGCTGGTTTCGATTGATCGACCTTTGAGTGGAAGGCACCGGGGTCCAAAGCAGATCATGCAGAAGGAAAATAATGATGAGAATCACTTATTGAAATGAGAGATTTTTCATTTCATGGAGAGATGAATTCGTACTGTATCTGTACTATGTTGAACCATGCCCAATGCCCAGGCCCCATAACCCAGAGAGGGTGTTATGAAAACATGTTCCATCACTGTATCAATCTGAGCCCGACCCTATGACCTCTTCTCGATCTCCAGGGTTGGAGAGTCATATCAAATTATATTCGTTACATCATCATTGAAAAGTCCATCGCATCACCTCGGTCTCGACACCTCCATCTTTTTTTTGTATGATTTTCAAGACGGGTGGAGTAGTGAAACAGAAAAGAAAAAAGCGTTCATCAAATTCCCATAATCCTTGCTAAAGCAACCGTGAGCCAAAGCAGCTCACTGCTTGGTGGCCTCCGTGACCAAAGTTTCTTGCGATGAGCCTAGTTGCCCATATCGTAGTCGAAGAGATCCTCGTCTGTCCAGTTTTCGTTGAACATGGGGTCGTTATCGAGGGTGGCAAAAGCCTCGGGACCACCAGGGAAGAGGGTGGCACTGGCTGCCGCTGGGTTTGAGAAAGCGTTGCTGCTTTCGCCACCGAACAATGAAAAGTCTCCCTCTGGGAACCCCAGGGCTTGATCCATAATGGACGCTTTGTGGAAGACCTCGGTGGATGGACCGGCAATCATAGGTGAGTACTCGGAGATGGAGGGATTGCGGGACTGTGGCTGCAAGTAGGAGCTTGGTGTTGGCAGACCATCGTTCCACATGGTAGGATTGGTGCAGTCCATAGTGAGATCCATTGGCATAGCATAGTCAGACGGCTCAGTAATGTTGCTATAAGCTGGGGTGATTGGCGTGCCCATCAGATTGTGGGAGCTAATTGGAGTAGTGTTGGTTGGGGAGATATATGTCTGAGCTGGCTGATACGAATAGGGTTGCTGAAAAGAAGCGGAGTTGAAGTCGAACTCCTCAGCCACGGTATTGTATGGCATGGACGGGGTTTGTCTTGGGAAGAGGGGATTGGAGTAGCTGACAGGAGCAGGTTGATAAGTGTCGAAGTTGTTGACAGGCTGTTCCACTGGCGTCATAGGAACGCTGCCTGCAAAACTTGGTTCAATGCTGCCTGCATAACTTCCTCTGATGCTGCCGGCGACGGAACTTGCATCGTCATGGCTTCTCAAGCTAGGGGAGTAGTATGTTTGAGGAGTCTCAGCAGGCGTCATCCGAGACGAGCCTGCGGCGGCCTTGTCCTTGCCTTTGGCACGTTCGTAAACCCAACCATGTTTCTTTTCCTGGTGCTGTTTGCAGTTGCTCTCACGTTTGGTGCGGAACTCGCAAAAGTCGCACTTGTAGAAGTGTGGGTCCTTGGAATGCTTGTCATTGTAGTGACGCTCCCGTTCCTTCTCAGTAGGCAGACCGAGGTCGTGATACTTGCAAGTCTCCTCGGGGCACTTGAAAGGCCGAGAATGGGTCTTTTCGTGTTTGGCCAGATCACATTTTCTGGTGAAGGTCTTATCACATTCGGGGTCGTGGCACTTCATCTGAACATTGTCAGGGACCCAACCCTTCTTTCTTCTGGCCATGGATCGAGCAACATCTTCGTCAAGTTCGCCACTGCTCTGTCTCTTGATCCCAGGGGCTGGAACATAAGGCTGACCAGTCCTCAGCGAGATGCCTTTGCCGTTCTTCCAGCGAACGAGCTCTGCCTGGTTGCCGGACTCACCGAGGCCGCCTTCCAAGGTGACCTCGTCATCAATGGAGTAAGCCATCTCGTCGTCTTCAGCAGTACCGGCCTGCTGAGCGCGATTGGACGATCCGATTTGAGTAGCTAGTCGATTGACTTGCTGGACCAAGTCAAGGAAGTATCCGTTGTCGTAAGCGCGGTCAGCGGCACGTCGCTGTTCCGACTCGGAGAGATGTTGATAAGTGTCGACGACGAGTTGGATGGTAAACTCGCCAAAGAGACGAAACAGATGCCTTGAGATGGCAAATGTCTTGAAGAGGGGGTTAGACTCTGGCAGGCGATCGAAGGCAAGTGTGCTTACCAAGGGTTTGAAGATGAGGCTCTTTTCGAGATCACGCAAGCATCTGATGTTCTTGTTGGTCTTGGAGCCAAGAGTAGAGACGAAAGGATGGAACTCCTCAAAACGGTCGTCTCGGAGGATGGGTAGGAGTATATGTTCCTTGAGTTTGTTTCGTGCAGAGTTGTTGAGTGGTGGATGTCGAGGGGCAGTTCGGGAAGGTTGAGGCGCAATGCTCTGTGTCACTGCAATTGGTCGCTGCCTGAGGCGGCGAGTTGTCAGGTCTGAAGAGTCAGCTTCTGCGGCAGATGGGTTAACAACGTCTTCACACATCAGCACACAACGGGCAATCCAACCTTGAATCAAGTCTTTGGCAAGACCGTCTTCTTCAGAGTTGTTTCCCACGACCTTCTCCACCGAGTCACTGATGGAAGTACCCAGCCCACTGTCCTTGCTCGACAACAAGTCCAAAGCTCTTTCGAATGTCTTTGCCAAGCCTTTGTCACTCGCCGGGCTGATGGATGATCCCAAGCCTTCGTCAGACGGGAGCGCAGCACGACGGACCAAGACTTGTTGTTCAAAGTCCCGAAGCGATCGGCGTCTGCCCGCACCTCTCTTTCCACGTGCGCCAGAGAAGGTTTCCTCGAAGTCGGCAATGGACTGAGCGACGTCTTCTTTCTCCGACAACCAGCCAGTCAGGAGTGACTGGGAGAAGGTTGGAGAGCGATGAGTCAGGTGAGGAATACTCAAGACTGGGTCATCCCGCGTGGACGGCAAGGATGAACAGTGGAATGTAGCGCCCTTGGACAGGGACATCTTACGAAGAGAACATTTTGATGACTCTGGCGATGCTGGTGGTGACGGAGGAAGGTTCTTGGAAATGAGTCGATGGGTGCGACGATGAGCCAAAGGAGTGGGAGGAGGTGCCATGGTGGAAGAGGCCATGGTTGGTATATGAAGTCTCGACCCAGCCGGGAAAGTTGCAGATGACACGCAAGTCGCTAGCTTGATATTCAGCACGCGGTCTATTGGTCGACTTTCAAAGTTCCCGAGTTGCTTATGACTCACCCGTACAATGGATATGAAAACCAAACAATCTTTAAGATTTATATCAGATTCGCGGCGTTACTCACAGTTGGGTTGTTGACGATGGTCGTGCTGATACCAAGGATATATCTGTTGAATATACCCGTCTCCTTGGTTACTGGCTGAATGCAGATTTCTTTCTCTTGTCGTTTGGGACAGCGCAGGTGAGGTTCCAATGGAGGTGACTAGGAACTTTCGCAGGTCTGTAGCGGCGAAGGAGGACCAGGGTGGACTTTCGCGGGCAGTGTCAGTGGGTCGAGGAATGATCCTTGCCGGTGGTGAACACTGGGATAGGCTGAGAGGGGATGTTTCTGAAGTGCACAGGTGTTCGGTAGCGATGAACAATGGTGCAACTTGTCCACGTAGGTGGTAGATAGTGTTGATTGAAGTGAGGTTGAGGAGTTGCGGCTGCGGCGGGCAGAGCAACACCTGAGGCCAGCGTGGCGAATATTCAAGTGTCTGTTTGCACCCGTGGGCCGAGTTGGCCTGATTGAGAGAGGGTGATGATAGAGAGGAAGAACGAGTCGAGGAGGATGGATGGTGATTTGGGTGCGTGAGTCGTTGGTTGATGCTGATGATGGCACTTGAGTAGTCCAGTGGTGCCTACTTTGCCAAGGCGCCTGACAAGAGTCGAACAGGGATTCGCGGTGATCTGAGAAGTTCCGCGTGTTTCCACTCACCACTAAGTGTGGCGCGGTCAACTTTATGCATCTTTCAATCGGCCGTATGCATTATAGCCGAATCCGAGTTGCATGGATATTAATACATCTCTATGAAGCAATGCTGCTTTGGGAAGTTACTATGGCAGCTTTTCTATCAAGTCTACAGCGTGACAGTCGTTGACTCTCTCACCATTGCCATTGCCATCGACAACTTATCATTGATTTGTGATACGATATACGACAACGGGGCCGGTGGATGACATATCATACTATGGACACCCGTGTCGGCTGTTGGTGGACAGATGGATCTCTTACCAGACGATGCGGGCGCCGACAAATCAGCCCTACTACTCCGTACAGTATTTGCAGCCTCGGACTATTTGGATCTAACAGTCACGTGAGACGGAGTCGGCCTGAGAATCAGGCCGTTAGTTGAACTCTAGTGGCACTAGTATGCACCCTCTATGGGAAAAGCCTCACTCTGCCATATTTGGACAGTTAACAGATATGCACTTCTGCGCTGGGTGTCACTTCTCCCGTGTCAGTCCACTTTGTTCATTATTGTGACCATCATCCACGAATATGCAGTTGAGCAGCAAAGGTACAGTATCCCCGGATTGCTCCGTCTCCGCGAGTCGGCGTCATGTATGGCCACGGCACGCCTGACGTTCCTTGCAGTCATTGATCAGCCAACCACTGCTTGTTTGACAGGGTGTATCCGTAGTCACCGGTTAACTTATGCATAACCTCTAACACTTTCGGCTGCACGACCGTCAGTTGGGCAGGTTAGGTGGGTACAGACCGTTCTATGAAAGAGGCCACAGTGGCGAAGTGCACCAAAAGTCCATGTTGATCAAGGTATCCCCTCTTGTTGTGATCCGTTCCCGTTCGCATGCACCATACCATGCATGGCTCCTGCATGAGATGAGGAAAAAGTAGGAACACCCATATCCATTCGAGAATCAACGTGTCCTACTCGCCACAGACAGTATATCTTTGTTTCCTACGAGATTGATTTGCTGTGCGTGACTCATGGACGCGGTACAACTTGACACTGCTACTAGTACCTGTGTGGCCGTGCGAAGGTCTCGTATTCACAGCCAATCATGAGTCCTCCTCTATGCGAAATGTGCCCTTCTGGCTACCACCCCTGCTCAATAATGTGTGCAGACTCTGCAGAGGCGTTCACATGGTTCTTCACGGTTTGATGATCAGATCATCCGTGAAAATGATGCCAGAGTCTCATACACCTCGATCATCTGCCAGAATCCAACCGTCTAGCCCCAAGATGCCACCATCTGTGCTGTGACTGTCCATACTCCACTTCCTAACAGGGAAACATCCAAGGTCCGTTGTATATTGGGCCTCAAACATCTCCATGCCCGCCCACGCGATCATTGCGGCATTGTCAGTGCAGAGCTCGACCGGTGGGAACACCAACTGGACATGCCCGAAAGATCGCACATCAAGCATTTGCCGGAGATAGTATCGCAGGAAGTCGTTGGCAGCAACTCCACCACTTACTACCAGCGTAGAGATTTCCACGCCTTCTCCACGAAGCTTTTCCAGCGCAATGATGATCCGAGACCCCAGATGCTCGAACGCGGTGCCTAATACTGCACGAGCCAACTGTACTCGCTCTTTCTCGCCCATGGGAGCCCCGTTGTTTCTGACAGAGTGGTCGGTCATTATGCGACTGACCTGAGACCCAAGGCCAGCAAAGCTGAAAGAAAGATCCCTGTTCTTCGCCATTGGCGTCGATAAGTTCCAGCCATACTCATTCAACGGTCTGAGAATCTCCTCCGGCCGACTCGCAGGCACTTTCCAGCTAGAGAAGTCTTCCGCATTCTGAAAGGCGTATGCCGAGAGATATTTGCCATAAGCAGTGTCAGGTGTGCCTTGTTGGATGGCTTGAGGCAATATAGACCGTCCGCATTTGTCCAATTCGTCACCAATAGCGACATCATTTGTCGAAGCTAGAATCTCATGCTCAACCAACCCTTTCGAATGTAGGAGCATGGTATGGCCACCACTGACCAGCAACGTGAGGAAAGGGAAATCTGGCTTCGACGTCTGCGTTGATTCCCGAGCGTCTCCCTCCCTCGCATAGGCAAGCCGCGGCGTGAGAGCATGAGCTTGCATATGGTGCACTCCGACCAAGGGTATCTGCCATGCTGTAGCAAGCCCTTTCGCCGTATTCAGACCGCTAGAGAGGTTTTGTAGCATCCCTGGTCCCCGCGTCACCGAGATAAAGTCCGGCTTTTCCTTGATCGTTCCATTTCGAAGCGGAAGTCGTTTAGAGGTTGGTAGTGTTTCGTCGCCATCTGGGAGGCTCAGAAGGGATCTCTCAACCAGTTTGGCTAGATGTGATTGGTGACTGTTGAGGGCATCTACTGGGGTGATGCCACCTTTGCCAGTGTTCCTCAGTGTGACTTTCTCATTGAAGTGCAGCTTTGTTGATCTGGATTTGGGCCCATTTGAGGCGTTGTGTTTAGAGAGGATCGCGACGCAAGTATCGTCGCAGGAGGATTCAATCGCAAGTGTCAGTAGGTTGCGCCGCGATGTCGACGACAATGTCGTGCGTGCACATGATGCGAGCAGATGGTGTGCTCGACGACAACCATGCAGCATTGACAATGACAAGAATATGTCGGCTTCGTCTCTAACTTATGTAGAATGCAAGAATTCTGCACCACCAAAGGACATTCGTATCTGCGGTTGGGTGTGAATGTGCCGCCGAAAGGTCGTTCCGAAGCACACGACCAATGGGGGGCTCCTTGTCCTGCTTCTACCGTACTTACGTCTGCTACTTGTTCCGCGTCGATTTCCTCGTCACCAAATTGGGCATTACGTTCAGCAAATCTTTCTTCAAAGGGTGGCATCGCGCTATTGTCGGAGCCGGACGTAGGCGTTACTATATATTCAAGTTTGGCAGAATGGATAACCGATGGCAGGAAGCTTTGAGAGGTAACCAAAATGTGTATCATATTGAGGCATCGACGACATTGCCAGTGCCAATGGGCATAAACCTTTCAAGCAAGGCGAGATATACTGCAAAGAAGAGCAACTCCTCCTTGATTTCGTCGTTGCTTCTTCTCAAGGCTGCCCACAGTCAGACTGTATAGCAAGCGCGTCCAGGAAACACCCTTGACAGCTAAGATCGTGTCCGAAGAGGTATGTTACCATAACATGATATGGTCATAGTGGACATGAGTTCCTGGCATGATTCCCAATCAGACTCGACTCCATACAGCAACCCATGTTTCATCACAGGCCACAGGCCCGGATACAGCACCTCTTGCTTGTCCTGGTATAATAATTGGTCGGATCCAGCCAACGACCCAACCCAAACAAGCAAAACACCAACGTGCAGAAAAATGGTATCTCGTGCGCAAATAGACAAGCGCGTGTCATCAGCTTCATGCTCCTAAAACATCCATCGCACGTCACAACATCCACCAATCCATATATAACATGGTCAAGGCACCGATGCCTTTCGCTCCGGATTGATCAGAACTGTCGACGTGACGACCGGCAGGCCATCCTAGACCTTAATAGCCGTTTTCTCGTCGAGAATCGGGAACGAATTGTGTGTCTTTGGAATCGGCCTCTTGACCCTGAATACCGCGTCTTGATCGGACATCCTCCGTCCAAGAGCTCTTTCAAGCTTCGCACCGAGGCTCAACTTGCTCAGGTCATCGGCTTTCTTCTGGGACGGCACAAACCGCTGCTGTTGTAGGTGCTTGTTCTCAAGTCGGTCGAGACCCCTCGTGAGCTTGCTGATTTCGGCCATGCCGGTCTCTGGGGTGGGAATGTTCGCCGATGGCATCGTGTTAGAGGCTGTTGTAGAGAAACTGGGCGAAGCAGAGTATGTGGAGTAGCGTTTCGATGTACGTTTGGACGACGCGAGCTGCTCGAACATTATGTTAGGGGCAGATACACAGAGTGAGATGGTGAGATAAGACGTACACTAGGAGCCATTATAGGCCTTTCAGATTCGAGCGACCTGCGAGACATAGCTTCCTAGTATTGGTTGCTATGGTAAAACTCAAAAAAGTGCGTCTTTGTGATGTCAAGGCGTCGTTGATCTTGAACTATTGGTGAACCGTGCACTGTTCTTTGCAACGTGGGGGATTTGAAATCTTTGTAGTGCCGAGTACGTGGGCAGGACGCGAGCGCGTGTCGAAGTATAAAGGCAGTCAAACCCACGAAAGGTGAGGAGGATGATGCGCGTGCAACGACGGAACAAGCGGTGACAATTTGTCAACAAGTTCCGCTTTTGGGACTCGGGAGTATGTCGCAACCTTTGGTGTGATGCTTTTGATGTGAATGATGGAAGCTTGATCCAAAGGAGTGAGAAGGCTGTTCCCGTGCGTCGATCGTGACAATGGCGTTCGAGTGGTGGCTTCAAATCAAAAGTACGATATCGGCAAGGAGTCGGTGAGGTTGGAGAGGAATGCTTGTTCTATGTATATCGTCTCGTGTGCTGAGTGAGATAGATTGGTAGGATTCGAGGAGCCGAGTACTTCTACGACAAGGCTACAGTAGGACGTCGAGGCGAGAGATCAAACAGGTTTTGAAGGAGTACCGGCAGTATTATGATATTGGGTGCAAGGATGATTCTGAGTCGGTGGAATCAGTTTGATGACAGGAAAGATGTGTGGAGGAAGCTTTGTTGACGGTGATCAATGAGTGGGCGCAGGTTTTGGCGCTTCCCCCTGTCTTCCAGTCTTCTAAACTGTTATCCACCATCCATTTCCCAGACTATCGCAACCTTCGCTCACCCAGTGGATAAAAGATTTCCTTGATTCTTCTTTTCTGGCCAAAGAGCCCCTATGGAATGCGCCCCCCTGGCCCCTCCCATACGACTTTCCATCAACTCAAAAGCAAAAAAAGCCCCCGATGCTCCACGTGGAACGCCTCTTCCATGTGTAAGTTGGGCCAGAACGTGGTCGAACTTATGTCAGGCTTGTCAATTGATCCAAGCTCCTACCCAGCCCTCAAACGAGGACATGTCATCGTCATGCTGAACGCCGTATCGACGATGAGTTATCAACGGCGGAATCGGACACCAGTGCCGGCCTTGGTTTGCTTGCTGATCGAGATTCCTAGGTAGCATCATGCCTCTAAGATTGACCATATGATCAAAAACAGGCGAACGACGGTGAAAATATGTACTTGGATTGATTGGACATTGGAGAGGGCTAATATCTCGTTCCGGTGCATGTCCCTGCTGTGCCCCTTGATCGGACCTGTCCGGCGGTTTGGCGTGTTTCACAGCATCAGGTGAGATGGCCAGGTGGCAGCTGGCAAGCTCCAGGCGAGCAAGGATGCACCCTGGCAACATCTTTCGCCAGGTGTTTCGGTTTTCGGATGAGCCCGCTTCTACCGACAATCGTCATATTTTTAGCCATCGTCAGAGAAGAAGCAGAACTTGTTGCAAGGAGCGGGTATGAGTGAGAAGGGCACTCCTACGTAACATCTGTCAGCTATGTAGGTACTCTGGACATCAGGGATGTCTAGCATGGTCCTTGTAGCTGAGTATTCTGTCCACCACTTATTATAGCTTCACCATCGAACATTACCTCTGTCAATCATGCCCAAACCACGACATGTGATAGCCTTGCGCCCAGTCGTTGATACTGGTGGTCAATCCCCATGTCTTCACCACCCAAAAAGCAAGTCCTCCTAGGACGCCGAAGCTACCCATAATCTGCAGCGCAATCCAGCCACGAGTACGCACGCTGTTCTGCCATCGCAGCAACCCAAGGGGATCGTGTATCTTGTAACTTGGCAGCTCGCCATACCCAACGGTCGATTTCTCGCCATTGCGAACCAAAGCCTGAGTATTGTCCCGTGGCAGGACTCGTCCATCGCGGATCTCTTCACCCATTTTCTCCACCAGCCAGGTCGCTCGTTCGACTCGCGCTATCTTCTCATAGCGTTCTCGTTCACGTTGTAGACTCAATTGCAGCTCACTTGCCCACTTGGATAGTCTGACTTGTGCTAACCGCTCTTCACGTTGAGTGTGATCAGCCACTCTAGCCAGGGCCCAACTGTTCGAGGTATTCAGGGACATTTCAGATCCTGGCGGTATCAGTACTCCAGAATTACTGAGAGAGGTCGGGAAGGGTGATCCAAGCGTAGAGTTGTGCACAGAAGGTAGTGACGGTGATGAGATCGATGTCAATTTAGGATGAGAAGAGTACCACGCCATCAACTTGCGTGCGGATGTGTGGCGCAGATATGCCACCGTCTCAGGATCAAAGATGTGTTCGACCAATAGGCTGAGCTCGGACGGCAGGAGAGGCTGGATATACTCTGGCGACATTAGCAGCGATGCGTCCATAGTATCGAGGTCTGGGCCATTCGTTGATGTGACAGTATAAGGAGCGGATGCAGTTGTCTTGTGCTCAACTTCGGATATCAGAGATGGAGGTAGTCGAGGTAGCGATACGAAACTGAGGTCGATGGCTTGTTTGACGTGATCCTGTTCTTCCATGCTGAGCAGATCCGACTTGGCCACCAGCGGAACGATGTTACACAATTCCGATAGTTGTCGAATACGCTCACAATCGTCTTCCAGATGTTCTTGGAGAAGATAAGCCTAGCTCTCGAGCATGGTAATGAGACGTACCTTTAGAGATCAAATACAGAATCACGTCCACTTGTGATGACCCGCGTCCGCTGAGGAGGCTTGAGAACTCGGTGGTGAGGTGATTGGCAGACGCCATCACATTCGTTAGCTGCTCTTCAGCGTAATGGACGATCGTCTCTAGCTTGATCGAATCCGGAGTCTCAACGAAGCAGATGTTTCGTTCCAGGACAGAGTCACCCATGCTCTTCCGTCTTCTTAGTATTCGGCTCTCTTCAACATTCGACCACCAAGCGGGATACGGTTTTGTGCTGGCGTAAATTTCATTGACTGTCTCAGATGACACATACGAGTCGCGTCGAGATGTGCGGCTGAAAACGGCGGAGACCGAGTCGACATGTACAATGTCTTCGCAAAGTTGAACAACGGACTTGATAAGCGAAGTCTTGCCCACACCTGCGAGAGTAAGTATAGGGCATACAAAGCTGACGATAACCCACCTTTCCTTCCAGCAACCAAAATCTTGAACCTCCCTAGACGCTTGCCTCGCGATGTGAATGGTCTTCGGCTGGGCATCTTGATACTAGGCATGATAAGTTCGGGTTGGCTATCATGGATGACGGCTCCTGGCTCTTCTTCCTCTTCGTCCTCACTGGAGCCGATCGCCTGACTCCCTGTTTCATCGTTCGTCAACTCGTCGTCGGATCTGTGAAGTGATCTAGAAGAGCCGGACTTCGGACTGCTCGGCAGGGATACATCGCGAGAGGGTAGTGGAGACGCCGTGATTTCGCCGGCAAGAGGCTGACCTGCTTCTGGGTGTGTCGTTGATGATGTCCTTCGTAGATGGCCCTCGTTGCCCGGTCTAATCGTTGACCGCCGCCGACTCGCACTTCTTACTTCTGGCGTCCTTGTTGTTGCCTGCTTGCCTGATCTTTCTGCTTCTTGAATCGCTTCCTGTAGGCTAGTGACAGGTACAGTGGACGACGTCAGCCCAAGGCCTCGTTCGGTCTGAGATTTGGAACCATCAGGACCCCGTGAAAGAAAGAACGTCGTGGGAGCCGTGTTAGAGCGGTCATTGGTAAGGGGTGGGTCGGTGGTCGATGGCTTGCGCGGACGTGGCTCTGAGTTCTCGAAGCCGATTCCTGGCCTCATCTTGGGATCATGGACTTATAAATGAAGTAGAGGCACCAGCTAGGAGACGTTTGTAAGAGGATGTTTTAGAGACTGGTGACAATCACAGGTAGTTACTGTACAGATGGCCTGCGGTCTACAGGTCGACCTCGTTACCCCACGCGTGATATGCGTAGGAGAGGGGCCTTGTCTTATCAGGCTGCTACGTACTTCGGACTCCACCGGATAGCCAGTAACAACTGCATGATGCATCCATTTCCACACTTTTGCACGCGAGTAGATTCCCAAAAAGATTTCCACTTCGATACTGATCATTACTCTCGATATGTCATAGAGACTAATATACAACCCATCCCTATCTCTGGGAAATCCTCGATTGGGGAAAACCTCTGCAGACAAAGTACACGACCTCGCTAGAAGATAGCACCCTCTCCTTGCCACACCCTGGGGCTGCTGTGCATCTCTCGTTCAGCTCCCCGCAAAGAAACTGGCGCGCGAACTTGCTGAATCTGAAACAATCGGAAATCTTTGTCGTCCTAGAAGGTGAGAAGCTCGCTATGCGAAGACACAGGCTCGTTGATATAACGGAAGACTTTTTCGAAGTGCGCCGATGCAGAAAGTCTCAAGACCGTCCCACCACTTTTGTACCGCTGTGTTGATCCGTAAAAGAAAGCAAGACAATGTCGGGATGCGAAATAATCATTCTGAAGCGCATGGGTTGACAACGTCACTCCAGCGCGAACACAATCAAGCCTCTTGAGGCTGGCCACGACCCTTTGGTGTCGCGGTACCGGATTTTCCACCTCTTTGCTGGAAACCACCACGACCGCCAGTCTCTTTGGTGAAGCTGGACTGGCTGTTTGTGCGTCCACCTTGCATACCACCACCACCGCGACCACGTCCGGCGGTGCTGCCACCCCGGGTGAAGGTGGCATTGGTACCACCATAGGCATTTGGACGAGGGCGACGTTCTTCAACGTAGATTTGTTCAGAGCCAACGGTATGAGGGTTGGCGGCAACGGCAGCTGTGTAACCAGCAGGATCAGCGAATTCAACGAAAGCGCAGTTCTAGACGTGGTCAGCAATGTTGTGAGAGGAGGACATTTCACTTACTCTTGGGCGGGAGACGTCGAAATACTTAAGCTCGCCGTAGCTCTCAAGGGTTTCACGAAGAATCCTAGCGTCAACCTTGTCGTTTACATTCTTAATATAAGCAAGCACTGTTCCCTCGGATGCTGTCTTGGTCTGTGGTTTTCCCTTCTTGCCATGACCAGCTTCTTGCCAGCCGTTGCTTTGGGAGGTGGGAGTGGTCGCAGTCGCGTCAGCGGCTGGGGCGGCTTGGGTTTGTGCCTTCGGAGCCTGAGCAGGTTGGGATGGTCGAGACGCTTTCGGTTGAGCTGCAGGTGTGGTGACTGGGAGGGCAGGGACAGCAGGAGTTTTGCTACCGCCGCCGAGCATGCTTGCCCAAGTCTTTCTTGCTGGTGGTGCTTCGACGGATGGGGGAGGAGCGGTCTCGGCCTCGGCAGAAGCTTCTGGTTGTGTGGATTCAGCAGCGGCTGGTGTTTCTGGTGCTGGGGTCTCGGCTTTGTCTTCCTCCACAGCCTCTGCGGTGGTCTCTGCACTTTCTGGCTGTTCTGCTGCCTCCTCGACGACAGTCGGAACAAGTGTACCGTTGACCTCAGTATGAGCCGGCTCGGCAGCTTCCTTTTCCTCTTCGAGCTTCTCATCTACCTCTTCAGCAGCAGCCTCGGTAGCCACTGTCTCGTCCTCATTCTTCTCGGGTTCGACAAGGCCGTCCGCAGGGGTAGTAGGTTCCTCGGCTGGTACTTCAGCTTGGGGCTGTTCATCCTCGACGATCTCATCTTCGTCGTTGTTGAGATATCGGAAGATGTCGTTCAAGACGAAGTATCCGTTGGGCTGCTCGGCGAGAATGAAGGTCTGGACAAACTTGTGGTGTGGTTCTGACTTGTTCGACATCTCGCCAATGACTTGGACCACGATGTTATTGAAGGAGGACTGAGAATCGACATTGAGGACACGGACTTTGCAGTCTTGGAAGTCGAGAGCTTTAATCTTTTCGCTAATTGCCTTGGTGCCAACGGCAGTAACAACCTTTTCTGCCTCTACACCACTGACAAGCTGTGATTTCTTGGAGTAGAATAGATGTATCTTCTCAGGGCTCTTGGACAAGGTCGTGTAATACTGTTCGACGAAATACCAGCCAATCTCTTGCGGGTCGGCCTTTTGCGCAGTAGCACTAGTCGTAGTACTCTGAGAAGCAGAACTTGAATGAGCTGGAGCTGAGGGTGTGGAGGCGGCGAGTTCGGCAGGTTGATGGTTGAATTGATTTGTGCCGTATAGGCCATTGGTGGGAGCAGACTCGGTGGCCATTGTAAAAGGTCAGAAGGTCAGACTAGTAGTGAAGATGCGCGACTGATGATGTCGCCGCGCAGGCAGAGTCTGATGTCGAGATGCAATACTGGTGAGTTTTGTGCGTCGAGCAACTTCGAGAGTTCGGACACGTGCTGTGCGCAGGAAGTCGATGGATATCACAGATCGGTAATCTGTCACGCAGGCACAGTTGGGTTCTTCTTTTTCTTCTGCAGTAATAGAGAGTCAGTGATTGTGATTGACACTGTACGACGCAGGATGAACGTACAAAGACAGCAATTCGAAAGATTAGGGATCGCGAAGCTTGGTCGATGCGAATATGGGGGATTGAATCAAGGAAGGGATCTGTGGTTCGGCTTCATGCGATGAAAATAATTTGAAAGGTCTTGTTGGAGCGACACCGGCAGACTCTCCCGATCATTGGTACAAGTCGCGGGCGCCTTGGCGCGAACCTCCCCCCTTGACTGCAGCATCGGGCAATATTACCTACTAGTAGGTCAATAAGATACGTCCATTCGTGGCCGGGCTTAAGTCCGAACCATACCTAGGTACCTATACTGTAGCTAGGTCCATGGACGTGAAACGGGATCGTGAGGCTTGACGATCCTCATGTACAAGATACGTAAAAGGTGAAGATGCAAAAGGGCAAGCACAATCTCTCGGTATACATCGCCTATTCACGGTCGGACAGCCCTTGTCAGAGCATATTGCTGGGTGAGACGACGTCCATGTACTACTATAAGCCAGCTCGCCGCGTCATGAACAGTGACGGTGTCCTCACCGTACATATTTCTAAGAGCAGTTTGAACACGACCTATACTTGCCAAAGTCTCTCAAGAGACCCTTCCCCACACGCTAGTGGCCTTTGCCTAGACCTGATCACGGTCCACGGACCATGTCCTCCATATGGAGTACTCACGATGATCATGCTTCAGATGGATACAACGTTCGGAAGACAAAGAGGCGACCAGCCTTTGACAACCAAAAGAACCTGCACAAGACACCACGGCCGGTGTACATGCTCAAAGCACGAGAATGAGTCTTGCACCCCAACGTGCCGTTGTACCCTTTCAAGTACCGGTCGGCACTCCAATGCTTGAAGACTGTCGATATATGCTCATATGCTCGGCAGTTTCCTGAGATTCTCGCGCAAGCTTGTGGATACCTGGAGAAGATTTCGATGTTTGTAGACCTTGAGGAATGGGGCAGGCCTCGCCTTGGCCTGAAAGACTCTGTGCATGTCCACACAAAGGAGCTGTGCAGGCAAAGGTTGGACATATCCTTGACTTCTAGTTGGCTGGACAGCATAGAAACTCTGTACAGGATAATGCAAAGCGCCCAACAAGGCCAGCGTGCAAGCCTCGAAGTACCTGGCTGGATGAAGTATAGTATGAGGCAGTGAGGTGACATAGTGCATCGTAACAGCTTCGCTACCTAGGTAGGCGGTGACTGGATACACCTAGGCAGGAAGCGACGACGAGGTCCTATCGAGATATTTTGCAACCTCAATCTGTACTGATGGTTGAGCGTAGGTTCGGACCAAACTTGGACAATCAAGACTTGGACAATTTCGGACGGTGTCTAGCTGGAAGTTGGACGCTTCATCGAGGCTACCGTCAAAAAAATGTCCAAGTTAATGCGTGCATGTCGCCAACCCGGGGCATCGGCGAAAAAGTGTCCAAGTGTGATACCCTGGGTTGGCGACTTGCACGCATTAACTTGGACATTTTTTCGACGGTAGTGTGGGTGCAATCAACGGATGGTCTTCATGGTTGAGTTAACAAAGTTGCACACATATATGTTCCATCGCTCGACTGTGTTCTGAAGAATGCCTGATGATGTACTGGCGTCTCAAGGCCATGTCCGAGGTCTCTTTCAGAGCAACATGTAGTCGAGTTGTAAAACTTCAGTAGAATGCCGGTCTCGAACGCCTCACAGGTTGTGGGGCCAAATGTGTTGCATTGTTTCCTTGTGCCTTGTCGAGAGACTCGTTGACTGGATTGGCATCTTGTTCTTCTCTTGCTAGACGTTCTTGCTCTTCGCGCCTCTTTCTCGCATTGGCCTGCCATACTCTATCCTCCTCTTGCAATTCTCTCAACGCTTCCTCCCATTCCTGCTCTTGGACCTCGTCTCCAGTTCCAAGAACCTTTTCCACGTCGACCTCCTCTCCTCGCTGAAGCTTCTCGACAACCTGTCTCAATGCCTCGATCTTGAGGTCTGCTCTACGCATAAAAGTCGTGAAATCATTCTGGATACCCATAATCCGAATAGCCTGAGAACCGATCAAGAGATATATCCACAGAAAGTACGTCGCAGGGTTGGTTGGCTTCTTCTTTCCTTCTGCAGATGCAGATCGGCCGCGCAGGGGACGTGGAATGATGGAGTGCCAGATCGAAGGCTGTGCGATACGCGGAAGGCGGCTTTCTCCCGAGGCCGTATGTTGATGTCGTCGCAGGACATAAGACCGCGAACTCTGCGGACGGCAGAGTCTAGTGGTTGCGCCTCGCGCAAGACTCTTGAGTAGCCAGCATGCTCCCACCGATGTCATGCTGCCAGCTAGACGTTGCTATAATGCAAGGGATCTGGCGATCTTGATTGAGATTAGTGCCGACATGGTTTTCTTTTCAATGAGAAGAGACTGACTGACAAGTTCGGGGCTACAATACGAGGCTGCGGCGAGTCATGGCTGCCAAGCCGGATTTCTGCTCTCCTCCCCGATCATTCGAACTCGACTTGACTCAACAATGTCCTACCAACTCTCAACCAAGATTACCTCCTTACGCATCATATCCATCATCACGACAAAGCCAGCCTTGGATCTCGTCAGCGCCGTGGAATTACGTCGACTTGAAATGATCGTTGCACTTCCATGAGCGAGGGACGTGTTGAAACGTCGTGGCGGGATGTCGTTTCATGTCTCGTCTCGTCAAACGCTAGATCGGGAGTGCCGGGCATCTTCCGATATAATCTGGATATTAAGGACTCAGGCAGAGATCCAAGCCATGGGGCCAGGTGAGTATTCTGTAAGATACTGCACTGACTATATAATGGTCATCATGGAAGTCTTCTACAAGCATGCATCCGTCTGCTTCTCCACACTTGCTTCCTTGCAGTCGTTCTTTACCATACGCCTGTTGACCAGGCTTTCATTCACTTGCCCAGTGCAGCCACTCGCTTGAAACTCTTCAGATATACCTTCTTCCTATAGTCCAACATCATGATCTTCCCACTTTTGGCTGTCATCTTTGGAACGGCATCATTCGTTGCTGCTCACCCCATGGTAGAGAAGCGCAATGTCACAGCTCTTGATCAGGCAGCCTTTCAGCAAGCTCAAGAGCGGGATAGTACGGCCACAAGGGCATCTTCATCTGTACCGATCAAGGTATTGTCGTCTATCTTGCTCCGGGGCAATAATACTGATTGATGGGCCCAGACCTCGGACGGACAATGTCTCTTTGTCGATGAGTTGTCTGGAGACTTCCGTGCCAACCTCACTCCCATCCAAGTTGGTGATTGCGATGGCAGTGAAGGTCAATCCTGGGACATCATCACAGCGGGCATCCACGACAATCAGCCAGGTACTATGCTGATAGTCAGCACATTGGTATGTCATCCATGAAGAAACTGCCGGACCACCGCTGATAATGGGGCCTGCAGACGCAAGCCTGTTTCAACTTCGATCCTCGTCGTGCTGCAGGGGACCAAGTCCTTCTATTCTCTTGCGGCGGGCGTGCAGATGGCAGTAAGTTCCCACATTGCGTCCTGTCAGCCAAGAAATCCACTGATGCGAATGGTGTCAAGGCGGCACTGTGACCAATTCTCAGCTTTTCCCATTCAATGGAACTGCCGAACTCCAGGCGTTGACTCCAGGGAATGCGCCTGGGACCTGCTTGACTGTAGCAGGAAACGTCATCGACCAAGCCGCGTGTAATGCCGCAGATCCTGATCAGTCTTTTACCTTTGGAGATGATGAAACCGATATTTCAACTACGGTCTCTACGTCTTCCACTGCTGCGACTGATGCGGCTTCTTCCATCTCAACACTACCCACATCGTCATCCTCAAACATAATTCCAACCTCTATCGTAGTGGTGGCGCAAACGACAACAGCTCCGATCACATCTCCGCCCACGAGCCTTGCGGCCACTACCACAGCATCTGCATCTGTCATCTCCGTTTCTCGCGCCGGTGTCGTCCTCGACCCCTCCGCAGCTGCGGAAGCCAATCCGCGTGATGACACCGCAACTCGCGCCTTTTCCTCTGTTGCCATTAAATCATCTTCCGGGCTATGTCTGTTCGTCGACCCCGCGGCTGGTGACTTCCGCGAGAACCTCATCCCAATCATTCTCGAGCCCTGCGACGACTCAGCAAATCAAGAATGGGACCTCATCACCTCTGGAGTCCACAATAACCAGCCCAATTCCACATTGATAGTAAGCAGTCTCACACAGGGTTGTCTAAACTTTGACCCTCGAAGAGCTGCTGGCGACACAGTCATCATGTTCAGTTGCGGTGGCAGAGCCGATGGAGGCGGCTCTGTCACTAACAGTCAATTGTTCACTTTCGCTACAGGCGAGACGAGTCTACAGCTTCAGCCTGAGAACGGTGATTGTACCGTATGTCTCATTGCCGATGCGTCGGGCAGGTTGGACCAAGCGGCTTGTAGCGATGATCCAAGTCAGGTGTTTACTATCGGCTGAGGGAACAAGCAGTAAGCAGAGTGGACATGTGGCAAGTTGTAACGCCATTTCTTCCGGTTTCCGAGTACTGTTATAAATACTGGGAGTGCGAGCTATGATCTCTACAGATGCGAGTGTGGTGCACTAGCTAAGTAATCACTGTGATATTGCGTGCCGAGGCCAACTGCCGGGCTTATCACTTAGGTCGAAAATATCTCAGCATCTCAGACTGAGTATGGCTGCGCACCGAGCCTGTCTCCCAAAAGATAGGCACACTGCCAACGCTGGGCCCTCGTCGTGCTGGTGGCCCACCAGCCCTTATCGTCTATCGCCTGGACTTACAATCAGCCTTGTTTTGCCATCCTCTTTCGAGGGACCAGTCCTACGATCAACGGAGCAAGAGAGTTGAAGACCAGAAGAGTGGACAGAGAAGGATCAAAGGTCTCTAGGCACGCGAAGCTATGGAGTCTTATCGCTGTAACTTGAGCTGTCCTGTCAATTTGGCCAGAATCCGTTGCCGATAATGGCAGAGCTGAATTTTTGGGTGTTCGGGATCCCTTCTGGATGTTCGACGTCGTCTCAAAATCACAGAACCCTTTGAGCCCGCCACTTGTCCAGGAGCAAAATCGCTCGACCACACAATTGTCATTGTGGTAGGACACAACGCCGGGAATCGGCAATGCGGTGCATTCAATGTCCAGAACCTCCCCACTCACCAGAGTCCACTTCAGGTGGCCGCCACGATTCGTGGCCCCGTCAATCTCGACGTATGCCACGACGTCCAGATCCTTTGCGAAGGTGACGACGTTGTCGCGGATCACCCACCCGAAGCTCATCATCGTCTCATCGGCGCTGTGCCACGCGACGGCGATGAAGCTGAGGTCCTTACCACATGTGCCGGCGACCCAGCGGTGCGAGTAGAAGCTATGCCAGTCTCGCGGGCCCCAGCCGTGGTCCCGGATGCCGTGGGCGTCGATGATCTCATACTTGTGACCGCGGACTTTTAACCACCCGTTGACCCTGCCGGGGATGTCGAAGTGGGCGGTGTTGAAGGACTTGATGGACGCCGACTTGGGGAAACAGTCGACGTTGCCGCTGATGTCGACCAGTTTCAAGCAAGCCGACGTCTCGTGCTCGGGATCGTCGATGGTCCACACGTGTTCGCTGTCGACGTATTCGCTCCGGCACGTGTCGTCGCCGTTGCCGTACCCGCCGTTGGGTAGCAGGTCTTGATCTCTCAGAGCGTTGTAGCCCGTCTTCTTGTACACGCCTTCCGGCGCCCACAGGTAGTTCCAGCAGGTGACTTTCCCGCCGCCGACGGCGTTGGGTTCGTGGCCCAGTCGGTGAAACCCACCTACCGAGTTGACCTCGTCCCACCACACCAACACCACACTGTCCTGCCAGTTTTGCGCCTCACCCGGCGGCTGCCGATGGTGGACTTCCTCTCCATACTCCGGCAGGTCCGCCTGTCCTGTGGAACGCATCTATCTGCACGTCAAGGGCAATGTGCTCGTGCTCTTTTTCTGTATCAGGAATCCTTGATGGTGGATGGCTCAGACGTACATCGGCTGCGCAGAGTCGGTCAAATACTGACTTGAGCAGAGTGTCTTTCCGTCTGTCGATGGTTGAAAGCAGCCTGTCAACAACGGATATACTGTGTAGTACAGTGATGACTGAAGCCTGATAATGGTCCAGTAAGCCGCAAGCTGCACCGCCCCGTGATTAGGCTAGTATGTCTGGTCCCGGAAGAGACTCAATCACATAGCTCCGGTCTCCCGAAGAGCCTGTCGTGCAACGTGGGCCAGGGTCGGACATTGTCTCTGCATAACCTCTCTCTCTCTCTCTCGCCCATGTCGACACGATTGGTCAGAGAAAAGGGCTCTTGGGTCTAGTCCCAAGATTGGGGCTTGTCATGGAAGGTCTGCATTCAGCAACTGACTACGGGCTGCATTATCTAAGTTCGAGGAGTATGCACCAGTCCACTTCGGTTCCTTCCCACCAGCAAGTCCCAGTCTCTCACCCGAATTAAAGACAGCCGAGCTAATGCGCCTTGACGGGCAATGGTGGCGGTGGCACAGGTATGGTGTCGATTCCGCGAGGGCCGCTGCTTGGCCTCACTTTCAGGCCCTTCTCTGGCTCTCCGGCCTGCAATTTCTTGACCAGGTCCTCCGGATCGAAGTCCACCCCCACGGGATTCTCGGCAAAGGCCGGCGAGACCATGAACTCGTTGGCCGCTTCCACCGTGTCAAAATTGTCGACCTGGGTCTCCAACTGGTTGCCGTCCGGGTCTTGATAGTAGAAGCTTGTGGTGGGACCGTGGTTGACCGACCAGATCGGCTCGATGCCCTTGGACTTGCGCTGTCGGTAGGCGAGGGCTAGGTCTTCGAGACTGTCAAACGTAAAGGCGATGTGCTCCAGTCCGGCCGAGGTCTTGATTTTGTCCGTCGTGCCAGGCACCGCTCCGATCGCGATGCGATGGTGCTCCTCGTCGTAGGTCAGAAAGGCGAGAAAGTCGTTCTCGTAGGTCGCCTCGGCCCCCAGGAACGTCTTGTAGAAGTTCACCATCTCCTGGTAGCGCGGCGTGCGCAGGACGACATGGGCCAGTCTGCTGGGAGACTTGACCTTGGGGGTGGGACGATCAAAGTCGACGACCATGGTTGCAAATTTCCTCTTGAAAATTGTTACCTCCTGTTTGTCTCGCAGGAAAATTTCGGACTTACATGTCTTCAAATAACTTTGCTAGATAAATGTTCGAGAAGAATTCTTGTAGCTAGACACTACATCAACCCTGCTGTCGCTACGTGAGCACAACCGGTCTTGTCGCAGACTTGGGGTCCAGTATATATCTACGTTCACTACCCATCAAAACCTTCGTCGCCTTTCGACTTGAGTGTTGGCTTCTGAAGCTTTCGGCCAACCTCGTGCGTCAAGCTGGCATCCAGCCTGTTGGAATCTACACACGCTGCCGCAATGACCGCGACGAGCCCAAAAGCGACACCAGTCAGATACACCGTCCGAAACGACTTTTCGTACGCGAGGATCTCGACCCCCTCGACGGCCAACAGGATTTTTGTCGTCATATCCGGGACCGCAGTCACGGCCGTGGCATTGCCTGGGCCAATTGCTACGAAAAGATCGGGCAGGTCTTTCGCAGGTAGCCCGGCGGCCAAGGCCGCCTTGGTCACATAATGCGGAAGATTCGACGACAATTTGTTTTCTAACTGTAGATCACAAAAGTCAGCTAATCAAATTGGTCCTCGAGACAGATCTGTGCCCAGGAAAACGTACAATGGTGACATAGATGGTATCTGTCCACGGAAAAGTAATGTTAGCTTCCCAGATGATGTAGGTAATATTCCGGCGCAAGCACTCACCGGCCAGGGACGCCAACAGGGTGCGGATCGAGAACTGAAAGCCAGTGGCGACTCCGATGTCTTTGACATCCAACATCAACGGACCTCCGGCGAGGCAGATGGTCTCGGCCCAGCCTATGGCGGTGCTTTGGATTAAGGCAAACACCACATTTTCAGTGAGCGAGTTCGAGGTAGTGGCGGTCAGGGCGCCCGATAAGGCGGCCAGGACGGAAGTCGCAAAGACCAATTGCCACTTGATCTTGGGACAGTACATGGTCATGAAGGCTCCAATCACATTGCCAGTATGTCGCCACCGGTGATTGCAGACTAGAAGCTTTTAGAATTCTACACAGCCTACCATTGGGACCACTTACACTTTTCCATCCAGCCTGTGTTGAGGACTGAGCAAACACGATCGACAACATCTCTGGGTAGACGATGTTCATGGCGAAGAAGTTCATTCCGGGGAAACTAGCCACGGTTGCGAGGGCCAGGTAGTTTCGGCTTTTGAACAAGTAGGTCGGGGTCAGAGGAAAGCGTGCTCGACCATAAACCTCTGCAAAGCCGCGTCAGGGACGTTGATGGCGGGCAAAAACCAAGGGTGGGACTAGGGTACTTACCGTAAAGTCCAAAGGAGACGAGAGCTAGTCCACCAATAACGAAGGTCGCAATGACGTGGGAGGATTTCCAAGCTGTTTGTGGGAACAGATCAGTCAAGGTGGACAAGCACGACAAAGAGATGCAGCCTACCATATGCTTGGCCTCCCCAAGAGATTGCGAGAAGAATGCACACTATGCCGCCAGCATACAGCACCAGACCGAGGTAATCGAGCCCCTTTAGAGTTTCGACACGGGAGGCGCGAGAATGCAGATGCTCGAATTTGGGAGGATGGTAGAAAAATATCATCAACAGCATCGAGAGACCTGAGAAGATGATCAAGAGGTAGTATACCCATCGCCATCCTGGGCCTGTGTTGTCGCATAACAACCGCGCTACGGACCCATCATCAGTAACGTTTCTTGTTGGGCGAACATGCAAGATATGGAACAGACGTACCGATGGCAGGACAGATAGCCTCAAAGGGTCCCAAAACGGATGCGATGATGCCGTAAGATGTCATGCGGTATGCGTTCGGAATGAGTTCTCCAGAGATGACACAGCCAGTGATCTGCACACCACATCCGATGCCACTCAAGACGCTACCATGAAGTCAGCTTCTGGGCTTGCGCTTCACTGGGGAGGGACATATAAGACTCACTCCTCCAATGACAGCATTGACACTCTTTGCCTGGCTACTGACAATGAAGCCTATGATGGCCAGCAGATTGCCGCCGATGTAGTACCATCGGCGTCCAAAAATATCGGAAAGACGCCCGAAGATGGTAAAGGTGACGGTCTGGCAGACGGTGAACACGAGGAGGACCCAGATGATCTGGGGACTGGGCCCTGTTGACCAGATTAATCAAAGCTCCAAAAATGAGTCCAAGATAAGATATACGTACCAATGTCAGCGTCGATCACATACAACACATTGGCAATCATGGTGTAGGCGAGGAATCCAGCCGCGTAGGAGAATATGAATCCCTGCGATGTGCAATCAGAATCCAGCTGCTTTTAGATGGGTTTCTGCTGGGCACTTTCTCACCAGATAGGTGCCGAGGAATCGAGGACTCCTGAAGTAATGCGCAGGCAAGTCTTGAGGCGAATTGCCTCCAATGGCCACTTCGTTGACAGAGTCAAAGCTATCACCAGAGTGGACCGGTATAGCCTCCTCCATCATCTCAGCCTCACCGAGCTTCTCTAATTGAGGGTTTGAGTGAGACATAGTGAGAATCAATATTCGGAAGATCAAGCTGAGGTAAGAGAGGGAAAGAGGAGTAAAACAGGGCGATCAGGATGTGCGAACACACGGTCGTCAGGGTCAGGTTTTTGTACTATGTCGACGACAAAGTCTATATTACAAGACACCCTACAAGTCCCAGCTAGATTCGGCTGTTCCGAGTCGATTGAGTGAACGTTCTCCGCCCCTGGACTGTGCGAGGCCATCATCCCGGATACGGGCGTGAAGACGGCTGGTTTATTCATCGACATCGGAGCCGGAAGACTCGGAGAGAACGAGAAGGATCAGATGAAGCATAGCTGGCTGCTCATGTACAAGATAGCGTCTCGATATCTACATTACTGACCAGAAGGCTTTGAGCAGATGGGCTGATCAGGCTCGGTTGTATCATGAACAAGGCTGGTGATAAATGTACGTACATAGGTCTGCCCCGTGGCCTGCACAGGCGACATGATACAGTAGGCTAAAACTAAGCACTGTCCAGTGCACAAAACCTGTCCAAGATCAACGCAAAGATGACCGTATGAGTCATGGTGCTTGCTACTGCCGACCCGGCTGGTCGGTTCCTGGACTATTCTCCTTCATTACCCCAGTTTATGGTCCAACCGGCATTCACCCCCACGGCCCCGTTGCTCCACCGCGAATCCGGGGAATGCAAGGCCCATTTTCGCCCGGGCCCCGGACAAGCTTGAGCTCGTGCTTGGATGTTGGCAAAATCGTCAAAAGACATAAGTCGAATCGATTCATCTCGCATTCTACATACTTCTTTCCTCTCAAACAAGCAGAACCATCCACTTAGCCACAGACTCCTTCACAGTGAGACCATCTGAAAAATACATATAGAAGTAAAACACTCTCGTCCTATTGTGTCGTGATCCCACGTCTTCTCTAGTTACTGAGAGGATAGATTAGAATCTGACTGCACAGGTTTCATCATGAGTGAGACTAACGGTATTGCCGGGAGCAAGTCTCTGTCCGGCTTGAAGGTTCTGATCTTCGGTGCTGGCTTCGGTGGACTGGCCTCGGCTATTGAATTGCAGGTACGAGGCGCCACGGTCAAGGTGCTCGAGTTGTCTCCGGACATGAGAAAGCAAGGTGAGTTGAGATGCATAACAACGTATCTATCGTGTGTTTGCTGAAGAGAGACCTCAAAAGGCGATGTCATCATGATGGGCCCCAACGCGACCATGATCATGAAGAAGTGGGGACAGTGCCTGCCGGAGCTCCTGAAGGGCGCCGCCCAGCCCCGACACATGGTGATCGCTAACAAGGAAGGCAAGGTGTACCTGCGTCAGGAGCTGGAACTGCACTTTGACGGCAACCCGGGCTGCTACACCAGCCGCGGCCGGACGCAGCAGATCATGTACGACCACGCCAAATCGCTAGGGGTCGAGGTCGTCTTCGACGCCCGCGTCACGGACGTCACTGAGACCGAGGAGTCGGCCACCGTCACGACGGCGGACGGCCAGACCTACACTGGCGACGTGGTCATCGCGGCCGACGGCGTCCACAGCAAAGCCCGCGCCGTCGTGGTCGGCGTCAAGGACCGGCCCAAGAAGAGTGGATTTGCCGTCTACCGGTCGTGGTTCGACTTTGCGGCCTTGCGACAGAATCCCAAGACCAAGTTCCTGGCGGACTCGGAGGAGGCACTGTTCCAGATGTGGATCGATCAGGACAAACACGCCATCATCACCACGAACCCTAATTTGCAGAAAGCCACTTGCTTTGTAACTCACAAGGTATGAATTAAGCCTCATGCCGGTCTGCTCACAGCTGATACGTTCGAATTAAGGACACAGCCGACATTAAGGAGGACTGGAATTTGCCCGGAGACGCTGCAGATATGCTGGCCATGGTGGAAGGTTGGGACTCTTTGCTCACCGAGGTGATCAAGCAGGTGCCTCGAGATTGTCTGATTGACTACAAGCTCCTCTGGCGAGACCCTGTGCGTAAATGGGTCTCGGACCACGGTCGCGTTGCCCTGGTCGGCGACGCCGCGCATCCTCACCTGTCGACGTCCGGCACGGGCGGTGCCCAGGCCATTGAAGATGCGGCCACGATCGCGGCACTGCTTGAGAAGCTGGGCAAAGGCAAGGCTGCACTTGCGTTAAGAGCGTATGAGAAATTAAGGTACGTTTCTTTCCACCGTTCGCTATGATAATGGCCCTTTACCCTCCTAGTGTGTCAGTGCTGACGAGTCCTCGTCAACAGATATGAACGGACCAGCCTGACGCAACGGATGGGATTCGAAACGCGACACGTGTGGTACCAGACGGATTGGGAGGCGGTGTCCAAGAACCCCGAAGTGTTGAAATTTCCTCAGCCGGCCTGGCTGAATGGTATAGATGCGGGCGACTATGCGACCCGGAGGTGCGAAGAGGTCGTTGCACACCTAGAGGGTGGTGCTCCGTTCGCCTCGACCAACATCCCAGATGGCTTCGTACATGAAGACTGGACGATTGAGGAAATGCTTGCCCATGAAGGCAAAAAGGGCGATTTCTACAAGACCAGGTAGCCGCCGTATGGATGACTGGGAAGAATCTATTAACCCCCACATCAGTATCGATGATTCTGGTCCGGAGCCTCGGAACGGCTCAGGCCGCACCTCCATTTTTACCTCGTGTAGACAAAGATCATAATGAAGTCGCTCCTGTACAGAGTCCAAGCTCATCGACTGCTTCCTCTCCTGAAATCTCATACAACATGTCCACCCAAGATGATAAAACCTCTTCTGGGCCAGTTACGATCCTTGCTCTCGTGACTCGAAAACAAAGCCTCACCACTCAAGAAATTCACAAGTACTGGATCGACAAGCATGGCCCTCTCGTGGGACCTTTTCTCTCCAAGATGGGAGCCCTCACCTATCGCCAGGTACGTCTATGATCTTGATAGCCTGGTCTGGCGGCTTCCAGAACGTGGATGTGGCCCTGACACGAAATCTTTGTCTAGTTTCACGTAGACCCTGCGACCACTTCGGTTCCCTACGACGGAATTGTGCAACTAGAGCTTCCATCGATGGAAACATGGGCCAAGCTCTCAAGCGACCCGTTTTACGAAGAGGTCGTCATGCCGGATGAAACAAAATTCTTCGAAACGGATAAGGTCGTCCTGGTCACGGGCCGGAATTATTCGGTGGTGGAGAATGGACAATTTGTACTTGAAAGCAAGTAATTGAGACCATCTGTAATCTGGCCCACTAGGAGTCAACTCCCCGACAGATCGGGAGATAGACCTAGTCTGAGTATCACATGGCGGAGCGACCCCGAGTATCATGACCCCGGACGGATGGGTTAGCCGCAATGTAACTAGCGGGGAACAATAAGAAGGCACGTTTCCCACGTATCCCTGCTTCCGGCCTGTACAGTGTGTATCCAGATTGGTCCCTTTTTGGGACCATGTACCTGTTTTCAAAATAGGTGTAGATCCTTCCTTCCTAGTAACGGTAGAGATATTGTAGGAGCCACAGGCCCACCATCGTTGCAGATGGATCCCAGCCGGCGTCTTCGTCACTTGGTCTCGACGGGGGCGAAGCTATCGACTGCGTCGAGATCTTTCACGTGTGACCAAAACCTACTTCACTCAGAAAGGTTGTCACCTATCTTTTTGGGGCGCGATGCGCTCACAAGACACATTTTCCATCACCGGTGCCGACACTTCACTACCCACGGTGGCAACAGCCTAGCCAACGTGGCCCCAGCTGTAACGATCCAGGAGCCCGCCACACCAGTTCAGGCAGACGAGCTCCCTTCTGACGTGGAATCACCCCCGCCAATAGTGATTGCGGACGGAGCAGGCGTGCAGTGGGATCTCTCGACTGACGTGCTCGTGGTCGGTTATGGCGCCGCCAGCACCGCCGCTGCGCTGCAAAGCCGCGAGTCTGGAGCAGAGGTAGTTACGGTCGACCGATTCGGTGGTGGCGGAGCGACATTCTGGAGCGGCGGCGTGGTGTACGCCGGGGCCACAGAGGTGCAGCGCCAGAACGGGGTCACCGATTCGAGCGAGGAGATGTTCAAGTATCTCAACGCAGAGGGCAGTCCGGTCAAGTCGTCGACGCTGCGAAAATTCTGCGAGGACAGTGCAGGCAATCTCCAATGGATCAGTCAACATGGCCTCCAGTACGGGGGCAAAGTGTTCCACGAAAAGACCGCATTTCCTCCTTTCCCATACAAGATCTACTACTCCGGTAATGAAGCCATGCCTTACTACGCGGAGAAGGCCAAGCCCGCTCCTCGAGGGCACATGGCGGCGGGCAAGGGTTTCGGAGGCGACAAGATGTACAACACCCTGCGCGACGCAGCAAACAAGGCCCACGTCGGGTATCTCCCTCACACCAAGCTAACTCGACTGGTGGTCGACAGCGAGAATCGTGTCCTCGGAGCTGAGGTGCACACGCTTCCACGAGACCGGTGGAAGCAGCACGATAAGTTGTACAAAACCGTCCATCCGTGGCTGCCATTCAATGCCGGGCGGAGCAAGAAGGCCATCGAGGAGGCGGCGCAACTGGAATCGGGCTCGACAACGCGGCGGCCGATCAGAGCACGTGGCGGCGTCGTACTGTGCACGGGGGGATACAATCGAAGCCTACGAGGCTTCCCATAATCGGCAAGTACTCACCTGTGCTGGCGAAGAACTACGAGAAAACCCTGCCACTGGGATCCATCAGCGACGACGGCACGGCATTGGGCTTAGGCGTCTCCGCAGGAGGTGCATTGGGACTGCTCCGAAAGATCAGCGTCTCACGCACCATGGTGCCACCGAATGTGTATGCACATGGGATTCTAGTGAACGCAAACGGCAAGAGATTCATCAATGAAGGCGCCTATGCCATGTTCATCGGGACCGAAATGTTGAATCAGCCCGATGGCAGGGGGTATCTGATCCTGGAATCTCGCCATTTCTGGTACGGCGTGTATAAATGCTTCTTCACTGGCGGGGCTTTTCTCCTCTGGGGTTTGCCGCCGTTGATCAACATCTTCTTGGGGGGTACTCGACGAGCGAGATCCGTCGGGAAGCTAGCGGCAAAGATCAAAGTGACGCCTGACGGCCTGAAGCAACAGATTGACGAGTACAACAATGCCAGCGTGCGTGGCGAGTTGGACAAGTTGGGAAAGCTGCAAAAGCTGTTCACCCCTGTCTCCAAGGGCCCCTTTTATGCCGTCAACGTGTCGCTGAGAAACAAGTACAATACCGCCCAAACCATTACCATGGGAGGTCTGGTCGTAGAGGAAGAGACTGGAAAGATTGTACGGCCTGACGGCAGATCCATTTCGGGGCTTTATGCCGCAGGCAGAGCAGCGGTTGGAATTTGCTCGGGTGGATTTGTGAGTGGCATGGCACTCGCAGATGCCATCTTCAGCGGGCGCCGTGCGGGCAAGGCCGCTGCGGATCAGGCGCTGTCCAAACATGGGAATTAGACGTGAAAGCCACGAACTTCTGACCTGATCTGCTCCATGTGTATTTCTCTCGTGACTGTATGGCCCAGCTCTGGCAATTGGGTTTGTTCCGTCGCCGCATTGCTCTCAACCATGATCGTCGCAGAACGAGGAATCAACCCGTGAGGTTCTTGGAAGGGCAAGGCATTCCCCGAACGGACGACGCCAAACAGGATCGAGAGTCTCAAAGCGGCGCGAGGCCGTATCTCACCATCGCGAGTTCCCCTGCACCGCGATGCAGATTTCTAAGAAATCTTAGGGAATACGCGTATTAGAGCTTAGACTCTTCTGGCGAAGGCTTTGACGTACGATAAATCCATTGGTGCGAAGTAGTACTGTTACGTGAGCCTCATGGGTCTGAGAAGCTGAGACAAGGTCGAATACTGTATCTATCAGTTTGATGGCGAGGCTGCGGGATTGAGGCGTCTGCCGATATTTAACCGTGTTTACTTCCTTGCCCGATTCGGCGAGCCGGCGATTTGGATATCGACGCGCTGCTTAAATATATGAGATTTCAATCAGCGGAACAGGCACTGTCATACTTGGGTTAATGACCTACGGAACATCATAGTTTATCATGCCATCAAACTGTATGATTCCCAACAATGATAGCAACTGCGAACCCTCCCTCGACCTCTGTCACCGACACAATCCGCGCCGAGCTCAACCTACGTGCGCCGAGCACGCATACACTGCAATACCTTCGCGCAATCCTTTATCCTGACGCAGCGAAAGTCAAACCTACTACCTGCCAGGCCAATAAGGCATCCGCTGCAAAGAGGCCAGTCAAAGCTCAAAAATCAACAAATGCAAAATCTAAGCCTGCTCGGGATGCTGACCCAGGCTTCCGCATTCATGCCAACGTCGACATCCAGACTTCCAATTTGTCACCAGCAGACCGGCGCAAGATCGCCACTGAAGCCTTTAATTCTACACTTAAAACCCTAGGTGAGGCTGCAAAGGCCGAGAAAGAGGTGGCGAAATCGCGGTTGAACGGGATCACGCCCTCAAGGCTTTCCCACAAAAAGGCTCCCCTACAAGAGCGGTCGCCGAACAAGGAGAAGAGAAAAGACTGTGACTACCAGAATAAAGCAAAACACGATGTACCAGGAACAAGTTGGGAGGAGGTCGTGGCATGCTGCCATTCCGCACTACAGTATCTCCGTGAACAAGAGGCTAGTATGACAAACACGGATAGCGGAAAGTCCTTGGGTACAGAAAATGCTGCCTTGATGTTGCTGGACAGAACAATCACATTAGGCTTGCCTCATCAAGCACAGGCCCAGCTCTCTGAGATTCACCAGAGGTCCTGTGGCGCGTCGGAAATGGCTTCTGGACCGAGCCTTGGGAGACTGTTCCTGGGCCGGTCAGATGCAGTGAAGCAATCCTCGACTTTCAACTTTACCACATCTATGCAAAGCCAAGGTCTTCGCCTTGCGATTCTGAGAGGTGCAGGGTGCATTGACATGGAGTTGTTGGACGCTTTGCGAGTGAGTAACGTCGGAAGTCCAGCTTCCATCACTTTACAAGGGCTTAAGGCGGGTCGACACACCTCCGAGCAGGCAGGTCAGCAACTTCGAACAATCTCGCTTGCTCTGGCGAAGCTGTATTCCAGTGCCACGAAGTCACCCAGTGACAAGGTCTCCCTCGACTACAGCTTCGAGCTCTTCTGTATTGCACTGCAGATCAAGTTCGAGTCATGGAAGCACCTGGGACATAAACCTGAACTGGAGACAGAGATATGGAGGCCATTGCAAGCGGCTGTTAAGAGAATGTCAGCAGGCAACAAAGATGTTGCAAAGTCATCGGCACTTATTTTCCACTACCTGCAACTGTTTCGAGAGCTACTGAAACTTGCAAACTTAGTCAGCGCCGTGCCACCAGCAATGATCGACCTGCTTGCCAATTTTCCCACGAGCTCTGGAGCGAACGCGGAGGTATTGATGTTGCTGGAAGAGCGCGTTGCGACGGCAAAGGATACGGATCTGCTGATTGTGAGGTGTCAGATCGCAAATTCAAGGCTAAAGAGCTACTCAGAAGCTCTGGGACCGACACTTGGTGCACTTCAGCACGTGGCTCACGCTTTTGAGGTTGCCTCCAGTCTCTCCGGGACGGAGCTCGAAAGAGTCTTACTTCATTTCGCCCAGCTTCGTAAGATGGCCGTCGAAGCGATGACTGCCATTGAAGCGAACAACTCAAAAGACCAACCCTCAAGCGAAGTGCAGATAGCGATCATACGTTTGCTGTATACTTCCTGCCGGTTCATCAGCCATCAGATTCGATCCAGACTGGATCAGACTTCCCGCGAACCTGCAGAATCGAGGAACGTTCCTCTACTGACCACCATGGTCAAGAACGTGGAAGCTGTCTTGTCCACAGACAGAAACGCCGTGGCCCATCGACCAGCCCTGAGCACGTGCGCTTACGATGCCATGGAACACGCTTCAGAAGCACTTGAGTTCTTACGTACAATGGTTTCGAGTGGTATCACGCACAGCTCGTTGACCTCAACCTTGGCCCAGCTTCGCATACGGCTATCACGGGCACTTTGGACTAGATTCCTCCATGCCGCAGATCAGAAACAGAGTTTACAGCAGCAGTTGCAATACTTGCAGCTGTCTCTCACTGGCCTCTCCGAGCTGGATGTGGAACATCAAAGAGCAGCCCAATTCGGGCTAAAGAATGAAAGATTGGCATCGTGCTATATGGACTTGGGAGACTATGCCGCAGCAATGCAAGCGGTCCGGAAGGCCATTGATTTCAGCGTGCGGGATGGCACACTCAGTGATGTGGTTGAACTCCTTCTGGCTGGCCCGGTGGATCGCGCATGGTCTAACCAAGACAAAAACTGCCGCACGTTAGCCATGAACCTCAACACACATGCTAAGATATCGTCAGAACATACCTCAGCGACAGAGGATGAGGAGCTCTTCTATGACTGCTTGTCTCTCCCAGCAGTGCATCGCGTGGTCATGCTAGAAAGGCAGATTTATACGCTGATGGAAAGGGATCTAACGGACCATCAACTCAAGTTCTGCATCTCACGTGTCAACTTCATCATGGAGCTCTTGCACCACAAGGAGTATCATGTATACAGATTGAGACTTGTCAGTAATCTCTTGCAGCTTGCTTTGAAAAGACGGCTACCATCAACCAAATTTCCCCTTGATGCTTTGTGCGTTGAGACCGGGCCGTCTGTGGAGAATCAGCGCACCAAGACCACCATATTTCTTCGCTCATATGAGCCAGTACTACGGCCATTGCTTCCTCTACAACGGATGCTCTTCACTGGAAGTGTCATCAGTCAGAATCTCAAAGCACCGCTCCATCAACTCTATGACGTTGTTCAACAGTGCAAAACCCTGGACGATGTCGATAAAGTGGTTGACAGTGCAGACACCCTAATGACCACGCTTGAGTCTTGTCTTGATTACGCGGCCATCTTGGGAAATCTCGAGCAGAGGCTGCTGATCGTGGATATCGTGTGTCACCTCATTCAACTTGGGCACCACGCCCCCAAGCACTCGGAAATGGCCATTTTGCTTCAGTCAGCGGAGATTCGAGACTGTCTTCAGGACTGTTCTTCCGCTGACTCTGCCTTCAAGAAAGCCAAGGCAGCAATGACAGCAATGGCAACAGAGAAATCCGATCCATTGTTGGAGGCTGAATTTGCGTTATCATATGCGGAACACTTCCTCAATATCGAAGACATGTCTCAATGTCTTGAGTGGCTTCAACGTGCGCAGCATGCCTGGAAAAGCCGCGACGCGTTATGCTCTTCCGGTAGAGGTCGCTTGAGAGAACAGACACTACTATGTCGAGCTGCGAGAGTTGCATCTCAAGTTGCCTACCACCGCCACCAGCTCTTGGAAGCAACTGTGTATGGAAGACAGTCTATCAAGATCGCGTCAGCCATCTGGATGTCAACAGAGAAGTTGTGGGAAGTCGACGATACTCCTCCAAGAGGTCATGCGAATGATTCTCAACTGCAGGGGCTTGCAGGGGACTTCTGCAAGCTTGACCTGTCATTCCAGCGTACAAGCCGGCTGACAGCTGATATGGCCCGACTCTGGCCGCAGATCCAGCTATATTGCTCTGCTTTCAGGAACGCGGGGTTTCTAGCTGAACACAGCGGTCTGTATCAGGATGCTGTCTACTTTTACGAACAGGCTCTCAAAGTCGCCAGGAAGACTTCTCAGTACAATATCGGGCGTCTCATCCAGACTGAGGTGGCTTTGATACATGCTCGGGCTGGTCACCTTGAGAAAGCGAGAAGTCAGGATTCAGTAACACATGTGCATGGTGGCAACATCGCGGTCATGCAGGCGCTCACGGCTGTCAATCAAGGCGAACTTCATTTGCTGCTTGGCGATTACACCTCGTCTCGCAAATGCCTGGTCGAATCGGGCAGGCTTCTTCAGGTCAAGGCCTGTGCTCCTCTTCAGCCCGGCTCCGGTCCAAAGAATAAAGAGAAGGCTCTGGAAGCTCCTACCAAAGCCAAAGCACCGGTCAGGAAGCCGGCACCCAAAGCATCGACGCGAGATGAAGCCGCGCCTAAGAGGCCGGCTCAGAAGGCGATCCTCAAACCAAACCCTCCTAGGACTTTCAACGAGGTCAACGAGCGCAACTTGCTTCTGGAGAGGAAATTGAACCTGGCAGAACATCCACAGGACGAGATCAGTCGCAGTATGTCCACGATGGACAATGTCAACAGCTTTGTACTCCCTCGAAAGTACGTGGTCGAAGCTCTCGGTCTGGTGGCGAACGCGCTGGGAATGTTTGCTCAGGATGCAGACACAAACGTGTTAGCAGAGACGGCGATGGCCATACCGGTGCGGTACAGGTCTTCGAGAAAAAGTGGGAGAGTATCATTTGTGCAGATCGGCGTGTCACAACGGCTGATCGACGACAAAAGGGTACGAGGCAAGCCACGAGACGTCCGAGGACCGCACAACGCAATCAAGGACGGCAGGGATGTCATCATCCAGGCTTACGAAATCCTGTCGAAGCTGAAAGAATTTCCTCAAGCTCGAATATCCCTAGACATGATTCACACCGCACGTAGGGCATTGACGCAAATTAGCCTCCTGTCTACTGGCTTGGGCCATCCGTTGGTCCCTTCGTCTTTGGAGCTGGTTCTTGACGCCTTGAATCCCATGGATGTTGCACTGAACAGGGAGCGCATTGTGGTGTTGAGCGAGTCGGCCACAGCAGACAAAGCGCGGATGCAAAGCTGGCCAGAGTTGGGAGCCACGAGTGTTGCTAATCTAATAGCAGACTCGGAGAGTGGTAAGGCTGTCGATACGAGTCTGCTACCGCCTTCATGGTCGATCGTGTCCCTTGGTCTCAACGAAGCGAGGACTGAGCTCCTCGTGTCACGGATCACCACAGGTACTTCACCGTTTATGCTCAGGATCCCGCTCTCGAGACCAGATATCTCTGACACGGAGGTTGACGAGCTGGATTTTATCAGTGCGAAGACCGAAATGCTCAGGATCGTTGCACAGGCTAACGCGAGTGCACATGACGCAAGAGGTAGTTCAGCGGATAAGGCTGTGAGAAAAGCATGGTACGCTGAACGGCAAGCCTTGGATCAGCAGCTTGCGACACTGTTGGAGAACCTCGAGAATGTGTGGTTTGGCGGGTTCCGTGGACTGCTTTCAGGTTCCCAAGTCAACGAAAATGCCCTGTTGAAGTTCGGCCAGAGCTTTTCTCTGACACTCAACCGACACCTCCCTTCGCGGCAAAAGACTTGCAAAGCATCAGACGCCAAAGTTGAGCTTCACGCTCATGTTTTGGAGCTTTTTGTGACGCTGGGCGATCCTCGCGAAGCTGATCTAGAGGACGCTATCACAGATCTTCTTTATTTTGTGATCGACATCCTCCAGTTCAATGGAGAAAGGAACGCATACGACGAGATCGACTTTGACGCCATGATGGTCGAAGTACTTGATGCTTTGTACGCTTACAGCGATGAGACGGCCAAAGCACAAGGTGACAAAACAAGCTCGCATATGATATTGCTGCTCGATAAAGAATTGCAAGTCTTTCCTTGGGAGTCCATGGCGTGTTTGCGAGGCCATGCAACGTCGAGAATGCCTTCGTTGGGGGCTATTTGGGACCGTCTCAACGCACTTCGGATACAGGAAAAGAATGCCGCCGGTTACTGTATTCCAAGTTCGGACGGCGCATACATCCTCAATCCGTCGTCGGATCTCATATCGACACAAGACACTTTTGGTCAAGTCCTGGAGGGTCAACTCACGGGATTCGAGAGTATTGTCAATCGGCCCCCAAGGGAGACCGAGTTTGAGAAGATCCTACGAGACAAGTCACTCGTGCTTTATTTCGGTCATGGCGGAGGAGCCCAATATATCCGTGGTCGTACGATCCGCAAGTTGGACAAGTGCGCGGTGACGATGCTGATGGGCTGCAGCAATGCCAAGATGACCGAGTGTGGAGTATATGAGCCATATGGGATGCCTTGGAACTATATCAATGGAGGCAGCCCGGCCGTCGTGGGAACTCTATGGGATGTCACGGATCGAGATATTGATCGATTCGCCATGGAAATGATGGTTGACTGGGGCCTCATTGAGGAAGATGGTGCTCCTCAGGTCAAGCCAAAATCAGGCAAAAAGAAAGCAGATATACCGAGTGATGCACGAAGGAAGCATTGTGCCACACAGCAGCGTGGAATGGTGTCTTTGGATCAGGCGGTCGCACATGCTCGGGATGCCTGCTTGTTGAGGTATTTGAATGGAGCTGCTCCTGTTATGTATGGGATTCCGGTATTCTTGGAATGAGTGCTGCAATGAGGAATAGGCAGCACCTTGCAATCACATTATTTTTCGAAAGTATACAATCTTAGTAAGTACAAGTTGTGGTAGTGTATGCCGGGGGGGCTCGGGGCTTATTTTTAGGCTGACAGCGACAAGGCGGTATGGATTATAGAGGGCCTGATGCCTGATAAGCCCGATAAGTTGACCCGATAGTGTCGCACCGTTGGCCCCAATCTAGTACGTCAGTGACAGCTTTCGGGCATTAATTGGTTGGTCGTCCATGCAGCTATTGCGTCTTCACTTTGGGCAACTGCCATTCAACTGCATTGCATTGCATTGCCCAGGTTGACTTGTAACTGCGTATCTTCCTGCAGCGTCACATACAGTAGCCTCAAGGCAACCATCTTTCTGTCTCACCGGTCCTCACAGCAGCATTATTACCTCTCTTTCTGCTTTCACACCACCGTCTCTGATATTCTTCCACTGTACACTCTCATGCAACTCGACTCACACCGTCGTCAATCCAGCTTCACCATGCCCTGCCCTTGGTCCCGTCGCTGCAGAGCAGCCTCAGAGAACGATGCCTCGCCTGTTACTACTGATAGCCTACCATCTCCCACGACGGCCACGGATGTCGATGATTGGAAGAAGATACGAAAGGAACATCTACGTACAATGAGGAGATCAGTCAGGCACATCGTCCTGCTTATGGCCTTGATGGAAGCCATTCGTGTTGGACCGATCCAGCTCGTCTTTACAGGCAAACACGGGTTCCCCGACGCAGGCCAGGACGACTTTGGTGTACGTTCTACACCTCTCACAACGCAATTGGAATCACACTGACGAAATGACTGGTACAGATCGCTTACAATGTCGGCTACTTCCTCAGCTGGTTATACCTATGCGCCTTTATGGTCGTCTATGTCCCACTCTTTAGCGTAAGTACGTTCTAGATTTGGCATCAAGAGCAATCATTAACAGAGGCACAACAGTGGTGGCTACCCAACTTCAACTCGTCCTCCGAAGCCGATCGTAGCAAGCCCTACTATGGCAGCAGCCTGGTCAAAGTCCTTACTCAGATCAACATGGTTCTCCTCCCACTATCAATTGGCTTAACTTTGATTACCTATGTTTTCTACGGAATCTCTGCCTTGGTGTACGTCGACTCCCGGCCCAAGAACAGCATGAGACTTCCTAAGAACACCCGCAAGAACTGGCTCGTGCGATTGTACATGCTGGTCGGCATTGCGATGACTACTTCACTTGGATACAGCGCCTTTAACATCCTGGCAAACTTCGATCTCGCTCACGTCAAGACATATGAGTATGTTATCATTGTGGTCCCTGTTCAGATCAATCTGGGCATCCTCCTTGGTACAGTCATGCAGTTCAAGATGGACAAGAGACTGGCTCGCAAGGAACAAGCTTTCAAGAAAGTCGAGACTGAGATCAGCACTGCCGCTGCTGACGAGAAGGCTGCACTTCTCGAGCAGGAAGTTTAGATCACTTCTCCAAGTGGACTTGCGGCAATGGGCATTAATCTAATGGACATGTCGATGGCGATGGAGTAATGCATTGTTGGACAGATCCGGTGGACGATCTGATCTTGCTTGCCAACGGCCACATCTCATCTGGAGACAGGGACCAAGACCGAGCCTGGGCTTAGGAAGCCCGGAACGGCCTCCTCACGAAAGACAATCGTTCATAGACTTGGAGAATAGGATTAGGTCTATCTAAGTTTGGGAAAAGTGCTGTTCTGCTTTGACTCAAAGTCAACCGGTCCTCGTGGCCGGATTCGGAGTCGATGCGTACGCGGCACAGCCACGAGCTGGATTGGGCGAAGAAGAACCCATGGTCAGTGCTTGACGGAAGTAACCTCACGATGGAGTTTGGGTTTTGAGTACTATGGACATCCTTATAGTTCGAGATATCAAATAATGAGACGAGCAGGCGGATATCTGTACCAAATGGCCCTTTTGATGATTCATGCAATTGATCATTCTGTTAATGATGGTTTTTTCACAGCTGCAATCATCGCCGCTGGTTTCTAAAGCATTGATCCTCCCGACTGAAAGGTTTGCATTGACTGCTGTGTGAGTAAAGCGCTATACTCCTGGGAGCCTTGTAAACCTCGACCATAGAAATATAATCCGTACAAGCACTGTAGCTAGGGTTCACCATAGTTGTATCATTTCTGCTGCACTTACAGAGAACCCGGAAGCAGCGCCACTAGGAAACATAGAAGAGTACTTTTGGTAGACAGATCAATGGGTATCATGATTTAGATGGTACATGGGAAATATAAGACTCGAAGGTCATATCCTTCGCCCCAATAAATTGAGCACAAGAATTGGTGTTTGCATTTGCATCTGCAAGAAGCTCGCTCACGTCAAGCAAGTAGGTCACCAGGCATCATCCTGGCCTAGCATTTGGGGTAGTTGCGGCATATCTCTCGGTCCACGCGGTCTCTCACCCTTGCGTAGTTGTCGATCGCGTTCTTCAAGACGCTCGACTTCACGTTGGTGCTCACGTTCTTTCCGTTTCGCACGCTCTTTCTCTCGCCGCGCATGTTCGCGCCGAGATTTACTCGTCGACAAGTGTGTGTTTGTGTCGGCCGTCTCCAATGCCCCCGGCCCGCCGAGGATTTCGTAGCTGTACGTCTTGCTGGTGGGGCTGGGCGCGGACCACGGCGCGATTTTGGTGCTCTTTACGGGAGGTGATGAGGCTGGCGCGATGGGTGGGGCCAGGCCGGTTAGTGTGACGGCGGAGCGGGTTAGAGAGGAGAGCGCACTGGCGCTGGCGTTGGCGCCGCCGCTGGTCAAGGAGATGACGAATCTGGTGGGAGATGAGATGGCGGTTGGGAGCGCTGTGGTAGATCGGTTCGGAGTTGATGGGGCTGGTGTTGTCAATATGTCGACGCTGGATCGGGATTCGGGGATACAGGCGAGTGGGAAGCGTGACTTGGGGCCGCCGTCTGCGAGGTAGTAGCTTCGTGAGCGGGCGATTTGGGGACGTGATTGTTGGGTTTCTGGACGGGGGCCGAAAGGTCGGTAGCCGGGGCGGAGGATGGCGGGGATGGGTGGGATAGGGAGGGATTTGTCTTTGTCAATGACCTTGGATATGTTTGGCCAGGCTTCGCTGTCGAGTTCGTAGAGTTCGGGGGACGGTGTTTCCTGGGGTGTGAGTGCTTCTTCGTCGCTCGCTACCACGGTGAGGGTCTGAGAGGGGCGAGATGATGAAGCATCGCTTGTTGTGCGGATGCTTACGGTTTTGATGATGGGTTGAAATCTGAGTTCGGGAGTTTCGGCTCTCTCGGTGATGGATCCTGTGTTGAGGCGGCGCCGGACCGCGATGATTCGGGGCCATAGTTGGGCCAAGGGGTGGCGGATTGATGGGAGACAGGCACATATTATGCCAATGTTTACTTCGACCGTCGACCAGACGGCGATGGATGCGTTGTCTTTGTTGTTGACTGTTGCAGTGTACACGGAGGTAAGGCGGACAATGGAGGCTATACAGACACTAGATGCTATGATTAGTTGGGGTCGAAAGAGGAGAAACTCGGCGGTGTGCACATACAATGCTCCAAGAACGAAGATGCTGGCCAGAATGGCCATTTGTTTCCTAGGAAGTTGAAGGGCGCTGAGGACTGGGATTGGTAGAACGATAACAATGATGTCGGTTGCGGAGTTGAAAGAAGCGTTGAAGAGCCAAAAGGCAAGAAAGTTGATGCATTTGCCGCCGGAGAGCTGACTGTTCCAGCTATATGCGATGGGTCGACAGGAGAAAATGCCGACGAAGAGAGCAGCAAGGCCGTAGACTGTGACGATCGCGCCCAAGGCCCAACATGCACGGCGGTAGCCTATGTCTTTCGAGAAGCGGAGATATTGTAATAGTAATGAGTCCTTGAGGAGCAGGACGGCGAGGTTGTAGGTTATATTTGATGACCATAGTTGCTGGCCAAGGAAATCAGCTTGCGAGTATAAAGAGAGGTGAGGATATTGTTGCTTACCCTTAGCAAGTTCGTCATGGTGTCCTCGTTGTCGGTCGAGGATGTTTGTGATGAGTTGTGTGTTTCTAGATCAATGTTGGCGAATGTTGTTGCTGTGATGAATGTCCAACTTACCTTCTTGAGTGACGACTGCCAGTCCCAGGGCAGCTGCCCAGGCGAGAGCAATGAGGATATCATCTGGTCCGACATGCTTCACAAAGGCAATGCGAGCCACAAACCGAACGAAAACAAAACAACCAGATAGTGCCACCAACGTTATAGCCGAAACCGCTGCAGATTCGAAGGAGGCCATCCTCGTGGCATCGCTTGCTGATGCTGCAAGGCAACGCAATACACCGCGCAATCCAGGATATCAATTGAGAATGGCAGTAGGATGAAAAGCACGAGGCATAATGGATGGCGTTGAGGTAAAGGCACAAAAACAAAGAAGATCCATTTCAGCCACAGAAAACTTGCCGAGTAGGAAGTTTACCAACTCACATGGTCATTGCGGGTGCTATAGCAATATGACTTACAGGCGTGGAGGTGGGAAACCATAGTGACACGCACAGATCAGTTGGCTCGAACACCAGGTCCAGTATTGTCCGAATTAGAGCTTTGATGAACAGTGTAGTCGTACGGCAAAGGGTTCAGGCAGGGACAATTGTCTTCGTATGGAGTCTAGATTGCGGATGATCGGACAGCCACTTACATCTTCACATTGCGGAAGGTTTGCAGTTTGGTGGCCAGACAGCGAGCATGTCGCATTCGAACTGTGGAAGAGTGAGAGAGATCGAGATGGAGGGAGAAGGGAGAGGCGTCCGCGCCGCGGAGAAGGAATGGATCAAAGTATTTCCGTTCCGCAAGGCTGAGCACAGACCAATGACAGTGACACTAGTACATCTATTTATTGATTCAAGTGTATAGAAAATTCAACACATAGTCTCATAGAACAACTCATATTGATTCTGGAACAACCATTAAGAAAGCCTAATGCTCTTCCAGCCCCTGCCTTACTCAACAATGAGATCTCTCCTCCAGAATTCCCAAAAACCACCACGTGTACTATGGCGCTGAGAGCACTCTCCTTCCCTTGACCTAATCTAGAAGAAGCAGACACGCCCTGTGCGGCACGGATGTGCTCTTCAAGCACAGGGCAACCTATGCCACCTCCACTTCCTACTCATCAGTCGTGCGCCCAGTGGTGTGCCTCACGTCAAAATATGGAAGCTCGAAAACCCTTCCACGCTAATGCCGCACCCCAGATGTCGTGGTCTCGAACATGTTCAACTGCCGAACAACCTCCTTCCACGCGGTAGCCTAGACACCCCGCCGTCGAGAGTTCATGGACAGTATTTCTTTTCGCCCATGCAGAGCAGGAAAGGAAAACTCCTTACCTGACCCTGTCCAGCCCGACTCGCTCTTCCGGCTTCCCCGAACTCCCCATCAACCTTTTCTACGTTCTTGTCCATGCTCCAAGCTCGTTCCACATTCACGTTGACGAACCCAACCTCATTCATCAATACTTCCATAGTTTCGAGGTGAATTCCGTGCCTTGCGACACCTTCCATCCTCGATCTGGCGTGAAAACTTTTTGAGTCCGGTCCAGCGTCTTCATAATCGGTGAGTGCTACCCACGCGGAGTGCTTCAGGCAGTCCTTCATAGTAGTCAGGACCTTTCCCAGGTCTGGGATGTGGTGCAGGACCAAATGAGAGATGATGAGGTCGAATCTCAGACGGGGCCCGTTCGGGTCTGATTCGTCTGCCGGTGGGAGACGCTTATCGTCGGCATCCTCCAGCAAAACAGCCAGCGGGTAGATGTTTTGTGGCGCGCCTGGCTTTTGCAATTTGTTCTTGAGAACCTCGATCATTCCAGGAGCGGCGTCTACAGCCACGACTCGCTTGGCGTAAGGCGCAATGATGGACGAAAGCAGTCCCGTGCCGCAACCGAGCTCCAATACATCCAATCCATTTTGCCCTGGTGCGTCCTTGAGAGCAGGAAATTTTGCCAAAATGGCTTTCCAGGCCTGTTTACTGGCTTCGTGCACGAACGGGTTGTTGTCCCAGTTGGCGGCTTCGTTGTTGAACCGTTCATTCCCGGTTGCAGCGTGCAGTGAGGAGGCGGCGGTAGCCATGGTGAGAGATGGTCTTGTGGTATCTGATGCAGGACAATGCGCCACACATGCCAACTTTATACCTATATCATGCTATGACTGTCGTCGTTGATGACGCTATATTTCTTGAAAGTTGTAACTCTACTGCGACAAAATACATCACCACGGCGGCATGGCTCAAAATTTCCATGTCTGACCACTGTGCCGAGGTTCGTTGACCCCTCTTCGCAAGGCTCAAAAGCATCTAAGACTTTGTCAGGCAAAATAGTATTTGAGTGCCGCGGAATCTTGATGCCGGCCAGTTGATGACGGAAACCTTCGTTAACAATTTTCTTCTGTCAGTGGTTCAGCCACGACGATGTCATTGTGCTGAAAGCAGGCGAATTTCGTGAAGTGAGAAATGAACCACGTGTGCAACGTGCAAGGCTGAGTACAAAAGGAGCTGTCCACTTGAGACGTGTCTGCCGCTGCACGCTAACAAGACTGGGGTCATCAGAAGACAGCAAGTGACAGTTGACTGGAGGAAGGCCTTGGAAGCGAAGATGCTGCCCATCGAGACAAGCCTAGCCTCAGTCATAGCTTGCAACGTGATTGCCCCGTAAATGCAAGTTTGTCGCATAGAGTCCTTTCCGAATCACGAAAAGTATGTGCCCTCAGGGTGCCATCATCGATCTCGAGGGGTGGTGGGTGCGAGCAACAAATGGAGTGACTTGTCGACTTCTATTGAGTATCGAGGGCACCAAAAGAGGAGAGCCGGGTGAATGTGGGAAATGGACATGAAGGTCGATGATGCTTGTACTGAAGATAAACCGGCGCTCTCTCTTTTCACGTGCCACGGAGGCGTCGCGCGGCGCGCGCAAGTATCGGGTTCTCACTCGATACTCCAAAAAATTCCAGTGCCACTAAGTTATTGTTATACACCTTCACAGCCTTCACGCTCCTTACTGACTTATATTGTTTTTCAAGGCTGGTCTTGTGCGACATCCAATAGTCGGACTACATACATAACATCCTCATATGCTACCACTTCCTGTCAGGCAGCATGCATGTCTACAATGTCGAATCAAGTACCTCACCCGCGCCATGTCTATCAATGCGCTCCGGTCCCCGTCTTCTGCGCCAATTCCCTCTTCCTCCTTAATGCGATGGTTCAATCGACATCTTCGAAGCGATATACGGCTCAATCATACTAGCGGTCCAGCGAAGCCGAGTAAAAAGAGCAGACGTCCAAGAGTGAGCCCAAGGCCTGGAACGGAACGTGTACCTGGAGCGCCTCTAGTCTCCAAAAGGTCTCATACCCAGATACTTGATCTCATCCAACTCAGGCCTGTGCTAGGGAGTTTTACGGAGACACTGCCATCAACCACGCGAGAAAATGTGGCTCTAGAAGAAGTGCTGAAGGGCGTAGAGTCCACAGGACACCTAGACGAACGGTCTCGAAGAGCGGTGGCACTTCTCCGCAAAGCCTTTGCAGGAAGAAGCTATGACGACACTGATGCTAGTCTTGGGCTGCTTGCGTCCAAAGGCCCTGCACAACGGAGTCGGGTGACTGACGAGCCTACCAAGGATCTTCTAGTGACTCTAGGCCTTCTCCGACCGCAAAGAGGCATCCAGCCGACTAGAGTCAGAAGAGTTGAAAGCAATTCCAGTAGCGAGAAGGGACCTGTCTTGCAAGGCGATCCTCCTTCGACGGAACCCGATGTAGTTGTTCGAAAAACTCCCTCCATTGGAGCCGTGCGCAGACTCGCATCTGCAGACCACAAAGAAAAAGTTCAAACATTGGAAAAGGAATATCTTAAGGAAGCTACTTTGGATGATTTTGCGTTCGTTCCTCTGGCGGTTGAGAGATCACAAGTGCCTGGCTTGGGCCATGATCTGTCTCGTGTCCTCTTCAACCCTGGTGTCTATCAGCTGCAAGACCCGAGGTCAAGAGTGTGGAACTTTGACCCATACTTGGGCAACCTCATGCCTGTGTCGGAGTTCAATTATGATGCTCTGAACAAATACATCACATCCTCCGAAGACTCCAATCTGCGCCAGGTTGCGTTGCAGCATGAGAAGCGCTACATAGGCTCTACTTCCAGCATGTCCGGGGTTCTATCCCACTTCCATTTCCTCCTCTCTTCCTGGCGCGAATTGACCCTGGACCATCTATCCCGCGGGTTTGTGGATGATGGACACAAATTCACCAGGATTCAAAGAGGGCCAACAGCAATTTTCTTACGGTATAAAGATGGCGTCTATGCTGTTGACGCGGACAAAGAATTTGACTCGGCGAACGTTCTCATGAGCTTAGGCCGGTCTATGGAGAAACTCTTGACCAATGACAAGGATGAGTTCGAACGATTCAGGAGGACACATGATATCGAGAACGATTCGCAGGTTCAGTCCACAGAACCCGAAGCATATCACTATACCGGACTTGGGTCATTCCTCATCCGGTCTCAACTCGACGCTCATGATCCAAGACTCCCAGGAACGGGTATGTTCGACCTTAAGACTCGGGCGGTAGCAGCGGTCCGGATGATGGTCAGGCAGCACGAAACAGGTGCTGGATACCAAATCAAGGAGAGATTCGGGACGTGGGAATCGTACGAACGGGAATATTACGATATGATGAGGTCGGCCTTCCTCAAATACTCACTACAAGTGCGGATGGGCCGAATGGACGGCATATTTGTGGCCTACCATAACACTGAGCGTCTCTTTGGATTCCAATATATCCCTCTCCCGGAGATGGATCTGGCGCTGCACGGGCAGACCGACATTACCCTCGGAGACCGCGAATTTCGGCTCAGTATCAAACTTCTTACTGATATCTTCAACCAGGCAACGCACAAATTTCCCGAGCAGTCTCTGAGATTTCACTTCGAGGCCAGGGAAGCAACTAGTGTCCAAGCTCCTCATATGTACATCTTCGTGGAGCCAGTTTCGGACGAGGAGATTCTCGAGATTCAGAACTCCAAAAAGGAAGAGGTTGCAGCATTTGAGGAACGGATCTTCAATCCAAAAAGGGCAGACCAAGTCCAGCGTGGCCTGGAAGAAGAGGACCAAAGAGCCGCAGACGATATCACAGAGCCGCTAAATCAGACAGTCACTCCTGATGCTGAAGGGCCCGGAAGTGCCAAAGCAAGCAAGGACCTGCCAAGTCCCTCAAATGCAGCCGACGTCGAATTCCTTGACAGTCTTATGGACGTGGATTTGAACGCTGCAGCAACCACGGCTCCGGTCAGAGAGACCGAAGCTCAACCAGCGCAGGAGCCGAAAGAGACAAAACCGATCTTGGGTTGGAAGTTGAAAATCAGCAATATCGTCAACGGGCTTCCCGTGACCCGCCCTACTGACCTCAAGGCGTCCGACGATTGGAGCATTCGATACGCACTCGTCCCGCTTGCTGAAGGTGTATGTCAACGGAACTATGCTCTATGCAAGAACCGTCGCAAAGCTGTTCTTTCAGCTCCACAAGAAGGAGACGACTCCGTTCGCTTCTATGTCAAACGCTTGATTTCTATGAGCCAGGAAGGTGCCAAATGGCGGCGACGATTAGACGAGTTTGATGCTCAGCGGGACAGAGTGGTCCTCTACGGCGACCGAAGCCCTAAGGAGAGCACTGAATGATTTGAGTTGTCCCGAATATGTATAATAAGGACGAGAATTTGGATTCCAGGTCTCAAACATGCATTCAGCTGAAAAGATTTGGGAAAAGAGATACTCCTTGTCTGTCAGAAACATGTCTCATAAAGGAGTGGAGGCCTCGAGGAACAAGCCATCTGGTGCAGGAGATATTGGCATGCCACAACAGTGCGGTACAGCCACAGGGGACTCCCTGTTCCTAGACATACCCGATGTCGTGTATTATACCTTATCACCCATAGAGAGATGATGTTCAACTTTGGTGTTGTAGAGATGCTTTCTGATATCAAGGCAATGTCATGGAACCACGTGCAGATCATACGGAGAGTTTGAAACTACTGTCAGTATGTGGCGTGAGCCGGCAATCGTCCAGGGCCATGCCCGCAACTCGCCAATCGCGTAGACCAGCTGGATAACGAAGCGCCCACAGCGCCTATAACGATGACACCAATGGGCCCGGGCGATAACGCAAGAAGCGGCCTTCCTCTTTGCGGTGTTTGCCAATCCATCCACGCATGCACCTGGGAGTGCCGATCGAAAAGCCTGCATCATACCCACAGTCAATGCGGAACTCTCTGTCCTCTGGTCGGTTATTCGTCATGCAGGCCTGGATACTTCCTCCGCGTCTGCCACTACTTCTTCCTTGTCTACCATGATATTGCCCGACATCCGATCCACCAATGCTGCCGACGCTGTAAACTTGGTTGGCAGTGGTGGATGAAGGCAAGATCTACTCATTCTCCTCAATTTTCACCTCATCTTCCTTGTATCTCCTCAATACTGACTCCTTGTCCTACACGTCAATCTCCTGAGACGCCCTATAGGTGGCTAAGTTTGGCGGTATCTCGTCAATATATTGCCCTTCGAGCATCACCAAGTTCTAGACACGGCGCACAGTCTCCGAGACCTCGATCCTACCAGAACTGCTTTCTTTAGACAAGGCCGAGTCGCATGCCATATTGTCCACGTTCGACGGCAGTGTTCCGAACCCTGGAACGATCGGACTGAGTTAAAAGAGACGGGAACACTAGATGCTGGCAGGTTGGCACCTGGAAAGTGCCGGATCGTGAACATGCGTGCTTCGAACTGCACCACGTTCCCCTGAGACCGCCCCCAGATATTCACCTCCTGGGTAGTGCAGTTAATCTGCTGCTGGAAAACAATTGAAATCTGTTTGCTTGATCAAATAAGCCCAACATGGCGGACAAACGCAGAAGGAAGAGCCTCAGCATCTTCCGCCAGAAAACAGAGCATGCTCCTCCCATACAAATACCTGCGAGTCCTCTGCTAGAGAAGCAGTCTGGAGACCATCTACCCAGTCCCGTCGGATCCGAACATTCGAGTCCAAAGATCCGTCCGAGGACTTTACAAAGATCCAGTCGCGGCTCTGTCTTTGGTTCGATACGGTCACTACATTCATTGGTTGAAGACGAGAAGGTTGCTCTCACGAGGTCTGACTCCAAGGCTTCTTCACTCCACGAGGAAGGCGAGACTTTGAGCATGAAGGGACTTTTCGGTCAGAAAGTTCTTCAGTATGGCGAAGTGCAAGCATCTGGGACAAATGTCTTCCGGAAGAAGACCCAATTCATGGTCCTCACAGAGTCGCACCTTATTCGCTTTCGCAATCAGGCTAGAGCTGTCGAGATGTTTCCAAGTATTCCGAATGGGCTTGCCAGGGGTCACACGCCACGAACTTCTTCTGTGGGCTCTTATCAGGAATACCAGTCGCTATCACATTCAGACATAACCTCAGGTATTCCTCTCGATCAGGTTGTTGGGGTCTACAGAGTCGACGATGGTCGACCCTCCGTTACAGTTGAGGTGGCCTACCTGGACGAACGTGCCAAAAGATCGGCCATGATACAATTTCAAGTCGGGGACTTCCGCGAAGCCAGATTATGGACCACAGCAATCCGATCGGCATCTCGTCAGGCCAATCCAACAATTACAAAAGAGGTTCGTGACAGCGCCCTGGAAAATCTGGCTCGAATCATTGACCGGGAACGAGATTATGATCCTGAGCATTTCCATGTCTTCAAAGTGGTCCAGCGGTCAGTAAACAGGTCATTGGGCAGAGCATCGGTCGAAGACTTGACCAGGACGGGGTCAGCCATAAGCTATCTTATTGTTGGACTCCATAAGATTCATCTGGTGCCCTTTTATCGCTCGGCGACAAGATCTTCGAGCACTTCCCTCAGCGACATGGATGTCCCAATCTCTTTTGCGCTCGTAAACTTGACCTTGGTCAAAGTTCAACCTGAAGAAGATGCCTTTCATCTACTATTCAAGCCACCAACAGGGCAGCCATATACTGCTCAGCTGGCATCTAGTGCTGCGAGTGACATTGCACTCTGGCTGAGATTTGCCTCCGAATACATCCGACCTGAATGGATTAGGCAGCCCTTTGTATTTGATGTACCGGCTCATCTCGAAGACGGAATGAATCCTCCCAACTTTCCCAAGGAGGACCATGATTGCTTTGATCGTACACTCATTGCTTATTGTGCGGGTTACGATCTGGATACCTCTCGAATCTGCTATTCGATTGACTATCATTGCGAAGACGCACCGTGTTTCTTACTGCTTCCTCCCTCGACCGGCACGACCTATTCGGCACTCGAATTGCTTGCGGTCTGTCGAGCACTCCGATATAACGAGTCATTCTCCTCGATATCATTTGCACGTATCAATTTGAGTGCCCTACGACATCTTTATGATGCTTTTGGTGCGGATATGGACAGCCTGTTCTCCAGGTCTGGAAATCCAACAAACATTCCGGGCCATCAAGACCTACCGCTTCTGTATCAAGAGATCAGGGCGCTAGCCTTGAAAAGCCGAAGGTTGAGGCGGCTGGACTTCTCACATTCGCTCCCACACAAAGCGCTCGCGGGTGACGAGCAACCCCCGGATTGTGGCATTATGGAAGCGCTCGCCCCGTTATGCAAGAGATCTTTGACCAATGTCGATTGGATTGTTCTCACTGGATTGCGACTGTCGGACAATGATCTGAACTATCTGGTCGACGCAGCTTCGGAGAGGAGATGTCATTTCCGTGCCCTCGAGATCGGCGAATGTGGTCTGTCTGTTCATGACATTGATGTGCTTCTATCCGCGATGGTGGCACAAGAGACCACCATGGAAGTTATTGACATTTCTGGCGCCCAAGGCCGCTTCAGTCCCGAAGTCTTCCAGCGCGAAGTGGGTGCATTTAGCCACATTCGTCGATTGAACCTGACCCGGGTACAGAAAACTGCGGGGCCTGAACCTTTGGTGGCTCCTGAGGCCTTGTTCGCTTGGAGACTGGAAGGCCTCTACTTGTCCCAGACAACGCTTAATGAGCAGACTGTGGACTCGATTTCGACGTACCTTGCCACTCCAAAATCTGAAATACTCCGAGAGCTGCACGTCAATCAATGCGGACTAAGGGGATGCGACCTCGCCACATTCTTTCAATCAATGTCGATGGGTGACACGCAGCCGCGGATCATGCATGTGAGCGCCAATGAGAATCGGCTGAAGACGGGTAATACTATTTTGTTCAAGACTATTGCTCAAAGCTACGGACCGACATCGCTGAGTATGCGAATGATGGATTTCGACAAGGAGAGCCATTTCAGGGAACTTATTCAGGCATTGACGGTCAACAGAACGCTGCGCGCTCTGGATATTTCACGTGCCTCATTACCATACGATGCTAGTGTGGAGACTTGCGAAGCGTTGAAGGAGATGTTTGCGACTAATCAGACTCTGGAAGAGCTCGACATCAGTGGTGAACATGCTCATCTCGACGCCACACGGTTTGGTATTGGACTCAACATTGCACTGAGAGGCTTGGCCAGGAATCGAGCATTGAAGGTGCTCCGCATCGAATATCAAGGCTTAGGCTTACAAGGTGCAAGCACGTTGGCTGAGGTGCTGCAAAAGAATGACACGCTGCAAGAGATCCACTGTGAACACAACGATATCAACCTGCAGAGTTTTACTGCTCTTGTCGATGCATTGGAGAAGAACCATACTATATTATACATGTCGAGCATGGATCACGATCGAGCTAAGGCAATGGAAAGGGTCCGACGCGAGGTTGAGACCATGGATCGGGTAGAAAGTCCTAGGCCAGCCAAACCTGGCACGCTCAAGAAGACATTCACAGGACTCAGTGGCAAATCGAACCGAAATGGCCACAGTCATCGGCATAGCAGTTCACATTCAACAACCGCATCGTTCACGGATCAGGATGTCAAAGCAGCCCTTGCCGCGCTGGAAGACAAGTGGGATGTTCAGGTTGCCAGACTGCAGAAGTATTTGTTCCGCAATTATTGTCAGTCTCGAGGTATTCCTTGGGAGGACGAAGCGGTAGGCGATGAAAATGGCCGGCGGACCTCAGTCGTGGAGAGTTCCATGGCCCAACTATTGCAACAAGTGCATATCGAGAAGACGCCGACAGCGGACAATCCAACGTCTTTGGATTATTTCAATGAGAAGATGGGCGAGACAGGTCAGCTCATATTCCAGCTGCCAGAGGATTGAGTCCGATATGGCGAGAAGCATGTTTTTGATGGTGTTTTCTGATTTTGCATGATACCCCTGGGGTTTGAACTTGGAAAGAGCCCAAGTCGAAGTCGGATTTCTTTCATCTAGAAGGCAGCAAGAGGACAAGTTTACAGAGAGTTGATGAGGAGAGTGAGGCAATGTTGATAGCCAGATACCAGATGCGTATAACAAATATATGCACATTTATGAACAGCATACGATCACAAAATGGTCCTAGGATTGGGATCTTTCACATACACCTTGGAAGGTCACCACTCCCATCAACAATGGTCTCTCACTGTCAACGTAAGCAGTGTGACTGTACAATCATGCTAGTACAGAGGGTGTTCAGCATCGGTCACAGCGGGATGTTGATTGATGGAAACAATGGCGGAGATGCACCAATTTGTGAGGGCCATATCTTGCAGGCCCTAACGGTAAGCCTTAATTGTGGTGCCTAACCAACGGCGATAATCCCCAGACACTGCCACAAAACATTTTCTAGTTCTCGCGGCCGTTACAGTACTCTTTATCCATCGCAAAGTTCATCATCATCTACAACGTTTGCCTCTTGTCCTTCCTTCTGTCTTTCCTTCAACAATGATCTGTACACTCCTTTAGACATAATCCCAGACACCCACGCTCCCTACGACTCCTGCATATCCTGCGACCGACGATACTCATCAAGATCGCACCGTCCACTACAAAGATTGCAGTCTGCCTGATCTCATACTTTGGAAATATCACCGACTGCCCTGGACGTCGACTTCGACATCCTGAGATAGAGCCTTCCACTGCGCATCGAGAATCTAGCATCTAAAAGACTGGCACAATATCCCCTTGAGTGGTGGACAACTTCGCCATGCGTCGCAGTCTGCTCATCTTCTTGTTCTCCGCCGTCGTCCTTCTAACCTTTGCTCTTCACTCCGTCTCAACTCTTATTGCCCTCTTATTCGAAGACGCCTCCCGCGATGCGATACCGCGTTCAGAAATCCCGGCCCCGAACTCGAGCCTCGTCGATACCCGCCCGCAGTTGATCCCCAAGATCATACATCAGACGTACAAGAATGCGACCATACCCCAACAATGGCGAGCTGCGCAGAAGTCCTGCGTCGACCTCCATCCCGACTACGAGTACATTCTGTGGACGGACGCAAGTTCAAAAGAATTCATAGCGAAGGAGTATCCGTGGTTTCTGTCCACGTTTACGGGGTACAAGCACAACATCCAAAGAGCAGATGCAATCAGGTACTTTGTCCTGGCGCATTATGGCGGAGTCTACCTCGATCTCGACGACGGTTGTGAACGAAAGTTGGATCCTCTTCTATCGTATACCGCGTTCGTCCGTCGCACTGTGCCCACTGGAATCAGTAACGATCTGATGGGCTCGATACCCCAGCACCCATTCTTCTTGAGAGTGATGGAGTCTCTACAAGGTGCCGACCGGTCGTGGGTGTTACCATATATCACCATCATGGCTTCTACTGGCCCGCTGTTCTTGTCCGTGATCTGGAAGAAATGGTTGGGCGAGCACGCGAACCTCGATCCGGAGACATGGGTTGGGAGGGTCAGGGTGCTGATGCCTTCGGAGTATAGCAAGCATGCCTGGAGTTTCATCAAGGAGTACAAGGGTGACAGCTGGCATGGCGGCGATGCCAGGCTGATCTTCTGGATGGGGAAGAATTGGGCCCTGCTCACGGCGCTAGGGTTCCTGCTCGCTGGCGTCGTGGGCTTGGCTGTGTGGTGGGTGTATTCGCGGCTGTTGACTTTGGGATCAAGAAAGCGCGGTGCGGCGGGTGCAAGCCCGCGAATGAGTCCGTTCCGGTTTGTTGGTATACCGAGATGGATGGGGGGTGGTAAAGCGCAAAGTTATGAGTTGGTTGAGCAGCATGATGCGTGATAGTCTAGTCTACCTAGGTATGTACAGAGAACCTGCTTACGACGGGCTCACTGTTGGTGTGGAGTCTTTTTATGAGCGATGGCGTTACTGGTGATGATATACATAAACAACGATAGTGTCTAATCTCAGGGTAGGTATAGTCTGATGGTCTAGCTAATTGGTGCCTCAGCATTGTGCTTTCACGGCAGGGCCTTGCTCCGGTCTGCACTGTGCGCCGTTATTACTTTTCTGGCCCAGCAAAGTCGTGAAGCAGTGGGATATCATTATAAAGATAGAACTGAAATCCGGTTCAGGGCCGGCTAGAGTTGTATATTACACGCGTAGTGACACTGGATCTTGATTCGTGAGGATGAGGTATTTCATCTTCTTCGAGGGTCCGGCCGACTTCGGCCAACGGTCTCGGTTATAAGATTCAGGCAGACGTTTTATCAGATAAGATCCTCGTCATCCAATACTTCAACCTCTGACTAATCATATTCATCCGTGCACCCAATATGACACTCAGCCTTGAAGTTTTGATCAGTGGGAGTTGATATTATTCTTCTTGACGGTGTCTTGAACACGAAGACTGGCATGCGGTACATTCATCAGGTGTTGGCCGGCGTATTGGTGGGAAGTCCTTAGGCCGCTAAGTGTTGGTAACAATGCCAACGCCACGACCGCCAGCCCGACAACGCAAATGGGCTCCCAAGGTTCGAACGGGCTGTAAGACCTGTAAAGTGCGCAAGAAGAAGTGTGATGAGACGAAGCCGCATTGTTTGAGGTGTGTGAAGGACAAGTTCACGTGCGATGGATACACGACGCCAAAAACTTGGGTTTTTGAGCCAACGTCAAAGCAGCATGATGATGGTGCTGGGGATGCGACGGTGACAGCGGAAGTGGCACAGACGACTGAGACTGCATCTGTATCGCCGAACTCCAGGTCAGCCACAACGTCGCTTTCAGACACGCCGGGCTTCGAGCATGCTACGTCGTTGGTAACAGACAGGACATACTTTGAGCCGACTACTACGTCGGTGGCCGATGTACCATGCTTTGAACAAGGAGCAGCTACGTATGTCTTGTCGTCTGGTTCTGGGAGCGTCGGTCAAGACTACTTGTCGTTGCCGCTTGTTCAGCAAGATCATGGACGGCTAGGGGAGAACTATAACGATTCCACACAACCCGCGTCTCTGGTCAGACACGGAGAGCGACGAAGTATCACCGTGGCCGAGCACTTGTCCATGATGCAACCTTCCACCCCATGGTCCTCCGAGACCGACCGCAATTTCTGCCAGTACTTCCTCCTTGAATTCGCGCCCCTGTTGGCGACAACAAGTCAATGGAGATACTTCTGGCACGCGGCCATCCCACAAGCAGCATGGCTCAACCCGTCCATCAACCACGCTGTCATCGCCGTCGCCGCGACGTACGAGTCCCGCAGATCGGGCGTCGACCGCACAGAGTTGATCCTGCACAGGACGAATCTCGCCATCCGCGAATTTGCTGCAGACTCTGTCTCACCAGACATGGCGCTGATTATGTGTCGACTGTTCTCGTCCATGGCGCAGTGTCAAGGCGACGTTCGCACAGCAGCCATGCACATGACTAGTGGGCAGAAGATTCTTAGGGATGCAACGCGCTCCGGCAAGGCCAAATCCGAGATCATGAAGATCATGGCGCCGACGGTGCTGGCTTTGACGACAGATGAGATTGGCGATGATGAGGACGTCGGTGCGAGGTTCTCCGGTGATAAGTGGTTTGCGTTTGCCGTGTTGAAGGACATCAGGACCCGGTATGGGCGATTATTGCATTCGTGGACGGAGGAACAGTGGGACGGGATTGATGCGCCGGCCAGTGGTGTCTTGTCGATTGCTTGGAGCACGCTCACCCAAGCGTTTTCTTCGGCGCTGTATCCGGACGTCGTGGTCTTCGGACCGGATGATCCTGTCACTCCTGTCTGGCAGATTCGTTTTCAGCTACGGGATGCTGGACGCCTGTTGAGTCTTGATGAACTTGACGTGGAGTTTGACGTGTTGATTCACGATTTGGATTGCCATTTTGGCAGGCTCGATGGCCGTCTGAGGCTTTCTGAGGAGCTGAAGGACCGCTTGAAAAGGCTGGTGGAGAATTATGTGGTGCAGGCGTCCGTGGTGGAGCCGCGGATGACTGCTGGGACGTTTTGGCACCAGTATACGCATCAGCAGTGCTATATTGAGCGGCATCTCGAGAGACTGGATCAAAGTCTGCCGGACGATCTGCCCAGGTTGGAGGGAGGTCGAGTATCGAACGATGATGTTATTTCTGAATCTACCGGGGGGAGCGTCGAGGGTCCAGGTGCGGATTTGGAGCGCAGAAAGAGAGAGTATTACCTTGAACATGTCTGTCATCATCGGAGTGGGTTCGTGCCGCTTCCGTCGGGCGGTCCTACCATGGGCTGGATGGCTGAACGCACAAGAACAAGGCTGTGGGTATCAACGGAGTGATGTCCTGTCGACTTGGGACTGGTATCGTTGGCGACCACAAAGAGCTTGCGAAGACTGGCAAGCACCATCTGTGTGCATCACCGCTGAGGACAAGGCAATATTCTGGTCGGAAACTACGCGGTACAAACGGAATCCATCGGCACAAGCCTCAGGAACGGATCTGCTGCCATCAGGCTCACGAGGGCGATGACAACAAATATCTTCGAATGCATTCAATGCAAAACTGAAGTGACAGCCGCATGCCAACGGCAGGCTATGCCGTATGCCATGCAACACACAAACTTGCAAGGCCACAGATTCCCTCTCCCAAGCACGCATCGAAAATTCGAAGAACTTCTTTCGCAAAGCAGGGTTTGAACTTTCCAAGCTGTTTGTAAGAAGGGAAGAAGCGGCTGCAACCAACCTCATCCAAAGGTCTCATTCTGTGTGAAACCAACTTGGTTGGCCAAGTACCGGATGGCAATGTCTGGAGGTATCGAACAAGAACTGAGGACTCAGAATGGTAAGAGCTGGACAAGGATGTGCGGCATAATTTCTCCGGTCGCGGTATGGCAATGGGACTTGGGTCGTGGAATGAGTCATGGGAATGAATTGACTGGGATTTATATATCAAGGCTCGTGAGGGCGAGAAGAGGGAGTTTCATGACAGTATACTCCGTACAGACAAAGTAACCACCACGGAGTATACGCTACGACGTTAATGCTAGAATGTACCGCTTAGCTATGGCTCGGTGGCTGGGTAGGTGGTGTCGCAGATATGCGAAGCGAGAAGAAAAGGGGTTGATAAGGCTGCATCAAGTTAGCGGAATTTACTTGTCGACTTTGGGCGAGACCTCAGCTTCTGGTACTTTTCTTCTAACCAACTTCGACATACAAGAATTTCGAGTCCTGCATTCATTGATAAATCGTCCAATTCCGCGTCCTTGAGCCCTTGAGTTTAGCGTTGCTTCTTCGAGCGTCCGTTTTGACAGGAAAGCCATCACCAGCTGAATAACCGGTTCCATCAAGAGATAGATCAGTCCAACACAGTCACAGTCATGGCAAGAAAGAACAACAAATCGCAAAACTCCACTCCCAAGAAGAGTCATACTGAGAAGCCACCTCAAAGCATACAATCAACCTGTCCCGCAGCAGAAGGTCGAGAACTAGCCCCAGCTGAAGCACCAACATCGAGATCACTTCTCAGCCTCGTGACCAACATCAAAACCCAGAGAGCGCTGCAATTGATCCTGCTAGCATGCATACACGCCGCAGTCTCCCAACTCAACCTCTCACCAGTGTATGGAGCTGTCCCAGCTGGTCTGTACCACCGCTACGGCCTTACAGCGGCATTTCTACTTGCGTTCCTCCTTCGTGGGTATCTACCAACCTGGATCGGACAAGGAATCACACCATTTTGTTTCTGGATCCCCATCATCCAATTCTGTTTGTTTAGACTGAGCTCGACTCTCGGGAATCCTCTTGGGCCTATTGTCACAGAGTGCTTGACATGTTTCCCACTCGTCACGGTGTCAGTGTACATGGCGATGGACTTTCTCGAAGAAGGCACCGGAAGCCAACAAGGCGACACATTCCCCTCGATGGGTCTCTTCGTGCTCTTCACAGTCATGCAAAGAGTCTGTAAAGCGCTGGTCGCGGCGATCACAGGTCCAGGATTCCTCCGATCGCGCATCGGGATGCAATTGATGATCGCCTCACTTTACGGCACAGTCCTGCCTAAGAACGTTATATGGCCATCCCTCCCCGCCGTCGCATTCACTATGGTCGCAAATCCGCATTGTTCGCTCTCGAGGACGACAGAGGTGCTGAATAACACGTTGGCGCTTGATGGGTACACGCTGCTGGAACGAAAGGAGTCCGTTACAGGATATATTTCCGTGCTGGACGATACGCGGCGCGGACTGCGCGTCATGAGATGCGACCACAGCCTGCTCGGCGGCGAGTGGAGTATGCCTTCGAAACCATGGAGACAAGTCGGCGAACCTATCTATGCGATTTTCACGATGCTCGAGGCAGTGCGGCTGGTCGAGCCTACTTCTTCGGCGTCCGAGAAGAGTCTTTTGAACATTGGTCTGGGCATTGGGACGGCCCCATCTGCCATGATTGCGCACGGAGTTGACACGACAATCGTCGAGATTGACCCCGTCGTGCACGAATTCGCGACAAAGTACTTTGCCCTCCCCACGAATCATACCTACTACATGGGTGATGCACTGGCTTTTGTCTCGAACACATCTTCGGGCGCGAGCTACGACTACATCATTCATGACGTTTTCACGGGCGGCGCTGAACCAGCGGAACTGTTCACGATGGAGTTTCTGGCGGGTCTGCACACACTGCTCAAGCCTGAGGGGGTAATAGCAATAAATTACGCCGGCGATATCGCCATGCCTGCGGCCTCCATCATATATCGCACCATTACCTCGGTCTTTCCGTCATGCCGAGTCTTCCGGGAAGACGAGGCTCCCGACCCAAACGTCAAGCCAGATGACTTCACCAACATGGTATTCTTCTGCCGGAAGGACTATAGACCACTCACATTTCGAAAGCCAGTCGAAGCCGATTTCCTGGGCAGCGGCGCACGGCGGGAGTACATGCTCCCCCAGCACGAGATCGCGCCGTCAACATTTGACACGAGCGTTGACGTGCTGCGGAGCGGCAAGACGAAAGAGCTTGAAAAGTGGCAGGCCCAAAGCGGCATTGGACATTGGAAAGTCATGAGAACGGTACTCCCGGATGCCATTTGGGAGAATTGGTGAATCCAACACACCTAAGACTTTCCATGATAATGCACAATAAGGCAGGTTTGATGAAGCAAGCCTAGAGAGTACTAGTGATTATGTCGGGGAGCAGGCCACCTTTGCGCCACCCGTTGATACTTGACGGCGCTCTCCAGGACCATACCCTCATGCAACTGTCCTGTCTCACGGCGGAAAATGTCCTGCCATGGTGTCTGCGTCTCAACAATGGCATACCCACCTTTGGCCTCAAGTTCTTCGCGCCGGCGCTTGATCTCCTCTTCTGGCAGCAGCATATCGACTCGGCGTTTCGTCAGGTCCACGCGCAGGATGTCCCCGTCGCGCAGGAGTGCGAGATTACCTCCTGCAGCGGCCTCGGGGCTGGCGTTGAGGATGGACGGCGAGCCCGAGGTGCCGGATTGTCTGCCGTCGCCTATACACGGGAGAGAGTGTACTCCCTGTTTCAGCACGTGCGGAGGGGCGTGCATGTTCACGATTTCCGCGGCGCCGGGGTATCCGATGGGTCCGGCACCGCGCATGACGAGGATGGTGCGCGTGTCGATGGGTGTGGCCGGGTCGTTGATACGTGCGATATAATCTTCGCGGCCGTCAAAGACCGCCACTTTCGATTCGAAGGCGTTGGGATCATCGGGGTTCTCCAAAAAGTTTTTACGGAATTCGTCGGATATTACGGACGTTTTCATGATTGCGGAGTCGAATACGTTGCCCGTCATGTGCAGGAATCCGGCTTCTTTCTTGAGGGGTTCGGAATAGGGTTTGATGGTGCGTCGGTCCCATGAGTGTCGCCCGGCGACGTTGTCTTTCACAGTCTTGCCGTTGCAGGTCAGAGCCTGGTCGTGCAGCTTGCCTTGGTCGAGGAGCTCGGCCATGACGGCTTGGAGGCCGCCGGCTTTGTAGTATTCCTCGCACAGCATTTCGCCTGCTGGTTGGACGTTGACGAGGAGTGGGATGTCGAAACCTAGCTTGTCCCAGTCGTTCAGGTCGAGCGGGACGCCGATGTGTTTGGCGATTGCGCATAGATGGATGGGCGCGTTAGTGCTGCCTCCGATGGCGGAGTTGGTGACGATGGCGTTCTCAAAGGCCTCGCGCGTCAGAATGTCGCTGGGCTTGCGGTCCGCGTGGACCATCTCGACGATCTGTCTGCCTGTTTTGTATGCGCATTGCGATCGTTCTCGGTATGGGGCTGGGATGGCGGCGGAACCTGGTAGAGCCATGCCCAGTGCTTCGGCTAGCGCGTTCATCGTGCTGGCTGTGCCCATGGTGTTGCAGTGGCCGGCAGACGGTGTGCTAGCGATGGATGTTAGCTGGGTAGAGCCGGACTGCTGGGATAACAAGTCTACCTACCCGGCAGCAATCATCTCAACGAGTTTATCGTCGTCAATTTCACCGGCCGCGTGCAAGTCTCTTGCTGTCCACAGGATTGTGCCCGAGCCGATTCGATCGTTCGTGCCAAAAAGGCGGCCGTTGAGCATTGGTCCCACGTTCAGGCAGATTGCTGGGATATTCTAGACCGAGAGTCTTAGCAGGCCGCCGGGCAGTGGTGCCAGGCAAACTTACCACTGTAGCCGCGGCCATGAGGAACGCTGGCGTGGTCTTGTCACATCCCGTAAGCAGGACGACGCCGTCTAGAGGGTATGCATGAAGCAGCTCGACCAGACCCAAGTATGCCAGGTTCCTGTCCAAAGTGGCTGTCGGTCGCCGTGAGCTCTCCTGAATGGGATGAGTCGGGAACTCGAACGCGATGCCGCCGGCCGAGCGTATCCCTTCACGGACTCGCTTGGCTAGTTCGAGGTGGTGTCGATTGCAGGGAGCCAAGTCTGAGCCAGACTGTGCTATGCCGACAATTGGTTTGCCGGACATGAGCTCCTCTTGAGTCAGGCCGTAGTTGAGATAGCGGTCGGTGTACAGAGCCGCCATTTCGGGGTTGGCTGCATCGCCGACAGCGAACCATTCCGCTGATCGGAATTTGCTGGGCGCTTTGGCGTTCTCTGCTAGGCCTACCTCCGATAGTTTCTGTTCGAGTTCGATGGTGCGTCTGCGCAACGACTCGAGCTCGAGCTTGTAGTCTTCAATATCGCCAACATGGCCGTTCTGATTGGCACAGGTGTTGTTGCACGATGAGGTTTCGTTTTCACAAGACATGCTGTTGGCTTGATTGGTCTGCCGGTATCTGACCGGTTCGATGTTGGTTTCCTCGGTATTTTTGGTTTACCAATGCAGTCATTCTTACCTGTAGTTTGTGCTCGCAGGGCGTACTGTATATATGACGGCGATGCTGTGAAGTTCAATGCTGGGCCATCTCTGGCCGACAACCGGTAGCCGTCGGCTCAGCTCCGACTGGAGGCCGTGGCGGGGGGTTAGAGCCCTAGAAGTTTAGGCATGATCCAACCAGAGACCACCTTTTACCATAGCAAGTAGTTGCCTGTGGGGGTTAGCGTACTCAAAGGAAGAGGGGGTGTTTACTGGGCGTCACAGCCTCACAGGTGTCGTCGGCCTTCTTTCCACCGAACAAGCGTGACGATATATTTAACGCTTGTTGATATCGTCGTACGACCAGAGGTATCCCAGGGGTTTAGATGTTGTCAAGAGGAGGGGCTTCAACTATGAAAGTCTGGTCGGAGTGATGTACTGGTGAGTCGACAATGCCATTGTTGTAAGTTGGCACTCGTTCAAGAATGCCTGTCTCACCCCCATTGGTGTTAGAGGCCAGCAGTGTGAGTTTCCGGCATTCCCATCAAGGCCGCCATGGCGCATGTACATCACATTAACTTTCGAAGCTTTCAACCGCAGGGTCAGGCAAGCCGATCGACACTTGACAGACACCCAGTAACAGATTTCTGTTGATTCCATACCGAGCTGCTAGAGATGAAAGTCCTCACCGAGGCATTTGCAAGAGTACGCTGTCCTCCATTTCACTCTTCCCTTGTCCGGCCTCTCCCTCGCGCAGCACTAAACCCTCGTCCAAAGGTCTTGCAAGTGCAATCCGCCTTCCAGAGCTTCACATCGCCCTTCTGGTCCAGCAACGCAACTAGTATGTCTACATCCACAGCCCCGACGCTGTCCCCTTCCGCGGCCCAGGACATCAACCGCACTCTGTCCTTCTGGTTCGAAGGCCCGACGTCGAATTGGTTCGCCCCCCAAAACCCAGACGAATTCGACGCATCTATCCGCGACAAGTTCGGCCAACTCATCACCCAAGCGCGCACCGACGAACTAGATGTCTGGGCTGACGACCCGCGCGGCGCTCTCGCGCAGGTGATACTACTCGACCAGTTCCCGCGGAACATCTACCGCGGCTCACCTGATGCCCACGCCTCCGACACCAAAGCTTGTGAACTAGCGACGCGGAGTATCGCGCGGGAGTTCGACCGGCAGGTCGGCGAGCTGGAGGCGCTGTTCTTCTATCTCCCGCTTATGCACGACGAGACGCTGGTGTCTCAGATTGCGTGTGTAGGGCTGAGCGAGGCGCTTCTCAGCCGGTGTCAGCCTGATTGTGAGGCGGCAAAGTTTGTGACGAACAGCATCAAATTCGCCAAGGGCCATCGCGATGCCATTCTGGAGTTTGGGCGGTTTCCGAGCAGAAACAAAATCTTGGGCAGAGAGAGTACGCCTGAGGAGGTCAAATTTCTGGAGGAGCATCCTTCTGGGTTCTACTAACAGGTTTCTGTTCGGATGTAAACAGTCTAAGAGAGAGGCTTGATGCGGGTACACTCCTGTCACCAGGGCGGTATGTTTCGAACATGGTAGAATTGGACTCTAGAGGTGAAGATTGTATTACAATAAGTGATATCTACCTTGAAGACGAAGCTGATTACGCTTCTATGGCCTGTTTCCATGTATCGTTCGATAGGTCATTTTGCCCTGCACAACATCAATCCCTACGTTGGGATCCCAATCGTCTCCTTCGGCAAGATAGCAAATACAGTCCCCAGTATCGCCAGAATGATGCACAGTATGACGAGGAACCACCCGAGTACCCTTTCAAATATGCTGACTGCGCTACCCTCGCTGCTGAAAATCGTCAAGTAGAAAACGATTGGCAAAATGATACAAATGGTGAAACACAGTCCCGAGCCCATAAGAGCCATAACACTGTCAAAATCTGGGAGGCCGATGGAGACACCAAGAATGAACACGTTGACAATGACACCCACAATGCCCCGCGCGAAACGATGCTTGAAGCTCTTTTCACTGTGCGCTCGAGCCTTGGGGTCCATCTGTCGCAGGTCGATGTAGAATTTTTTGTTGATCGTATCCATCATCGGGCGGTTGGACAGTGGAATCTTGGTGATCGGGATGATGGCGATAAGCACAACAACAATCGCAGACAATACCTGTGGGTACGCAGTGGATCGGAGTATGTTAGACGTAACTTCGTCTTGAACTTTGTCGCCAAACATCAAGTACCCAAGGACCGCCATGGTAAGATCAAGACCATACGTGAAGGTATAGGTGTACTTCAAGGCCTTGCCATACTTGTGCGGATGGCGCATGTCTTTGTAGACAGCTGGGAAGACGCTGTGGCCTCCCCAAGGTGACATGAACAGACCCAGACTGAGAGGGACCGTCTTCCAGTTCTCCGGAAAAGCATACGTTTGAGCCGGTTGTCTCAGCGAGCCGGGGCTACCGGGCTTGATCAGTCCGTCGGCAAAAACAATCGTGACGATGCCAAAGCAACAGAAAATGCCGATGACGCTGCTGAAGCTCAATGTCTTGAAGGGGACAAAATTGAGAGGGATCAAGCCGAGGGAAATGACTGCCTTCCATGCATTTACCTCGAGTACTGGGAAAAGGGAGTTCATACTGTCACCGAACAGGATGACTAGTGCCACGTTCGCTGCTGTGAGCTCCAGAATGAATAGAGCTTCGACGAAGTTTCTGCCCCATGTTCCCAGGGCGAGGAATGCGATGTCCCCATAGGTTGTCGACGCGGTATTGGTGTCCAGACACTTGGATAACAGTTTCGCGGTATAGGAGGTGGAGATAGCAGCAAGTGTCAGGAATAACAACCCAAGGACCCAACCAGCATATCTTATACCAAGTGGGAGAGCCAGAATTCCAACGCCGATGAGGACATTCGTTGAGTTGAACACTGTCATCGGCACGGTGGACTCGCCAATAGTTCGTTCGATCACTTCGCCGTCCGGCAAAACATCTCGTTCTAGTGTAACCGGCGGCTCATCTTTGAATTCCTCAGGATGTTCCAGGGCTCGTCTGCTGGCCTCCTCGTGCTCTCGAAATAGTATCGATGCCCTCTCTCGAGCGGTGCTTGTCAAGCGTGAAGATATGCTACCATAACTAGTACCAAGCACACTTGGGAGCCTCAAATGATCGTACCCTGGACCACTAATGGATTTCATCGACTGGTGGCTCGGCTGGGGCAGCAGTCTAGATTGTTCGCTGGGAGTTGGTGTCTCTGTGCCATCTTGTACAGCAGGGTCGTCTGACTGCGAAACGTCATAGTCGTGCAGCTGTTGTCTCAGCAATGACCTGTTGGGTTCTGTCGTGCTCTGTTCGGCTCGTTCGGCTCGTCCGGCTTCAACTTCTTGATCTTGATCACCAAATGTGATAGAGCCTCTCCGTATGGGTGTAATCTCTCGGAATCCAGCGGCCCTTTGCAATGATTTCGCGAAATTATCAATGCTGTTCGGACCACCTCTGTATCTGAGACTGTCGAATCGTCTTCCTATAGAGGATCTCCTTCTCAATTCTGGACCCTGATCTTCCGATCCATGGCGTTGTGGGAAACCGTTGTGAGTGTGAGGTGAACCTGACGGAGAAACCGCGTACTGCTGTTCATGTTCAGGCACGGATTCTAGGGAACCAAAGGACGAGGCTCGACCACGTTCGTATGCGTCCCAGGTCGAAGGAGGTTGTTTGTTTCGCCCGCTCATCGCAAACAAGGGTAATGACGCGAAACCTGTACACTATCAAGGTTGTGATCGCTGGGGTGAATTCATATGTAGAGATACAACGCGTGCTATAGAGGGAATCAGTGAGACAAGACAAAGCACACAACCACCGAAAGGAATGTGAGAGAAAACAGTTGAAGTGAAAGAAAATCTATTCGGCAGATTACAGAAAACTTCAACAGCGTCACTGTGCAGGCAATTGACTGCTCATAACCGACGATAACCAAACTGCAGCAGGCATGGGCAAGGGCAAGGTAGGGCAACAACAGGACGCTACAGGCGTCGGATTGGCGGTGGAGTTCTGTGATAGTGGCGGGGAAAAGATGAATCGAGGCTGATAAGATTTTTCTCGTGATTTCTCTGACTGATCACGCTGATGCTGAAACCGATGTTACCTTTAACTGACCAGTGACCTAACTCGGTGGGTTATGTAAGGAAAGCCTACCTACTGTAGGCAGCCTGTCACGAGTCAGCGCCTAACCACCACTAACTTAATTGTCTCCCCACAAAGCCAGAGTCAACGCAGCGCAGTCACTGACGAAGTCTTCAAACTGTGGTCCTCTTGGTTCTTCACCACGTCACCTGCACCTTCTCATCTCCTGGTCGACCAACCCTCGACTTCTATCCTGTCGACTCTCCCCTTTTCTTCCCATCCTCCTCTTTGTCTGAAGATTTCTCCTCTACGAGCAGGCCGCCTCTGGTCAGCTAAACTCTAGCAAATATGAGCGCTCCTCAACCCAACGAAGCAGAAAAAAATATTGAAATATGGAAAGTGAAGAAGCTCATCAAACGTCTCGAGGCTGCTCGAGGCAACGGCACATCCATGATTTCCCTCATCATCCGTAGGTAGCTCCTGTCGTTGGATGTCCTGTACCCTTAGACTGACGTTTTCTGTGCAGCGCCCAAAGACCAGGTCTCTCGTGCGGCCAAAATGTTGGCTGAAGAATTCGGTACCGCCTCCAACATCAAGTCCCGAGTCAATAGGTTGTCCGTCTTGTCAGCCATCACCTCCACACAGCAGCGTCTCAAGCTGTACAACAAAGTGCCGCCCAATGGTCTGGTCGTCTACTGCGGTGAAATCATAACCTCAGAAGGAAAAGAGAGAAGAATCAACATAGATTTCGAGCCTTTCAAGCCCATCAACACTTCTCTCTACCTCTGTGACAACAAATTTCATACCGAAGCCCTTAGCGAACTCCTCGAGTCCGACCAGAAATTCGGTTTCATCATCATGGACGGTAACGGTGCGCTATTCGGAACACTCAGCGGTAATACAAGAGAAATTGTCCATAAGTTCTCGGTCGATTTGCCCAAGAAGCACGGTCGTGGTGGTCAGTCCGCTCTGCGTTTTGCCCGTCTAAGAGAAGAGAAGCGTCACAACTATGTTCGAAAGGTCGCAGAATTGGCAGTCCAAAACTTCATCACCAATGACAAAGTCAACGTCGCTGGTATCATCCTGGCCGGCTCTGCGGATTTCAAGAACGATTTGAACCAGTCGGACATGTTCGACAACCGTCTGCAGTCCAAGGTCATCAAGGTCGTCGATGTGTCTTACGGTGGTGAGAACGGGTTCAATCAGGCTATCGATCTTTCCGCTGAGACCTTGAGCAACGTCAAATTCATCCAAGAAAAGAAGCTCATTGGTAAGTACTTTGAGGAAATCAGTCAAGACAGCGGTCGGGTCTGCTATGGTGTTGAAGACACCCTGAAAGCGCTTGAACTCGGTGCCGCCGAGACTTTGATTGTCTACGAAAACTTGGATGTTACCCGCTGGGTCCTGAAGGCTTCTGATGGTACCGAGAGGATCCTGCACACGACCAAAGCTCAGGAATCCAACCGGGAGCAATTTATGGACAAGGAGACCGGTCAAGAGATGGAAGTCATTGACTCGAGCTCGTTCCTCGAGTGGCTCGCGGAGAAATACAAGGATTTCGGTGCCACCTTGGAGTTCGTCTCCGACCGATCCAGCGAAGGCAATCAATTCGTGAAAGGATTTGGTGGTATTGGCGCTATTTTGCGATACAAGGTCAATTTTGAGCAATTGGCCGACGCTGACGACGAGGACGAATTCTACGATGATTGACAATTCAATGACCTCGCACAGGAGCGCGAGGAGAAAGTCCCAACTGTGCAACACAATGAAAATGTGTTGAAGGCATCTCCTCGCCTCGAGCGTCCAAGTGACGCACCCCGCCCTGGTACTCTTGCACACAATCCCGGCATGGAGCAGGGCAAACCACCTATCAATCACATCCATCGGTGGAGTGTCGGATATGGCGCTTTCCACCCCGCTGAGCGAGCGACAGCTCCGCCAGCCAGACAAGACATAGGCCTGCTCCATGGTACGTTTATAAAGCACGGTGATGAAATATCGACCGACTAATCTCCGGTCTAGGACGTACCAGTCTTCGTAACATGGCCATGGTCTGAGATGAGGTCGGCGTTCGGATTCGCTCGAACCACCGCAATTCCAATCGACAAACGAACGGTGGTCGAGATAGGCTGACGAACGTTGCGTCACTGGATCTGAAGTAAGTCCGAAGAAGTCACTGGTGGTAGGCTGCAACCATATCCAGTACAGAGTGTGGGCAATCAACCTAAGGGTGCAACATTCTATCGCTGCCAGTTATGTCATGTTCTGGTCGTTCTGTGTCTCTCTGTGAGCTGGTCATTCCTTCAACGTCAGGCTCATTGCCAACGTGGCCTGGGCCGCGTCGAGGCTGCATGTGATTAGCAACCGCTTGTCCAGATCCGATCAGGCGTGCTTGGTCCGGTGCGACCACAAATACTTGCTGTTCTTGATAGTCACTCATTTCAGATCAATTAAGACTAGTTCGTTCAGGTTTTGCTTTGTATTCCGTCTTCTCTCTGTAACTGATCCTGAAATCTTCCAAGATGTTGCAGGCTCTCTGTGAACCGTTGCAGATCTGCCAACAGTCTCTGGAGGTTCCCCTCCTCTGCATGTATACCTCTAGTGGCCCCATTGTCCGCCTCCTCGCATTCGACGAAGAAGACGTATTGCCAGTTCCGCTTCCGACTAGGCCTGGTATCGATACTCGTCAGGTTAAAGTGATATTGCTTGAACACAGCCAGTGCATCAGCTAATGCACCTGGCTTGGTATGAGGGATCGTAAATGTTATAAGCGACTTATATCTCTGGTTCTGTCCTGTTCTGGAGGAGAGATATTGTTCTAGGCCTGTTGTCCGGGGGTGCTTGCTGTTGCGGTTCCGCACAACGAAGAATCTCGTGGTATTCGACCCAGGCTCGTCCTCGATGTTTTCGGCCAGACATACCAGGTTGTGCCTTTGGCCTGCGAGCTTTGATGCGATTGCTGCATTGCTGCCATTCGTCTCCCGCGAGACTAGCTGTGCTGCGGCCGACGTACTGCCTACGTCGATGCGCTCGACCTGGTTGGGCGGGAAGTGCGCGGACAGGTATCTGTTACATTGGCCCCAAACTTGTGGGTGGGTATAGATTGTGCGTATCTCTTTACTTGAGGAGTCGGAGTTTTGGGCGACAAACAGACAGTGGTGGACGGGGAGGTAGTATTCTGCTACGACTTCGATGTCCGGGAACTGGGCTGACGAGTCGAGGCCGCACTGGGAGAGAAGGTCGAGGACTTGCACGACGGAGCCGTTGGTGCTGTTTTCTATGGGTATGACTGCGAAGTCATGTGTGGAGATCTGTATGGCGGAAAAGATTGCTGAGAAGGAGGGGAGTGGGTGCAGTGTGTTTGTTGACGGAGAGAAGACTTCGATGGCTGCTTGGTGAGAGAAGGAGGCTTCGGGGCCTAGGTAGGCAATGTTCAGGGTATGGGAGTCATCGTTGGACATTATGGTCCAGACCAGGCCAGACTGGCTGCCTACTAGGAGCAGAATGTCTTGTGAATGACCGTCAGAGGGACGACAGCGCCGAGAAGCTCGCAATGAGATTGTTGTCTCGAGGAAGTTTTTTACCCCGCATATCGAGAAAACAAGGCTTGATCGTGCTATGTTTCTCCGCATTATGTAATCACAGCCTCGCCTTGGCACAGGACGTTCAGCCTCGCGCGGCTGACTTGGATTTCTCTTGGTCTGCAAATTGTTCGACTCTTCTTATTCGCACTGTACCGGCGAAATGCAAAGAAGTCCTCATCGTGACTCACTTCTCAACCACCCATGTCTTCCACCAAAAGAGTCAAGAACCATGGTCAGAATGGCCGATGGTTCTTCGAGCCCTTTCGATGCCTCGTTCTTACCTCTGGCTACCTGTGTAGGTCTGACGGTTCAGGGTCTCCCATACGCTCAAGGTGCCTTGCACACTCATGGATCCAATACACCAAGGTAGGTCCCAGGTCTTGTATTCCTCATCCAGTGAATTGCTTTCGCCAGCAAGATGGGTGTCTCCCAGAGCCATCTGCTTGTTGCCATGAAGGGTTCGCAGGTCCTCGCAGGTCCTTGTAGGTCCTCCCACATGAAGACCGTTATATAGTAAGTTTCCAGACAACGACTGCTCGCAAGCAAATGAAATCCTAGCTCTCGCAGCCCTTGAAACTGTTCCTTTCCATACCATCCTCAAAGCGCTCTATCCTTCCACGAACACAGAACGAGGTATTCAGTGCACAATCCCGAACATAGCATCCAGCATACTCTCGCAAATACAGGACTTCCAGTACACTACCCCCAAGACACACATTCAAACCCTTAATCATGTCCATCCGCATGGCTCTCGGCTTCAGGCCAGCAGACCTACGCATCCACGACGACGAGCGAGACAAACACCTCAAGCGAGAACCATGCAAGGAAATCAAGCTTCGCCAACGCATCATCGCCGTCCAGTACAGCCACACATTCAACCAGATCAGAAAATACAAAGCCGGCGACATCGTCGACCCGTCCGCCGGATCAGACTTCTTCGAGTCCATCCCAGCAGACGTCATCACGCCCGCGCGATACTGTCCTCTCCAACTCAACCACCCAGACTGGACTATCAAAGGCGTCATCTCGCCTGCCCTGGCAAAAGGTGACGCCGCCAGAGCAAAGACAGCAGCGATAGTGAAGTCGTTGTTGAAATGGCCGGAAAAGTATAGTTATGACATATACATGGTCCTCCTGGAACAAGAAACCCACTGTGAATGCCACAAGTCGTGGAAACCCAAACATGACTTGGAGATTGTGAGAACGCCGGGGTACCAAAAGGCAACGGAGATGGTGCGATATAAGGCTGCGAAGAAGAGGAATCGAAAGGCATGTTTGGCTTCGTCGAGCAGATACGAGTTATACGCTGGTTGTAATGCTTTGTTGACCGGGAGGCCGGGACAAGCAATGAGCACCATTGGTATTGTTTGACCTTGGGCACTCGTCAGATCTAGGTGATTGTATGTAGTCGATAGCGTTCCGGAGTTCGTCGGACACAAGGGGATAATCCTTCATCGATGATGCTCAGGAGGCCATTGGGTCTATCCGAATGTATTTCAGTCGATAGCATTCTGGGGTTCTTCGCATACAAGGTCATACTTACAGTGCACGATATTCAGGAGGCCATCAGCCCTATCGGTATATGTGTAGTGATTTGTTGTCAAGGCACGCAACCAACCTGAATGTTCGAAATTCTCATTTAAACCGTCGCTGTACGCTCGTTTGGATGATACCAAATATCCCGGTTGATATGGCTACAGCCCAGCGCAATAGGAAGACTATAATATTACATTTTAGGTAGGCGATAAGTGATGCTGAGGGTGCCCCGGTATAGTGTCAACAGATGTACGGTACTGTGATCATTCCCTATCAGACCGTGGCCCATGCCCTTATTTTACATTTTCCGTCTTCCGTCGTAAAAACACCCGCTTGATCCCGCTCATGTCACTCAGGCTCATCCGGCTCTTAGAACGGCCCGCCAGACTCGACCGGCGATCTCTGGCGCTGTTCGACGCGGTACTAGAAGCCGGTGAGATGGTGACGGGGCTTGAAGTCGAGTTCGAGTTGGGGCTCAAGCTCAGGAAAGACGACGCACGCCGATTTGAAACGGGTGTGCTCGACGTAATTGTAGTTGTCGTCGTCGTGGTCGGCCCGTGGACGACACTGGTAGTATTTGTGCCTCCGCTGACAGCCCGGGCTTTACCGACCATGTTTTCGACCCATGCATCGTTATTGGGTCCCGACATGGCTCCATAAGTCGCGGCTCGGCGGCCATTTGTTTTCGGTCCAGCGCCGCCGAGAGGAGTGTATTTCGTTGTCGTCGTTGGAGGCGTGATCATCGTAGTTGTCGTCACGCCTGGGGCGAGTGTGGTGGTTGACATCATGCTGCTCCTGTCACCTGGCGTATGTGATGGACTGGTGGGCACAGGTGATACGACAGCTCGGTCCGCTGATGTGCCGTCCCCTGATTTCGCAAGTGCAGGCGATTTGGCTGCGAAGGATGACGGAATAGGTGGTACAGGCGGTCGTGCCAGGACGCCACCGTCCTTTGATGACCTTCTTCCAGGTTCAGGGGACCGCACACGTGTCAGGGTCGTACGAGCTGTAGGATCTGTGGAGTCGGGTGCGGAGTTTATATCAAATGCTGTCTCATTTGCAGGAGGAGATTTCGCTTTGCGCCCCTGCATTGCAGAAACTCCTGCGCCACCAGTAGCAGCATTCGAATCTAGACTGGCAACCTCAAGATTGCCGTCGGCTGTTGCGCGGCTGCCATGATGAAGACTATATTCTTTCAGATATTCTCCGAGATCTGCCCAGCCACCACCAACGCGAACCATCACACGACCATCTCCGACGGTTCTGACAAACAGCTTGACCGGAGGGACATCGCGGCCTTGTCCAGTGCGAATGAGGTGATAGACTTTGATTTCGGAGTCGTCAGCGCCGCCTTTACGCGAGAATGTTTCAGCTTTCGCTGGGGCTAATGTCAATGCTGCTGTTGGAGTTGATGAGCGCGTTGAAGGGGTCGAAGAGGATGGTGCCGAATTGGCGGCATTTGTGTCTTTGCTCAGTCGAATTTTAGTCGGCAGTGTCGTGAGTAAATCTTGGATTCTATCATCCAGTGTGCCACCTGTCCTCGACGGCTTAGGCAAGTGGTGTTCAAAAGACGTGCTCCAAGGTTCATTGGACCAATTCTCGGAACTGGCACTCTGTGCAACTGGACTTGCGCTGGATATAGGCGTCAACGGAGAAAAGGTACCTGTAGCATCCAGGGTACCCCTCTTGCTCGACTTTCGGGGTAGTGTGGGCATTGATGGCCAGTAAAGATTTTGATCTCTGGTCTTAACCCGCAGTGGTTGTACTTCAAGAGAAGGTGTCGCAAGAGGAGTTAGACCGGTCGATTCTTCTGATGGTGGTGCCAGCAGAATTTCGGAACCTTCCAGTTCAGCTAGAGGAGTTCTGACAGGTGAGTCTGAGCCAGTCAATTGCCTCAACGCTTTCGATGGAGTGCTTTCTGGTGACGTTCTTTCAGGCGACTGAGGAATCTGAGACAGCATATCCCAACTTGCACTCCTCGTCAGCATGACACGTTTCAGATTGTCTTTGGCAATGACTTCATAGGAAGCCGTTGAAGCCCGCTGCAGCAAAGGAGGCTTTGATGTCATTTGCTCTTTGGCGACGGAGGGATTCCCGAACCAGGTAAGTTCATCACGACTCGCCCTGAAAGGATTGTCTATAACATTCACTTTCGGGCTAGGAAGTACGCTGGTGGTTCTAGCATCCATGATCTCGGCCTGAGAGATGTCGGAGAAGGCCGAGTATGTAGAATCCGCAACAGACACCTTGGATATTTCTCTTCGGTGACCTTTTTGGTCCGAGATGTTGAGTTTGAGGGACGGCTTACGCCGGGGAGGCGTGCCATGTCTGCTTGGTGTGGTAGATTCTCCTTCGTCTTTTGACAAGCCTGCTTCTGGAACGAACGGAGATTGCAGAAAGTCATACTGTGTGTCTTTTGTGGGCGCAGTGACTTGCTCTGGAACTGGGGAAACCGCATTCCTGGCCAAGTTTTCAGATTCAGAGTTCCTGCTGGCTCTTGTGGCCAGTCTGTTTCTCAAGACCACATGCTCAGCCTCGACCACCCATGTCGCGTAGTCAAGCTCGATTTTCTCCAATCGGTCAATCCATGCCTGTGGAAGTGAATCTTCTTGTCCTTCTAGCATATCGAGCAGTCGATCAATCCGTCGGCCAACATCCGAGACCTGACTACCCAGCACTGCCTTTTTGCTCTCAAAGCGATCTTGGGTAACATTCTGAGCAAGCTCGGTATCTCTGACCTCATTGAAGGCCGCCTGGATGTCATGTTGAGTAGACTCAAGTACTTCGAGAAATCGAGGAAGTTCTTTCAGCACCCTTAGCCGAATGTCCCATATGTCCAGCAAGGTATTCAGCTTTGCAAGGTCCGGCAGCGCCTGAATTACTGTAGCCGTGATCAAGGCGGTGAAGTCACGCATTCTTCCATAACTCCTGCGGTTGCCCGTCGTCTGTGGACTTTGTGGATCATTCTTCGCTGGGGTATGCGACTCGAGCACATGATCCTTGATACTCTCCATTCCAAGACTTTCAAGATCATCTCTGATCTCATCCAGTCTTGACTCGTACTGGTCGGCCAATGTTATCGTCAGGTAGCCCCGGTAATGCATGCCTGCTCCTTTTGCACCAAAGGGAGTGATGAACCCCAGTCCCCAAGCTCTTTCTCTTCTTCCTGGCCAGCTCCATCCCGAGAGCTCAGTTGTCCATTCTCGAAGCTTTTGTGCGGCGAAAACAGCCCTTATACCAGTCTCTCGTTCGGCAGGTGTTGCGTCCCCGATGCTGGAAGCCAAAGCATCTTGGGCCCCGCCACCAGGGATCGTTTCGGTTGCTTGAAGGGCTCTCAATGTGGAATCAGGTGACAGGTTCCCAAGAAGAGGGTCGAGTTCTTTGATTGCAAATTGGGCTTTTCGACGAGGCGATCTTGAAGGAGATCGGGAGTCTAAAGGATACTCGAAACGAGGAAAATGCGGCTTGGTGGGAGTGGTCAGCGCCATTCTCGATGACGTTCGGTCTGCCTATTATGTTGCAAGCATGTACACTGCCTTCTTCGGCAAAGAGTCCCAGCCAGCTAGGAGCTGGTTTTGCAGCATGCTGGCACAGGCGTCCGCTCCTGACAGGACGTTGGAAGGATGCAACCACAGTATGGGCGTCTAGTAGAAACAAACGGGTGGTTCTGTAGGACGCATGACCAGAAAGAACGTCAGACAGTCGGTCAAAGCATGGAGGCTGGGGTCAGAAAGAAGGAAATATAGACGATTGTGAGGGTGCTCAAGCATAAAGAACTGGTAGGGATCTGGGATACTGCATGTACATAAGCGCAGGCTGCAAGGTCAGCGCTTTCTCCTTTGCCAGGATTCTTCGAGAAGTGTGTTCGTGATGTTGATTCAGATAACCGAGATCCTGCAGCCACAAAAGCCTGAATTTGGACTTTGGGGGCCTTGCCACTGCCTTGGGGCGCGTTTTGCCGGATGACGCGCTTGTTTAGAGCCTCCCAACTGTGGGCGGGACATGGATACGCGTTGTTAGCGGGTCACTTTAGTCAGTCTTACACACGAGCCATCTCATCGACGATACTCCGTACTAACGTTATGCCTTTTGCATGGTGAGTTCTTCGTACAGCCCAAGATCAGGAAGATGCGATGCGTTTCAAGAGTCAAATTAAGAATGTGAACTTATTTGCAAGTATGGACAATCTCTCAACCTCCTAAACCGTCCCGCTGATCGATGTTGAGAATTCTGCGCCTCTCTGGCCTCATTAGGGCAAGTCGCCTGGTGCCGTCTAAACGACGATGACGTCCAATTCACCATTGTGCCAGACAAAGGCAGCCAGGTATGGTCTGTTCTGAAGCCTGAGACCGTCTTCGAGACATATATCCTTCAGTCGGCATCGCCAAAGAACACGATCAATCTGGAAGTTCCGATCCAAGCCCTGTCTAGGGCTCTTCGATCGGCCTACGGTTCGACATCTACCCAGATCCGACTAACCAAGAAGGACAATGTGCCTATGCTGTCGCTGACGATCGTCACGAACACATTCAGTAGCGGAAACAATGTCGTTGCTGTTCCATCCGCCACTCGAGGAGACGATGAAGCAGTCGAGTTCGATTTCTCCGAGGATATGCCTGACGCATCATTCAGCGGCGGAGGACCGAGAGAACGGGAAACCGTCATCACGCAGGATATACCTGTGAAAGTCCTCACCATGGAAGTTGTGGAGAGAATCCATCAGCCACGAACACAAGAGCCGGATGTAAACATCTTCCTACCTCCACTAGTTCAGGTGAAGACTATTTCCGACCGGTTTACGAAGCTCGCCCTTGCCACTACCAAGGGCTCGTCGAATGCTAGTCCGAGACTAGAACTGAGTGCCAATATGCATGGCTCGTTGAAGATCTCGGTCAAGACTGATGCCTTGAACATCACAAGTCGCTGGACTGGGCTGGTCAACCCTGAACTCGACCCGGCACATTTTCCTGATGGTTCGCAGGGCGTAAGGGACCATCCTAGCACGAAGATGAAAGAACTTGGCGGACCCAATGGCGAGAATGAAGCCGGATGGTCCAAGGTTCGCATCGATGCCAAAGACTGGTCCAGAGTGCTTAGCGTTGGCAGAGTCAGTGCACGTGTCATTGCATGTTTCATCAACGAAGGAGGATTGGTGTTGTACGTGTATCTGCCGAACGATGAGAACGGGAGCGAGGACGAATCATGTCTAACGGTAAGTTCAACCTTGTTCTTTTTGAGATGTCATGCTGACAGTGGACAGTACTATATCAGCTCCTTTGCTGTGTAGGCGACTATTGTGACCATTCGATGGAAGACCCAATCCCGACCCTCGATGTCGCGGCACATCCGCATGGGGGAAGGTCTCTTATGCGCCAATAAGGCGCTTTTTCGGGGCTGACGGTGATTGATGGCGTACGTTTGGCCGCACATCATTCGTCGTGCAATAATGCTAAGTGGTGTCAGACAGTAAAAACAGCCAGAATCAGCCCATGTTCACACCTGGCGCAGATCTTCAGAATGCCGACAAAGGTCACCATCTGGCCGACTGAATACATCCGCCCAGGGACGTGAGGGTGGCAGTCGCTTCTGAGACGGGCTCGTGGCACTCCGACCACGGCGGAACAGAGCATACGACGTGATGACGACATGCCACACTGTCGAAGCCTCGGTGCTCTGCACCTGGACTCGTAAGGGCGCCCGATGGACCCATCCTGATAGTCACCAGTATCATCTCCAGCCGTATTCCAAGCGCGCTGGTGTTCCTGGCGCATGCGTTCGTGATGTCGACAATTCCGAGCAATGAAGATAATCTAGCTTTTCTCCTCGTCACCCTGTTTGAGCTGTTGCTCTTCTCGTTCTCGTCTTCTCTTCTCCTGCCTGGCCATAGGATGCTCGCCGTCTTCAGATATCTCACCGGCCTTCAAGCCCAGGGCCTTTCTTAATCGTTCACTTTCCCTTTCTTTAGCCTCTGCCATCTCGTGCACTTGATAACTTTTGAGGGCTCTCCCGTCCATTCTTTTACCTCCGCCTGATCGGTTATTGTTCCGTTCCATGTCGGCAGTAAGCTTCTTGCGCAGCTTGTCGCATTCTTCGTCGATCTTGTCCTCGTCCACCTCGTCGTCTTCCAGCTTTTCTCGCAGCTCTAGGACTGTCACTTCAATCTCTCGGAGGCGATCGTGATTGAGAATCTCTTGATCGGGCTTGCGCGTCTTTGGACCGCGGGCAGAAGAATCGAGGCTGTATGGCGCACCGACCCCAGTGTCACGAGGCTTTAAGAGGGACAGATTGCGTTGGACATAGCCGGATGTACCTGAGCCTCGAGGGGTCGTTAAACCCACATTGGACGACATGGTGATGATTACTGGATAGGATTTGGTTTGGTGCGTTCGGTGAGCAGAAAATACAAGTTCAATATCACGAACGGTGGTTGGCGGTGACTCGGCAGTAAATTTGTGGTCTGGTCGACGTCGAAACGCAGTCTGCTTATCGATAAGACCAACTTCGGTAAGTCGTTGCCGCCACTTTTAAGCCGCCCTCTGAATGGTTTGATAATTAGCTAGCATACTGTAACTTTGATCACTGACCATGCCTCGAAAAGCACCTTGAAGGCCGAAGCATCACTAAAGTAAGCATATTTTCGTCTAGTGGAGATCTTGACCAACAGGAACAGGAAGTTTATTTCCATTCGACCTCACTGTTACGGCGTCTTCCAGTAACGTCGTCTTGGTGCTCATCGTCGTGCCGGACTAAACTTCCCAAGCTTTACTACTGGCAGTGAGGTCTCGTAAGCGCACCAAGATGGAGAACGAACTGCGTCATACTGCTTTGTTTACATATGTTCGGAAAGGCATTGATATGCATGACTTCGGTCAACGCCAGGTATTAACCGTCAACGAGAGCCTCTTTGGGCCTTCGGACAGAACAGGCACGTGTGAGCATTTTCGACTGTGGCGATGCTGTGGACACGATTCCTCACCGAGGCAGATTTCATGGTCCACAAACTTCGGTTGCTGAACACAAGATCGCCGATTCATTTTTCTGGGGTAGACGTTTGGACGTCCTGATATTTAGCAATGTGGATGTTGAACATTCAGTGCGAATACTCCGGTCAAAGAAGCATGACAGAGTCTGGAATGGTCTTGTGACACCTCCCCATGTCCTCGGGCTGAGATAGCCGGGTTGTGGTTGTGGTATGGCCAGGCGTGTGCATATGCATGGCCTCATGAGAAAACATGGTAGTAGTGGTACTGTGTAGGTAGGTACCTAAGTTACAGCTTAGCGTCCGCCTCGGGAGCCAGGCACTCTGTTTAGCGGGCGGCGGCATCACCATCGAGTTCCAGGCCCCAAATCTGCCAGTGACAGTGTTGAATCTATCGGGAACAGATTCCGACTAGCGCCTTCCCCGAGCAATCCTGCATCACGGACATATTGCTAGGAATTCAATTCCGGCCGGCGAATGGATCCTTCTTAATAAAGATATCTTTCCTCTCTCCCTCTCTCACTCCTTCAAGTCTGGAGAGACTCAATGACGGAAATCTGTTTCTTTGAATTGTGATAAAATGGAGTTCGCTGAATACAAAATGCAACGCTCACAGGTTCCATGTCGAGGCCACTGCCCTTTTTCCGGGATGAGTTGACTTCCTTCTCTCTGCACACCCTTCCCTCTTGGGTCGACGATACCCTCATACAAAGGGTTTTCTAAAAATGCCCTCCCCCGTGACCTGCTCTGGCGATTCATTAGAATCTGTTTCTGCCCGAGTGGCCTGCTGACAGTCACTAGCCCTCCTCTGCAACAGCTCACTTCGTTCGGTCCCGAGACCATACTCACACGCTCTGTTGGCGCACGCGCAATGATCAGTTTCTGCGCGCATTATGGCTGCTCTGTCCTTGTCGGTTCGGTGCGTTGAAGACGCTTCCGCCAACTGGAGAGTTCATCCCACGGTATACTGCGGCTAGAGTTCCAGGCCATGGCAGTGTCATTCCGTCCACGTCCCGTGTCTGGCCACTCCAGCCTGCTTGACCACTCGCGTCGAAGACGTTGCTCTGCATACTCTCTCGCCTTGATGGCCCTTGCCTGGAATGTACTGAATGTGTCGACCCTTGTCTACCATTACCGTCCATCTGCACAGTGGACGGATACCCCATGCCATCCTTTTGAAGGGGGTATATGGGAGAATGCAGGTCCATCATGCCTACATCTTCATCTCGAAGCATCAAATGGTCGACAGAATGGTCGAGGGGCTCTGGAAAGGACTCAGTGTGATCAGCAGGTACGCCGTCCGATTGGGGTTCCCTCGACATGGTCGAGCGCTTCGTGTCGCCCTCCTCAGATTCCGACACGCCATCAACCCCGTCGACGCCGTCCACACCGTCTACACCGTCCATACCGTCCACTTCGTCCATACCATCGACTCCGTCCACACCATCCACATCGTCCGCCATCAGTCCATCTGGAGGCATCGACAGCGGTGTGTGGTTGGTCGAGGGTACGGACGAACGAGGTTTTATTTTTGGTTGTATGTCTGGTGGGAGATATGATCGTTGGGAGAACGGGTGCCCCCCATCCACAGCCGACTCTGACTGAGTCGTGTGAGGTCCTGCCCGCTCCAGAGCCGGAGGACTAAGTCCGAGACCTCGAAGAATCGCATCCGTCGAAACAGGTCCGCTACCCTCGTCTGGAACGATACCAGGAAAACCATGGCCTTCCCTGCACGCCCAATAAAGTTTTTGCAAGGCTTCATCCATCACATCGTGCATCCTCCAATACCTGGCAAGCATATATGAGCGCCTGCAGCTTCATAACAAGACCATTGCGGAGCGGATGGAACAAACTTACCAGTCTCTCGCCTCTCTTCGCCTCCGCGCGCTATACTCACAGACACTGTCGCTTGCGATGCAAGCAGAACAAGGCGTGCTGCCATCACACTACAACATGGTCAGCAAGCCTGTAGGTGGGACAGGCCGCAGGAAACTGGAATATCCCGGCATTCAACTTACCTTGGACTTTTTGATCTTGCAGCGATCACAGGCCCTTCCAATGCGGACGCGAGCTTTCGATTCGATTTTCGACTGCTCAACAATATCGCCTTTGGGTGGCAGTTTGAAAGTTTGCCTCTCTTTACGGCTCGACATTCCGGCCCGACCAGCAACGCCTCTCGAATGAGTCGACACCCTCGACACACTTCGAAACGCCGTATTATCTATTGAGCGAATATTGGCTGAAAGCCGGCACCGGACGCTTTGGCTACCGGAGCCCACGAAGCAGTCGACTTGAATCCTCTGCTGTTGAGTTGTGAAGAGTTTGTCCCAAAGCCACGGCTGACCTCCACAAATTTGGCCGATGATAGGGCATTCCTCACGCAAGTGGCCCACTACTGGCAAATCAACACAATCGGCGGGTGTCTGGTGAGAGTGAGGGTCGTTCGACTGGCTGTGTCTGAGTGTGTCATTGACGACCCATCCGATCCGCACGGCAAGCTGTCAATCCTGAGTCAAAAGAGATGATAATCTGTTTGTTTGCACGTTGAAAGGCAAAATAGCGAGTCTGTCGAATGGCTCGATCGGTGACACTTGGCACCAGAGTCCCGTTCTACGATGGCAAAGGGTGGAAAAGCGATGCGGTTCTGGAGCAGGTCCGCGCGCCATTCAGAAGTGTATCCGCTAAAGGCCAATGGGTGCGGTGGGCTTCGGCTCACCACCACACGGCCAAAATACACTACGCGGATCCAAAGCGGCGGTCTTACTTCACGGCCTTATTTTCCCCTGCAGAACCCCAGTCAGGGTTGTTCTGCCATACACCACAAACCCCATCGGTCAAGTAGCTGGGACCTTTTCTATGCGAAAGCGCAGGCTACAGAGTACGAAACTTGCTTCAACGATGAATACTTCAGAAGGTGCTCCGATCTGTCCAAGTGAAAGAGAGAAATTGCAGCCGGAGAAAACAGCCAGCGACTGGCGCCGGTCACTGTGGATGGGGCCATAGTCATGGGCGACTACAGGCGAGTACTGTAATAACCTATGTTACGGGGAAGCAGCAAAGTCAGACTTGCCACGAGTCAGGTCATCGAGGCGGGGCGGGCATGATTGCGAACCCAGAGAAACATCCATCCTCATGTCCTTCTGTGGTCTCCTCGTATGCTCGAGCAAGATACCCGATACCCCCAGACCCTTTGATGGGCAACCAGATCAGACGTTTCATTTATCCAATACGGGATCATGCCCGGCGAAGCTGTATTTAATACGGTCTGTAACACCCAAGTGGTGGTCCATCGGTACCAGTACCCATCTCTTTAGGATCCTGTTTCCAGACACTTTGACGGGGACGATTTCCGTTGCCGGTTGGACCATGGATACGCCACAGTTGGAAGGCTCGGACAGGTCATCCGAACCATACGGGGACTCGACCGCAGCAACGAGCCTTCCAGTGCCGACTAATCAGCGAAGACTGGAAGTCAAACTCCGTCGATGATTTTCGATGCATATTGCCATTCATCTGTGGCATTTTGCACCTCTCATCGGCGCAAGCTATTCGCTGGTAATCATGCACAAGACCGATTCAGGGCAGTCCAGAGCAAAAGATCGCTGTTTCTTTACCCCCATGGAGACTGGTGACCGCCATGGAGATGTTTAGGTAAGATGCCCGGAACCTTTGCCCGGGCTGACGGAAATATGGGAACAACCAACCAAAGATGCTTGGTCCGCGCTCAACAAATACTCGCAGAATTGGGTTGCCAATGTTCCGTTCTCGTCTACGGCGTGAGATAGCCACGTGGATGCAAGAGCCGCGCGCAAAGAGTCTTTGTAAGGACTAAAGGGCCTTGAAAATGTACATTGATGCTGGTCGCGTGGCATCCAGGCTCCCCATGTTCTTTGGCGTCCCGGACCTGAGGGCCACGGTAAACTGGAAACCAACCTACGCACAATCTCTAGGTTCAGATCACCCAAATCTGTCATCTAACTTACAGGCACCGGTCATCTGTCAGAGAGGAAGAGAAAAGAGACGTCGAAAAAATGCATCGCTCGATATATTCAATCGTCGTTGGCTTGAAACCCGTTTGGAGAATACTGATCGTTGATCAAGAAAATCCCACATGAACCTCATCCAATGCTAAGAGCGACCTGATCAAAAGTCGTACACATGACCTCGCCCACAACTGAGAAAGCCTTTTCAGGTCCATCAAGAATCCCACATGACCTCGCCCAGCGCCAACAGCACCTCCTGCTGTCCTTTCCTCGCCCTGATACTCTCCTCGCGGTCCTCGCCCCTCAACTTCGCACTGTACCACAATTCGATCAACGTCCTCAATTCATCGTACGTGTACCCGACGTCCTGTCCTTGAGCCTTCGCGTCCCGAACATACTGCAACATGGACTCCGGCCCCGTCAAAAAGAGATTGAAATAGCGCGTCGAAGATGACAAAAGGCCGGAATCAACCTCCGAGTCCTCGTCGCCCAAGGCTGCAGTCTCTGCCTCGCCGGTCGAAATACCCAAGCCCATACCCATCGTGACATCCGGTGCATTGGAGTCTATAGTCTCAGACGATACAAACTCTTGATCCTTGGTGTCTGTGCTAGCCATAATCGCCCTCAAATTCTGCTGGATGACTGTAGCATCGATGCGCAGACGTTCTGCACCGTGAACGTTCATTACACCGACAAAATCTGCGCCCGCGACAAGGAAGCGATCGATCAGGGCTGCCAGCCCCGCGATAATGAACTCGCGCTCTTTGGAGGGCAGGTACATTGCTATATTGGAGTCGAAAGAGATGAGGTCATTGTTGAGTTCGAGAATCAAAGGTGTAGCTGAGCTAGGCGGGGAAGAGAGGACGTAGGGATATAGTCCCGAGTCGAGGGCCGGGAGTGATGAGTCGCGGTTGTGACCGTCAGTCGGTGAGCTTGCGTTGTTTTCAGGGTTAGGACCGCGCAGGGTACGGGATAATTGATGGATGATGCCGCAGCGGATGTCGATGTGGAGGGTCAACAGGCTTGTTTGGGCGAGGGCGCGGAACGAGCTGACGGTGTTGTCGAAGGGGATGGCGGTCTCGGAGGTCAAGGGCAGATATACTGGGAGGATTGCGCCAGGGTGTGAGGCAGGTTTGTTCGATGGGGAGCGCAGGCCAGTGAGTAAAGTCCAGCGTTTGGCGGCGGGTTTGGTGCTGGTTTGATGGGCAGCATCGACGTTTCTGATTTTTGCTAGCGCCGCAGCCGTCCATTGCATGCTGTTGTACAGCAGCGAGAGTTGGTGCACGGATTTTGGGTCAGAGATGATATCGTAGGACGAGAGGGGGTTTTGTTTCGTCGCTAATAACAGGGCTTGGACTTCTTTGGCGATCAAGTCTGCGCGTGAAGAGGCGCGTATGGAGGTCTGGTTGAGTAGCGCTAGCGCAGCGTCACGGACGTCGCCTTGGTCGGCGAGCGCGGCGGCTGCTTTGAGCGCGAGACTATTGACTGCTGGGTTTGTAGCTGAGGGTGCGACCCGACTTACTAGCGCTTTGTAGTACCCGTAGCATTTGTCGTAGTATGTGACCATTTGGGTTATGATGAGTTGCGTGAAGATCTGGTCCTGTGGAATCGCGCTCAACATGCCGGAGAACGCGCGGATCAAGGCCATGAAGGAGACTGTGCTTTTGAATATCGGGTGCGGCGAGTGTTTGGACCATGAAGTGTCCTCGGAAAATGCTTCCAGATCAATCATGCATTGTGTGCAGAGCTCGGTGACGGCCTCTTCGAGTTGTGGGTGGAAGACGTTGATGAGGAAGTCGTCGAGGAAGGAGGTCAGCGTGCTCATCGGGATGTGCGCTGTTGAAGGGACGACGTCTTTCAGGCGCTGGAGGAAGGTCAGTGACGGAGGGAGGAGGATGGTCATGTTGAACACGCCGGGCTCGATGAGTAGTTTGTGACCTGCTGCTGTGCTGTCCTGCGTTGGTCGGTCGGACGACGAAGATGAATTGACGTCTAGTCCGGCGGCTCGAGATTTGCTGACGAGGCCGGGCACTGAGCTTTTCAAGATGTCATCGAGTTCGTCCTCTTCAGTCTTCATGGCCTCCGACTTTTTATCCATTTCGGACAGTTTGAACATTTTCTTGTTCTTGTCCCGGGTTGGCCTGGCGAAGATGTCGGTCGTGCTAGTGGTGTTGAGGCCGGAACGCAGGGTCATGCCGCCATCTGTGGCGAGGTAGTCGTGCAGGAGGGAGCGCATCTCCATCTGGTATAGTTTCCATAGCTCTTTGAAGCCCGTGGTATATTTGTCGGGCTTGGCCAGGTTCTCGCGCGTGGCAATGCCGGCAATGGCTTCGTGCAGCACGCGGTGACCCTCGGCTATTGCCTCGAATTTCGAATACAATGTCCAGAGGAAGTCGGAGAGCACTTGCGCTCGGCCGTCGTTCACGTGCAAAGAAACGACTTTGCGGGTGTCCTTGCTGAGTTGGCCACGTACATGGCTGGGGTATCTGGCATCGATGTCGTGATTGGTCTTCTCAACGACCTTGTACAGCTCCGTCGGCATCCTTTGCTCGATTCGCGAGACAGCCTCGCCGAGTTGGCCGAGTTTGTGCAACGATTCAAGGATCATATGGATGTAGTAGAATGTGTCAGCCTCGGGGTTCTTGGATGCGTCTTCGACCATGGGCGTTGCAAAGTCCGCGCTGTTCAAGTAATGGTTGAATGGCCGGTCCCAAGCATTCATACCCCCAGTCAGGATATCTTTGGAGTCCTTTTCATCGCCATTGGCTTTCTTGCCCTTCCATCTGTCTCGGCAGTAGGGGCTCCGTAGATAGAGGTGGTCATGTAGCTCCTCGACAAGGATATCGAGTAAGCTGCTTTCTTGGTTGACAAAGTAGCTTCGCAAGTCCGAGATCGCGGAGATGCCGTCGAATTCGCTCTTGGTGATCGCCTTGAGGCTGTCCATCAGCAGGTCAACGGCGCCGAGGAACTTCTTCTCGCTGATCTTCTCCTCCAGCTTGCTGGGAACTGTTTTCAATGACTCGACGTGGCTGAGCAAGACAAGCATATGGTCCAACTCCCCACTCTGTTCCGCGAGGCCCCTCAATTCCGGTTTTGTGCTTAGCATGCCGCCTTTGACGTTCATTAGTCCGCTTTTGAGTTGCCTCACTCTGCTCTGACTCTGCATGATGGCGGTTTGTATCTTGTGATACGTGCCAACAGCGCTGTTGAAGTCGGCATAATGCTCGTTGACCACGGTCTTGAGACACTTTTGCAGGTCGACATGAGTATTGGCGAAGTCCCCCTCTTTGTCTGCCAGACCTAACGAACTCGGATCCATCAACTTGAGCGCAATCTTGACTGGTACACATTCGTCGCCCTCCATGTCCTTCCAGTTGGACTGGATGTGACGCAAGATCTCGTCCATGCTTTTGGCGGGTCTGCGAGGAGAATACTGTCGATTAGCATTCTCTGGTGGTGGGTATGACTGGTTGGTGTAGCCATTGGCCTGCTGGCTCTGCTGATTCAGACTGGATACAGACGGTCGAGATGGTATCGTCGAAGGTGGCGGCATCGCCGGCCGTGCGTCCCTGCCTTCTCGACTTCTTGAGTCATTGTATGCTCTGTCTCTTGTAGGGGGTCTCTGTTGCTGTCTCTGCTCGACGTATTCTTGGGGCTCCCTTTGTCGACCATAGTCATGTTCGTTTCGTGAAGGAGGGGCCACATCATCGTATACACCGCGCGACAGCCCGCCGTAGCCTCCTCCATACCCTCCACCGCCGCTCCCTTGTCCTGACCCTACTCGTCCGGAAGGCACAGGTGCAGGAGAGTCTCGGCCTCGCTGGGCATAGGGATTCGATCCTCGCCTGCGCTCCTGCGAGTTGTAACTGTTGACCGATGCGGAGGACGCATTATTCTGTCGGCTCATGTACGGATCTGCATAACGGTTCGAGGGAACAGAGTTGGATGTATTGGTAGGCGCATAGGGATTCGTTCCGTTGGGGGGCCCTCCGTAGCCATTGACGGCATAAGGATTGTTGCTCATGCTTTCAGAGTGGATTATGTGCAGAAAATTTGGAAATTAGGATTCGGGCGCATGGTACTTGGGACATAAAGAGTGAGATGGGCCGACCGGCGGTCCTGGTATTGTCGGGTTGCGAAGCTCTGATACGGCAGGGCAAGATGTTGGATGGTTGTAGGAGGAGTGCAATTCGCGTCCACGTTGGAGAAGAGTGACACGCTTCTCCGCTTACGCTACGGCCACCATCATATCGCTGTTGTAGTAAAGTTGTACTCCCGTACTTTACTTGGGCACTATCAGGGCTTGTATCCTAATCAATTTTCCCTACATGGCTCAGTCGAGTATGCACATTGACCAATCTGATGATTATACTGGCTTGATGTCTTGTAGACGATCCTTTTGCCTGACAGGCTACCCTATCCTGCATCATGAGAGTGCTCTTCAAACCATCGGCCACTCCTCCTTAGCATCAACTGATTAGCTGATGGGACAAGCCATGGCGGCTCTTTGGTGACAAGCACCATAGATGCAGAGATAGCGCGAGGTCTCGGGCATCTCAAGCTGGGAAGGCAGGAGATAATCTCTTGCAATATGACCAAATTGTCTGAGCGAGCGTTGTTACCTGAACAATGACCAATTGTGCCTTGTCCAGACCGCTGAATTGTCCCAGTACCAGCAACCAAATTTGCGGTGACTTCAGCGAGTCCTCAATCGTTTGTGTGGTTCGTTCAATATGCCGCTGACGCTTAGTCGGGCAGAAGTGAAGCAAATGTCGAGAGTGCTCGTTATAGCACCGTTGCAATGGCTATTTGCAGAGCACACATCTTTACCGACGATCACCGATTATCAGTAACACCCAGACACATATAGGCCAGGAGTCTTTTCTTGATGCTGCCTTTCTTCCGAGCTTCTGGATCTTCGGCAGGGAGACCAAGATCAAGCCGTCTCTCGCGCTCTTCTCGTTTTTTAGCCTCTTCCTTCGCAAGCACGCTGCGCCTAAGTGCTTCGTACTGAGCTGCTTCACCCTCGCCGACACTGTCCTTGGCAACGACTCCGTTGTTGACTCTATTGGCAAGAGACATTGATCTGGCTGCTGCACAGAGGCAGCGATCAAGACTGAAGAATGGTGACGAGTAATCGAGGGTGAACGGGACTCTTAGACCTGGGCTTCAAGCCGAGTGTTTCTGCAGGTATTCAAGGTCAATTGGGAATTGTGAAGTGACCTTCAGACTGATTTGTGGGTGTTGGAAGCTTTTTGAACCTCAGGTGACTGTCTGGGGTGGATATGGGGAAATCCTGGCCCCGTGATGGTACCAGATTTGTGGCGCAGTGCTAAGCCTCCCTAGCCGAGGGTCGCCCCTAAAAACACAGCCTGATCAGCAGTATCGGCCCGCCCCCAAGTCTTGCCAGCAGTCCGTGGTGACTGCACCAAAACCATAACCAGAAATCTCTCACAAAAGTGTAGCTACTGTAGAGAACAATATGCGCTGAATATCTTTCAGGTGATATACCCAAATCCGCTACCTCTGCAGGCAATCCAGAATTCCTTGACGATGTCGTTAGTCTTCCTACCGCCTCTCAATGCCTCCATTTGGGCCAAGACCCTGTTTCTGTATTCCAGTGTCGTGGCCTTTAGCGCTTTGTCGCTCATCACTCCGGAGTCCTGTTTGACGGCCTCTCGCAGCACCGATTTGGTGAGCATCAAATGCTTTTGAACGAACCTTTTGATGGTCTCGGTAAGGCTCTCGATCTCCGAGCGTGCACACTCTCCTCCAAGCAGGCGAAGAAGGAGCGACAAGATTCGTTGCCCATAATGTTGTAGAATCTTGGCCATGCGCTGGTTCGTCTCGGCATCAGAACCGCCAGCCGGCCCGGCATAATCTGCCAGTATGGCAAAGAATGACGCTGCAGAACGGCGTGGAAGTGTATCAGGGTCAGCCATAAGGACCAATGCCATTTCTATGGACACTCCCGCCATCTGCCCGCCCTCCGGCAAAGAGAGCCATATGGATGTCCACTTTGTCATCAAACGACCTAGGAAATCAAGTGAGCTTGACGGGAAGCTGGTATCTTGTAGTTGCCGCGAATCTTGAAACGTTGACAGGACGTGCTGCTGGTTCAATATGACGAGGTACAAGAGGCTGCTGACGCACACTTGGATATTCGCGGTATTGATCGAGGCAAGGAAGCTAGATGCGCATGCCATGACAGTGTCAATGCTGGGAGATTCCAGATTGATTAAAGCACTGACAAGGTCGAGACCGACCCTGTCTGGAAACTTGAACGGTGATGGGTGCTCCTCGGTGAAGCCGGATTTGATAAAGTCGCAGCATGCTTCGACGAATACAATGTCGATTTGATCAGTCACCTTTTGCAGAATGACCCCATACAGTGCGAGCACGTCACGTTGGATATCTGCACCTGGACCATCCTGCCAGAATGCCGACTGTGGAGTATTTGACGCTTCGAGATCGATAGGTGTGTCGTGCGGCGACCGTAGACCTTTGCCGACCGAAGCCAGAGTTTGCATGGTATCAGTGCACAACCTCAGTGCCTCGATCTTTTCTGCGACATCATCGTTCATCACGAGTAGTCCACTGCTGACATGTGAGAGCAGTTCCGATAGTGGTTGAACTTTGGCTTCTTCAGTTGGAAGACCCTGGATAATCGTAGCGACCGCGGCATATATTCTGTGCCGCTCGGCCTCACCAAGGTCGCCAATGGTCGATAGCGAGGCCATAAATTGCGGAAGACCATCTATCAATGCCTCCCTGTGTGAGTCGCACAGGCTATAAATGGCCCTGGAAGCAGCGGATGCAGATGCCTGCAGATGTAGAGATGAGAATAAGAAGTTCAGAATCGGGACCAGCCCATCGGGATGGCGTTGAAGGTATGCAACATTGTCTGCAATAAACCGGATGCTTGTTTGACGAGCCCTGTCAGGAACAGGATTCACAGACTGCAGAAGATGCCTTAAAGGCTGACTGTCAAGTACTGCTGTGATTAGACCGTCATATGTGTCCGGATCAGACGACATGGTGTCCGAAAATGCCGTGAAAGCGAAAATGGCAGCCTCGATTGTACTCCAATTGAGAGGTTCGGGATGAGAAATAATAGTCTTTACGATTCCTTCAATCAAATCATTCCCCAAGACCGCGAACGCAGACTGGAAGAAGTCATGGACGTCGTATCGAAAGTCCTGGAACCTGGCGCGTTCGTCGGCATCCCAATCTTGTGTCTCGCTCGACATCTCTTCTTGGGGCAATTGGATCTTCAAAAGACATGCGTCACATGCATCAGCAGCCAGGCTTCGGATAAATGGTTGAGCTGAATCGCCCTCATCCCAGTCAGTGAAGCCTTCGACCATCTCACTGACCTTTTCAAGAGCAACTTGGCAGAAAGGATCTTCGATGATTGCTTGGTCTTCACATCGGAGGAGTTGTCGAAGAGTCTCAATGACTTGAGTGTAACGACCAGAGTGCAAGTATGCTGACGAAGTAGTATCTACCTGACTCATAATCGACTCCAGGAGGTCGACATATGTGCCTGCGCCGAGATTCCAGTCCCCAGACAAGAGAGCCGTCACGATCTCCTTAGCCATGGGAGATTCTGCGATGCTGGACGGGTAATCGGGGATGGCACTTTGAAGAAGCCTGGCTGAGGACTGTTGCAGGGAATAAAGCATTTGCAGGACACTTGCCGTCAGTGGATCATGATCAAAGTATCCAACGCCCAGACTGATACACTCTTGAGCGGCTGCCTCGATGCTGAGCATCTGCGCTTTGTCGACGCTAGGGACGAGGTGTTTGACCAAGCCTACCCAGAATGGTATGCTTGAAAAGACCATCTTCAATAATTCAGTGTAAGCCGTGGCAGCATCAGATTCCTCAACTGCAATTTCATGATACCGAATCTTGTTCGGTGCACCCATGACAAATCGCAAGAATTTCAAGGCGTCCGGACCATTGGCAGCCGTGCGATCCGTAATGATGCCTTGAACAGTACTTGTGGAAGTACGATTACCAAGATCTTCCGCCATGGTTTTCGCAAGCATCAGAATGCCCTTCAGCTGGATATATGAACAGTCCTTGCCAGCTTCGCATAGTTGATCCATGTCTGGCAGAGTGGTAGGCGAAACGTAGTTCCCACTTATTGCGCAAGCGAATACATGTCGCAAGGGGAAAGTCCATTCTGAATCGTGCTTCGTAAAGAGGGTTACCAGCGTTGAACAGAGCTTTTGAATGACAAAGTTTTCATCGGGCAGGATGACAAGTTGTAGGTATCGGGTGACAAGGGTCTCCAGCAGGTAGTACTTCATTCGCTCATCTTCGCCCATCTGATCGTTATCCCTGGTCTGCTGTTAGTGGTAATTGCAAGGACGTAAGATTCTGACCCTCACCAGTCTGCGTTAATCTTGATGGTGAGGGTGAGAGCACCGTGGAAGCGCATGACGGCCTCATCGTGCCGTAGGAGATCGAGGCCAATCTGCCATGCGGCCCTCTCACGCTGCAGTCGTTGGATTTGTCTCTGAATGTCGTGAATGCGATCCGGGGCCGCCTGGTTGCCCGGATCGTGCAATTCTCGGATCAGCTTCTCCATGGTGACCGAGTAGAGCTGAAATACCTCGAAGGCATTGTATTGAAATGGCCTTGAGTGTGGCGTGATAGAAGATTGATGCTGTAAACCTTAGACTTGACAAACACCACACCGGGACGGGGGACAGCCTTGCTAGAATGCTCTTTGTTCGTCCCTTTGTAAGAAGAGTTCTTTTAGTAAGCCGGCGGCGCTCAATTCTGGGTACCAGGAGATGGAGTTTTTAGTCTGCCGAGAAGCACTTTTTCTCCTATTTCGCACGACCCGAAGAATCGTATAGGCACCAGACTCAAGGACTGCCCACAGAGTAATATCATGAAGGTATATTCAGATCCAGATACAAAAAAGTATCCATGGCCGCTTTTAACCAATTCACTAGGAAGGCGCCCCTGATGAAGCCAGGCCCGCCTACTCGACCGCCTAAGTTCAAAGCGGCATGGGCGCTTTCAGGGAAGAACACGCGAGCTCGAGTACAGACTTCCGGGGCGACAGAGATGTGCCCGCCAATCAAGGGATACTGGCACATGCCTTCATGTTGATATCACCGTCGTCACATTCATTCCTCACATAGACTTCACTTTCGATGAGCTGGTCATTCCTGCGGTTGCCTGCCTTGTTTCGTCGGTCCTCGACCCGCGTCTCAATCCCACTCCCATCACCTTCCCCGTCCGTTCGTTCCTTCTCCTTCTCAAGCTCACGACGAAGTGTCGAGATGGAGACAGTAGACACTTCGAAACGACTGGCGCAATTGCGCGACCTGATGCGCCAACACAAGGTCGACGTCTACATTGTCCCTTCGGAGGACAGTCACCAGTCAGAATATATAGCACCATGCGACGCAAGAAGAGAATACATCTGTGGGTTTACAGGGTCAGCTGGCACTGCTGTGATCACACTCGATAAAGCTGCTCTGGCGACAGACGGACGATATTTCAATCAAGCCTCGAAACAACTGGACAGCAACTGGTTGCTGTTGAAGCAGGGCATGGAGGATGTACCGACGTGGCAGGAATGGACGACAGAACAAGCAGAAGGCGGCAAGACTGTCGGTGTCGACCCTACTGTTATCACGGCTTCAGATGCTCGAAAATTGAGCGAGACACTCAAGAAGAAATCGCAGGCGACTCTTGTTGGTGTCTCGGACAATCTCGTTGACAAGATATGGAAGGATCGACCCTCACGGCCGGCCGAGAAAGTCATTGTACTCGACGAGAAATATGCCGGGAAATCATACAAGGAAAAGTTGGACGAGCTACGGAAGGACATCAAGAAGAAGAAGGCTGCCGGAATGGTGATATCGATGCTGGACGAGATTGCATGGCTTTTCAACTTGCGCGGCAACGATATCCCGTACAACCCTGTTTTCTTCTCATATGCAGCTGTCACACCCAACTCAACCACATTGTACGTTGATTCGAGCAAGATTGGTTCCGACGTGAAAGATTATCTGAGCGACTCGGTCGAGATGAAGCCGTACGACGCTCTATTCTCCGACCTAGCGAGAGTCGCCGAGACGGCTGCGAACGAAGTGCAACAAAACGGCACCGCAAAATCGCCTCACTCCGCGAAGCTGCTGCTTTCAAATAAGTCCTCGTGGGCCCTGAGTCTAGGGCTAGGAGGTGAGGACAAGGTCGAAGAGGCCAGGAGTCCGGTCTCCGATGCCAAGGCTATCAAGAACGCCGCTGAGCTCGAGGGAATGCGACAATGTCATATCAGGGATGGTGCAGCCTTGATCGAGTATTTCGCCTGGTTGGAACGTGAGTTGCAGGGTGGATCTTGGCTAGACGAGGTTCAGGCTGCGGACAAGCTCGAGCAGATCCGGTCCAAAGGCGAACACTTTATGGGCCTTTCTTTTGACACCATCTCTTCGACAGGCGCAAATGCTGCAGTGATCCACTACAAGCCCGAACCAGGCAACTGCTCGGTCATCGATCCCAAGGCTATTTACCTCTGCGATTCAGGAGCTCAATATCTCGACGGCACCACCGATACAACACGGACACTGCACTTTGGTGAACCGACCGCAATGGAGGTCAAGGCATACACTTTGGTCATGAAAGGAGTCATCTCGCTGGATAGAGCTGTGTTCCCCAAGGGCACTACTGGGTTCGGCCTTGATGCCATGGCTCGGCAACATTTGTGGCGCGAAGGCTTAGACTACAGACACGGTACTGGTCATGGCGTAGGATCATTCCTCAACGTCCACGAAGGCCCCATTGGTATTGGCACTCGCACAGCATACTCGGAGGTTTCGTTAAGTATCGGCAATGTCCTCTCAGACGAGCCAGGATATTATGAAGACGGCAACTTCGGCATCCGAATCGAGAATATGATCATGGCGAGGGAAGCCAAGACGAACCACAAGTTCGGCGACAAGCCGTGGATTTGTTTTGAGCATGTGACTGTGGTGCCGATGTGTAGGAAGCTGATTGATCCGGCGTTGCTCGCGCCGGAAGAACGACAATGGTTGAATGATTACCATCAAGAGGTCTGGGAGAAGACGAGTGGCTTCTTCAAGGATGATGAGCGGACGACGAAGTGGTTGAAGAGGGAGACGGCGCCGATATGATCAAGTCAGACCATGATCGTGTAATAAGTTGGGCTTGGATCGTGGCGCGGGATGCTAGGGTACCCCTTCGCACATCGACTTGCTGAATAAGTCAGAAACCATGGGAGGGACAGTATCTCTGAGTGCACTCCGCTTCCGACCGTATGTCCCATGCGGCATTGGGCATCTGAAGTGCGTATAATGTGGTCGGGTTTGACAGAACTTGCGAATCGCAGGCAAAGTCGACGCTGAAACCCTCAAAAGTAGACAGTCGATGTACAGTCAGGATGCTGCTTTCCGTACGAACCATAGCCACACTCTGTCTTCCACAGGACGACGACCGCCTTTTGAAGTAATCGAGCCTGCTGGTGCGTCAAAGACATTTAGCCTCTAGGCAGCCTTTTTCAATCACACCCGAAGAACGCACAAGACTTCATAAGACGGCAGTCCCGCGTCGGCAGACGAGAAAATGGATGCTCTGAACGGCTTGCTGAAGGCGGCACCATCACCAGAGTTGCACACCGGACCAGTAGTCTCGTCATGCTCAATGAAGTCGTGACACCGCTCCATATGATCCGAGAATGAGCCGAGAACATCTGCAAACGTGTCTTGTTGGGCTTCTCCGTCTCCGTCCTCGCCTTCAGAGTTTGAAGCTGGGAGGAAATCAGCCTTGGGTCCCAGAAAGATAAGTGTAACCTGTCGTCCACTTGCGGCAGCGAGTTCGAGGTACACTCGGACTAGACGTGGGTCGCGTGGGTAGACGAAGATCCATACTGGAAAGTGTGTCGCATCGTCGTAGAGCGTGAATGTCGTGGGGACGGTGTGTCGCAAGTGCAAGGATAGGTATTTGTTGGCTGAAGATGAAGAGGAGACTTCGACGCCGTGGACTTCAATGGTTCCTCTGGGCGATAGGGTTGTGAGTAGGGCTTCGAAAAGGCCTGTGCCGGAACCGATGGAGAGGACGGGCAATGCTGGTATCTGAAGAGAGGGTATCTTTGGGTGCAAGATATCGAGGATACATTGCACTAGAGTCGTGGAGAGGCCAAGGCAGCAGTCTGAATGATTCAGAGGAGTGGGGGAGAGAGGTGGTAGTGCAAGAGGGTAAGTGTGAGACTTGTCTTCCTCAGACTCAGGCGAGACATCTTCATCAAGCATGTTGTATCCAGAGCCGCAGCTGGTGATAATGTCTCATATGGATTGACAGCTGTCCTTGAATGATTCGCAGAGTTTTGATATCTGTAGAGGTCGGATAGGCGCTTTATGTAGTTGAAGCCATGTAGCCATGTGTATGGACCAGCAATGCGTAAGTTACGAGGCGGTCCTCGAGAGGATCACCTACCCGAAAAGCACAGACTGACTGGAGAACTGTTCTAGAATGCGAAGCATTGGAAGATTCCTTGACTCGGCATAGAAGTAATTTCGTCCTGATGCGGCAGGGACTGGGTGCAGGCCTACTCCCATATCCCAGAGAATCTCCGCCATATAAAAATACCTTCAATTGTCGATCATCAAAAAAACAGTTTGCGACACTAGACCACAAAGTCCACTGAGACATCTCGCTCACAAAGATGTGAGCGAAAGATGCGGAAAATGGCAAAAACAATGCATCAGCCGGGAGTCGAACCCAGAGCTATTGCTAATCACATGGAAGGCAACAATGTTACCGCTACTGAAGTAGAGGTTAGCTCTAGGATCTGGTTGAGGGTTGTCAGGTTCACGAACCACCACTGATGCGTGAGAGAACAAGCTCCTATTCAAAATTCAGGTATAAAACCTGAGGCTGATTTGATGGTGAAAATTTAAGCTCTCAAATATATGACCCTTGCTTTTGCGTGCTCGAAACTACGCCGGAGAGTCTATCATCCTCGGCATGATAGCGGGCACGCAATCCCTCTTGCTGGGCGGGTCAATTTCTGCAAGCAGGGGCACGGTCTACGTTGGGGAGTACCAATAGCCTATCAGATTCAAGTGACTGTTCGACGGTGACTCGACTTCTTGTAGATTATATTCTAGATCGCCCTATGCTCCCCATACAGACGCAGATCTGCAGTGTTCATGCTTCACAAGCGTCCGATTTTCCCGACCACCAATGGCCAGCAGTGATATTGGAAAGCAACATTCGTCTGCAGCAGTCAATCCGAAACCTCGTTTCTTCAGCCTCAAGTGATCATATTATGGCTGCAGAACTGCCGGCGCATCATGATCCCAGAGTCAGTCTTATGGTCCTCGTAAGTCTGTGTCATCACAGTCAAGATCCAGAGAACCGAAGTTGTGGTAAGATGGATTGCATACAATGGGTTCCCCTTTGGTGACATGGAATTGCTCAAGGGGAACTTGGATGTTGAACGTGTAGCTACTCGAGATTGCTCGGCAGTTGGTGCAATGACAGACACTGGTCACAGCTTGCTCCGGCTCAATGTCGATGCAGAGATGCACTTTTTCTGCAGATGTTGTAAGCTTCCGCCGCGGTGAGACTGTTTGAGTCACTCTATACTCACCACAGGCACATTTCCCGTTCATAGGCATAGTGGCTGATTTCCAATTGAATGTTGAGACGAAGAAGACACAGGCTGGCTATGAACTTGATGATCGTTGTGAAGGAACGGATTGGGCCTGACGGGACCTTTATACCAGACGCTGGGAAACTTTCAGCCGTTCAATGACTGGATGCCACGGATGTCACACAAGGGCGAAGGGCTCAACTCTACCGTCTATTATCCACAAACGACTTCTGTCAGGGAGGAAAGTCCTTGTGGGAGCGATAGTGATACATTGTACTACAGGCACTGCCTGAGGGTTGATGCTCTCCATGATCAAGATGACTGGCTTATTGCCATGGAGCTTTTCATGGGTGTTTCACCGCTACTTTGCCCGGATATCGAAAGGTACCACGGTGATCCTTTAAGCTCGGATAATAGTGCGCTAACATGCACCTGTATGTCTATAAAAGGATCCTCCTGCTACCCTAGGCTCCATGATACTGAGGCGGACAATTCAGATTTGTGTGTAGATAAGTCGAGAAGGGACAACATCCAAATGATATAGCAGGATCCCAGGCCATCACAACGTCACACAGTCACACAGGATCTAAGAAAAATAGCCTTCTTGTTGCCTGGCCGGTGTGAGAGTCCGTACGAGGACCGCTTAGCACACTTGAAATCCCTGACACGATCAGTCCCATTAAATGATCAAACGCAGAGTAACACACTTGAGTGACTTAGAAAGTCCATCACCACTAGGCCGTGGCAGCGATAAAGCAGGTAGTGGGATCCTAGGCCGACGAACCACGACTTCCCACCTATGGAGTTCGTTGTACTCCAGTTCTCGGAACTAAAGCGCTAAGATGATCACTCTAAGAGCTATACTCATTTACTATACTACTATAATGGTCTGTAGCTTGACCCTACGCCGTGTAGGATATAGACTTAGTCCACGTCGCTGAAGCACGCATTTCCAACCGCTCTATGCAACTTCCGTGCCTTTACTGCCCATTTCTCCCAGAGCCTCCCTGCTTGCGCCTGATCTTTCAATTTTCCTCAACGGCCGGTACTCCGCATGCCACATCTGTTCCCTGATCCAAGCTTCAAGCTCGTCGTCATTTCTCGGAATATGCTTTTCCTGGTGGAGATTCTCATGAACTGCCTGCTTGATCACCGCTGCCGCCACTTGCACGCTAATCTCGCGCACATTTGTGACATCTGGTAACAGGCCAGCCGTTGGATCTTTCAAAGCAGGAGCTTGCGCTGCCAATGCTTTGACCGCCGATACAAGCATGCTTGGAGTGATCAGCTTGGCACGGGCAAGGACCGCCCCGAGTCCAATGCCGGGGAAGATCTCGCTGTTGTTGCACTCGGAAATCTCCCGTTTACTGCCACGGAATTCCACCGGAGAAAAAGGGCTCCCTGTTGCCGTGAGAACCCTACCGTTCGTCCAGTGAATGAGGTCTTGAGGTGTTGCTTCATGTAATTGGGTAGGGTTGGATAGTGGGAAGATGATCGGATGCTCGACGTGCTTGGCCATTTCCTGGACGATCTCCTGGGTAAAGCTCCTGGGCTGTGTGCTGGTGCCAATTAAGACATGGGGCTTGACCTTCCTAACAACATCCAAAAGAGAGGTGTGAGGGTTCTGCCAGTCATCACTTGACTTTGCGTAGTCGTGTTGGGCAGGTGTGAGTTTGTCACCATGACTGGACAGTAATAGACCAAACTTATCAACGCACCAGATTTGGTTGTTAGCCTCACGCTTCGCTTTTCCGCTCTCCATGGCGATTGCGTCTCGAATCTGGTCCGCGATTCCCATGCCTGCAGAGCCTGCACCGAACACAATGATTCGGAGGTCTGTCAACTCATATTCTGCTACATGAATCGCTGAGTAGAGCGCCGCTAGAGTGACGCATCCAGTCCCTTGAATATCGTCGTTGAAGCAAGCAATCTCCTCCGTATATCGATTGAGGATGCGCCTTGCGTTCTGCACACCGAAATCCTCGAAGTGGATATAAGCTTTCGGGAATCGTTTTCTGCAGACATGGATAAAGTGGTCGATAAACGCATCGTATTGGGGACCTCGAACTCGGCATTTGTGTAGCCCCAGGTACAACTCGTCGTCCAGGAGACTTTGGTTATTGGTTCCAACGTCGAGGACCACCGGTAAAGTACGATTCGGATGGATACCCGCGCATAACGTATATATGACTAACTTTGCAATACTGATGAGAATAGCGCCGACGCCTTGATCTCCGATACCTAAAATCAACGCCCAACGGTGAACAACTATGAACCATGAGGTGGTTGTCAGAGGACTCACCTAGTATTTGCTCGCCGTCACTACAAATAACGACATCCACGTCCTCCGCCGGGCCCCAGCGAGCTAACGCGGCATCTATACCCTGTTGATCGGCAATGTTGAGGAAACAGCCTTCCGGCCGACGAAAGAGCCTACTATACTTCGTGATAGCCTCACCCTCAGTGGGAGTGTATATGATGGGAAACATCTCTTTGAGATGCTCTTGGATGAGCCGATAGTATAAGACCTCGTTTTGGTCTTTCAAACTCGTCATAAAGGTGTTTTTCCCTAATGGCGTACGACGGGCCTGGTACTGCTCATAAGCACGCCTCGTCTGCTCCTCAAGTGTGTTGACTCTTGCGGGGAGTAAACTGTTCAATTGGAAAACATCGCGTTCCTCTTTGGTGAAGGCCATGCCTTTGTTAAAGTATGGGGTTTGCAAAAGAGCCTTGCCCATCAGAGCACAGCCCTGTGGCCCTGAAGTAGACAACCGCGAGTTGGTGAGTTTGGACGACGACATCTTGACAAAACGATGTTTACTGCATGGAAGTCATTGCTCATGAGCATGGCGTGGGGTGACTGACACGTCTAATATACAAGCACTGCCGAAAAGAAGGCACGCCACCTGCGTGGTGCGCAGGCCTCTGCTGACCAAACGAGCGATCATTCCCGCTTCTAGCTGATATTTGGCCATAATCTTTGTCCTCGTCCACTCTGTTCCTAGGTTGCGGGCGGGTGTTGCAAATATACAGCCCCTGATGAACGGACGTAAAGCTGCCTTAGGTGATGAAAGAAGTCTGTTTTGGGTTAAGCATGGCGGGGCTTGGTGCCGGCAATGGACGAGTCCATTGGTCTCTTCCAGGGGCTGCGCGGTGGCTTGGCGGGCTAAGTGGATGAAGACTCGGGATGGTGCACATCGCGGATCTCGACGGCATATTCGGTCGATCTTTGATCACTTCGCTTGTTTTAGTCCTCTTCGACCTCCAAGCACCTTTCCTATTCGAGCTTTGCATCCGCGAGGTCTATAGATTTCTAGCCTCATGTTGCCAGCAAGCCACATGGTCATCTTAATAATAACAAGTCTTGGAATGCTAACGCCTGTGAACGTATTGGAAACTGGATAAAGTCCTCATGTATCGACTTGAAATTGTGGCCACCATTAATTTGCACTTGCAAAAGTATAGTTCTCAAGACTCATATTCGCATATCCCACACGATGTCTTACTCTCTACTTCAACTAAGCGACAGGTCTCTGCTCAAGAACCTCGCCTGCATCAATGGCAAATGGGTAGCAGCTAAGTCTGGAAAGACATTCGAAGTACAAGATCCGGCTTCCAATAAGGCAATTGCAACAATGCCAGATATGGGCAAAGACGAGACTGAAGAGGCTATCAATGCCGCAGCTGCAGCGCTGCCATCATTTCGACAGACCACAGCACGAGACCGGGGCCGTCTACTCCGAAAGTGGTATGATTTGATGATAGAGAATGCCGAAGATCTCGCGAAGTTGGTTACCTGGGAGAACGGTAAAACACTCCGAGAGGCCAGGGCTGAAATCCAATATGCTGCCATGTTCTTCGAATGGTTCAGTGAAGAAGCCCCAAGAGCATACGGGGATGTTATTCCGGCCAGCGTTGCCAACCATAGGGTTCAGACACGTAAAGAGCCCATCGGTGTGTGTGGTCTCATTACGCCATGGAACTGGCCTGCTGGCATGATCACAAGGAAGATTGGCGCGGCTGTTGCTGCAGGTTGCACAGTGGTCTTGAAATCACCTGGAGAGACGCCACTGACAGCTGCCGCCCTGATAGAGCTCGGACAGCGTGCAGGTGTGCCGGCTGGAGTGGTCAACCTTGTCAGTGCTCTCGAGAACACAGTCGAGGTCGGAAACACCCTTACTTCTTCAAAAGTCGTGAAGAAAGTGTCGTTCACAGGATCAACACGTGTAGGTAAAATTTTGATGGAACAGGCTGCGTCAACTCTGAAGAAGCTCTCTTTTGAACTTGGAGGCAACGCACCCTTCATTGTCTTCGATGATGCAGACTTGGAAGACGCTGTTGCTGGTGCCATCCAATGCAAGTTCAAAGGCTCCGGCCAGACTTGTACCTGCGCCAACCGCATCTATGTGCAGAAAACCGTCTACAATGCTTTCGTCGAGGCATTCGTGGCGGAAGTTGAGAAATTCCAAACCGGACCCGGGTACAAAGACGGCGTTACTTTCGGTCCGTTGATCTACGAGCGCGCTCTCACCCAGGCTGAAAGGCACATCTCCGACGCCGTGGAGAAAGGCGCCAAAATCGTATCTGGTGGAAGCAGAATGCCAAAGCTCGGTGCCAACTTTTTCCAGCCGACAGTGATCAGCGGTATGACTGCTGATATGCTCTTGGCTCGTGAAGAAACATTTGGCCCTGTCGCCGGTATCTTCCCCTTTGAGACGGAGGAACAAGTGGTCAGGCTTGCCAACGACACTGAAGTTGGCTTGACAGGGTACTTTTACTCGAAAGACGTCGATCGTTGTCGCAGAGTTGCGGAGGCCCTCGAGGTGGGCATGGTAGGCGTGAACACTGATGCAGTCTCGGACGTGGCTATGCCATTTGGTGGGATCAAGGAGTCTGGTTTTGGTAGGGAGGGGAGTAGGTATGGCATGGACGAATACATGGTGCTCAAGTCTGTCACATATGGCGGTGCAGACAGGCCCCTTGATGGGGCTTGATAGACTTCTGCAAGGATTCAAGAACAGAGCCACACATTTAATTGAACATACTGTGGGTTTCCCCAGGAAATGAAAGACCTAGTGACCTGTTTACTGTTCCACTCTCCAACGTCGAGGAGTCTGTCAGACATGCATTTCCAGCCATCCTGTATTGCTAATCACGTGACGCTACTGCACCCAGGCGCACTCCGTACTATATAGCTGGCTCCCTCCCAGGAGCCCTTCTCAACCAAGAGATCTAAAGTCCCAGGGCTTGCTGTCATAACGTCATCAATTGAGAGGGTCGAATGGATCTCACCCTGCTGGAAGGAATACCGTGAGTACGAGAACGAGACTGACTGGATGCAATATCTCGGCACGCCCAACGGTTTGTCGGAGAACGCCTTCCTAGTACAGCTTTGCATCCGGTAGCTTCATTCCTCGTAGGAAGTCGGAAATGGCAACCTCTCCGCTAGGTGTTTTATCTATTCAAAACCTGCAACTTCGACGGCGCGGATCCAGCAGATCTCCACACGCATGATGTGGAAGCTTACTTCGAAGAAGTCCACATTTGTCAGTTGATAGCATTAGATAGGCGCGGGGGTCGGATGGCACGCAATCAACGTGAATTTTCGGCACTCAGTGGGCGACGACAGAGTCCTATATTGCACCATTCCGACATTGCCGACCCACTGTCGCTCTTGCAATTAGAGTCCCAACAGAATGCAAACCGCTTACCGCAGAGAAGCCAAATTGACGTTGAGAAGTGCGAGCTACTCCATACTTCTAGGTCTCTGAACGTACCTGATGACTCACTCATACAGGTCCAATGCTTGACGTCCAAGCTATATTGTTTCCAGCTGGCGTGACAGATCCATCGGCCACTTGGGTTGATAGTACCTTGCAGACTTCTCAATAGACATCAGACGCCCAGAGTGCTAGTATAACATCAATCGTCTCTTTGAGTACGGAGAATTCCATCCAGTGGCGTCTTGGTTTTCATTCAGCCTAGTATGGCCACTCCGGTTCCAAGACCCAATGGCAAAACCGTCTTGCTCACGGGAATGAACGGTTTTATTGCCTCGAACATTGCCCTCCAGCTACTCGATCGTGGTTACATTGTCAGAGGAACGTCTCGCAAGGCGGACACGGTTTCCCCATTGCTCAAGCAGCCTTTGTTCAATCGCTTCGCCAACATCATTCCAGCCCGAGTTCAGCACGTTATCGTGCCTGACATCTCAGCCAAGGCCGCTTTTGACGAGGCAGTGCAAGGGGTAGATGCAATTATTCACACTGCCTCCCCAATAGACTTCTCTCTAGAGACTGTCTCTGAGTTCCTCGATCCTGCCATCGGAGGAGTGCAGGCTATTCTATGCAGCGCATACCACGAAAACGAAGGAGCTATCCGAAACGGCCAAGTTGCTCCGATCACTAGTTTCGTGCTCACCAGTTCGATTGCTGCCATTTTTGATCAATGGAGATTTCCACCACATTCAGAGAGTGGGGCAAGGAATCATGCCTATTCTGAGGTTGACTGGAACGAGAGTGCTGAGGCAGCAGCGAGGGAGAGCGAGGCAGAAGGTCGTCCACTGATACCGATGGTGGCATATGCAGCTTCGAAAGTCGCAGCCGAGAGAGCCATGTGGGACTTTATCCAGGTCAAGTCTGAGGAGGCTGGAAGAATTCAAATCGTTCCGGCATGCAGCAGCATAAATCCTGGAGTCGCAATCGGACCACCGGTATTGTGGCCCGATACACCAGAGCGACTGAACGAGACTTTAATGCCCATGTGGAAGATATGGAGTGGAGAGGCCAAAGCTACCAACACCATGCCACCACAAATTGGGAGTGGTACATTCATCGACGTGAGGGATGTGGCACGACTTCATGTGTGGTGCATGGAGAATACGCAAAAGAGCTCTAGTCAACGATATATGATTACGAATGGAAAGGCTTCATCACAAGCCGTTGCGGATCTGCTACGAGAGGGATTGGTCGATGAGCACAAGGTGGCACAAAGGATTATTATTGGTGATCCTGGCAAGGGTTATACATCAGGATTCGGCTTTTCGTCAAACGAGCCAAGTGCATGGGCAATGAAGGCTTACGAGGCGTTGGACAGAAGTACTTTCAGGAGCTTCGGTCAATGTATCAGAGATACTGTTCTGGCGTTTCGGGAAAGATGGCCAGAGTATGGGTACTAGACATGTACGAATGTTCATATTATCTAAATGCTGTCATCTGACTTTGTATGTCTACCATACAGGAGAGGTCCATAGCTCCTGGCATCATCAAGACCCTCGGATCGTCCTTGCCAACGACAATATCGTAGTTGAAGTCCATTGGATCGTAAAATCCTGGCATAGACATCGGCCATTGAAATTGCGTCTGGTCTGCCGGCGTAGACAGCGTTGTGATATGGGCTCCTTCCACTTGGACTTCAGGGGCAAGCGCAAATGCTGCGATGTTGTCAGGCATGGTGTACAAAGTCGACATCTCTGCGATCGATGTCTGCAAGTCCCTGGCAATGGGCGAGCAGCCTAACAGTCCACAGTACATCCATTCGGGAAAACAGGTGACTGACGTCCATGGGGTTGAATTGCTCGAGCTTGAACAGTGCGTTTGTGATACTGAGGCGGGGCCCTGCTCGTTGCAACCACTATCCTCGTGCAGGTCTTGAGAGACTTCTTCTCCTTGATCATCGCCTGAGACAACGAAGTCACTTTGGCTTTGCAATTCTAGTCTCGCCAGGATCTCGTGAGTCAGGATCGCCCCTTGCTCTGTTGGCTCTAGAGGTGGGCCTACCCAGCCTTTGCCCTGTTGCAGCCGCTTGAAGAGCTCCTGTACGCCGGAAACAAGCTGTGCATGTTGCCTCTCGAGGAGATCAACGTATCTATGTCAAGATGGGTCAGAAGATTGGTACGACACGCCGAAGGCACGGACCCGTCTGGAATTTTCTTCTCAACCACCGTCCTGCATTTGGTGAAGATGCATATGTTATCAATTGCTTTGTATCGACTGCAAGGCTTACGACCATCACACTGAGCATGACGTCAGTTCACCTGAGCATACTAGTAAACATGGAGCCTGAGACACACCTTTGCTTTCTTCAGACGACACAAATCACATGCCGCCGTTGCTCGTTTCCGACCACTGGCAGGTGAGGAGTCCTGGTCCGGGGTCGACATGGTCCACGATCGTGACTATATTCTCATTCGCACTGCGACAACTTACTATGCACCGTGACCTAGGCAACGAGTATATAAATGCCTATTCAGCTACAAGCTAGTGATTCGAGTCCGTCGTAGCCATTTTCCCTATCGAAGCTGCACGACCTTAAAGACATATATCGGGCGCGATCAGATGAGTATTGATTTCAACTAGGAGGGCTGTTTGTTGAGGTTTGCAACAACATTCACATCGCTGCTGAATGTGACCTAGGTTACATAGGCTAACGAAGAATATCAAGCCTCAATCCTGGTCCACCATGACGAGGCAAATTCACCATGTATCTCGCAGGACCAAAATGCAGCTCCAAGTAGATGGTTTCGTGGCAAAGATTTATGCGAGCGTTTGGCCGCATATCACAAACAGCCTGAAAAAGTGGAGCGATACTATATGTTGAGATTGGGTATCGCCGGCATCTTGGTACAGTAGAGTGTGCACTATCTCTCCCGAGGCAGTCCCAGATTGGGGCTATGACTCGGAACTTTCCCCGCGCCGTCCGATGGAGGATGATGAGCGATAATTAGAATCAAATCCCTATTGACCTATGATGATAGCATTGTTCCTACTTGCAAAGCTGTATCGTCTGGGTGTGTAAGTTCGCAACTTTCCCCTGGAGTTGACAGTGGAAAGACTGTTTTCTTATCAAGCCTTCCCTATTCAAGCCCTACTTCCGCTGCTGGGTACGACCACGAGGCTTAATGACAGTCTAGACCTATTCGAGCCTTGCCTCCGGTACCATCAAGAACACGGAGGTATGCTTGTAACACCTCATATTAGATCATAGTCTCAAGTCAATGTATGATGTGTACTGATACGTTCTTGTTTGTGTCCTCTCTTCGGTCCACGATGGGAGTCGAGGTAATGGCCAATTACCAGATTTCGGTACAAGATCGAGACTCAAAACATGCAGGTTTTCTCGGTTTCCTGAAGTTGTCCTCGCCATCTTCAGCAGGTTGTCGCCTTAGACGCCGTTTGCCTGGAAAATGTCCTTTACCGTTGCAAATAACGTAGCGCATCCTGACGGCAGTCCTGCCAAGTTTTCTCCCCATCCTGTCGAATATGAAAATACAATCTATCAAAAAGGACTTCAATTCGAGCGACCGCCTTTCACTTTTCAGAGCGATCAATGGGAGACAAAAGCTCGCGAGCGCCTATCAGCCGAATCCAATGGCTATGTCATGGGCAACGCTGGGACTGGCGAGACAACACGCAAGAATCGTGAAGCATTTGCAAAATGGTCGATTGTACCCAGGCGATTAGTCAAAACAGATGACTTGCCAGACCTCTCCACAAGGATTTTGGGAGACATGTTTCCCTTCCCTATTGCGATCGCCCCCGTTGGTGTACAGCGAATCTTCAATCCTGAGGGTGAGGAGGCTGCGGCCGCTGCCGCGGCGAAAGAAGGTGTGCCGTACATTTTGAGCACCGCGAGCAGCACCAGCATTGAGGATGTTGCAAAAGCCAACGGTGACGGCACTCGATGGTATCAACTCTACTGGCCGTCGAATGAGCATAATGACATTACAGCATCTCTGCTCTCCAGGGCGAAGAGTGCGGGCTTCTCGGCATTGTTTGTCACTCTGGATACGTACATCCTTGGCTGGCGACCAACTGATATGGACAATGGGTAAGCGAAGCCTATCGACAAATTGAGATCTATGACAGGCTGACGCGGATCGACAGCTATAACCCGTTTTTAAGATCTGACAAGATTGGAGTAGCAATCGGTTTCAGTGACCCTGTCTTCCGATCGCAATTCAAAGCAAAACACGGCGTTGAGATCGAGGATGACTTGCACACAGCAGCTGCGGACTGGACCAGGATTGTTTTCCCAGGCCTCAGTCACTGCTGGGAGGACATCCAATTCCTCAAAGAACAGTGGAAGGGACCTATCATTCTGAAAGGAATTCAGACTGTGGAAGACGCTCAGAGAGCTGTGGAGCTTGGCCTTGACGGTATTGTGGTTAGCAACCATGGCGGAAGACAGGTGGACGGCGGAGTCAGTTCACTCGCAGTCCTTCCACGCATTGTTGAGGCAGTCGGCGACAAATTGGACATCTTTTTCGATTCTGGGATTAGGGCTGGGGCTGATATCGCGAAAGCATTGGCACTTGGAGCACAAATGGTACTGATAGGTCGACCGTACGTTTATGGGCTTGCAATAGGTGGGCAGGGAGGTGTGCAGCATGTCTTGAAATCACTCTTGGGTGACCTGCAGCTCACTCTTCACCTGGCAGGCGTTCAGAGTGCGAGTCCGGAGCATCTCAATCGTAGCGTATTAGAGCGGGAAGACAGCCTGTGATTGATAAGGGTGGTTCACTTGCTTGGCCCACAGTCATACCTTAACGAACAACATGATGAGGGATCGAGCAATCTGACTTGTCACAATTGAACTTTGATATTTCTGAGGGGATCCGGACCTCACAAAGAGTCGTCCCGGAGCATTAGATCTGCGGGACTTCTATAAAGTAATTAACAAGAGTAACAAAGACCGCGGACTTTTGTGACAAACATCGTCAGGCGCGACAATCCCACCAATCTTCACGTCAGTGGTACGACTGGACCCCTGTCACTACGACCCTGCATGCAATGACGTAAGCGGCCCAACATATCCTCAGCTGGTACGCTTCGACGTTTTCTCATACATAAGACAATCACACGGAACGTATATCGACCTTAAATGGCCCCTGATAACCTGGTCCTGTGGTGCATACCTCGTCTCGCTGAGGTGGATCTTCCTCACCGAAAGTAATCAGTATGAGTGTGGCTCGAGCATGCTTACAGTGCAGAGCCTCAAAGGCCAAGGTACGTTCTTCTGGAACACGACATATGATACCAGGTAGGCTGACTGGTACCTCAAAGTGTGATTGTGTTCGTCCTAGATGTGGTCGTTGTATTCATCGCCGGCTGGCCTGCTCCGGCTATCCACAAGACGAGAGTTTCATCTTCTTGGACGAAAATGATGTTGCTCAGAGAAATTCAGAACGGGCACGGAGCCGTCGCAATGAGAGTCAAATGATCCCGATCTCCTTCGACCTGGCTGCATCCCAGGGGAGTTCCGCGCCGACATTCACCGAGAGAACCAGTACACTGCGAAAGCAACTATATCACTGGTTAAATGAGCGTGAATTGACAGAAATACCGCCCGTGCTACAATTGGACATGGAGACTCAGGCCGTGAGTCGGTTTTTTGTCAACTGGACCCTATATCCCTGCAACCTTGGGCTTTCGCCAGGATATATGGACCAAGTTCCGAAACTATACTCCAATGCCGCGCCGCATTCAATTTTGTGGCTTGCAGTGCAAGCCGTTGCCTTCGCCGATATGAAGTACTATGGCCCCGGATACGACCAGCTCTCAGCCACCGCGCTGCAATATTACGGTTTAGCTTTGGCTCTCTTGAGAACGCTTGCTGCCGATGAGGAACGAATACTGGATGACCAAGTACTTGCGGCTCTTTTGTTGATCGATGATTTCGAGGTAACCAACACCCTTTTTGCCTCTACTTGATGTCTAACCTGAATATAGTCATTGTTCCTAGGACGAACGGAACCGCTTGGCCCTCACAGCCAGGGCCTCAAACATATTCTTCATGCGAGAGGCGACGCACAGCTCTTTCGTCGATCAAGCTTCTCCCTTTGGCTTCTCGCCCTCCATCGGCTAGTAGCACGACAGATCCTGCTCTACGAGGAGCCCGACGATCAACAGACGGCATGGATCGACAAGTTGGATCTTGATTGGGTGCCCTTACGCATATTCTCCGACATCTATAAAATGAACGTACTTTCTTCTGAGGCGAATAAACTGCGACAAGGCGAAAATAGCCGTCCCATACCGCGCGAGAGCATCGAGCAAGCTAGACAACTCGCAGACTCAACTCTACTTCTTCTGCGCTCAGTCGAGACATGGCCAATGATGACAATTGACCATTGGAAAGCAGAGACGGTCGATCCCAACACTATTTCCGAGACGGACAGCCTGCCAAACCTTCCGATGCCACAGTTCACATGCCCCCGGGTACTCAGCTACCATGATATATGGTCAGCATATATGTGGAGTTTCCATGCTGCCAGCCAAATCATCTTACGCGAGTCTCTGATTGACACCTTTGAGTTGATTGGCTTGAGTCAATTGGAAGCAGGTGATCCGGAGGATACGGACCAGATACAACACCAGACGGAGGTTATACACAGACTGTCTGCTGTCCTCATTCGATCTTTTCCTCAGCTCTTGGGCTTCGTTCACAAAGATACCTCGGAGGGACATTTCCGACTGCAAGGGGGAACGGCTGGTAGAGCCTTGGTTCTCTTCCCAATGCGCGTGCTTCAAATGTCCTCCTTCAGTCCTCCTGAGCACAAACAAACTGCCCTGGCAGTCATTGAATGGGTCAATTCCACGTATAGGTTGGGGTAAAGGACAATTATGTTTCAATTTCTGAGAGATATTGGTAAGCTACGGCAATTATGGTTTTCGCCTGGGCGAGAGCATGAGCTCTGGTCGTACATGCTCATCGAATTGCTGTTCACCGAGAACGTCCAATTCCAACGCACTTTGTTTCAAGGTGATGCCCTTCTTGTGAGCATTCTTGGCTGTTCTTGACGCCTGGTCATAGCCAATAACAGGACTCAATGTGGTGACCAACATCAAGCTGCGATCAAGGAATGTGGCGATTACCGCCTCATTCGCTTCTAGCCCATCCACAAGGTGTTCGCGAAAGCTGGTCACTCCGTCGGCGAGTATTCTGATGGAGTGGAGAAGATTGCGAATGAGGACTGGCTTGAACACATTCAATTCAAAATTCCCTTGAGAGCCTGCAAAGGTCACGGCAGTGTGGTTCCCGAATACTTGTGCGCAAACCATGGTCAAACTCTCGCATTGCGTCGGGTTCACTTTACCGGGCATAATGGAGGATCCTGGCTCGTTTTCTGGGATCTTCAATTCACCGAGTCCACATCGTGGGCCTGAACCTAGGAATCGGATGTCCTGTGCAATCTTGAACAAGGAGGCAGCCACAGTGTTGATCTGCCCGTGCGCCTCCACAATCGCATCATGAGCTGCAAGTGCTTCAAATTTGTTCGGCGCTGTGTAGAACTCGTGCCCGGTCATCTGGCTGACTTCCGCTGCTACTTGCTCTGCGAAGCCATCGAATGTGTTCAGTCCTGTACCTACGGCCGTGCCACCTTGAGCTATATACCGTAGGCGCGGGAGTGCCGATTGTATTCTTTCAATTCCGTACGCGATCTGGGTCTCATAGCCAGAAAACTCCTGGCCTAGCGTCAAAGGGACAGCGTCTTGGAGATGAGTCCGGCCAATTTTGATGGTATTCTGGAATTGCTCTCTCTTCCTCTGTAATGCTTCTTGTAACTCTTGCAAGGCTGGTACAAGCTCTTCCTTTAGAGCCAACACTGCTGCGATGTGCATCGCCGTTGAAAAAGTGTCGTTCGAGGAGGCGGAGCGGTTGACATGATCATTGGGATGCACTGGGCTTTTCTTCCCCATGCTTCCACCGAGTAGTTCAATCGCGCGATTTGATATCACCTCATTCGCGTTCATATTCGTCTGTGTACCGGAGCCGGTTTGCCACACCACTAGAGGAAAGTGGTCGATGAGTTTGAGTGAGGCGACCTCGGCTGCAGCCTGCTTGATGGCCACTCCCAGGCTCTCATCGAGCCCAAATCTCATATTGACGCTGGCGATGGCTCCTTTCAAGATTCCGAGTGCCTGAATGACCTCTTTGGGCATACGATCATGAGGCTGGTTGACCTTGAAATTGCGTAACGAGCGCTCTGTTTGAGCCCCCCAATATTTGTCCGCGGGCACGCCAATGTCGCCAAATGCATCGGACTCTGATCTTAACATTTTCAGACCCAGGTCACAGCCACTAGCTACGAAAATTGCAGTCCGGGTATCTTAAGGGGGGGAGTTGCTATTTGGGGAGACAAGGCGATTATGTGTATAACAGCAGCGGCGAGCACGTGTGTCCGAGGCTGCGGCTTCGTTCACGATGGGTAATCTCGATGACAGAGGTAGAGCATCGATGAGGTGCCATGCCTCAAAGGCGCAGAGCCGATCAAGCACATGTCAGACAGCGTGATTTTAGCACGTCCGCATGAAACAACAAACTTATCCTTCCGCTCATGCCGAACCTCACCTTCCGCCGCAAGCAAAAACGAATATACTCTTGATGTGGTTGGTTGGACGTGAAGAGTGACATCGGGATGGTGCGTCTTGAGGATGTTGCCAGGCAAAATGGCGCAACATGATACCTTTGCTGTGCGCACAACACAGATATTGATAGTATCTCTCATGAAAATTAGTGTATGTCTTGTCAATTGTGAGTATTGAGCTGAGTGGATCACCGAAAATCACTCAGGTGTCGGATACATGCCGTCGTATAGTACTAAACCTAGAGTAGCCATGCATCCGTTGGCTTCAAATTCGCGGTGTGCACACACCGTGTTCCGGAGACGTGTCAGTCACCCTGAGGACGAGCATTCTGATTCATGGTTCTGACCGCTACAGTCGTACCGCCTCCAGCTCTCATGCATGGTTTGTATCGCCCTTAGCTGAATGGTCTTGTGTAGAATCATATTTTGTATCGTGAAACTCTCGTCCCACTGTACAAAGGCAGCACACGGCAACGTCCTACAGAGACAATCCCCTGAATGTGATTTTCGGGCTTGCATCCACCTTGCTGGTGCAAACCTTATGGTAGTACTGCTTCTTCTGACCTGCACGATGATATACTCGAGTTCATGAATAGCCGGATATGTGACGTTTCGCAATGAGGCTGGATTCTTCAGAAGAACCTTGTAAAGATTTTCCGCTTTATGGTCTAAGAGTGTCCCTCTCTGTGATGAGATATATCCTCTGTTGTCCTCAACATAGTGACTTGGTTAGCATGGCGAAAGACAACCTCCCGCGTGTAGTCGTGATTGGCTCTGGCTGGGTTGGACTTTACGTAGCTCAATATCTTGACACTACGAGATACTCCCTCTCCGTGGTGTCCCCTCGTCTTACCAGTGCATACACTCCTCTTTTAGCATCTGCAGCATGCAGCCTCTTCCCGTTCAGTTGCGCAGAAGAATCCATCCGGGCCAAAGGTCGGCGTTGCAACCTCATCAAGGCAAACGCTATAGAAATCGACTTTTGCTCGAATCAAATACTTTGTGAGCCGGCGTTCGACGACCATGACAGCAACGCGAGCGACCAACAGTTCCGCGTTGCTTACGATAGACTGATTATATGTCCGGGGTGTATGTGGTCGTACCCCATCCATTGGGTTACCATCGTTCACTAAGCACCTTACAGGTCAAACAAACGATTTCGGTATTCCAGGCGTCGTCGAGCACGCGATGTTCATGAAGCACGTTTCTGATGCAATGGCTTTGCGCAAGAAGCTTCTGGATCAATTTGAAAGAGCTAGCCTGCCATGTACTACACGCGAGGACGCCTGTGATATGCTTCATATTGCGATTGTTGGTGGAGGCCCCACAGGTGAGCGACAGTCTCGTCGGGGATTCCAAGTCCTCAACATCTAACCGAGCCTTACTAGGTGTTGAGATCACCGCCGAGCTCTCAGACCTTGCAAGAAGGGAGCTAAAGGATCTATACCCAGATGTGGCACCTTCAATGAGAATCACCATTTACGACGTTGCCCCGCACATTCTCGGCGCCTATGACCAGAAACTATATGAGTATGCCACGGAGCAAATGTTACAGCGGGGTATTGAAATCGTTACGAACGCTGTAATTGAGAGGGTCGACCGTACCAACCTGTATATCAAAGGCCAAAATCCTGTGCCGTACGGTATATTGCTCTGGGTTGCAGGAAATAGGTCCATTCCACTGGTGGATAAGCTTGACGTGAAAAAGCCGGAGCATGGGCTTATCAGAATCTTGACCGACGATAGTCTGCGCGTGAAGAAGGCGAGTACGGACGTACACGGTCACTCGGACGTGTACCCAGATGTCTTCGCCTTGGGTGACGCTGCTGATATTGAGGGGCGGTCACTTCCCACCACCGCGGAGGTAGCCGTTCAAAAGGCCAAGTATATCGTTCGGCGCTTGAATCGAGGCGCGACAGCAACCGAAAACTTTGCTTATGCGGACAAAAGACTGGTCACGTATATCGGTAGCCATGACGGAATCATAGAAGGTTCAGGCCTAGATGAAGCATCGCGGGGTCAGCGAGCATGGCTTGATTGGCGAAGTGGAAGCTTTACCTGGACGCGAACTTGGCGAAATTGGGTCGGTTTGATCTGCGCCTATGTCCTGAATGCACTGTTCGGACGGGATTTTATGAGGTTGTGACGGCAATAGCAGTAAGACTACTGGTTTTCAACTCTTGTAATAGCTTGTCGTCCCTCTTCACCTGTAATGACGGAAGATGTTCTGCATGCCTGCACCCTTTGTAACTACTCGAAGCACGATTACCTTAGTCATCGTAGCGCAATGACCTCTCTCTTTTCAAGGAAACAGTTTCAGATGTTTATTGTCTAACTCTTGGAGACCTCTGTATGGATACCTTCAAACTTGATCAAATTAATGAATCGTAATGGTTGGCGAGGGCGTCAACAGATGGGGCCCGGCGCGAAGAACATCTGGCCGAGCGTTCTTTAAGATTAATTAAAGATTATCTTTAATTTAGTTATGAAATTATAAGGCTATAAGACTGTGAATATTTAATTTATATAGAGAAGAATATAATTATCTAGCTATCTCGATACTTTTAAGAGATATAAAGATAATTAGCGATCGTTGACTAACTTAGAAGGGCGGCGCACTAGATATACGACTCTCGGGAACCTATATATTCTGATAGGCCCCTACGGCCCTTGAGTAATAATAAGTCCTCCATGAAATCACATCGTTCACTAAAGTGTAATCTCAACCACTCTCGGCGCGACGTTTTGCATAGGAGCCCCTTGCTATATCGTCCGCTTTTCTCCTTTTAGTGCATCAGTGCATGCTCAGGTGACAGAGGCTCAGATGCTGACAAGCTTTGCGAGGCTGAAACTGAGTCACTGCGGGGCTCCAGTCGACCCCCTCCAATTATCAAATCAACATCAGCTACAAGTCCTGACCTTCTGATATTCAATAACAACAAAAGTCTGGGTGGCCACTTCACGATGGCTAGGCAGCCCGTAGGCGAAACATCTCTACAAAGTCTCCTCTCAACCTTGAAAGTCACTCTTCAGCCAGCCACGTTTGTCTTCATAACCTTGCCCATCCCGCAAGGCGACATGCCATTACCTATCCCCTTTCAGGATATTCTCATGCTCTTTCGCGAAGCCGAGGGTGTGACCTTGATCGTTCCTCTGCCTGTTGCAGAGAGACTCGGACTTGAGCATCAGTATCAGTGCCGTATGATCACCTGCGACGTTCATTCGAGCCTGGAGGCAGTCGGATTCATGGCGACCATCGCCACGAAACTTGCAGAAAATGGTATTCCTGTGAACCCCGTCAGTGGATATTATCATGACCATCTGTTTGTGTCGGTGAACGAGGCTGATCGGGCAGTTGAAATCCTGGAAGAAATAAGGGAACAAGCGGCAGCTCAATGAACCACATAACCACACTACAGCAACGTCGGGACCCATTTTTCTCTTCAACCACTTCGCCCGGGAATCCTGCTGTATCCTATTTCACGACTATACAGGGCCTTGTACTACCAGCTACGACGGTCATACAGCCATAATCATGGCCACATCTCATCTCGTGTCAGTCATCATTCATATCTCGTCATGACCTCTTTCTGAGGCACGCGATCAGATTTCCTTCGGCAATTCCTCCAAATCCTGCACATCCTTCGGCAAGACACTCTGACTCTGCACACTCTCGTTATCCCACCCCGTCTGAGCGTCTGCCATCGTCTGCTTCGCCATCGTTGGCGACAAGACGAAATCCTTGACATTAGGGGCTGGGAAGAAGTGGTGCAACCCCACATAGACAACCGCTGAGATCGAGAATCCCACCAGGAAGGAAATATAGTACACTCGCGTCCATCCGATGGAGACAGAAATCGAGGTGTTCACGTTCGATACAAATCCTGGCATTGACGGAAACACGCCCAGCGCCCACTACCCAGCAAAAGTCATCAGCAAGAAACCTGCACTAGAGGATTTCAGACTTACCGCTATTGGTGCCCGCCAATCGATCCCCCACGTGAACCAGTATATGCTGGTCTCATCTCCTCGGTACAAATCATCCACCTTGATCTTCCTGCGATTCACAATGTAATACGACGAAATCATCAGACCAATCATTGGCCCCAGAAAGACGCCATAACTCGACAGGACGGCAAGGAATGTTGACGCCGAAGCGAGCAGCTGCCACGGATTGACTACATTGGAAAGCAGCGCAGTGAGATACGCGCCACGTCGAATGTTGATATACGTCGGAAATGTTGCGGCCAGATCGAACCCGCCGGAAAGTGCATTGCCAGGGATATTGATACCCCACTGCGAAACGACCAGTGCAGCCCCAGCGAAGAACCCAGCGGCACGAGATCGGGAGCCGCCGGCGTGCATCATCGCGACCAATAAGTCAGGCAAACTCCACAGAGCTCCGCCATAGCGTTGTTGAGTCGCAGCTGTAACCAGGATCCCGATCACGGAGCTGATTATCGAGTATGTCGCGGCGCTGGCAAGTTGACCATAGATGGCGTCTCTTGGTCGGCGGGCGAAACGCGCATAGTCGCTCTGGTTCAGGATACCTGCTGCAATCCCGCCGATCGCACTGATGATGCCGTACAATATGGTCCAGCCCACGGAGCTGTCTTGAGTAGCGGGCTTACTGGAGATGGTACTGCCAAAACCGTCCATCGTGGCGAGCGCCCAGATCAACAGAACGACTTCGAATATCAAAATTGACGCAACGCCCACGTACAAAAAGACCTTCAACTTGTGGGGCCGGATCCAGATCAGCGGCAACGATATGATGCAGAAGATCGCATAGCACAGGAAAGTTGCGGATGTCAAGCCTGTGGCATGGATGTGATTGGGGATGCGCTGCTCGAGGTTTGGCCAGATGGCTTCCAGACACACGTACACGCATTGTCCGCCGATCCAGGACTGCACGGCATACCAGACCAGGGAAAGGAGGATTCTGTTGTAAATGACGAACGAGCTGCCATACATGCCCCAAACGTAGCGGTTGGCAATGGGAAAGCCTAGATGGTAATATGCTCCGGGCATGGAGTTGAGCACGATGAAGACCGTTGACAAGATTGCACCGACAATGATGGCGATGATTGCTTGCCACCAGGTAAGACCGAGAGCGATCAGAGAGCTTCCGGTCATGTACGTGGAAATATTTGTATTGGTCAAGACCCCTTTGGGTTTTGTGAGTCCGAGGTAAGCGTTGATCAACAACGGTACTTACATAGGTTGTGGAACGTCCAGAACGTCCATGTCCTCCGACCTTTCTCAATCGGTTTGATGTCGTTGTTGATCCAGCGGCTCGGGATGGTGCCGCCTTCATACGGCACCTCCAGCCTCTTTGCGAGCGGTTTGAATCCACCGGCCATGGTGACGTCTGGTCAATGAAGATTGAGATCCGTGCCGTATCAACCTGAGTCTTGTAGCGGAAGGAGAGTATTGAACAAAAGAACAACAAATCTGGGGAACGGGAAGTCCGTATCTTCAACGCCTGCAGATCATCCCTATCCACATGCATATTTGCAAGGGTCCTTATCTCATTTTCTGTCGAGACAAGACCAGCGCTTATTCATGAAAGGCTAAATTACCCTGTAGGCGGGCATCAGCGAGCCAACAGATACTAATCACGCAACCTGCAGACCTGCCTTGGAAGGCAGGTCGAGGAGATAGGGTTCATTTGCCAATACCGCCGTGCATGTTTCGCTGGCATGCGGCATATCAATTCGTCAATTCCCAGTCCGCAACCCATAAGAAAGCAACATGGCTGGCCTAAGAGTGCCTCGGTGCGGAGTACAGCGAGGGGGCAAGAGGATACCCAGCTCAACAAATTGGTAAGAAAATGCTAAGCCCGCAATCCGACGATCGCTGCCCAAATAACTGAAGGGCGTATCTCCTGCAGCAAGTACCTCTGCAAGAACCTGCTCGTTTTGAAATGATGCGATTGACTTGACTTGAATAAAGCTGGGAAGTGACACGGAAGCAAATCCAGCTGGTGAGGTGTGTGAAGCATGTATCGAGTGGGCGTGGACGTCGGTGGAACCAACACCGACGCAGCCATCCTCGACATCAATGCCGTCGACACCGCATCGCGTGGGGTGTTAGCCACATGCAAGACCTCAACCACTACACACGTGACACAGGGTATCAAGACCGCCGTTGAAACCGTCTTGCTCCAATCCAAAGTCGACAGGTCCAAAGTGCTCAATGTTGCTATCGGAACGACCCATTTTGTCAACGCTGTGGTAGAGAACGATGCAAGGAGACTCAGCCGGGTGGCCGTCATAAGACTATGTGGGCCGTATACCAGAAAGGTATGGACGCTTCAACCCTGCTGATGTACCTTACTTACACCCCGGCATAGATACCGCCCTTCTCAGACTTCCCCTATGCACTAAGAAACATAATCGAAGGCCCGCATTTCTTCCTGGACGGCGGCCTCGAAATCGACGGTCGAGAAATCGCCTCTCTCAACACTGAGCAGATCAAACAGACAGCGTTGACCATCGTCGAAGCTGGAATCCGCTATGTTGCTGTTGTAGGCGTCTTCTCCGCTCTAGACCACGAAGGCATCCACGAGGAACGGTGCAAAGCCTTACTGCAGCAATTCCAGCCAGATTTGTCCATCGTATGCTCGCACTCGATAGGCGGGCCAGGACTACTTCCTCGAGAGAATGCCACCATCCTAAATGCTTCGATTCTCGCATTCGCACGCAAGACGATACATGGCTTCAGACTCGCCATGACCAAGCTCGACCTCGCGTGCCCGCTGTATCTGACCCAGAACGACGGCACACTGACTGATGCTGCCGTAGCTGCGGAGCTGCCGATCAAGACATTCGCCAGTGGTCCGACGAACAGCTTGATGGGCGCCGCATTTCTGCAGAGTCTTGACCACGGCGACAAGACATTGGCGGACAGGCAAGTGGTTGTGGTCGACATTGGAGGCACGACGACCGATCTGTGCGCACTACTGCCCTCGGGGTTCCCACGACAAGCCCCAAACTTCATCGAGGTTGGCGGCGTGCGGACGGCGTTTTCAATGCCCGAGGTCCTCTCGATCGGTCTTGGTGGCGGCAGTCGTGTACGGCAGCTCGAAGAGAACAAAGTGAGCGTCGGTCCTGACTCTGTGGCTCACCGCCTCACGACCGACGCAATGGTCTTTGGAGGTACTGTGATGACTTCGACGGACATTGTCGTGGCGTCTGGATCTGCAAGTGTCGGTAGAGACGACCACGTCAAGGACATTCCCGAGCCCCTCATTGCTGGCGCGAAAGCAGATATCAAGCGACAACTGGAACAAGCGATCGACAGCATGAAAGTGTCTTCCGCTCCCGTAACTGTCCTGCTCGTTGGTGGCGGCTCCATCATCATCACTGAAGACCTCAATGGCGTGGAAGAATGTCTACGCCCACCTCATCACGACTCAGCGAATGCCGTCGGCGCAGCCATCGCAAAAGTAGCGGGTGAAATCGACGTTATCGAAGTCCTGGCTGGCCGCGACGAGAACGAAGTAGTGGAGAATGCGAAAAAGGCTGCTATCAACGCGGCTATAGCTAACGGAGCAGACGAGAAGACCGTTCAAATTGTAGAGATCAAGAAAATTCCACTCCAGTACGTCACGAACAAAGCAACCCGCCTCGTCATGAAAGCCGTGGGAAATCTGCGCATTGAGCAAGAAGCATCGCTATGTCTGCACCGAGACAGCGTCACCAACGGTACGGTCGACGACACAGAGGACTATGAAGCAGGCGAAGAAACCACCAAGGCCGAAGTGACAACATGCAAACAAGGCAGTCTCGCAAAACCTACGTTGGGCGTAGACCTCACCAGCTATCGACCCCAAGTCGAGAATGGTATATGGTACATCTCCCCCATCGACGTCGAGTTCATCGCTTCAGGCACCGGCATTCTCGGCACCGGCGGCGGCGGGTCCTCATACCTCATGGCCCTCTATACCCTGGAAACCCTCCGTGAACACGGTGCTGGCAAGATCCGGATCATACGTCCCGACTCCCTCAACGACACAGACATCTGCGTCGGCGGAGCAGGCTACGGCGCGCCCTCCGTCAGCGACGAACGCATCGGCAACGGCACAGACGTCTTCACGGCGATCGACGCCATCAACACGATCATGAATATCAAGGACTTTCAGGGCCTTCTGGTCCTCGAGATCGGAGGCGGTAATGGCCTAGTCGCCATGCCCAGCAGCGCAAGGTATGATCGACCAGTCGTGGATTGTGACTTGATGGGTAGAGCGTATCCCACGCTCGAGCACGGAACGCCTTTCGTCTACGGAAAACCCATCCTGCCTGTCGCTACTGCCGATTGTAAGGGAAATGCTTCGGTGGTTGTTGTACGTATATCCCCGCCCCAGGGGGACTTCCCTTGGGCAGGCACGCAGAGAGGCAGAGAGAGACTGACTCCTTGGGTATGTTGTAGACAGCCGAATCGAACAAACGCACCGAAGCTCTCATCCGCAATACATGCATTGAACTGGGAAATTCAACAGGCACAGCTGGACGACCACTGGACGGCGAGACGGTCAAGAAGTATACTGTACCCAACACGATCTCGCAGGCATGGTATCTAGGCAGAGCGGTGCACCTGGCACGACAGACGAAAGTCGATTTCATCGAAGCGATTGTGAGTTCCCAACAACCCCCAAAACAGTCGCTTCTTTTGGGACATCCTACTGACAATCCGCAAAGTCGAGCATAACTCCAGTCAAGTCCCTATACACAGGCAAAATAATAGACGTAACAAGAGATGTCTCCAAAGGATACACGGTCGGCCGCTGCGTGCTAGCACCCCTCCGCGTCGATGAGGCTGTAGACCACAACACTTCCACAACAGCCTCGGAAAAGAGATACCTCGTCATCCCCTTCCAGAACGAATATCTATCCGCCTCCTACGTCGATGACGAAACAGCAGAAGGAGAAGAGGACGTTATCTGTACAGTGCCTGACCTGATATCGATCCTAGGCCAGGACGGAGAAGCTTTGGGATCACCAGAACTACGCTACGGCCTGAAAGTAAGGGTCATCGGCATGCCAGCACATCCGCTGTGGACGGGGACACCGGAGGGTTTGCGAGTTGGAGGACCAGAATTCTTTGGGCTGCCTACGGAGTGGAAGAGCATTGGGGAATACCGGCGTCCAAGGAGTGTGATCGAAGAATTCGACTCATCGGAAAGCATAGACACTTAGACATAGAGGAATGATGCATAGCCTGGTAGAGGGAACAGTTGTCATTGACTGCTACAATTCGAGGCCTGGAGATGATCATTTATGAACCATCGCCTGCAGTGACGGCCATCCGGACATTTCTCTTCCTCGGGTCAACAGTCTCTGCTTTCACACTGGGCGGGGATTTTACACCATTCACCTGTGCCTCGTCTTTGAGCTCGGTCTCGTCCTTCTTGACATCTTGATTCCAACCGGGCCTCCATTTGGTCAGAACCTTCGCTGTTACGTTCTTCGCCTGTGCGTCTCCCTCATGCCAGATACTTTCAATGGTGTCCAGGACAACATCCCGGACTGGAGGACGCAGCATCAACAGATACTGCATCGACAGGATACACATGCTGAGTCTTTCGGGATCGCTTGCTAGAGTCTTGACTCTGTCCAAGACTTCGCGATCGATTGCCGGAATTTCAGACAAAAATCGGATCAGCAAGTTCTTGTCCCTAGCGTCCAGATATGGTAGGAGTCGATCGAGGAGACGGCCTACCCAGCGGCTGTAATTGGGCAAATGTTTGAGCTCTGGATGTGTCTTTGCGATCAACTTGTCCGCGTACCACTCTTCATTCAGCCACGATATGGCAATGTTGAGACGTGCGCGGAAGTCGTCCAGAATATACATGAAGATCGTCTGCCTGATACGGTTGGCAACGTTGGGTGCTTCGATATCCTCTAATTTGACAACACTGCTTGGCGAGTCGTAGTCGGTTAATGAGTGTGCGACATCATCCAGACCAGCTGGTGCTCTGGTTGCAAGGCGCATGAGGATGGTGATCCAGGAATCGCGATCATTAGTACTAGCGGCGAGACGATTGAAGCCCAATTTCTGCTTTGCATGTGATTGTCCAGCAGCTTCCAGCGAAGTGACTAACTGGAAGACGTGACTGACGGTTTGATCAGATAGCGTGGCCACTTCCGCGCCGGTCAGAGGAGGAGGTTTTGGTAGTTCGAAAGGCCCCAGATCAAGGACTGGTTGAGCAAGTTCCTCAAGAGCTTTATCCGTGCTGCTGGGAACAACCATAAGATCAGGGCTGGACACAAACTCTGGGTCGTAGTCATCGTCGTCGTCGATCCCGGTCGGACCCATCATCGGTATATCGGGTATAGGTGTGGGCTGGGTGACCTTTTGTAGGTGATGATACCTGGCTCGAACTGCATTTATCGCTTCATCCAGCGAGTTCGAGTCCACGTGCTGTAGAAAAACAGCTGTGACTGTACTGACTATATCGGCAGGGAGGAGAGTTACGTCGAATTGTTGTAGGCTGGGGTCATCTGTAAGAGTGAACAGGTGGGCGAAGGAGTTGGGTGGTGGTGGCATGGGTGGGAATTTGCGTGGTCCTCCTGTCAGCTTCTGCCTCTTTGCATCGTCCAAGCCGTCAGTGGGTTCGGCTGGACGTTTCTGGGCTGTTGATTCCATGAACATTGTTGCGCGTGACTGCTGTAAACGCATCAGATATGCCTGGATCTTCTGCTCAAGCGGATGGTTCGGACACGTCCGTAAAACCCATCGCAAAAGGGCTCTTGTTGTTCTTTCCATGGATCGTACAATGACAATATCTCGAGGAGTTATTGGTGAATTGACTTGCTTGATAGGGTTGAAGTTCAAGATGGCAGAAACAATCTTGGTCGATATTGGAGGTCTGGTTCGAATAAGGACGGCTAAGCAGTTCAGCGTGGCATCAATAACAATGGGATCCCTGTATTGAGTCAGTCTCACATGGGCATGACATTGAGGGGTCTGGCGTACATAGTGGATTCCTGAAAGACACCCAGCAGTCTGTCTAACAAGCCAGATGCTTCTGCCTCCAGGTTCGGTAATTGTAGGAATGGATGCGTTCTCGGGACCAGGGCTATGGATATCTCGTTTTGATCGGGACGCTGGATGGTATTAGCTTGAACAGTGACTTGTGCAGAGTACCCGTGCCACTCACTCGAGGATCTGAAATGACTCCTGGTGTTTCTACCTGCACAACCTTCTGCACAAACTTGATGCAACATATTCTGATTGCGACTGGAGCAGAATCCATGCGCTGGAGAATGTTAAACTTCATACTGTTCATATCCGGCCACAGTGCTCCGTCGTTTGGCCGCGAAATGCTAGAAACAAGTGTCAGGCATACTGCTCTTCGACCTAGACATGGGATCTTATCCCACATGGACATTCACGTACACTCTTCTGAAGACCAGTGGGTATAGACTAGCTGCTGCTTGCACCACGCTCTTTATTACTTCCATGTCCTGCCCAGGCATCTCCAGCATGGCCCGTAGACTTGGTATCACCTCCGAGGACAATTGCTCTTTCTGCGGCGTCGGCATTGACGGGCTTGCGAATGCTTCGGCGAGGAAATCTGCACCCCATCTTCGTACTTCGAGGTGCGCATTAGGGCCGATGATAGGCAGGATTCCGGGCAGAACTTGATTGTACACTTGAGGGTCTGCAAGGGCGACTTTACGCGCTGCTTCAAGCTGAGGGATCATCTCAGCCGGTGAAGCAGCGGCAGCCATGGTGAACACGCGCCGAGGTTTTAGTAGGCGTGATGGGAATGGTGTGAGGTCACGAGTCTACAATGCAGATTCGACGGATGACTTGTTGAGGGAGTGTCGAAGTGGCCGGCATTAGTCAGAGGCGAAAGATGGTGGTAACTATGTAGACTCATTCGGTGAATTGGACGGGACGCGTATAAGAGATCGTGACGAGAGTTTGAGATAGATCGACAATCGTGAAGAAGCGAAGAGGCGTGTGAATGTGAGAGGTCCCTTTGAAAGCCCCCTGCAACAATGACGAAGTTTGAGAAACAGAGAAAACACCCGCAGCCGCAGCGCTTCTCCAGGCCTTGGCAAGAAATTTATCTGTCGCTTCGGTTCAACCAGGAACGAGTGCCCTACCACTAGCAAATCTCTGAGAATTGTGTCGATCGACGGTATTCACCCCCGGGGCGGCTGAGAAGATTCATGGACGCGAGATAGAGGGAAACTTCACCTCCTCCCTCACCGACCCTACTCACCACCCACCATCACCGCCCGCCAACATGATGAATCCCGCGCGCAAGGCATATGTGGAGGAGGCACGCGAGGTAAGTCTCCCCAGACCAATCACTGGTGGTTTGCCTGTGTGTTTACAACCTCCTGGAAGGCCCCGAACCTCCCGAACATCGAGCATTATGAGTGGGCATGGAAGACTGACGGTCATGGCTGAGAATAGGATGTAGAGATGGGCTTGGATCTGGCCAGCATTCCCATCGACCGCAACTATGATATGTCCGCTGGTGCCGACGGTGTGGCCCCCGAAAAAGCGTCCGCCATACTTTCACAATTCGACCGCAAACGAAGACTTGCCCAGCTAGCGGTACCTACAGATGACGGAAAAGTCAGAGCACGGCTACGTGAGCTCGGGCATCCGATTACTCTTTTCGGCGAAGGACCAGCGGAGAGAAGAGATCGACTGAAATTGATAATCTTGGATCAGGAGGAGGCTGCAGGCCAAGATGGCATCGTTAGCGATGTTCAGATGCAGGAAGCCGGTCAGGAGGAGGCGGATCAGGAAGAAGAATTCTATACAGAGGGCGTGCCCGAACTTCTCGAGGCGAGGAGAACCGTCGCCAAATATTCGTTACCGAAAGCGAAGTCCAGGATTATGCGACAAAGGGAAGACTCCACGATCCCGCTTCGAACACATGTCAAACATCGCAAAGAAATCAAAGAAAAGCTGCAGGACTTCGAGTTGTTCGGTACACAAATCGCAGGTGAGCGGCCAGTCAGCATAACACGGTTTGCGCCAAATGGTGAGATCATTGCTGCCGGTAATTGGGCAGGAGGAATCAAATTGCTCGATGTACCGAACCTGGACGAGAAAGTCACCTTGAGAGGTCATACGGGAATCGTTGGTGGTATCGCTTGGTACCCTGGCGCGACTCTGCCTTCCTCGAATGTTTCGCCCGACGCTCTGAACCTCGCCAGCGGTGCTGGCGGACAAGGCGGCGCGAGCGACATCCACCTTTGGTCTCTCAACAAAGAGACGCCCATATCGACTTTACAAGGTCATACCGATCGTGTCTGTCGTGTGGAATTTCATCCTTCTGGCAAATATCTGGCTTCGGCATCATTCGACACCACGTGGAGACTGTGGGATGTTGAGACTACCGCCGAGCTGTTACTACAGGAGGGCCACTCAAGACAAGTGTTTACCGTCAGCTTCAATAGCGACGGGTCACTACTAGCAAGTGGAGGGTTTGACAGTATGGGGCGGATATGGGATCTACGAACCGGACGCACGATCATGATATTGGATGGCCATGTTCGCGAGATATATACGCTCGACTGGGGCACTGACGGTTATCGAGTACTGTCCGGTTCCGGTGATGGCTGGGTCAAGTGTTGGGATATTCGACAAGTCAAACAACATGGTGGCATAGGTGCTCATAATGGAAACGTGTCTGACTTGAGGTGGTTCAAGGGTATGGACGCTGACGTTTCTTCATTGGTGGAGTCATCTGGTGTGAGACAGGAACACAACCCTCGAAAGGCCGGCACTTTCTTCGTTTCTGGAGGCTTTGACAAGAACGTCAATATTTACTCGGCTGATGATTGGACACTGGCGAAGCAGTTGAGTGGACATTCGGGAAACGTCCTCAGCGTGGATGTCACTAATGATGCCAAATGGATTGCCAGCAGTGGTCACGACAGGACTGTGAAGTTATGGGGACGCAGCGACGGTCAAGGACTCTATGACTGAACGATCATCATCGAGACTGTTTGCAGAGTCTATGGCAGTGCTCACATTCCCAAATGATGCTCAACTTTCAAAACATCCACCTAGGACTATCCAGCATCCAGCATCCAGGATCAGCCCGATCCGTCTCACAACCCACTGACAGAGGGTATATGGAAATGGAGTATTCGGCATCATGGCAGCGCTCAAGGTATCGAAGTCACTTCCGAGGCTGGCACTTATAGACATTCGTGCTGGGACCATATCCTTGTGCGAGCATTGTCGCTTCAGCAAGCCAGGAATATGTTGCTTGATGGCGAACATCACCGCGCGTCCGCTTCTCCGACCATCGCGAAGCATGCGTTGATGCGACGGTCCTCGTCGTACCTCCTTGGTTTGGACTGATGTACAGTTCAAGATCGTGACGGGCAGACATTGCGCCGTGCGGATGGCCCCAATGCATGAAACCTGACTGCGGATCCAGGTCACGCTGGACCGCATATCGCATGCGGCCAGACAGATGGAGAAGTCCAATGTTGAAGCTTGTAGAAAAGCTGAGTGCTTGGGCATAAGATGTCCCGAGCTGATATGTCTCGAGTCGAGGTAAACACAAGCGCATACTTTCCAGGTTTAACGTATTCGCTAAGGATAGACCTTTGATTAGGCGTCCCGCCTTACAAGAGGTCAAGTAAGTTACTGTAGAAGTGGATAGGGAAATGGGGCCCAATACACTTAGCTTGACTCGTCAGCTTCCCTCAATACTCCTGAACTTCGACATCCGTCTTGCATCGACCTCGTGAACATATCAATCATCCAGACATAAACTTACAACATACCAGCATCCGCTTGTACTTGGTCCAAAGTCCTCCACCACCGGAACCGTTCAAGCGGCAAACCCAAATATGGATATCACCATCCTCGCTAAAGCCGCGGGCCTCGCCTCGTCAGGCGTCTTCGCTGGTACATCCTCTCAGACTCTTCCCATTCCGCATACTGATTGAATTGGAGGATACACATGGGCACTCTCCCACGCAGCAGTCCCAACAATCCTCCTCGCTCCCGAAGCCCTCCTCGCCAAACAATGGCGTGAACAGTACCTACGTGGTTTTTACGTAAGCCCCAGAACCAACCCTCGGAGTTCCCATTTCTCTGACCACGAAGATCTCCCGACCACTATGCCTGATCAACGGCCTGTCATTCGGATATCTAGCTTACCTGCACGATGAATGTAAGTCTGAATCTCGACCCGGCCATCCGTCGACCTACCGCACCGTCACCATAGCGTTCTGACAGGGTTACTTGCGTTTTTGCTCGGGCTTGTACTGACATGAGACAGCCACGCTGTTGCGGTACCTGTACATCATAGCCGCCATAACCAACGCCTCCGGCGTACCCTACGCACTCACATTTCTCCGCCGCACCAATGGCGCTCTAGCAAGACGAGCACATCGTCTCGCAGGCCCTGGCATTAACGTCATGGCGTTGACGTACGCGTTCAACGAGAAGCGTAGCGTCGAGCTCGACGCGAAGTACAGCACAGTCGAACTGGTCAGGCGTTGGCAGTGGCATAACAGTGTCCGGACGGCGGTGTTGATTTTGGGCACGATCGTTGGGGCTGCGGCTGTTGCGATGGATTCTTGACCTCACAATCCCCGGGCAGTGTGACCAGCACGGCGGCCAGGATATTAGTACGTAGGGAGCGATGTGTACAAGGTGAGGTGGATTCGCCGAAGTGGAAATAAAGGTTGGCAAGGCTGTAGGGGCACCGTTACACAGTGCATGGCAGACAGTCCCTTTTTAGGTTGATCACTGGTCCCAGTTTAGCCTCGCCCATGAGGCCAATGAGGCTGAGAACCTACTCGCATGACTCCTGTCACTTTCGAGAATGAATTTGGAATCATCAGGACCTATTACTTGAACAACGAGACCGTGCTTCTTTCACCGTGTCTACAAACATTGGCTGTCCTCGCACTAGCGTATGGGACCATTGGCCGCGCCGCCATCGACTGACCTAGACTTCAGCTCGTCGTATGTCAAAGCAGCCCCCTAGTTTCATACAGTAAGGACGTCATTGCTATCTTCAGCCCGGTCGGTCTTCTTCCGCTGGCTTTGATCAACGCTCAGTCCTTCTGGCTCCTCAACACCTTGGTGACATCCGTCATTGCAGCCTCTGAAGTCTCACTTTTTAGAGTAATCCGTATCTTGTGAGCACCCCGGTCAATCCATACCTTCTTCCTGGCATTTTGGGATGTTGTTTCCACCTCGAAGTGTTCTTCCTGCACTCTGGGGAGGCTGGCGATGCCGCTTGGAGTACTCAGTGTACGGATGGGGTCCTTGCCTTGTGAGTTCGCTTGTAAATCCCGCACCTCTCGTCGGATACTATCGGCCTCTGAGTCGTTGCCCTGCTTGATGAGGACTTCTGCCAGGCTTTCCATAGCATCGATGATTATTGGCCGGCTTATACCAAGTGTCGTTGCTCGTGACTCCACCACTTCCCGAAGGATACTTTCGGCCTCTGAGTCGTTGCCCTGCTTGATGAGGACTTCTGCCAGGCTTTCCATAGCATCGATGGTTATTGGATGGCTTTTACCAAGAGTCTCTTGCAAATCCAGCAATTCTCGACAGATATTCTCAGCTTCGGAGTATTTGCCGACTCTGTGGAGCACTGCTGCTAATTGCTCTCTACCATCCAATGTGTGAGGATGACTCTTACCACGTACCTTCTCCAGAGTAATTGTCGCTTCTCGAAGCAATTTCTCGGCCTCACGATAGTTTCCTTGCGATCTGAGCGTGAATGCTAGGTTGATGACAATGACCAGTGTGTCTGGGTGACTCTGAACGCAGGTAGTTACCCTCAAGTGTAATGCTTCTCGCTGAATCTTCTCTGCTTCGAAGTAGTTACCCTTCGAGGTAAGAAGGCTTGCAAGGTTGTTCATGGTGTCTAAGGTGCAGCCATCCGTCTTGCCATACACCTTTTCTGTGATTTGCAGTACTTCATCGAACATCTCCTCGGCCTCCTTTCGATCTCCTTTCTGCTGGAGCACGAAAGCCAGAGCGTCCATCTGGGACAACGCCTCGCGATTCTCCTTGCCCAGAGTGTTGACCGTCCAACTGAGCGTCTTTCCGAGATGCAATTCCGCGGCAGAAAGATCTCCCTGCCATGATAACGCAATTCCGAGGTCTCCATATGCCATCATAGTCTCTTTGTATGAGACCCCGAATCTATGCTCCATCCACCTTGCTACAGCAGTGTATGCTTCAACAGCTTCGTTGTACTTCCCTTCGTCCCTAAAGCTTGAACCCATCTTGTTGAGTAACCAGACCCGCTCAATAACATCTTCGACACATCTCTCTCGACAGAGACGCTGAGCGTGTGGGAGATAGATTGTCCATATGCTTTTGTACTTATGAGTTTCGGACGGGAAGAGCTTCGACATCCGTCTGATACAGTCTTTCGTCCAGTCGGGAAGCGTGCCGTTCATTTTTAGCCAATTTCGAGCAGCAAGGTGGACAAGTCGATGCATGTCATACAGCACCTCGGTATGGTCGTCACCACCATTCTGCGTTTGCCTTGTCACAAACGAGTATCCCCTCAGTGTGGCCATCGCGTCGACTACATCTTTCTTTGAGTCGATTTCTGGCAGCAAAGACAGGGGGATATTCTTTTCATGCAGACAAGCCATAGAGCTAAGAAACTGTGCTGCCACCGGATTGTTTTTGCGTATTTGCTCGAATGAGATGAGCCACGTTGAAGCGACCGGATTCTCCGCGTTAGCGTACCGTGACTGATCACCAAAACCTTCGCTGAGAAGCTTGACCACTTCCTCCTCGGGTTCATCCAGCAAATCCAGGTAGGTATTTACCGTCTCCTGTGTCATGTTCATTTATGAACCAGCCTGGACAATAGCAAGTAGCAGGAATGTGAGCTTCTCCAGTAGAGTCGACGTAGCGTCCTGGTCATCAGCCAGTTCTGGCTTTTCCAGCATCTTCGTGAATATCAACCGGCCTTGGTCTGCTGACATTGCAGACAATTCGACCACTTCTCTGCCGGCCAGATAACTGGCCACACGTCGTGATCGAGTGGTGATCAGGACAGAGCCATAGGTCGTGCTCGGAAACCAATCCACAAGTGAGCAGTTTCGATTTCCGGAAGGCACCTTCTTCTGCCATAAAGACTCGTCGTCAGCATTTTCGAGGATCAAGAGCCATCTTCCGGCCGGTGAGTTGCTGAGCCGCTGCTTTACCAGGGTCGTGATGTCAGCCTTTTCGTCTTCAATCCCTGGAATTCCAAGCTTCTTTCCAATTTCGCGGACATCTTTCTCGAAGGTCAATTGATCTGAGGCCTGTATCCAGAATGTTTGGTAATCCGGATGCTCGGACTTAACATGATATAAGAGCTCCAGGGCTAGTCGACTTTTGCCAATGCCCCCCAAGCCAAGCAGAGCCACAATCCGACGACCTTCAGGGTCGAAAGCTCGCTCTTGGAGACGCTTCAGCTCATCGGTGCGACCAACAAAACCCGGGATTCGGTCAAAGGGTACGTAGAAAACAGGCTCAGGTAACGCTTCTGGAAAAAAAATAAGACTTAGCTGCTGTCGTGTAATCTTGTTACGCACTTAACAACGCTTTGATCGATTGACTGGAACAGCAAATCATGAAAGCTCACCTGAACAGGTGGGTGTGTCCTCCACACTCCATTCTACCAGAAATGCTTTCGTACATGCTGCTGCCGTAGCCGTTGCATACCATTGCCACCCTTTCCTTTTGTGGCTGTCAGCATAGTCGCAAACTCCTTTGATGACTATGCTCGGAAGATAGTCCCAAACGCCCGCCCCCTCCATCTCGAATCCAATAATCCTGTCCGTTCGGGCGATCTGGTCGCGGTGCTTTCCTGATTTCATCACGGTGTTTCCCGACCCCATGATGCCGAAGTGGGCTACAGGCCGTCTTGTTGATGCACCTGTAGAGCGGGTACGAGTTACCTGCATACTCGACTCGCACCCTAGCTGTTCGCATTCTGACAAACGGCAAGAATACCCGGTGGCTACCGGCACCATTTTACTGGTCTGACGACGGCTTGTTACACCTCCGTTTAAGGCGACGACGAGGTCGTCGATCAGTGAGTAAATCGCGCTATAGTAAATAGGTAAACGAGGTCGCTCCGACCTATAATACGTGATAGTTATATAGTTTAATTAATAGAAGATAGTATTATACATAAATTATTGTTATACAAGTTATTAGTTATAAGCCCGGCTATGGATTAGCCGTAGACTAATTAGTTTACTTTCGCTATATATCGTTACTATCCGACTAATTAAGTAGTACTATTTTACTATTACGTAATAACCTCGTAAGGCTATTACCTCTAGTTAATACTAAAAATCTATAATAAAGATTTAGATATTTAACTACGCAACGTCACGAAGGTCCCGAAATTCTAATGGCTGACGGGCGGGTACGCCTGTGGAACGATCAGAAACGGTGGCATCTGGCTCACCTCTTGGCTGCAGTGAATGACTAGGCAGTACATTCGTGATATGGATCGGGGTCATAGCAAGGCCAGACTTTGAAGCCTGTTTCCCCATTCGTTCGCGGGCCTCTGCAATCACTTTGAGCCGAAGATCGTGCGGGATGTCATCTTGGGTTTTTGGTATTCCGTGCTCAGAAGCATGCTCGACATATGTCCTCATATGTTTCCCGTTCATCGGGTAATGGGTCCCATCCTTGTCAGTCAAGCAGTGTGGAGCCGAATCACACAACTGCTTCGGACAACGCATAAACTGATACACATCCTTCCATGTCGGCTGTCGACCTGTTTCCTGTCGTTCTCTTTCCGGCTCTCGGTCTCGTTCCGCCGGCATACGACTGCTGGCCGATGTTTAGCCCCTCTTGTCACCTCTTCTCGCCGACTGACTGGCCGACTGCGCATTGGACTCCATAAATATGAACGCGAGATTTACCCAGAGGGTTTGCCATTCAGGAAAAATGGACTCCAGTCGAGCAAACGCTTGTCGATCGTGTCCCAGTCGAACTTCGTCTCGTCGTATCGCTTAGTGAAGGGAGGCGTCGACCGCTGGGTGACTGAGACCACCGCCGTGGTATCGTCATGCCGCAATCGTCGGTCGTTAAACTTCCGACGGAGTCCCTGGTCGAGCCGGTCTTGTGAAACTCGTGGCCAGTAGCAGCCGCTAGACACGACCACATCGGATTCGGTATCCTTAATGAGTGCTTTGTTGTTCAATGTCACCTTCCACTCAATGGTGTACCCTGAACGGCTCAGTTCTTCCCAATAAGACTCCTGTGGATCCCAGTCCTTCTCTTCCAGAAATGAAAACTTCTCCTGGCTTAAAGGTGGACATTAGCTCGGCGCTTGCGGAGTTCTTCTCAACCTGATGATAGGTTGAGGAGGGGGATATGCGAGTCGCCTCTCCATCACTTATGGCGGTGCCGATGAAGTGAGAATTGTGTTGCGAGGACCTTTGTGATGACCACTGGACACGGAATAATTCATCCAGATCAGGATAATCGCTCATGATGCCATTAGTGGTTCGTTGAATGCATTGGTTGCGTTCGGCTGGCCGTCGAAGAAGATGGAACGTACACGTTCCCGCAAGTCCAACCGCGGTCAGCAAATGAATATCTGCATCTCCTGCGCGCAACCTACAGTACCACAACGTCAGTGCTTCTCTTCACGCCCAATTATTTTCCTGGCACTTTTAGATCTGATTATCAGTGTCATGTTGCAACTACAGTATACTTACATCACAAGTAAAGTGAAGACAACACCGCGGTCCGGAGGTGATACCGACGCCGCAGGCTTAAATGTCGCTGCCTCCCTTCCTTCCGCTAGCAGCATCAATCGTCAAGTCAGGTCTCTCGAAGACATGTCTCTTCTTTCAAATCAGCATTTGCGTCCATCAGGGCTGTCGCACTCCTCCCTTAGTGTCAGCTTTCTCCTCGCCGGTTTTCGGGTCGAAAGGGGGGATGAATTGCCAGGGCCAGGCTGAAGTATATTGAGACCCATCCAGGCCTCGGAATCGGCACGCGATCGAGAAACACTTCTCTCAGCCATGTCAAGGTGATAGACTGCTTTCATAGAGGAGTCAAGGAAATTGGGGACCGTTGTATAGCTGGACGCAGCCGCAAAGCAAGGCGCCGAGCAGAACGAATCCGAGCTGCCTGTAACTGCAGGCGCACAGCGTTGCCCGGCATGGCAAGTAGGTCAATATGAAGAAGTGGCCTCTATGGGAGGGCATAAATAAGGCTAAGCAACATTGACATATACTGTAGGTATAGTATACTGTTGGCTTAGAGCATGCTAAACTGAAAAATGTGCTGGCGCAGGTGCTTTCCCTAGCGAGGGGATCGCGGAACCGCTGCCAAGGTAGGGCGGCGCGTCGCACGGTTGACCACCCCGCTGACTGACAGCATCCTTTGACGCCGTCGTGGTTCCCACGTGGCCACACGCTCAATCCGTGTTAAATTTTAATTTTACGGCGGTCGCGATTAAGGTGCTGATCGAGGTTGCGCCTGAGGTGGGGATGCTTTCTCGCTGTTACGGCGGTGTCCGGCTCTCCGGAGGTCGCATGATCTCGCTGGGCTGGCGATCGGCCGCAACGCACCTGAATAGGATCGTCAAAACCAAGTTAATTTTGCTGGTTGAGTTGGTGACTACTGTACGGCGAGGCCAAAAAGTTATAACCGAGACAGAATGAGATATCGAAACACACTCGGATGGTTGCTTGAATTGTGGCTTTCCGATGGACTCGCAGTAGTTCTCACGTACTTTTTCGTGCCCGAAGTAAGTTACAATTGGAAATAAGCTTTGCGTGAAGCTGACTATGAGCAGACCGCTGGCCTGTCGCTGGAGGAAGTCAACGAACTCTTTGGTGAGAAAGTCTTGGTGAACCTGACCCACGCCTCGGAAGAAGAGAAGAAGAATATTGATCGAGCGATTGAAGAGAAGGAGATGGTGGTGACGAATCATTCGGAAAGCATAGTAGAGCAAATTACAGGATGATGTGAATCTCTGGCCAGCACAGTGTGGGTTGGAGAACTTGCGATGGTTGCATTCGCGCCAGTCATGAGGAAAGTGCTTGCCATGACAAGTTCGAGTCACCGTTGATGTAATCCTATTGCTTCCAGTCGAGCTGTCACACACTGCAAATAGTTCTGGAAATTCCACCCTGGACTGAACTGAGTATTGGCGATGTAGTGAATCGTTTGACAGTGCTTCAAAGGACGACTGTGGCCAGTATGATTGACTCGAACATCCATCAAAGGCTGGAGTTACCTTTCATGATCCCGACCTTTCTTCTATATCCGGGTTGTCAGCATATACGAGGTCAACCATGCTGGAAGCAAGGAGCAGTCTGCCTCTGTTCGTATGAGAAGCAAATCGTGACCGGTATCACTTTGCGGCACCAACATCTGTGTTGACAGCCCGGGATAGTGTCAAATGAGCAGCCACCTTTCTTGTAGACGAATCCATCTCTTACCTTATACTCACGCGTACACCGGCCAGTCTTTTGTCGCCGTTCGCTTTCTCTACAACGAAGGCATCGGGGCGACCATGACCAACGGAACAGCCAGTCAAAGCCGCCGGCTACTAGCGCGCCTACAGAGCATGCCATTCTCACCGCAAGCGCAAGGGCCAATGCGAGAAGCACTAGCACTGGGCTCCAGGCGTGCCGTGCAAAGGATATAAGCGCGAAATGTGAGACTGCAAATTTCTCGACCTTACTAAGGTTAACTTAGCGATAGAAATCGATTAACTTTAATAAGAGCTATAACAGGACGCGTGTACATGCACGTGCTAGCCTGCGGTTTAGGACTTCGCAGCGCAGATGGTTCCTGCGCGTCCTGACCACTTCGACCCGTGCCCGCGGGCCCGTCGAGCCATGATCTGCCAGTCAGGCACCCTTCCAGCCGAGGTTGCAGATACGGGCATTTAGCCGACCACGAGGGAAAATATTCACACGCAGATGTGGTCGGCCTCATCCACGTAGACTCTTGAAACGTTGAGGTGGTCGTGCGTGGAAGACGCTGTCGACGCGGAAGACGCTGAAGGGGCTGATGTGGAAGCTGCCTTGAAACCATTGGGTGCTTCGGGACGAGTTGGTGGAGAATTGAGTCCGTCGAAGGCTCGAAGCGACCGTGTAGGTTTTGTTCCCGTGTGGTCATTCTCCCCTCGAATTCCTGTGCCGTTGCTAGCATCGAAAACAAGGCAGCGACGTTTGGGAGGCTGCGCAGAGTAGCGCCGAATGACGACTCCCATCGGGGGCATGCGTGGCGAAGTCAATAATAATAGTAAGGGGTTCGTTCACCCTCACGGAACTCCTGCTGGATCTGCCTGTTTGCACCGTTTACTCATGACCACCTGCGCAGGCTGCCTTGATACTTACATCTCAACCACGACAATAAATAAGCCAGCATTGCAGTTGCTCTTCACCATCGCCCACTCTCCCCCGACCGCAACCTCTGTTCAGAGTCCCTATTCCTACCTTTGACGACTCCGGACTGCCCCTGGCCATCCATCAATCGGCCACCCATGGACCGTGACCAAATCCTCAGTGCAACCGCCGTTCGCCGGTTGGTTGCTAGTGGTAAGCACATTGTCATTTCAGAGGGCAGAGTGTTGCAATTGGATGGCTGGCTCGACAAACATCCGGGGGGCAAGCTTGCCATAATGCACATGGTGGGAAGAGATGCAACCGACGAGATCAATATGTAAAAACCAATCACCTCCTGCCACAAACCCCCATCCCCGGTTTCGAGAGCGTGGAGAAGAGGACAGACAAATTTCCAGGCCTGAATTTAGGGAGCATGCGTCTTATTTGTGTCTTTTGCCCTTGCTGAACAAGCCTTCCGAGGCTTCCGGTCGCCTTTATGCAGCGTCATTTGCTGACAAGTGAACTATCCTCAATACAGTTATCACTCCACCGCAACCTTAGCCACCTTGCATCGCTACAGGATAGGCTTCATTGTGGGACACTGGACCAACCTCACCCCGCCTATCAGAGGGGGCGTCCATCTATTGACATCGGACGAAAACACAAGCGACGACGCCAGTGACATAGACGACCTCAGCGATGCCTCGACCCTGTGCACCCGCACCACCTCCCTTGACATCGACCCTGCTAGAGACGAAGCACTCCGGGAAAGAATCGCACTTGGATCTGACCTGGATGGGCAAGAGGATGGACTTCTGCAAGTCCCAGGTAGCGGGCGGAAACGCGGCTCCGGAAAAGCGCGGATCCTGATCACACCCGAGGCATACATTGGTAAAGTCATGCAGGGTGAAGTCGACGACAGCCTGAGAGACTATCCCTCGCTAGATGAAACGACCCAGAGAGCCATCTCGTCAGCATACCGGGAGCTTCACCAAGAGGTCAAAGATAATGGACTGTACCGGTGCAGGTATTTCGAGTATGTGAAGGAGTTGACCAGATACCTCAGCATCTTCGCCCTATTCTGTACCGCCCTACACTGTGGCTGGTATCTAACCTCGGCAGCCTTCCTAGGTCTATTCTGGGTGAGATTGACCTTCTCGCTCGCATCTGTGGCTCTAACAATCTTCAAAGCATCAGATCATGTTCACGGCCCACGATGCAGGACATCGGGGCATTACCCACAATTTCGTCGCCGACAACCTCATTGGCCTCTTCATCGCCGACTTCTGCTGTGGGCTGTCAATAGGATGGTGGAAATCCAGCCACAATGTGCATCACATCATCACAAATCATCCAGTACGTCCGCTAGAATCTTCTTGTTTCAATCTCCTGACACACTACACGTCCTTTCCTCCACTAGTATGTGAGGGCGTGTGTATCAACACCTGCTAACAAGCATCTAGGAGCACGATCCAGATATCCAGAACGTGCCACTCTTCGCCACATGCCCTTCGTTCTTCAAATCACTCCGCTCCACCTACTATGACTTCACATTTGTGTGGGACAAGGTCGCCGACTTTGCTGTCGCTTACCAGTACTACACCTACTATCCGATCATGGCTGTAGCACGCTTTAATCTCTATGCGCTCTCCATGCATTACCTCTTCACTTCACCTCGGCCAAAAAGTCGCATCACATCCTGGGTTTGGCCCGCCGAGATCGCGTTCATTGTGTGCTATTGGCTTTGGTTCGGCTATGGTATTGTCTGGCTCACACTCCCGGACTGGCCCACTCGCATCCTTTTCGTCTTGCTCTCGCACATGATCACGATGCCTTTGCACATTCAAATCACCCTGTCACACTGGGCCATGCCAACGGCCGATCTCGGTGACGCAGAGTCTTTTCCGCAACGTCAACTCCGGACCACCATGGACGTTGACTGCCCGGAATGGCTGGACTTCATTCACGGGGGGCTGCAATTCCAGGCTGTGCATCATTTGTTTCCCCAGGTCCCGAGACATAACCTGAGGAAAGTCCAATCCCTGGTGCAGAATTTCTGCAAGGAGACGGGTGTCAAGTACACGATCTACGGCTTCAAGGATGGGAACAAGCAGGTCTTGGGACGGCTAGCTGAGGTGGCGGATCAGATGAACATGATGCTACAGTGTCAGAAATACATGGCCGAGACCAGGATCAGCGGGCTGCATTGATGAGTGGCTAGAGTGTCAATTCCTCTTCGCTTTGAGATTTTAGACTGGTGAGACAACAAAAGTTACAACGATTTCGGGACGAGACCGACGATGCGTTGCACCCTTTCAGCATCATATTCTTTCATCTTATTCAAACTTGAAAATTGTGCGTCATCTCCAGCTGGTCGCCTCTAGCTGGCCGCCCCTTCGGTGAGGATTTTCGACACCGGGCCGTATGGGAGTCGCCATGGAAGCGGTACGAAAAGATCTACGACCTTGAACTTGCCGGTTCCGTCGAGGTCGCAGTCCGCCAGGAGGACAAACTTAACGGCGAATTAACTTCTTTATCTAGGAAATATTCGTTGTAAAGCTAACTTACGTATCTTTGGTTACCGACACTTACTTGAAACTCGGTATTAATTAGGAAAAGTACTTTACTAGCTAACTTCCTTTACTCTTTCATGACTACGGTGTAGTTTTAGGTAGTATGCCTATATACTAAATAAAGAATAAATAATCTCACTCTCACCTCTTTATCTCCTCGCTCTAGTGAGCGTACGCTAATATAAGTCTTTTTGGTAACAATATTCTAAGGGACTTTACTCTTAAGGACCTTAATAGTAGCGATAATACGATTCTTTCGCGGCGTGTTAATATAACTACCTTTTTTTCGTGGCGGGTATATATTAGGTATATCGTCGTATACTTCAGTGCGACAGCGTTTCCTTCCCATTGCTTCTGTGACCTGGGTTGCTAGTTAATTAGTAAGGAAGGGAGGTACTTGAAGCAAGAGAAAGGATAATAACGCGTCGCGAGAAATAACAAATAATCCGCCACTTGTCTTGGCACCTATCCCTAGCCCCTATATACTCACTTAAATTGAGCTCCCCGAGGAAACCTGCTCACAACAACAGTGCCCAGCCTCAGCCGCAATAGTGCCCAAAAACATGCTCACCTCCATATTGTGGTAAACTTGCTCATCAATCAATGCTTCGTGTTCGATTTTGGGTTTTCGAGAACAGAATTGGCTCAGGCGGTTAGGTTCGTGACAACGTCTGGAAATTAAGTAGGCTGATGCTGAGCATGCCTGAGCATGTTGTTACTCAGTCCAAGCAATTGTTTGAGTAGAGCTGAGCAAGTATTTGACCACGACACGCAGCAATGGGTTGGTATATAGACGGTCCACAGCCAACGCTCTGACTTGGCCTCTTGATATTCCTTTCAGCAATCCAGTTCGTTCCACCAAGCCTTTCCAACTTGATTCGTGCACTGTGAAGAGCTGAGTTTGTCATCCGAATTCTCGTCGATATTGTTACACCCACTCAAGCAGACACATCATCACCATCAATACCACAAACACAACGCGAGCCATGTGCGGCGACTCTCACTTGCCACCAGCGCCTGAATCAGGCGACCTCGTCGCCATCATCCATTCCACTTCCCAGTCAACATTCCATGGTCGTTTGAGACTATCAAATCGGACGCCCGGCGCAACAACGTCGAGTTTTGAATGCGCCAGCCAGACAAGCAGTAGTCTCTGTGACAACTATATGCCAGCACAGCCTCTGAGAGTGAGGATCCACAGATACGGACAGCCGTTGTCAATATTCCAGAACGCAAACAGCGACACAGAGTCTGACTCAGAAGACGATAGCTCCTTGGTCAACCCCATAATGCACTCATTCCTGGTCAATGTCGCCACAGTCTCCAGCACAGGCGATGAGCGGCTCAACCTTGGTGTTGGCGACGATGGCATCGTAGGAAGGACGGTCTCCATGCTTGACGGGCGAAGTAAGCGAATCCTCGGCGAGGGTGTGATTGGACGGAGTTGAGGTCATGTGTGGAGGCTATGTGTATTTCTCCCAGCATTTTTCGGGGTTTCGGGCAGTCCATTGCATTGCATGGCATCCACGGCGTTGATATTTATTCAACTTCTGCCAGACCAGTAGTAATCATAGCAAATATCCCATCCACCCGCTGTTATTCATGTACGCGTCAAACATGTCCATTTCCGCAGTGCTGAAGTTGAACTGGTCCCAATTAGTATTACCATAACTCGCCGCATCGTATGCCGCATTCAGATTCGACCCTAAAGTGTCGGCCACCGCAAATCGCTGATGAGGCAGAGTCGGCAACGGATAGTTGGCCGGATCCTGCAACTGCTGCATCCCTGAAGCACTCGAAGTGGATGTCGGTAGAAGATCTGCAGCCTTGACAGACGCCAGAAAAGACATGGGTTCCGCCTGGAAAATCTGCGATTGGCGTTGGCGCCGTGATCTTTCGGTATTCACCGGATCGCCTTGCTCATCGTCTGAATTGAGTCCGCCACGATGATAGTGCCAGATCTTGAGCTTCTTAAACACAAATCCAAATGCTTCAGCGCAGGGACTGTGCCCGTCGGCCGAGAGCTCGTTTAACATGGACTGCATGGCGTCCAGATAGAACTCCGTCCGGATTTCGGCTGCAAAAATGCTTCCAATCTTCGAATCTGGATTGTTTATGACCCAGTGGATTTTGATCAGTATCACCATGGCATAGGCGTTCCATACGATGTACAGGTTCGGAAGAGACCTGGCATGGGACACCTCGAGGGAAAGGTAGGTATCAAGTATCTTGTGGCTGCTCTGTAGTAGTGTCGTCAGGGCATCGATGTGCAGAGAAGTCATCGCGTGGGGTTCTTTCCGATCCCAGTCCAAATGAGTATGATGGAAGCCCTCCCCTATGTGGTCTTGGTGCAAGGCGATCTCGTGCATGTACAGATTGATACAAGACGATTGGTGAATCAGAAGTCCTGTCCGCGCGTTAGTAAAACTTAAGAAGACCGGATGTGGATCTCACGTTTGTCCACGTCGACGTCCACCGACTTCTCCCAGTCTTGCAGTTGACGTTGGAAGTACTTGAGTTGGTACTGGGTTCTCGAGTCCAAAAAGTCAAGATTCGCGCCATGATCGCACATGTTGAACGAGTCGTTGACCTCTTGTGCTATACGGCCCAGCCTCGCCATCGCACACAGCCACTTGTTAGCGGTGGGAGCATCCTGAGCGTTTTCGAGAATGTGCAAACATTCTTCAAAACGTGCATCCGTTCTGACATTTGATGGCGTGCGCATGATTGTGCAGGTACTGCGAAACACTCAGCATTCGCCATAGAACTACAGTCTCACAAGCCACCTACCTTATGCTCGCATGGAAGACCGACAACCAGGCCCTCGCACTTTCGATCTTCTCAGCCAGAGGCACAACTCGACGGAGTGGGGATCTCTTGCCGACACCTGTCTCGTAGCACATGACGATTGTTGCGTTGATGTACTGATTGAAGGCCAAGTCTCTGGCGTTCCGAGGTCGAATGTAATATGACGCATGCAGAAGCAAGGCATGGATAAGATCTACGGACTTTTCTCCATGGAACAAGACCCTCTCCGAGAGTTGCCGGGCGAGATCGACCGTCAGATCTTGCTGGACCGAGGGCATACAGACGGGGCTAGAAATAGCTAGGATTGCCAAAAATGTCATCGGCCGTCGTTCTCGAACTTCCTGTGCCTTCGTGCCTGGGGCGAAAATGACAATCGGACAAGTGGTAGACATGTCGTGAGCCCAATAGTCAAACACCGTCACAGCATTGTCCATCGACAATATCCTTCGTGCAATGACATCGACATAGTTGTCCTTTGCCTGAAGATCTCGGTCAAGACCACGGCAAGATGTCGAGAGATCAAGAGGCTGCATGACCGAACGCATGTCTGGCACATCCATCAATTTGGTCACAAGGTTCTGTGTAAGGTGTTTGGTGTCCGCGATGTAGTTATCATCCACTCTGGATGCTACCGAACTTGCAATGGTGAGCTGGTCTTTCTCGGTCGATTCTGGCGGGGACGGCTCGGCCTGTTGTTTTGCTAACAAAGCATCTGTCAGGGCATTGATCTTTTTCTCCAATTCGGCGACTTTGTGGACAGTCTTCTGTCGTTTTCGTGGTGGTCCGGGCATGACGCATTCGCGGTTGACTTTGGAGCAAGCCTTGCATGCTTCTTGGCCTTCGACAGGAAGGCATCGAATCTTCATATTCCGGCAGGCGACGCAGGCTCTTGAGCGTTTCGCTCGCTTGGGCTTCACTGTGCCATTTTCGGAAACTTCGTCATCGTCAGGGCTGTCGGGCGACTCGTCGTTGAGATTCGAATCTTGGCGATCAGTGTTGTGCAAAAATGACAGTGTTTCTGGTGAGCGACTATGACTGAAAGGGAGCAAGGTCTCCACGGGGAGTGGTTTTTCTGGAGCCATGCTTCTTTTCGCGATCACGAAGTCCCGCCGAGGCTAGATGGTGGAATGAGGCAGGCGTTGAAAGGACGGATGGCGCGTTGCTGACTGATCAGGTAAAACTTCGGTCGGCGAAAGACTGCGCATACGGTCAGCGAGACTTGAAACGATGATACTAAAGACAGACGGCCGGCAACTCCACTGTTGGTGGACTGAGAACAGCCGAAAGTGATGGACTTTGAGAAAGAGACGATGATGACGACGACGATGTTAAGATGGGCGGTTGGATTTGACTTCGCGATTGTAAGTGACTTCCTGCCGTGTTTGACAAGGAAAGTCGCGGCACTCGGCTTGATTATTGTCCGCTTGGATGACTCAGCAATACCTTTCCCATCGACGGCCATTAACAGCCGTCCTGCCTCTGCACAAGTGTAACACATCTACTTCAACATGACCTCCAAGAACCACAGCTACAAGGCTTATTCTGTTAAGCTCTTCCACAGTCTTTGGAACAAATCCCCCCTTGCTCCACTCCCTCCGCCTCGTTCTTCGACTCTGCCAGGTCCGTTGCAAGATTGTGATCATCGTTCAACCTGAGATTCGGCAGAAACCATACCACGACCATGGGAATTGCCGAAGCCACCAGTGCAGCAATGGTCATGTACCGGAGAATGTCGGAATAGGCATGTTCGACAGCATTCCTCTCATTCGATCCAGGCCGTGGTCCAGCGTTGGTGATAGTCTCGTACACGTTGTCGATAATTGACTGTGGCGTTTGGGGACCCATCCAATACCGTAATCTTTGCTTGAAAAGGCTGGTATAAATGGTCCCGGCGATCGAAGACCCCAGACTCGTTCCCAGGTAGATGAACAGTAGCTCCAATGCGGTAGCTTGTGCCAGCTCGGACCGTGGAACAACAATTTGCGCCACAACAATGACGACGGTACCGACCGCTCCACTTCCAGCACCCTGGATAACCTGCATGATGAAGAGCTGGGCTATTGAGTTGCTGGCTCCTCGAAGTCGCATCATCAAGCCGTAACCGATCAAGCGAATGATCACCCCGATCACGAGTAGCCATTTGTACCGCCTGGATCGATACATGACGAATCCGGTCGCAAGGCCTGTGAGAACTTGAGCACAGCCTGCAGCGTATGTGAGGAAGGTAGCGTTTCGTGGAGAGAAGTCGTGGACGACAGTGACCCAAGCATACATGTACGTATGTGTGATGCTGTAGGCGAAAGCGTCCAGCAACCCGATGACAAAGGCGATCACCAAGGAAACATTCTTGGTGAAACGTAGAGGAATGATAGGTCTGACGGCGACTCGAGACTCATAGTAGATCAGTGCGATGAGGCAGATGACCCCAATCGCCATCACAGCCGCAACCCAGGGTGTATGCCAATGATTTGGAGTATTGCCTGCAAGAGCGATCGGCAGCAACAGCATCGCACATCCGCCACTGAGCAGCACCATCCCACCGACGTCGATCTTAGATAGAAAACCCAGGATGGTAGTCTCCTTTCGAACTTTCCCGCCAGCTCTCTTGATGCGCCGCTGGAACCAGATCAATGGAATGACAGTCGCAATGGAACATACTGGCATTATGATAGTAAACATGCCAATACCCCAACGCCAGCCGATGTTGGCCAGCGCACTGTCCACAATAAAGGCCGAGATCCATGGGATGATCATGAAAGGAAGATTGACTAAGCCATTGGCAAGACCACGCCACCTAGACGTAGTGATGTCTGCCACGATGATCTGATTGAGAATTTGCATTCCAGTTTGAGCGATGCAGTAAACAACATAGCCTCCAGCGTATTGGCCGAAACTTCTCGCAGATGCGCAAAGAATGTAAGACACAACGTAGAGTATGACGACCGCAATATACGTCTCGGCGCGACCAACAACTTCCGCGACGTTTGCGATGGGCGGCTTCAAGACCGCACTGACAATCGTACCCGCAGTATTGAGAACACCTAGTAGAGGAATGTCGCCGAAATCAGATGCCGCATAGTTCTGATAGTTGTAGATCGTCGCGTGGTCCAGCTCGCTAGAATCAGACTCAGCAGGGTAATAACAGCTTCCACATTCGACTTACAAGATAGTCCACATGAGTGCAATCCTGTAGAGGGACAGTCAGTATGGTACTTGCAAAACCGTCTGGAACCAGCGTACCCCAGCCACATCCAGATCTTGCCATGTCTACCCCAGGCGATATTCAGGATTTCTTGGTCATCTTCGTCGCTACCGCTCTCCAGAATAGGACATCTTTGGCTTGTAGGCTGCTTTTCTTCGTCAACCACTTCTGCAGAATTGGTGACAGTGGAAACGGTGGCACTAGAGCTTCTACTTTCATGTGACGCTGAGCCTTGCCGAGATGATGCCATTTATGCGCTCCGAACGCAATGAAGCAACGCAGGAGAAGAGCAAAACGAGCAAGAAAAAATCACAGTCGAGCAGCATTTCATGTATCAACCTCATGCTCACCATAACCGAATATTTCACCAGCCCTGAACCCTTCGCTTGATGATCGACGCTGCAACAAAAACTTTGTTTGGAAGACTGGAGAACCAGCTACAGCTTATGAGCCATGGAGATGCGTGATCAGCAAGCTGACTCGGGGTCGGTACCTGCATGTTGTAGCATCGCATTAGGGAACCCCGGAATGTGGCTGGTTGATCTGTAAAGTCAAAGCCGGTGCTGTCCATGACAGCGGAGACAGTTTGGAGACAGGCTCGGAGCCGACAGTTCCAGATGAAGTGAACCTAGGTGGGTGTTGCATCAAGACAAGAAGATTCGCTGCGCGAAGGACCTCCTGGGGGGCTCGGCTGTGTCAGGATCGGATAAGATTATCTTCTCATCTCATCAGATAAGATAATCGTGACGTTGTGCTGTTTCATGATTTCATCCTGAATTCTTGAATGTTGATCCTGTGGAACTGAAGCATGATTTTCCATGGTCGGCAGTGACATCGGGAAGTTTGTGGTCGCAATGAACGGGTCATGATGAAATGCCGTGCAGATCCCCCGGAACTGGGGAAGACGTGTTGCGGTACTGGGTACTTCCCCCAGTACACCAGCAAAGACCATCAAGATAGGTCGTGCACTGGTGTTTCATCGCCAGTGTTATTTATCCACAATATATCCGAAAGATAATAACAAATGAGATGGCTTGCAGTGAGTCCGGGAAGGAAAAGAGGAAGGTGCAGAAGTACGATCATGCCTATTAACTAGTGCCTTGGTATGAAGGTTCAGTGGTGTTCCATCTCCGCATTTCAAGGTCGGTGTAGCCCTCATCCTTACAGTGCATATTTTCAGTCTTCGCGAATATGACGACAGCGTTGACAGTTTCAAACACGTTCACAGTCATGAACAGCATATTCGTCCTCGCCTGAAAGTACCTATCAAGCTCAGATCCAAGCGCCACAAAAGTCCCTGCTGAGGTTGGAATACGAACACCAAGACAAATAGCCCAGTGACTAGACTTCCGTAGCGAAGTCAGAGGAGGAGATGGCCTTGGCAGAGAGAGCGGTGCTCGAGAAAATCATGAAGGATTGTAGGTGCACCTCGACGCCCACGCGGGACTTTGCTACTGAGACCAGTCATCGACATGGGTGCAGAACGAGTGGTATGAACAGATGAGAGTCTGAACAAGATGGAAAGGCATAACACCAACATATCGTGGCGCCAAGATCGAACACGAGAAAAGAACTTGTCGAGCGGGAATGAGGTCCTATTGTGCGAAAGGTCGAGTTGGACCGTTCTTGTCGTGTGTTGCGCAACGAAAGCTCGTATCGATCCCTCAGCTGTGGGCGAACACGATGCTTCGCATATTGCGGCATCGTCCAGAGCAAGCGAAAAGGACTCACCTGCCGATACGAGCAGTTAGTGTTGCTTGATGGCTTACAATGTGGCGGACCGCTGAAGCAAGGATAAGTATGAGCCTTCCCCTCCTCGCACCTTCTTCCGCTTCCTCCTCCATGCCTGCTCAGCTCGGTCGCATGGGCTGGTGATACAAGAACCTAAAGAACAACGACGATACCAAAGCGACGTCAACTTTGATAGCTCTGCAAATGGCAACAGTCATGTCCGAGTTTGTCAGACAAGCCGCCCTGGCGCTTCTTCTCCTCTCAACCTGGTTTCGCTGTTCGGCGTCGGCTTCTGACAGGCACGGCGCTCCTATTTACGTCAAAGCGGATGAATCCATTCAAGCGGCCATTGACACGTCTTACCCAGGTCAATTGATTATCGTTGAAGCCGGTACCTACGCAGAACAGCTGACAATCAACACCCATGGGTTGCAGCTGGTCGGCAGAGGAGCTGTCCTCGTCCCACCTAGCACTTTCATGCCAAACATCTGCTCCGGCTTAGCAGGCCCTGATACCGAGGCCGGAATATGCATCACTGGCCAGGGCGTCGAAGTGGCAGACTTTGTGGTTGAGCACAGGAAAGTCCTCTCGGTTGGCACACCTGTGAAGGATGTGCTCGTCACTGGTTTCGAAGTCAAAGGCTTCTCGGGTCTAGACATATCCGTCGTTGGTGGTCAGGATGTGGTAGTAACTGGAAACCTCTTGTACGATGGAGCACAGTACGGCTGCTTGACGGTAGGCTCGAAGAATACCCATGTTGACGCCAACACTGTCGCCTCTAGTACTGCGGATGTGCCTTTCATCGGCATCTGCATGGACGATATGTCCGATGTTCGAGTCACGAATAATCACATCGACGGTTACGTAATTGGCCTATGCGTGCAAACCAACGACGCATACGTCTTTGGCAACGACGTCCACAACACCTGTTACGGAGTCTTCGTCGATCCGGGGGTTACTGGCGCACAGATACTCAACAATCATTTTGACAGCGGGAACCCCGTTTGCCTCACAATCCCGGGAGGAGATGTTGGAGTCCTCTTGTCTGGTCCCATGAACACCGTGGTCAGAGGAAATCTGGTCGAAGGCTGGACTGCGAATGGCGCTCCGAACGGAACGTCGGGAGGGCTAGCGATTATCGATGACCCCACAGGCGCGATCGCATCCGGCAATATGGTCACTAACAATGTCCTGCGGAACAACGATTATGATGTGTACGTGCAGACGACTGGCACTGGTAACGTTGTTGAGGGGAATCAATGCTCCATCTCGGTTCCGGCAGGACTCTGCGGTTGACGCGGGCATATTTAAACTCACCTCCGTGGAAGCTCCAGGTACAACATAGGTTGGACACGTCTGAAAACAATGAGAATGAGATGGAAAAGAGAGAAAGTGTCAGCTGCAAGGGAACAACAATCTATCGGAGTTACTAATCAAAGCCTTGGTTGTGACGGATCACGTGCGGATACCAGATCAATTTGTGACAAGTGTACTCTTCTCTTATTTTTGTACCCAGTATCTACTTCTCCTGACTATACAACTTGATAGTTCAATGGCCACTAATGCAGTTACTAGCGATCACTAAGACATGCATTGAAAGGTAGCTGAGTCTGGCTGGTGATTTCGCTCCAGAAAACGATTCCGGCATGGCACCTTCAGTATCCGAGCCGACGGTGAGGGACATCAACACTGTCTCCAAATTCCTATCCTGCTCGGAAATACCCTCATTGCAAACGTGTCAACCTGTTGATGTCCTTGTATTTTGCGGCAACTCTGTCATCCCCATTGCCGACAATTTCTTTTCAGCCCTGGAAGTCCGACCGGATCTGGCGCAAACCGTAGTCATCTGCGGCGGTATTGGACATTCGACCCAACTCCTGTACCAAGCAGTTCGACAGAACCAGAAGTATGCAAGCCTGGCGGACAAGGTCGATGGTCTCTCCGAGGCGGATGTTCTTCACCTGATGCTCGAGCAGTTCTACCCGAAAGTCGTCGAGCACATCCAATACGGAGCATTCAAACTGCTCGTTGAACGCGAATCAACGAACTGTGGTGCCAACGCAGTCGAGACCAGGCGTATACTTGAGGATCATGCCATCCCAACACCCACATCAATGATCGTTGTTCAGGATCCCACCATGTCGTTGCGAACTTTGGCTTCGTTCAAGAAAACCTATGAGCACGTATCACCGTCGCCGGTATTTCTTGGGTGTCCCACTCTAGTGCCGGTCATGTCTCTAGAGGGTGGACTGCATTTTGACCTTCCAGGCTATCGAGAGTCGGATCTGTGGGATCATCAACGGTTTTTCGATCTCATCATGGGGGAACTTCCACGACTGAGGGACGATGAGCAGGGTTATGGACCAAGAGGAAAGGGGTTCATCGCGCATGTGGACATTCCAGACGACGTCGAAAATGCATGGACGAGGCTGCGTGACGTGTTGGAGTCCACCCGATGACGAGGCCTCCTGATTCAAGAACCTGTCCAACAGTCCATCTTCAGCAGAATGATGTGATAAGGTTCATAATCATATCTCATTTCGTCGTCTCGTATGGAGAAAGAATTATAGGGTGGTACAACTGAAAAGAAAGCAGGGTATCTGAACGAACAAAAGGTGTCGTCGGGGATGGCTGTAACAAAATGCCGCCCTTACCCCACCTTCAACATCACTCCACGTGCAGTCATGGTCTGGTTCCTGGCTCTTACAACGTCTCTGTCCAATTAATATCCTAGCCCAAGCACCTCAGTGTTCGAGTGGTGGCCTGCCAAGAAGGGGCGAAAACAACAACCTCAACCTCAACCTCAACCCCAAAAGTTCGAATCCCCAAGAACGTGATTCCCTTACGAAACACCAACGTCAATCCTCGAACAGGACGCCAATGTCGCCCGGACTCTCTGATGAAATCCGCCATCAGCAGCAATATCATATAAATCGCTCAGTCGCCTCGGCACGCCCACGCGGCTTAACCGCTGCTCAACCGCCTCCTTGGCTGGCCCAAGAGCGTTGCGCACCCCGTCGGCGCTGATGCGGAGATTGTAACAGATTAATTTGTCGTGTTTGTTAGGTGGGTAGCTGTAAGAAGAGGCGGCCACAGAGAATTTGAGCTTTGATGTAGTGAACGCCAGTGCGGCAGAGGGGTTGAAGCAGTACTGTTCGAGGACTTCGGCCTGGACGGCAGACATATCGAGCTCAGGTTTTGGGAGTGGTTGTGGCAGCGGTTCTGGTTTTAGCTCTGGTTCGGGAACAATATCCAAACACGGACTCGAGCACGTGGAACTCGGTGAAGTTGAGCCATCACTCGAAACAGATCCTCGTCGTGACCGGCGCCGGCGCGGCGAGCGTGGTGGTCTAGGCGAGGGAGGCGCATTCATATCGGCGTCCAATCCGTCAAACGCGAGTGCCAGTGTGCGGAAATGCGACGACGAACATGCGTCCAGAGTCCGCGCGTAAAAGCGGGTTTCCAACGCCTTGAGACGTGGCAGGCTGCCAACGCAGCTGTCAACCAGGCTGATGTGGTCCTTGAGAATGGCGTCTGCGTCAATGCTATCCCCAAAGTCCACGGCGATGTGCGTTAACGAAGATTTGATGAGTGGGTGAATGTCCGGGTCTGCGACGAACGCGAGGACATGCTCGGTTGAGCGAAAGACGAGCGCGTTGAGACTGTAGTACAGAGTGATGGCTTCGGAGCGGATTAGGCGACATGTGTCGAGGAATGCTCTGCCATCGTCTTCGGATGGTCGCGACGCGCGAAGACGTCTTTGCGAGGGACAGCGAAGGTGCAAGGGCTCGGGCTGTTCAAAGGCGAATTTGTAGATCAAATTCCTGACTTCGGCGGGAAGATTTAGGAAAGCGGATTGCTTGTTGTCTGGAGGCGTTGTTTGCGTCATGATATCGGCTCTCGTGATGTACGATGCATTGGCGACGCGATTGCTTTGCTTTGTGCGGTATGAGAAGCAAGTTTCGTGGTTTGATAGATAGAAATGCAAGACCAGAGACAGAGTCTCAGTTCAGTTCTGCTGGCGGTAACTTAACGTCGATCGTGTGGCGATGATGAGCCCCCCTCTATAGTGGATAATATCCTTCATTAACTTGGGGCTAACTTCGGTTCTTTAGCGTCGCGACCGTGGCTTTAGGTTAAGTGATAAGCCCCTATTAATTGAGAAGCTATCTGGCCCGGCGTGCAATCTTAATTGCGAGGCGTAGACGCACAGGACCACAGGTATCTCCTTATGCTGCTTGGTCGCTCTTTCTTCACCAAGAATCTGGGGAAGAGGAGTTTGAGAGATGGTAAACGTCGAAGCGGGAAAGACAGTGTGATCGCCAATGCTTAGCTGGGCAAGAAACAAGAAAATTGACGAGGTTGGTCGATAGCGACAGCCGGCACAAGATTTAAGATACAAGAAATGGTGACGGTGGTGGTTGGCAGCACAACACAGTGATGGGCAGTGATGGCCCGTTCATTTCCTTCCATGCCTCATCCCTGTTGGACGCAATATCATGAAGATTTGACTTGCAGGACCAAGAATCAATTTGTCTCAGTTTAGTGGCCCCTTTTCTGGTTGGCCTAGACACCATCTGGCCGCTGGTGGCCATGGCCCCCGGGAAATGATGCGCTTTCTTGCCGCTAACACCGCCTAGGAGGGTGTGCCGCAGGCATGCACTCCGCAAGGCACCAGGCGGACTCGACTTAGATTGGCCAGCCTGGTCCTTTAGCGAGGATATTAATATCCGGGGGCTAATGCACGCCAGACGCCCCTCCAACAAGGCACCGGCAAGCCAAAACAAGCGGGCCCCCCAGCCACGGACTTCTGCCAGATCCCTACCCTGGCAAAGGCATCACGGACCTCCTCGACGTCATCTGATGGGTTGGTGATTATTACAAAGTACCCTGACCTGCGCACGGACTGCCCATAGCATGGGCAAGGCAAGATCGTCCCCACAGAAACTTCATCTTGATGGACTGATCATTGATCGCAACTGTCTTTTCCGGCGCCACGACGAGTCACGACAGTACATACTGTAGTGTTATGTAAGGTAAGCCCTTATTTCACCGTCGGGAATTCATGCGAATGCCTTTTCTCGGCCTTCCGAAATGTATGACTACAGCATTCTTTGCCCCAGAGTGGTAGTACTCCGTACTGCATACTGTGCCGTCTCAACTCGTGTGACTTTCTGCAGTTTGCCTAGGGCTGCCTAATCCTAAGCTTTTACAGCCCCCTCCGTCACACCTGCAGCCTCTCCGCGCCGTTGGGAGTCGTATTCCCGTTGCTCGGCTTCTGCATGCACCTTGGCGGCGAGTTCGTGTTTTTGCTTCTCGGTAGCGTCTGCAAAATGCACGACTACCTCATCACCGAAGAGCGCATTGATCTCTTCCAGCGAAAGGCCCTTGGTCTACCCCGACAAAATATGTGTCAGCACATGAGTACATTACTTCCGGCTCTGAGTCTGGCGGACTTCCGCCAAGTACATACCTCAGGACACCAGAAATAGATAACCAGCACGTTGACGAATGTCAGGCATACGAAAACAATGTAATAGCGCCATTTGATGTCGGCGAGTGCCGTGGGAGCCGCCTCCACATACACTAATGTTGACAGGAATGTACCTGCAAGTGACCACGCCACGCCTTGCGATCGGATATGTGTGGGGAATATCTCCGCTGCATATTTAAAGGTGAGATCAGCCCAGGGATTGCACAGAGTCCTGTCGGTCCTCCGCCGAGTAAGGGCATACGAGGTAGGGCCACCGAAGTGGGACTATGCACAGAAGTTTTCTGTCCAATCCATCGGAGTGGAACCACTGCCAGTATGCTGTCCTACCGCGGAAACATACCGAGACCAAGGAATGCACAGATGTGACTTACAGCAATAAACATAGCCCACGACATCGATTCCGCCGCCATAGAAGCTGATGAAGCAGAAGGAGAAGAACACTCCCATGGAAAGACCTGCCTTGTTGGTCGTACCAGCATATTCGGCAATCATCGCCGTCTCCAGAGCCACGGACAGCATGCAACCGGTAAGTCCGGTGACTGTTAACGTCAGATACAGCTTTGTTGTTGGTGACACGGCGTTTCGGGTGGCCCGACTTACGAAGAAGTGGCTTTCGTCCTACTCTGTCAAGAAGCAACGCTCCCACAAAGTTGGATATGGTTGCTACCGTCACATACGCCGCCCCTAGGATGAGTGGAACTCCTCCTGTGAGACCGAGATTCTGGTACAACGAGACAATGTACACTTGCGACATTTGTGAGCACAAGATAAAGTGTCATAATGCGGTGCGACCATACCGTATATCACCTGAGCACCCGTGGATTGGGCGGCATATTGGATGAAAAATCCCATCCAGAACCGCTTTTGGTAACTCTTCTTGGTGAACATGCCGCGCCAGCCGGCTTGTTTCCACGCCACGGCATCGACGCGGACTTGTTCGGTCATCTGGTAGAACTCTTCACGAGCATACTGCAAAGCCTGCTCGTCCGAGCCTTCGCCGCCATGCAAGCGTCGGACAATGGCCCATGCTTCTTCATTGCGATCCTTTGTGAGCACTGCGCTCGATGTGTCAGTGGTGGAAAGGTCTACCGAGCGGTTTTGCGATATGCTTACGCCAACGCGGTGATTCCGGCACCCAAGGTGAGCATATTGCCAGTGCAAGTGGTGGGACAATTGACAATGCGATTGGAAAGCGCCACTGAAACGACAGATTGGTGGAGTAGTATGTTCCAGCGCCAACCCAGCCTGCAATTGCGTAGCCCAGGACAATCCAAGTTCCGTGCTGACCGACTAGGAATCCACGAGCATTCGGTGGCGCTTTTGGTCAAGTCAGTCTGGATGAAATGGCCGGGGGAGAAGAAATTCCTTGTAACTAACATATCTCGGCTTGATAGATCGGGATCAATACAACCATCATTCCAATGCCAAAGCCAGAAATGAAGCGCGAGACCAAGAACATGGCAATGTCGACCGAGGCAGTCTCGAGTGTGCCGCCAACGACATTGATCACGCACGCAAGGTACATAGTCTGTTTCCGACCACGAGCCTCGCTCATCCAGCCGACGAGCAAGGCTCCAAACAGGGCGCCTGCACAGTACAGGCCGTTGATCGTGCCGGTGATTGCATTGTCATAACTCGAGTCGCTTCCGAGGTTGAATTTGGCTATGAACCCTGGCTGGCCGATGGTGTTGGATATCACGGAGAAGCCATATCCAAAGGTAAGACTTCCCAGCGTCAACACCAGGATTATGCGTAGGTTGTAGAGCGTGTATGTCCTTGCCATGGTGCTGTCGCGGGAAGAAACAAAGAATCTGGGGATGCTGTGGGGTTGGAGGATTATATGTCATATCGCTTTGCTGTACACGACTCGTGCAGTATGGGGATGAAAGTCCCCGTTGGTGGTGTACATAGCCTATGCACGGCTACAGCATGCTCAGACTCGGTTATAGGATGTCGATCACGACTGTCAAGCCCTAAGGGTTGGGATCGTGCGGGGTGTGCATGTGAGTGCTCTTGCCGGCTCACGGGCAGCAACAATGTTTCTGGCAGAAGCAGTGACGGACCCTTGATATATGCAAAGTCGAGGGCTTTTGCATGCTTATCTCTTGCCCAAGGGAACTGATAAACGGAGAGGTCATCCTTCTTGAGGATAATAGTGGTGGCTTAACATGCTCACCCCCAGCTTGCGCGACCCTGATCGAAGATCACCCGTCTACGCCCATCTCCCCAGTTTTGGAGGGAAAACCTTTAGCGCCTGGGCCTGGCGAGGTGAAAGGAATAGGAGCCACTGATGACGCGATATAAGGAGACGGTAATTCCCTTCCCGTTTCCTGCTTTAATAATCCCCCTTCCTCAACCCAGCTTCGAGCACGCCGCAACAACATCGACAGTTGACCCTCTCTATGCTCAATGACCCAGAGAATGAACGCGTCTTCAGTCCCTTTCAGTGTTTCGGTTTTTGAAGTGTTGACAAACCACTGATTCCTGCATTTATTATACCGACATGTGCAACGAATGAGGTCCAGAAGAATTGCTCCTGTCGTACGAGCACATTGCGAAATACCAACATTCGGTGTCGAATGGCCTCACTATGACTTTGACAGGGAGGTTGACCTTAGGAATTTAGATCGAAACCACATGGATATCAGGTGGGATGAGGCCTGCACGTGCAAAGTACACTCATGAGCACGTCAATGAGGACCTTAAGCAACTCCCATGCTATGATCTACATCGGCCAATGAAGTGCAAAGCAAGCGGACCTGAGCGTGGTTCTCTGCCTCTTTCAAACGAACCAGAAAGTGTCCTGCACGGCAGTGGAAGTGAGTCAACTGGGAGAGCATGATCTGATGCCTCCTCCGTCACTCACGTTGCCGCGGACAAAAGCTGCTGTACCTTCCCCTTCGCCTGTTTGAGACTGCTCAGACGGTCGGAAAGCTGTTGTTTTGCCCGCCACCCTGTACGCTTTATCATTCCAACGTGCTAGTACACAGTTGAAGGACGAAGAAAAGATGGCCGTGGAACAATACTCACTGCCTGGACTTAGGTACTCCCTAGATGTCAGTCTTCACATGTTGCTCTGCAGCGCAAAGTCGTCCTCATGGGCTTCTTGCATATAAACGACAAGTATTGATACCTCACAGGCTCTGGAACCTTCGATCTCTGGCCAGATTATGGACCTACATTACAATAAGCATCACCAGACCTACATCACCAATCTCAACAAGGCCCCGAAAGAGACTGCCGAAGCCCTTTCCAATGGCAACCTTGTCAAGCAACTCGAGTTGCAGTCAGCCATCAAGTTCAACGCTGGAGGCCACGTCAACCACACCCTCTTCTGGGAGAACCTTTCACCTAGGTAGACCGGAGACTCTGACACTGCGTCGGCCGCACCAAAGCTACATCAGGACATCGTGCAGAGGTGGGCAGCTTCGAAAACTTCCAAACAACCCTCGAGACCACCGCGCTCGCCATCCAGGGATCCGGATGGGTTTGGCTGGTCAAAAATGAGCTTGGTGGCCGACTCGAGATCACCACGTCCAAGGATCAAGATCTGCCCGTACCTGGAAATCTGGCCGTCCTTGGCATCGACATGTGGGAGCATGCATACTACTTGCAATACTGGAATAACAAGAAAGAATGCTTGAACAACATTTGGGCTGTGCTGAATTGGAACGCTGCTGGAAAGAGATACCTTGGCGACAGGAGGGCTATCTATGGTGACTTGGCAGGACTTGCCAGCCGACTGTGAAGTGCGTCGGGTGATGCAATTCGCGGACATTGAATAGGTAGCTATCACTCGGACTCTTGAGTCGCTAATTTCAGCCCGCATGCTCTCCACAGCAGACCGGGCACATGTGAAAAGAAGTTCTGGAGATGTCTGTCGGCAACTTCCGAGTCTGGGGGAGGGGCACATGGAGAGGGGAAAGCCACTGCACTTTTGAAAGACGGCCTTGAGACGGCCATATGTCCGTTTTCATCACCGGCACTGTGAGTAGAATTTATGATCGCTATGCTTTCAAGTACACCGCCATGTGCGGAGTTGGAGACAAACATCTCCTACTCAAGCGCGGTGACATGCTTCCCCCAAACTCTCCCACGTCTCCATCTCATTCAAAAGGAAGTGCCGTACCCCAATCTCCGGGGCCATAGGCTATGACTTTCCCTCCCACATGTTCATACTTCCTGCTTGCCCGTGATGACTTCATCAATGAACCAACCACACCAAGCCTTGTCGACACAACGAGGCAGACCTCGACAGCGGTCGGCTGTGGCCTGCACTTGGTGTCATTCCAGGCGCGTAAAGTGCAATGCTGCTGCCAACGGAACGCCTTGTTCCAACTGCGAGACTACAGGTCGTCACTGCATGCTGATTGAGAGCAGGCGAGGCAAGAAGCGGAAGCTGTCCACCTCTCCTTCCATAGCACGCGAGCACAGTTATATTGAGCCGCAAACCCCAGGTATAGTGGCGGCACATGGCAATGTCTATGATCCCTTGAGAGACATTCGAGCCTTTCCAAAGACTCCAGCAGATCGAGTCGTGCATAAAGACTCGACTTCCACCTCTGACCATGAAAAGCCTGATGCAGTGCAGGAACCACAAGAAACTCTCTACACTCAGGTCCTCGACAAAGCCACAAATGCGGGCGCGGATCCTGAACTCAGAGACGGTGTAGTGCATGTTATGTACATGGGAGAGACCTTCAACCTCACACACTTGTTACGGCAAACAAACCCTGAGTCTGTCCGCCCTACGCGCAAAAGGCACTATGTGGTGCGCTTCAATCCTCGAAGTCGAAAGGCTGACGCCGTCGAGGATGAATGTAGTAACGACGACATAGTCACGACTCTCCTACAACAGCAAGGCGCACTCACTGTCCCTGACGTCCATACTTGCTCTCAACTCTTCCGCACCTATTTTGAATTCGTCCATCCTCACTATCCCATCCTGGATCGGGCGGATTTTGCTTTTCAATATGCAGATCCGACCAATCCTCCTTCGTACCTGCTTTTGCAGTCTATCCTATTCATGGCCGCAGGTCACTGTGATTTATCCGTGCTTCTTGAGGCAGGATTCAATTCCAGATATCACGCCCGGAAGACCTTTTTCCAGCGGGCCAAAGCATTGTACGACAATGACCACGAGCCCAACAAGGTCACTATCGTTCAGTCCGTCTTTCTGATGAGTTTCTGGTGGAATGGACCTATGGATCAGAAGGACACTTGGCATTGGCTGGGTATTGCAATCAGCCTTGCCCTCACGCTAGGAATGCATCGCTCGACCCAGCACTCTGACATGAAGGCAAGGGATCGCTCATTGTGGAAGAAGATCTGGTGGACTCTCTTCACCGAAGAAAAGCATGCTGCCACGGCATTGGGCCGCCCAGTCCATATTCGAAGGGTCGATTGTGACGTCGAGCTCCTCGACCGTACCGACTTCGAAGAGCAGCCAGTGTCGAGGCCTGAAATCTTTGTAACCCCTGAGCGCGTGGATGGACTTTATGTCATGGCTCTGGTCGAGCTCTCCTTCATTGCTGAACGCATTGTTCATAGCTCTTTCACCGCGTTCAACTCAACAACATCCAACAACACGGAGATGTTCCATTCATGCTCCGAGGCCCTTGATCAGTGGAGGTCTCGACTCCCTCCCGAATTGCAAATGGAAAATAGCAGCACCTGTCTCTGGACAAGCATGCTGCACATTGCTCACTGGTCGGTCACCCCTACAAAATCGTTACAAACCCGACTAACAATGTGCATCAGCTGGTTCGAGATCGTTACTCACCGTTCCATCACTCCGCAAAATCTGTCACCACCGTCTATGAAGACTGCCCATACCCTAGCAATGGATGCTGCCAATCGTATGGTCAGGATAGTCGAAGGACTACTCTCCCAGTCGCACATTTTGCATTGTCCTATTCACATCGTTCCAGCTCTCTTTGCTGCCATGGGTATGCAAGCGGTCGATATTTGCTCTGGGCAATCAATACTGGAGCAGCTAGCCGCGGTCAAAGTCAGGCTTGCCATGATAGCTCTTCGCGAGCTTCAAAGTACCTGGCCTGTTAGCGGATGGATATTTCGTCTCTTTTCGAAGATTGTCCGGCGCATCAGAAATGGCGACGAATTTTGCCCAAACGAACCGGTCAATGCCTCGCCTATACAAGTGAAGCCGACGTCTATGGAAGAGGGAATGATGGAACAAGGTCAGTTCATGGTCCAGCCACCTTTGGTCTCCGACAAGCCTCAGTACCAGGATCCGAGCCTTACCCAACCTATGTACGCCGTGCCGAACAACATTGCCAGTCGCTATCTCTTCCCCGAGAACACAAATCTGGCGATGCCGTTGAGCTATCCAGCGGATTGGCAGTCAATCCTGGATGATGGAGCTTGGGGAGACTTTGAGTACGAGTTCTGACCTATTGGTGCGCTCACTTTTCAGATATATATTGCGCTGCAGTGCCATACTGGAAAGTCAAGGAATCAATCCGGATGAGCAGTTTGGCCTCATCAGGATGTTTCAGAGCAGTTTGTCGACATCATTCGCGGAAATACACCTCAAGTTCATTTTGGGATCTGGTTTGTTGTCCGTAAGGCTGCGCGAGGTTTAAACAGTTTGCCTAGTGTCACTCTGTATCGACTCAACTAGTGTCACTCTGTATCGACTCAATTAGGGTCACTTTTCGCCCCCAGCTTGGCCGACCTTGGGCACTAGGCCTAGGGCCTAGGGAGCCTCCACAGGTGCTTCGAACACCCACGGAAGGTGTGCCGAACGTGCAATAACCTGCTCAACCGCATTTCGACACCTCCATGTTCTTTGTACAGGAGTTGACCAGTTTTCAAGGTGCGTCGCATGCCGCACATCGCGAATCCGGACTCAGGTAGTCTGATTACCTGCCGGCAATCTTTGCAGCACCATTGCTGCCCAACCTGCTGCTTCCTTACCAACGCAACGAATCAAGCATGTCGTTACGTTGCCCGACTTCCTACAATGTCGTGTGGTTCCTGCCCAATGTCTGCGACTGGTCAAAACTGACAAGAATCTGCACCAATGTCAACGCTGCACCCAACACCACAATGTATTCTTTCCACACTCTGCCAATGGCGACATCGCCGGGCGCAGCCGGTGAGCAGTTGACGACAGCGCAAGAGTGATATTGGTCTACAGTACCAGCTTGTCACGCGGTGCATGTCCATCTTCGGGGGTGGTGCATGAGGACACTGCTCTGCGGCCCATTGCCAACACGAGGCACACCGCAAGGCAGATCTTTTGTGGACGGACCTGGGGCGAACAATGTAACGTCTTCGTTTGTGGTCTCCTCGATTCGTTTGTCTTTGTACAAGTCTCAATCTACTTGTGCGCTTTCCTGCCCTGAATACTAAACATCATTCTCGTTGCTAACGACATTTATCTTGGTCCGTGTGGTCAGATTCTGTCCAGTTGAGTCTGCCTGTCCATGGCAACAGGAAGAGAGAAGTGCGAAAGATTGTCAGGACTAAATGCAGATGAGCTCGGAAGCTTCGAATAACGCAAACAGCATGGCGTACTCCGACTCGCCAGTCACCGTTCGGCGAGATACGAGCCACGAATCCAGAAATGCATGGCCCACGAAAGCACATCGCTATGGTGCCTATGCCAACGACGACGAAGACACCTGTCAAGACTTCATGCGCGCCTTTGGAGAGTCTGACGATTGTGCCTCTCAAGGTGACCTGGTCAAGGAGTTCTGTTCCAGCGCGACACTTGAAGGACTCTTTGACGAACAAGTAGGGCAAACCTCGTCCATTCCACGCTCTACTGCTTGGTTGCTTGATAGCGGTGTCAAAGAGGGCAAAAGAAGGATCTTCGGGCCACTGACGGCAAATCAATTGTACAATGAGCTCTCGCGGTCTCATTGTAAGTCCCCTGAAGGCGGTTGTCCAGTCGATCAGGCAGTTGGCCCCGGACAAAATGAAGCGTCTGAGGAGTTTTTACCTACACCTCGTCCGACCTCAATACAATCTGGGGACACCTATGGATCAATAAGGCAAGATGGCCATGGGGGAAGTCCACAAGAGTGCTTGCAGGAGAACGAGAAGGTAGTGAGTGATTCACGAAAACGAATCATTTACATCTACGATCCTGATCAATGGAGTTTCCTCGCCCTAATTTGTAAGGCATCTTACACTCAGTCTTTCGGACTCCGTACCGCTCTTTACAGGCATCTGGCACCTGACCCTTATTTCGAAATGGCAGTGACATCTGAAGGTCACCGAATTTTCCAAATCGCATTTCATCTGCCATACTACGCTTTGAGAAGATCTCAGGAACCTCAACCCGACCATCGTCGAGGCAGAAACGGAGAAGTGCTAAGGCGGTGTATGAACCTCTCCTTGCTTGACATGGGGGATCATAGCCCCATTTTCGTCTACGAAGCGGACATCACTGTAGTAGTCACTGGTACCAGCGAACAGAGCTGGTCCGCATATTGCTTCTCCGACACCAGATTCGATGGTGAAACCGAGGACCGAGATCATGTGGAACCTCATAAGAACGTTCTCGAAAAAGAAGACCCTTGCTCTCCTCACGCAATTTGGAAAGATTGGACAGACGGCTGTTCGGACGATTATCTGCATGCAAGAGAGTACTTCCTGTGTATCTTAGGTCATCGTCTCGCCCTAGTATTCGGTGAATGAAATCTTGTGGTTGAGGTACTGCAACAGTCGATCTGCCGTCGGGAGCAGCATGAGGTACGTATACTTCGTTCATTTTCGTTGGCCCCGCACCCACGACACGGACATATGTCTCTCTGTCCCATTCCTTACCATGACTCTTTCTGTTCACTCCTAGCATAGGACAGAAGTCCGATCGTCCCTTGACCATCTAACGTTCCGTTGTCAACTTACCATATTCTCAGATCTTCCAACCTCTCACGCTCTCAAGTGATCGAAAGTATAGCGTTGAGGAGGAGGTATCGTGTTGGAGACTCCACGCATGGGTAGCAGTTGTCAAAGAAAAGGTTGAATCTTTTAGCGAGCGGCTATCCGCAACTGTTGAGGCATGCGAGGAGTTTTTGCTAGATTACGATAGGGACTTTCAGGAAGCCTCGACGAAATGCGACAAGTCGCATCTTGAGATTTTGAAAAGGACCAAAGAGCTCAAACGTCTGAAGAGGACACTCGAGTGTTTGGAAAAACGTCTTATCGCTTTTGAAAGAAAGGTAAGGGCTCCGGGACGAAGTCAGAATATTCTGTGCTCTTCACAGATATAGCCTGGCCATCAGCTGAAATATAAGCAGATTGAGCTCTGGATTCAACTGCAGGCGATCACACAAGCCAGCCTTACGGCCAAATCGGCGAGGAACAGCGCGCCTGTGACCTCGGTCTTCCTGGTAATCTCACCTAGCTACGCCGTTCGGAGACTAAGATGCTAAAAAGGTTGTGCAGCTTTTCTATTCGCCCTTAATTCTGGGAATTGGCATATTTTCTATTCCTGATGATCAAGTCAGACTCATACGAGAGATCTATCCGACCTCCGCCCCTAGTGTCATAAAGGCATTGATTATCTCGGCCGTGGTCTTTGGTATGTTGAGCGTGGCTGTGCCTCTGCTGAGTGAGCTGCAAATGGGAATGCAGAAGGTGTTTCAGACCGCGATGTCATTGTCATTCTATCCACTTGGTAAGCAGGCATACCGACTTCAAGTGCGACTTCTTGAGTGTTTGGATTCCTCGAGGATCGATTCTATTCCACCGCTTTTGGCCAGTCAACGGCGTAAGACATACAGGAACATGGAGAACAGTGCGGACTGGGTGGCAGAGGAGAAAGGTCTGGCCTTCACACCGTACGATCAAGGGGGCCACGGTGATGGTGAAATTGGCCGACTAATCCAGCCTTCGCATTCTACACTGAGCGAGAAAGATGGATCGGTGGAAGAAGAAGCTGCACATGGCTGTTCTGAAGACTCTGAGGTCCTCAGGCACGAGCCTTCCACTTATGACCACTTAAAAATTTACTTCGAACGACTTAGTGGTCAGCAGCTTGTCTGGTGGCCGTTCACAGAGCCTGATCGACCTATTGCGGATGGAATGCGTCGAGTTGCGTCTCAGTGTGTAAGCAATCGCCACGTGCTAAGGACCGAACAAAAGTCAAATTGCTGATGACTTTGACCAGGCTTGCGGCATAATGCTTCCGTATGATATACCCAGATACCCACACAGCATCCAGAGCTCTACACCGAGAGCTTGGGGTACAAGTCCGTTTGGGCGCGCGGATGCTTCTCGATCGAGTCTCCCGAATGGCAGTCCCAGAGCTCATGGACAGAATACCGGCCAAACACGTTCTGGCTCAAATCAAACAGATCAACTACCACGAGAATTGACCGACTTCAGGTCCAGAACAGCGAGACCGAGCCCCCAAGCCAGTGGTGAGTTCATTGCTTTTTGTATCGGTCATCGTGAAGACAACGCCGAACTCGTCCAGCTAAATGCGCTCGACCACAACGACCACACCTTAGTCGTCACAATGTTGGCTGAGTACACGAAAATCATGGGCTGGTTCTACCTTTTTTGGACCATGTCAACCTGTGAGAGTGTGCTATTCAGAGATGTACGAGTACAAGCCAGATGCCATTCATCCCACATACTGACCCAAATGGACGGTTGATAGATCCCAATGTTGTATCAAAACTCGAGGCAAGGGCCAGCCACTATATCCAATGTCACAATGGCGCCAAATAGCCCTGGTCTCGATGCCAGGAATGGTACCCGTGCTGCTCGCCGTCCACCTGCAAGAGGTTGCTGAGGTCAATTCCAAAAAGATTGCAGGCGCGCGTTGAGCCCGGACCAAACTCTGTCGGATACGGCATGCAAGCCGTCACTCGAATAGCTGTCAGCAAAATCATCGCTGTTTTCGTGGTCTGGCACACTGGCCCCTTCTGCTTTGCGATATACTGGTTGAAGCATCACCCGGGGGACTTGCAAAATGCGACTATCCTGCTCTCTCTCGTTGGAGTGCTCTTTGCGGTGTACGTGGACATCATGTTCAGACTGCGGAGATGAATTCGAATGGGTCAGGACTTTATCTGCCATGGCTCTGTGGGGAACTCATTGGGACGGGGCGTGATTTGCATATTTTGGGTTATAATTTCATTTCGGAAGCACATTGACTATAGTTTTACTGAAGGAGAATGATTGGGAAATGCTCGAAGGACCACAAGGGTCAAGCTGTGACATCCAACATCAGAAAGTGAATAGGGGTAAGGTCTGCAGATCCAGGACCCTCGCTAATATACTGGAGCCTTGCCCAAAATATGGGCCAGACCCTCTGGCCTCGTTGCTTCTTCCGCAAACCACGTATCAACGTATTGTGGCCAAGACTACTCTCGTTCCCGGTGTGATGCAGCGTTTGCGATTCACCAATTCGATGTTTCGCTTTTATAGGTGTTTCGTCCATCCACTTCGCGGTTGATTGAATGCGACGCGGGCGAAATCCAAACATCCGTGCATCAAGTGCCTCGTTGTACCATCTCGGCTTGGCGCCTATGAGCTTTATTCGAGGCTGGCATAAGATCCAAATCGTGCGACTCTGCCGTGTCCGACGGGACTCCAATTCATAGGGTATATGCCAAGATTGGGTTTGCTTAACGACGACAGGTACCTTTGCTGAAAGTTTGTCCATGTATCCAGTATTGATGCAGACCACCGATGAGTGCCCAATGTTGGCTGAATCGAGCCGTGCTGGTATTGTCGAGTGCGAAGGCGTTATGCGTTTGACGTCTCTTTGAGCGAGGAGTACAAATTGCTGAATGCTATCGAGGTATATCGAGGGCCGTCCATGAAAGACGGCGTCTGTCGAGCGCTGAACGCAATGATGCGGCAAGTCAAAAACTGTTCATCCTTCATGTGTCATAACTTCATATTCAATCCTTTCGAATCGGCAAGATACTCTTTTCCGGAGAGTTCAGCTCGACTGAGGTCTTCGCAGTCATTAGTCCTTCGAGTTTGTTGGTGATTTTTCCAAAGAGCGGTTCCAATTTCATGTTCCAGACATGGCTTGCACCGGCGATGCACAATGCCAGAACGAGCGTAGCCAGCGTGCAATGCATAAACCCCGGAACAGGATATCGCTCGATACGATATTCGGCTCCATTTTCGGCTCTCCGACCGAATGGCGTCATTGGTTGGCCGAGTTGCAGGATCCATGCGAACACAGTGCGCAACAGCATGCCATGAAGCAGGTAGATGGCAAAGCTGACCTCACCAAGCCAGACGAGGGGTCGTCTGCTGAGTACCCAACGCGCATGCGGAGAAATGATGATACCAACCATCAGCAATATACCGCCAAGTGAGCCGTACATGCGATCCAAGTTTCCGTTTACGATTTCCGGCAGGAAGTGGACGGCGCTCTCGTAAAGCCAGTTGGACCAGCCAGCTGACTCGGCGTACGAACCTGGATATGACATGAGGAAAAGAGATAGTGGGATCAATAGTGGCGAAAGATAGGGTGACAGATCGGCCGCGGTCCTAGGGAGGGTTGACAGACTCAGCTCGGCGAGCATGATGCCAGCAAAGCAACATAAACCGGTCCAGGCTGAAAAAGATTAGCCAAATGTCTCCACGATCAAACGGGGGGACTCACGATCACCAATCACCCAGCTCCAATTCAAACTCCAGATCGAAAGGACCGCCAGTGTCACAGTTCGCCAGAGGGTAGTCATCGAGGTGACGAGCAGCAGTACACTGATGATCATGACACTTCCTTGCAGAAGGTAGACCAAAGCCCATTGCGGCTGATCATATTGGTTCTCAACTCCAAACATCCAAGTCGAGGTCAACCCGTCCAGGAGATCTGCAAAGGCTTGTAGCCAGCTCGAACTCGGTGAAGGGGTATTCTCATTCAACCAGTAGGCGTCGCTGAGACTGGCCCTCTCGTATAATCCGATGTTGCATATGAACCAACTGATGATGGTGGCGGCGGTGGCCGGAAGCACGAGCCGGAAGATTCGACTGAACGACGATGATGCGAGTTTGCTGTGAGCTTCTTCAGCCTGACCAGATCGAGTGAGTTTGAGAGGTTTCAAGGCGTTGACGAAGCCCATCACAATGAAAAATATTGCCACCCATGAATGTCCGCTGGCAACGAGGCGAAAAACCGGCCATTGGAGGAGCGACGGAGAAGTACTGCCGGGGGCGCAACATGGTGGAATGAGATTCCTGGCATAGCAGAGAACGAGGTGTGATGAGACGACGAGCACAGCGGCGATTCCTTTGAGGCCCTGTTTTGCAATCAGTCAAGTTGATGAATTTGTTTTCTGTGGCAAAATGCGTACATGAACCCAGGTGGTATCTTTCAGAGCCTGCTCTTTGGCCTCGGGCGATAGTCGAAAGTGTTTCGTCCGTCTCAGAGCCTCTTTGACTGTATCCATGACCGCCTCATAACTCGGTCGAGTTGCAGAAAAGGTAGACAAAGACGAGAAGATATCCTAGAAGAATGTCATCAAAGCATACGACGCTTGAACGTTTGCGGGCGGCCTGGGATGGCTTTGTGTGTGTTGGAGGTGCCGACCAGTGACCACCCCTGTCAACTCCAGTGCGTTTCACCCTAGAGTCAGTTTTGCATCTAAAAAGAGGATACGGTGACGGCGGCAGCGAAGATCCTCTGGAGCCTGTTGGAGCCTCTGGAGTCTCTGGGATCCGGAAATTCTTCAAGGCACCCGCTTACTGGTGATCATCAAACCGTGACTGGCAGCCCTGGATTCGCCTCGGTTGGTTCACGAGAAACAAGCCTCCTGCTTGTTTAGGCGGACGCCCGGGTATAAGCCACAGACTGGGATTGCGAAACGGGCAAATCCACTCATCCACGCGAGGGAACAAGAGTCTTGATTCAAGATCGGGTTGAAAAGCAAGGGCGAGTAAACATTGTGATGACATGTCTTGCCGCAGATCCGGGTTATGTGGGAAGTGACACGTCAACATAGGTACGAATATATTCGGGAAGGAAGTTGCCGCCTTCACATGTCACATCTCAGGTGCCCATCACGCTGTCAGCTCCAGAAGGCAAGGACTGTCCGATGTCTGATCTGCCTGTCATTGCCGGAATGTGAGACGGATCGACCTGAAGGCGCCACCTAAAATAAGACCCTGACCACGCGGGAAAATACGAGGTCAAGATTAAGAGGTGGTGAGCCCCTGAGCCCCTGATGGGTTAAGACTTTCCTAGCCCGGAGTGAAAACTCTTAATAGAACGCCATTTCAACCGTCTATGAAATGATCAATCATGGTGATGATAATATTGGTATATTGTGTAACCAGGACAGACAGAAATACCATCTTGCTCGACATATTATATCCTACGACAATGCTTACTATACGCAGGCCAACCTTTTTTGCAACAGAAAAATCACGACTGGCAATATCGTACATCATAGCATCTCCTTACCTAAATGCAACTTTCAGCTTTGATTTCCCCTTGTTCTCATGTAAAAATTGCCTTTTCGAAAACAGCCACATCTCCACCTGCAACCCTCACCGCTTTCAATGCAGCTTCACCAAGTTTCTTTCTCTTTTCCTTTGCCTCCATCTCTCTCCGGGCTCGGGTCTTGGAACTCCCACTCGGCGCCACGTCGTTCATTAACTTTGCCGAGTCTGCAGGGGTGAAATTGACAAAGTCAACCACACCGGTAGGTGTCTTGGGCGCCTTGGGAGTGCGAGGAGGTCTCGAGGAGGACCTGGCTCGAGGTGATGGGAGCGGTTCCTGTATGGAGAGATCCTTGATAGGGCCCGACTTATGGATCGACTTCCTCCGGCTGTGCGTGTAGTCTGTCACGGTCCTTGTTGGCGACCTTCGTGGATTGCGACGAGGGCTCACGTTCGTCGGCAACATAGGGGGAGAAGTCGATCGCGATGGTGACCGTCGTTGTCTTCGTGGTGAGGTGAAAGGTGAGTTATCGGTAAAGACGTATGATGGTGGTGGGGGAAGAGGGACGTATGAGGTCATGGGATCTGGCATTGCAGACATCGGTGGAGGGTACGGCACTGCCATCCCAACAGTGACCGGCATCTGTTGGACATATGATTGTGGTTCACCGAAGATGGCGTGGCCGATTTGCTCCAGTTCCGAATATTGGATGCCGAGCCCCGTCAATGCCGAACTTGGGGGATGCTGCAGAATCGGATGAGGGATGCGCTGAGGAGTAGGAGCCGCCAAGGCAGGATATGTCTCTTCGGGTTCCAATGCTGGGAGTGGAGGATGTGCAGCCAATGTGACTGGAGAAAACAATAGTTGTGATTGCAGACTGCTGCTGGTGTTGGACGTTTGCGATGTTGCGTCCTGGGAATGATGTGAGCTTCCCGATGACGGTACACTGCCAGTGCCAGGCGAAGGTCTTGACAATAATCCATGGGTCCCGACACGATGATCCTGAGATGCCTTATTGTAGGTAATCAGATTCTCGTGGTGATCAGGGCCTCGATCTTCGAACAGAAAAGGATCGATCACAGGCGAGTAGACTTTGTGTTCGTGATGCGCATTTTCGGCTCTGTGCTGCGGCACAGCAATGCCTTGATTTTCAGCTACTATCGCCGAGTTCATTTCGACGGCCGACGTCCCTTCCTGGTTATGCAGTCTCAGAGCAGAGGGTGAGTGCAATGGCGGGTCATACGGTAGGCGGAGATGGAAATTCTGGAAGTCCTGCTGCCATGTGCTTGTGTCGCCATGCCCGCGTCTGGGCGAGATAGGTAATTGTGCATACATTGGACTGGGTGATAGGGTGGCTTCGCGTGAGAAGGGAGGATACACATGTTGCGTTGGGTCATATGAGGCGACGTTCGGTGAGGTGGCAAACCGCTTTGTTCGACTCGGCGAGGTCAGGGCTGCGCTGGCCACTGGCTGGCGGTAGTGACTGACAGCATCCATTGTCTGAATGGGTGCTGGTCGCTTTGTCTCTAACCTGCGTGTCTTTGCCACCATTAAATCTGGATTTTGTTGTTCTTGCTTCAAGCACCATATTCCCTGCCGCCAGGGCTGAGCTGGTAAGTCATGATCGTTTGAGGGTGCTGTCGCCGTTGAAGGTATGTAGTGGTCTTCGCTGTAAGTGTGCTTGCCGAGAAAGTCCTCGTACTGGTTGGTTTGGTCCTTGTTTTCAACGTCGCTGCTATCAGTACGAAACATGTCTTCGTTGAAGAACTCATCGAATGTGTTGCTTTCATCGATCACTGCACCATAAAGCGGGTTGAATGCCTTGTCGGCCGGTCGAAACATACCATCGGGCGAGTCTGCGAGAGCCATGGTCGGAACCGTTGCATCATTGCACCTCAACAAAGATGCGCTTGGGAGATGAAGCATTGAGAGCATTGGACAAATGTATCGAAAACGAGGCATGTAAACAATCATCTAAGGGTGACCGGGAAACATGTCATAGAGTTCCAGAAATCAACAGGAATGTGGTGTAGACGAGAATTCCCAACCCATCTGGTCCAAGCTCTGGTAGTTCAACAAAGCCATCAGTCAACATCAGGTTAGAAGTCATAGCACGCTGCAGCCTTGTTTACCAGAGGTCTCCTGCAGCTCAAAAGTGTGCTTCCATGGGGGTTGTGTCGAATTGCATTGTTGACGTGAAGGCAAACTTCGACTTTGAATGTGCTGATTGTTTCGGCAGCATAAGTTTGATGACCAGGGGAGCGTATGCTTGCTGTATGGCCAGAAACTGCGAAGGAAAAGAAAAGATGCCATAACATAATGGAGGAAAGCAGCCTTGAGCTGTTAAACTTACCGCTATATAGTCTCTTCAGACACAAGGACTTCCTTCTGGTAATTGCATCGATGCTGGCAGTTCAATTGACAAGAAATCGCTCCAATTCAGGTCAACAGCATGGCCTCATACAAACCTTTCGAAATACTGGGCGCTATATCCCCTCCGGCGAAAGGTGTTGCGGTATGCAGTGCTCCAGAAGGTTTGATCAACTCAAGCGCATTCTCCGACAAAGACAAGCAAGAGTACATTGTTCGAGCACAAAAGTTGAACATCCTTGTGGAGCAGCTGACAATAAGGAATGGAGGACCCTCAAAGAACTCGTTCAAGGTGCGACGATAAATATTGCGGACGATAAAAAGATCATCGAAGCCAGAAGCTGACAGTGGTACACATCAGGTCTTGCATACCAGTTTCGACGCTAATATGTGTTACGTCGAAGACGTGTACCACATTCGCTGCAATCATTGGGCAGACGAACCTCGCGTCTACCATTCTTGCGCTGCGGCGAACAGCTCCGGATCTCAAGAGCAATGCTTCAACAACAAGAAGTGTGGATCGGTGCAGGCGGATTCCTATTGTCAGAAGTGCAGAATTCACGCCGATATGTCCGCCAACAAAGACAACACAGGTGCAAGATTCAGGAGTATCTGCAGAAGCGGTCATACATTCTGGAAATCAAAGATAGAGAACTGTCGAAAGCAGCTTGTGAATCATCCTCGGTATGATATGTCTCATGCTTTCATTTTGTGACGACTGTTGACTGATCATACACCCGGTATCCAGGTGGAGTATGTTGAGAAGAAAAGGTGGCGGATATTGTGGCCGCCATGCTGTGGCAATCGATACCTGGTGGCGATGAGGACCAGCGTCATCTACTAGTCGATTTTGCGGGGAGGCTGGGGTCTGTGTCCGATATCGCTGCTGTCAAGGCAACCATCAATGTCCGACTGAACAAGCGGTGTATGCTGTCGCTTGTGACAACAATCATGTAGCGAAGAGTGACGAGAGATACGAGTAATCGCTGTGGGAGGATAGGGATCAGAATCCGGGTACAACTCCGTGGACCTGAGAAGTTGATATCATGGTTAGAGACCTCTGAGAGTTCCTCGGAAAGACAAACCCGGCTGATTAATAGTGGTCACGTGGCCAGTTGAATTGAGGACAGCATCTCCTCGCCTGTCTCTTGAGGCATTTCCAGGCAGACAGAAATTTCCTTTGATCGGTGAATGATTTGATATTGAATGGAAATGAAAATGAAAATACTTGCTAGACTTAGTGAATGATCATGGCTGCCTTTTTTTTTCGGGTTCCCAGGCGACAGAATTAAAACTTCACATATGGCTCATTTGCATCACTGAACCAGAAGATTCCATTAGAAGCGGGAAGTCGCAATCAGACACTCAGACCAGACTAGACTGGACTAGTGGATTGGCCAATTATTAGTCACCGTCACTGCCTCGCCTCCTGCCTCAGCTTGCGTCCGCGTGCCCTTTATAAGCCACTCTCTTCCATCATCCCAACCCATTCCTCCTTCTTATCACTACCACTACTCCACCACATTCAGAGATCCTCAACAGTCTCGCTTTTCTACCATTTCATCCACTTACAACACCAACAACACATCCCTTGACGACCGCAATCATGCAAATCTTCGTCAAGACTCGTAAGTTGACCCCGCGCTTATCTTCCCCGCCACCTGCGCCTGATGCTAACATCATCTCACAGTCACCGGAAAGACCATCACCCTTGAGGTCGAATCCAGCGATACTATTGACAACGTTAAATCCAAGATCCAGGATAAGGAAGGAATTCCTCCTGATCAACAGCGCCTTATCTTCGCCGGAAAGCAACTCGAAGATGGCCGCACCCTGAGCGATTACAACATCCAAAAGGAGTCTACTTTACACTTGGTCCTTCGTCTTCGTGGAGGTATGCAGATCTTTGTCAAGACTCTTACGGGCAAGACCATCACCTTGGAGGTTGAGTCCAGCGACACTATCGACAATGTCAAGTCCAAGATTCAGGACAAGGAAGGCATTCCCCCTGACCAACAACGTCTTATTTTCGCCGGCAAGCAACTTGAAGACGGTCGAACCCTCAGCGACTACAACATTCAGAAAGAATCCACCCTCCATCTTGTTCTCCGTCTCCGTGGTGGTATGCAGATCTTTGTCAAAACCCTTACGGGCAAGACCATCACACTCGAAGTGGAATCATCAGACACCATTGACAATGTTAAGTCAAAGATTCAAGACAAGGAGGGTATCCCCCCTGATCAACAACGACTGATCTTCGCCGGCAAGCAGTTGGAAGACGGAAGAACACTCTCAGATTACAACATTCAGAAGGAATCCACCCTACACTTGGTACTGAGACTGCGAGGTGGTATGCAAATCTTCGTCAAGACCTTGACTGGCAAGACGATTACGCTGGAGGTCGAGTCATCCGATACCATCGACAACGTCAAATCAAAGATCCAAGACAAGGAGGGAATCCCGCCTGACCAACAGAGATTGATCTTTGCTGGAAAGCAGTTGGAGGATGGTCGCACTCTATCTGACTACAACATCCAGAAGGAGAGCACTCTGCATTTGGTGCTGAGACTCCGTGGTGGCCAGTAAGCAACTAATATCATATCGATGGCGACGACTACGAATCCTGGTGTTTTCGGTGGCGGATGAATGGGTTTTATGACGACACGGCTCCTCTTTTTGTTAGGAATGCATGAATGACAACGGAACGGCTGGCAGCAACTTGCCGAGCTCCGAGAAGTAGAATTATCACAATACCAATTGCTTCTCATCAGACATTTGTCTCTTGTAGATCTTCAGTTTTCGCCTTAGACATCGCGCGGTGAGAATAATGCTGCCTTGCCATGCAGAAGCAGGCGCCCAAAATCGTTTGACGGCACCTGCCAATGCCAGTCTTGCCACTTACTGATACATGGGTGCGAGTATCTTGACTGCGCACCTTTATTCTTCGTCTCATTATTCTCTTGTTTTCATTTTTCTCTTTCATCTCTTACCGATACGTGAATATCCGCCATGGTGATGCCGTAGCGAAATGCCTGATTACTTCTTCCACGTTGCTGTTGAACTCTTCCCAGATACCCAGTCCACTGCGCAGTCAAACGATTATCACAAACCGCCGAATCTCAGCCAGTTTTTCAAGGCTTTGAGACCATTTACGCATTCCTCAATACGACGACGCTCAAGAGATCATACGACGCATCAAATCAAAGTCGATCCTTCGAATCGCAATCAATCACTATTCCCTGACAGACCGGGTCCAGTAAACCCAGACGTCTCTCATTCTGACCCAAAAGATCACCGCCTAGACAATATCCTACTTCAGGCAACAGACATGGTATTACAGACAGAGGGAAAGGAGCCGCCACCAGTAAAAGACAATATTATAGAGAAAGGAATTGGAAGCGCATTTTCTGGACATCATCTTAAAGGGCGATACGAACCGTTGGAAGGCCAGAACACTGTCGAGGGATGGGGAATAGTGCATCTGTACAGGGACTCTGAGGAGACATCGGGACTGTACAAGGACTCGGCATATAGGTCCAGCGACCTCTGGAGCGATGGACTGCGTAATGCTCCTTCTGGGAAGCCTCACCCGCCTCCGAAAGACGAAGAATGCACGAGTCTGTGTATCCTGGCAGTACCGTCCTACATGACTCCATCAGACTTTCTTTCCTGGGTCGGCGAGGATACGCGGAGTGAGGTCAGCCATTTCAGGATGGTGCGCACGTCCAGAGCGAACAGATACATGGTCTTGATGAAGTTCAAGCATGGCAAAAAGGCAAGAGAATGGCAACACGAATGGAATGGGAAAGTCTTCAACAGCATGGAGCCAGAGACATGTCACGTTGTCTTCCTCAAGTCGGTCGAGCTGATCCAGACTTCGACTGTGGAGGAGAGCAATGGACTGAGCTCACCAACGACGAGTTACCCTCGTATGTCGAATGACCCTTTCATACCTGCCGCCACGACCACGAAACCCCTAGCACCTCGGACACCGTCACTGGTCGAACTACCTACCTGTCCCGTCTGCCTGGAACGAATGGATGAAACTACCGGACTCCTGACCATACCCTGTCAGCACGTTTTTCATTGCACGTGCCTGGAAAAATGGTCCGGTGGAGGCTGTCCTGTGTGTCGATATACGCATGACGACTTCTCCTCCCGCCTCGGCTCGTCCAAATTCAAAAGCAAGACTCCTGGCGAGTATGAAGTGTACGACGGACCACTGGAATGTGAGGTGTGCCATGTTGAGACCAGTCTCTGGCAGTGTCTGATTTGTGGTAAAGTGGGCTGTGGCAGATACGAAGGCAAACATGCCTACTCACACTTTGAAGAGAGTGGACACACGTTCAGTATGGACCTTGAAAGCAAGCGTGTCTGGGACTATGCCGGCGATGCATACGTACATCGCATCATTCAAGATGCTGCAAAACCTGGCGAGAAACTGGTCGAACTGCCTGGTAGGAGACGCGAGCCAACAGCTCTGGAGGGAGCAGAAGATATTGAAGTCGCCAAAATGGACAATATTGCCCTCGAATATACGCATCTACTGACGAGTCAACTTGAAAGTCAGCGTGTGTATTTTGAGGAAGTGGTTGAAAGAGCTGTGGACAAAGCTTCTGAAGCAAACAAGAAAGCGGAACGTGCGATGGAAGAATGCCATGGAGCATTGCAGAGACTACACAACCTGGAAAGCGAGCATGATGTCGTCGCCAAAGGTAAAGTTCCCGAACTGGAAAAGCAGAACACTCGTTTCCAGACTCGCAGCGCCAAATTCGAAGAGATGGCTCGGACGTTCAATCAGAAATATCAGGAAGAGAAATCTTTGACAGCCAGTCTCATGGAGCGGGTCAAATTTCTGGAGGAGACACAATTGAAACAATTACATGATACTATCCGACGACTCGAAGAAGACAACGCCACGAAAGACTTGTTGATGGAGGGACTAAGAGACGAGCATCGTGATGCCATGATGCAGATTTCGGCGCAGAGGAAATTACAGGAGATGGTCGCGAATGGAGAATTGGAGCAGGAAGACCTCGAAGGTGCCGTCATCGAAGCCGGTCCAGCGAAGAAAGTTCCTATCAGACATGGTCGGAGAGTGGGAACTGGCGCAACTCGATCGGCTGCTCCTCTGCCAGCGACATCTGGGTCGTCCGCTTCTGCCGAGAGACATGACGATGTACAGGCTGCGTATAGCGAGATCTTCGGCAGCAGTTCGCGCGGTGACGGCTGGGACGAGCAGAAGGCCAGGAGTATCATGGACGAGTGTAAACAGAAGTTGCTTGGTGAGGGACTGTTGGTCCCAGCTGCTCGTGCTGAAAGCGAGGATAGTGATGCTGAACTCGATGGGGAGAAGATCAAGGCGGCAGGGCCCAGCAAGAAGCGCAAGGGGAAGAGGAAGGCGAAGAAATGAGTTCTCGAAACGGGAGTGTGGAGAGGACTGATTGGACTGTTTCAGTGATACCCACCTATAGCGACGGCGTTGGATATGTAGCGAGCCTCACAGTTGTAGTGGTACAAATGAATTACTGCTTCATTATTCTAGTTCTTGGTGTGTCATTATATGTTCTACTGATTTGCTATTATCTGTTCTACTCGTCTCATTGTAGCGACACGAGCGACGCTGAACAATGGTACAGAATGTAGACCTTTTGACATGACTTGTTGATACATTTTGGACAAATTCGGACCGTGCTGCTGATGTACACAGATCTGAGATCTGGTCAGGCATACCGTGCCAGGGAACATGCATACAGACGAGCGAAATGGCTGACGATCTGGGGATCGAGCTTTGCAGCACGGTAGACACCGCGTGCTTGCATGGGCATGACCTTGGCCTTTGACGAAGCGTTCTGGGACGAAGTCCACGGCACTGGCTCCAATAGCTGTGGCGAGGTCCGGGTATCTGGCCAGCCTCCCACTTGCAAATTGATCGCGTGGCTTGCACGTTGCGGATGCTGAGTCTTTGCTGCAGGCGCTGCTGCTGCCCTTACTTGGACAGAAGCCTCTAGGAGCGCGTGACATGTACCTGTGCCCGCCTCCACGCCACTTGCTCCGGCTCTTACATCGGACTTGCAAAGTTTGTCCTTTCAGGCGATTCTGTATATCCCACTTCTTCAATCAAGTTTCTGGATGCCGAAGAAGTAGTTGCCCAAGTCCTCACTGTTGTTCACGGCTTTCCAGCCCAATGCAGGAACGTAGATCACGCCCTGGGTCTTGAAGTCACTCCACGTGCCCGGTGCACGGGTCTCAAAGTAACTCCTCAACTCAGACGGGTTGATGTACTTGTTCCAATCGTGCGTGCCGGCGGGCACAACACCGATTATGGGGGCCTCGGCGATGAGTTTAGTCGTCAGATACGAGATCGGCGAGCGGGCGATTGTAGACCCAATGATCCAGCCGCCGGGCTTGAGGTGGGGGATTGCGAGGTCTATAAAGGAGGATGGCGAGTCGATGTGCTCGAGGACTTCGAAGACAGTGATGATATCGACTTTTTGGTCATCGCTGGCTGGGATGGGGAGATCTTCAATTGCGCAATTCAGGTAGCGCAATTTCGGGGCGGAGAGGGCAGGGTCGGTGCGTTGGTTCGACTTTGCGACTTCGATGACTTGTTCGGTAGGGTCGATTGCTGTGACGGTCGACGTGCTGGGGAGCCGGGCCGCGGAGGAGGCGAAGATGCCACCACCGCAGCCTATGTCGAGAAAGGAGTATGATTGCGTGGTTGAGGACGATGAGCTGAGGCACGTTTGAATGAAGTCATGGCGGAGGGGGTTCATGAGGTGTAAGAGCCTCGAGGGGCCGTGAGGATCCCACCATGTTGAGGCTAGGCGGGAGAAGTGTGAGACTTCGGAGGGAGAGACGGACGAGGACTGGGACGCGGAGGTGGGAGTTGTTGAGTGGTGTCTGTGCTGTAAGGCTGGTCCAGCGGGTGTGATGGTATGTCTTGACAGGATTCGACTTGCTCGACAAGATGATACGGGCAGTCGACGTACGGTTTGCACGGCAGGCTGCCGAAGAGTACCTGCTACCATTGGTCTGCGGGGACCTGTTGAGAGTGGGCTACAACAGGCGAGGATGCGGTTGGCACGCGACCGGGGCTATAGACAGACTCTCAACATCACCTCATGGGACACAGGCTCCAGGAAATGTTTATCGACAGGTATTCGCCCGTTGGCATTGGCAGGCGGAACGACGCGGTTTGTGAGAGAAATGAACATCTAGATATGACGCACCAGACGCGGCGGGATCTTCAGATGACCTTGTAACGCGGATTGTTAGGACACGGGGCCAAATTCGAATATTTTTCAACATCAATTTGTATGGCGACTGATTTATGTTGAGGGTTTTCAAAGCCACAACTACACTACCACTCTTACGCTTATTGGCACTATAATATACTGAATGAGACGATTCGATCGGTATATATATTGTCTATATATTAAGTTAATGTAGGCGTGGTACGCCTCGAAAGTAGTTATCAAAAGTACATTACATACGTATATGATTTTCCGGATGTCACGTATTCGGCTAACTTACTATATTAAGAGTCCGATAGGCGTGAGGACTACCCCCGCACGAAATTATATAGGCATCACGTTAGGCGTGGACGGGCACCCTAATAGGTACGCCTAATCTCATCGATATTGCGCTGATATGCTCCGCCGTATGCTGCGCCGTATGATCCGCCGTATGATCTGCCGTATGCTCCGCCGTATACTCTGCCGTTGTGAATGACGCCTGTCGTCGTCAAGACATGTTATTACCGGTTCAACCTCGGCAACTCTTCCATTTGGCCCCGTGTCCTACGAGTAACAATCCGCGTTAAACTTGGCGTTTTTCTTATGTTTGTCTGGGGCGGCATACCATGAGGTATCGACACCGAGGGCACCACGGCCTTCTTTCAACGTCAAGGATATGTCAGCTTGTGGAGTACTCAACATAATTCGACATGTCCGGCCTTAATAGCAGGAGAAATTACCACGACATACCAAGGCTACCGAGTTTCCCCTTTCAATGCCACACTGTTGCTAGGTCGTCTTTAGTGGGGAGCCGCAAGTATGCTTTTCGTGGCGCAATGGCTTACTTGTAAGCCATGAACTCAGATGAAGACAACTTGGGACATACGGACGTTTCTTTTGGAACAGACTCGTTGGAAGCATGGAGATGGTAAGTGTAGGGATGTTCACGGACGAACGATGGTCCGCGAGTACTGTCTGATACTACGGACGTAGCTGTCTTGAAGTCTAATGGTCTTGAGCAATCATCTCCCTTTGCAGCACATCCGCCGATACCCGGAAACGAGTACGTTCCATTTCAATGGGGTATTATAAGAAGTTGCCTACCCTCCATCATGCAAGGTAAGTAAAGCACACGGAGCATTCAACGTCTCCACAACGAACGGGTCCATCACTATCAGTACACATCATGTCCTCCCTTTCCAACTTCCTCAAAGGCATCTCCCTCTTCTCCATTTGCACAGGGACAGCCGATGTCCTCCTCGGCGCATCAAGCGTGTACAACTTCTCCGGCCACCCTTTCCCGGTGAATTCGCCTGCTGCGGTGTTCATTGATAGTCAACTTCGTTTTCTCGGCGGTATGTGGGCGGGCTGGGGCGTCATGATGTGGTGGGCGAGCAACGACCTCCGATCACGACGTACACCGCTGGCTCTGTTGGGCGGGATCATGGCATTTTCTGGCACAGGACGAGTGATCTCGGGTCTGAAACATGGTTTCGGTTCCAAGGTGGTGGCCGCGGCAGCAGCGGTTGAGCTGTTAGTACCGGCCGCTATTTGGTTATTTAGTGACTGGCAGTAATCGGGACCAGGTCTCGATATGGGTCGCATGAGAGCTGGTACCTAGTTACTTCGACACCGACACCGAGCCCGCCTCGGTCCTCATCCAACTGCAGCGGTCTTTGACACCGCTTACCTACCCACCTGCTCACCTTACACTCTCTTGCCTGTTTCCATGATGGCTACTGCTCCCTCGCCAAATCAGATTGCCGTGCTGGTGTGCGTGTGAATAGCCTGATCGTGCATCTCGAAGCGCGTCGGCCGTTTCTGTTCTTGCGACTTCCTTCTCCAATCGTCCCAAGTCTCCCTCCACCTTCTACTAAGACGCCGCCATGGATACTCACCAAACGGGGAGATGCTAGCCCGAGGAGATTGTATCTAAGTGCGTGTACCCACGAAAACAACATAGACCGCTGCGTAAGCGGCCACAGCTCCCATGATATTTTCTGGCTGCATTTCTGTGAAGAACGCTAGCCCTGCGGCGAAAAGAATCGTAGCTGTACTGGCAACTATTAGGGCTACAGTCAAGCCTCTAATCAAGACCATCATCAGCATTGGTAGGATAAGTGCCAGTCCGCCTAGTATTCCGGTCGCGAGTGACCTGACAAACAGACGTCGCCTGGCGGCTTCGTTGGTGGCTCCTCGCGCTGTGCCCGGTAATATATTCACGCCCTTCTGCACTCGAGCCCGCAACACTCTTTCATAGCAATTCTACCAAAATCCAAGGCATGAGCGTGATGCGTGGCAACCCGAGACACGAGTCGATATACCTCTCGTTAACGATATGACCTGACTGAAACTCTGAATGACCCTGGCACCTTGACATGTTTGCGTCCCGCGGCAGTAAGTGACAACAAAGGAGAAATGCCTTGTGATTTTCTCACTATCTTCGAGCCTGTTATACTATTTCCTCCATTGCAATCGTCTCTTGATGCTTGGAGTATTCCTCCAGAGTCATATCTACTCACCAGCGAAGGTGGCCAAGTATCCATAAACGTTCGCCGACTTGCCATTGGAAGCTGGCACCAGCTCTACGAGGATATAGCTTTCCTGAAGGTATGAGTACTGACCTCCAACTCGGAGGTTCTGCCATTGAGGTAAGCACAATCTGACATGAAAAGGACCATGCAGCCTGGGAACGAGGCCGAAGGAGGACTCACAGCTCTAGCAACCTCTCCCGTTGAGGGCCCGATACCCGAGAACAGTGACAAGCCAGGGAAGCTTGTCGGGCAAAGTTGTCCCGTAGATCACGATCTCGGCAACCCGAGCTGAGGCGTTGTTGGGAAAGGTGAGTTCTGATGGAAAGGCTTGACCGCGTAGCACGGTTCCATTGATCGCGGAGCCGGTGACGTTGCCTCCAGTAAAAGGTTCAACTGCATGAAGTGAGCGTCGAGCGACAAGCTTTTCGGAAACAACACAGCGTCGAGCAACCACAAAGACAGCACAAGCTGCACTAGGTTTGATGGGGGACTCACCAACTAAGACACCTCCAGGCACGTCGATAGGATCAAGTGTGTTGCCTAGGACGACTTGCAGTGTGAAGATCTGATCCAGGCTCAACGAGGGCGCAATCGCAGCGGACACGCCCTCAGAGCTGATCAAAAGGAGGCAGAACAGGGAGAAGACCTTGAGATAGCCCATTGTGATGGATTGACTTGAGGCGAAGGGCGGTATAGATTCGGAGCGTGCTGGAGTCGACCGGACGCAGAACTTTGGAACGGTCGTGCTTCTGGGAATGCAAGTCGACCATGTTGACGGCAAGCGTGCTTGTTTAAATACCTGAAGCTGCCATCATGGTGGATCGAGAGATGGGACGGACGATGATAGAAAAAATGTTAACACTCCGCCGAACTATGCACGACTTCGACATTGACTTTGTCTAGTTTGATGCCTGAAGGACTTGTTGGTAACATGGCATCAAGTGTGTGATCTACCCAAAGAGCCACGAAATGACCAGAGGCCGATATGACGCAGTGAGGAGGTGCTCATCTTCGGCAGCATCATTCGACGGCAAGTATGATCAGATCGGCAAAAGAACCTTTATACTAACAAAACGGAAGTCGAGGCTGAGGTAATGGATGGGACTGTGTGGAGAGGAGGAGATTGTCCCAACACGGGAAGGCAAGAATCGTTCCCGCCAATGTTCCATCCTTTCGTGAATAGCTTGGCAAAGGCGAAGTAGTTGCCGACGACTTGCAAATTTCTCTTCGGCGTCTTCAACGTCGCTGATCTTGTCGGCGCATTCGAGCATGGCCACCACAGCGAATACAAAAGGCATATAGCCGCAGCTCGGGCTTATACCCTCTGTCTTGCCGAGATCCGGTCGACCACTGCGATTTCTGTGGATACAAAGACTTCCGATGTTGAATGCCCTGAACCACCTAGACCAGTATCAGCTCTGTATGCTGCTATGAGTGAGCGTACCTTACAGTAGTGTATCGGAAATCCTCGTGTAAAAGCCGTGCGAGGGGACTAGGATTTTGCTCTGGACCACGTAGGCGGTACAGTTGCCGAACGCCCCGTTCATGCGCCGTCCAGCTGTGCATGTTGATAGTGTTCTCATAAGTCTCCTGTAGAGCAAGTGTCTTGACGGCAGCTAAGGTCTCATCTCGCCGCGCCAACTCAGCATCACAGAGCGCTTTCTGAAGCTCCCGAAGTGCCTGGCCATGAAAGGCCAGTCCTTGAGAGAGTAAGTGCTGATCGCCCGATTTGCGGCCTATCCTGGTCAACGCCAGCCCAGATAGCGAGTTTGCTAAAACTTTCCCCGGTTCTGCCAGAGACGTGGCAGCCTGCAGCCACGAAAAAGATGAGGCTGGATCCAAGGGGACTGATTGCTCTGTCAAGGGAAGATAATCTTGCAGAAACGAGCCCAGCAACTTTTCTCGATACAAACGGCTGGGATCGATGGCGGATATCAGTCTCCGGGTGTGTGTTTCGTCAGAGACCTCGGACTGCGGCACAGGACTGTATGACTTGAACGATTTCTGATCAGCCGCTGCTTCCGTCCAACAAGAGTCAACGATCAAGGGCTTTGAGGACGCAGCTCGCTTTGGAGCAGCTCTCGATTCCCACCCATAAATGGTCCGGTTTAGAAACGTGGTCTCACGCTCGTATCCTTCGCAATGTCTCTTTGCCTTGATGTACTGTCCACATTCTGGTCGAGCCAAGTCGCACTGTATTACCTAGTTAGACCATTGCTTATGTCCAGATTCAACTGGGACTAACGCCGATTTTGCGTTTCCTGCAAGTATTACAAGCTTTTGACTTCCCCGGGATTCCCACCATCTTGTTGCAAGAGACAAGTCGAACCACCCGGTCAAGACAGTTTGTGGTTCATGTGAGTGCTTGCAATACTCGAGCTGGCTTTGATGCTGAGGTTGAGGCAGGTCGGAGACCGGACTCATGAGGTCAGTCAACTCACAAGAATGCTCCCAGAAGGTGCAATTCCAGCCACTACGACTGACTCGTTGGCATGTCATCACATTCGAGTGGGCACCACGGTACGAGTACAATGCTAGAAAAGCCCCGCCGTCCCAGAGTGGCACTAATCAAGGGCTCTGGATAGGTTTGATCGTGCTATTGGTCAGAACTGTACGATTTCTCCGTCTTTCCGGCCGTACCTCATACGGTGGTTCGCACGCCTAAAGTCGCATAGTGACCACCTATCGCTCACCGTGTGACACATGTCGGGGTGTACGCAGTGGACTCACTTAGCTGTCGATCGGACGCGTGGCTTTCAGCCTTACAGTGTAAGGAGTGTCTCGCATCTTGACGCCCCGATTAGGAAGATTAAACGACCTTGGTTAGATAACCATGCGGGGAAGCATCAGTCATTCAGTTCCGATACGCTCTCGAGCAAGGATACTCGCGCCTTGGGGTATTTTGCACTGCAAGCGAACGGTGGCCTAACCAGCTAGTTGATCGACTGAACAATCTCACACAAGCTCAAACTTGATCATGATCTGGTGAACCTAGTATGGCCCTGTACTGGCCCGCTTCGTATAGGGTACCACATGTCGCAAAATTGCTTGTCGATCAGGGCGAGTAACGACGACCTGCTGGTTGCATCATGGCAAGTACATAACCACTTGCCCATTCTGTGGGGCTGAGCGGTCGCTGGTTTTCAGGCCTGACTGTCATTCAGGAGGGTCCAGCTCGGCTGTAACAAGCAATAAAAGGAGCGACTTCCTTCGCAAGACTAGCAAAGACTCATCAACTGTTTGCTTCCCAACCTTGAAGGAAACACACGGTGGAGAGATTCAATTCAATCAACAAGTCCGTTCACAATGACTGCAAACAACGTCTCTCCTGTCCGTTCCACAGGCGGATCATCCGTCGGCGTCCTGGTGCAATTTGCTGCTCTTTTCACAAGTAGCTGTGTGCTTCCAATCGCGTTGTACTGGCTTCTCAAGTATGTTGCGCATCTGAGCGATGGAACCGGTGAGTGATGGCATTATCAAACGTGTTTCCAGGCTGAACTGAACGTTCACAGTTGTCGCCATTCCCCTCGCTATTTTCGGCGTCGTCAGCGTCCTCGGATTGGCAAAACGTACATGGGACCTTGTCCGACCTCAGTCGGACTGTCGTCCTCTCGGCGGAACACGTTGGCAGGTCAGTTCTTGACCACAAGCCCTGCTCGTTAACACCTCACTGACTCCATCCCTGGTTTGCTAGCTGGACTACTTCGACTGGAACTTCATCTCGGGATTTACCGTCGTAACCATTATCATCATCATCGGAAATATCCTGAAACCGAAGAGCCGCGGCGTTCGAATTTGTTCGCTCCCATTGTCGTTGCTCTTCTTTCAAGTGTGCACACAGCTCGTTGTGGTCAATTTCATGGTCATCTCCGGAGTCCGATACCCCTGGCGCATATCTTCCATGCCCCAGGGGACGCCCGTCCGCCCGGCGCTCTACACGATTGTAGAAGATGTCGTGGCGATTGAGGGCGGCAGGAGAGAGCGATTTCGGGCGTCATTGGATCACCGGTACATGGTACACGCACCCACACGAAAGCTGCTGCTGGACCTCAGTTGGATCTGGGGTATCGGCGGATTGGTCGTTGCTGTGGTATTGACTGCTCTCGCATTCGCTCTCGCGGACGTGGATCTGGCATTCACCCTAGGTATGGGATCGACTCATGGATGGCTGGGTAGACACAGTGTGCAGCTAACGCGAGCATACAGGCTGGTCGGTCCCTTGGGCTTTTGTCGCGGTCGCTGGTCTGATCACGAGGTCCATGATGAAAGCAACTTACCGGAAAGGCGGGTTCACTGAGGTGAACACGGATGAGGAAGTCCAGTTAGCGAGTGCGTAGGCGAGAGATCAGAGGCAAGATTGCCACGCGCGGAGGACTATAAGCGAGATCTCGGAATGGTCTCATGTCACACGGGATGGCAGAACTCCATTGGCAGGCGGAACAATGTAGTCTTGAAGACAAGAGCATGAATGACGTGGCGGAAGTCTTTAAATGACTCGAATGACCTTGGCATCCTCTTGTTTGCCTGGTTTGTCTTGGCGTGGCGAGGCTGAAATCTAAGAACTTTCTACCTTTGTACTCTGCTCCGGTTCCGTCTTACCGACATTTCGCCTCCTCTTATTCTTATGAAAACCCATTGCAACCCCAGATTTTTCATGCTTGCCACACCCACAAATCTGGTTCAGACGGCCCGTAGATCATGCCGTGCAGATTCAGCCTCGATATTCCGATATTCCGTAAACGCCTTGGCGGCCTCCGATGAACCATGTCCAGGCGCTCTTGCCAAGGTGCGACATCACCTGAGATCCTTGGCTACCAAGGATGGTTCGTGGACCAAAGTCTTGTCGTTCCACGCAGAGGTGAGTCGACGATCCAAGGCGAAATCAATCGGAGTCTATATGAAGGGCCATGGCCCCTCCAGAACTCAGTCTGGACTCTTGGTAAGTCCACAAGAAATACTACCACATTTAGTATACCTCTTTCGTAGATTTCCATCACGCAAATCTACACAGCAAGCAATCTTATATCTGTCGATCATTCGTTCACCACATATTGAATTCACATCTACTGCTGGAAATCTACGACATGGGTAAGGAGCATGAAAGGGCCGAACAACAATACACCCAAGAACCCTTCCTTCTGTCGAGGGACGAGCTGGTAGCCCAGCTAGGCACAAACACCGACATAGGCTTGAGCAGCAATCAGGTCCAGCAAAACCAGGAGAAATATGGCACCAACAAACTCGAGGGTGATGGCGGGGTATCCTGGTACGCCATACTGGGAAAGCAAATTTCCAATGCCATGATATTGGTCCTGGTGCTCGCAATGGCACTATCCTACGGCGTCGAAGATTTCGTCGAAGGAGCCGTCATCACCGCCGTCATCGTTCTCAATGTCCTCATTGGATTCTACCAGGAATTTCAGGCCGAGAAAAAAATGGACGCCTTGCGATCGCTCTCATCACCCTCGGCAGATGTCGTACGGGATGGTACCCAGATGACTATCCCCTCCCGAGAAGTCGTGCCCGGCGACATTGTGTCCATCAAGACCGGAGACACTGTCCCAGCGGATTTGCGCTTATTCGAGGTCATGAGCCTGGAATGCGACGAGGCTATATTGACCGGCGAAGCACTACCCGTGGCCAAGGAAGTGGAGTTCGAAGTGAAAGCCGGCACGGCTAAAGAAGATCTTGGTCTGGGCGATCGATTGAACATCGCTTACTCGTCCTCGACTGTGACAAAAGGTCGTGGCCGTGGTATCGTCGCGTACACTGGCATGGCGACAGCAATCGGAGGTATCGCCGCGTCAATGCAAGGTAAGAAGAGGAAGGCCAATCGCACCATGTCACAAAAAGATCACGGCCGAATGCAGCCTGTGAAAGGAGCAACGCTTCGAGTATGGGATGTGGTAGGAAAGTTTTTGGGTCTCACCGAGGGAACTCCTTTACAGATCAAGCTGAGCAAACTCGCATACACACTTTTTGGCTGCGCGATCATTCTTGCAATCATCGTGTTCGGCGTCAATCGCTTCCATGTCACCAACGAAGTCGCCATCTATGCCATTTCTACCGGCATTGCCATCATTCCCGAGTCCCTGATCGCTGTCCTGACTATCACCATGGTCGTCGGCATGACGCAAATGAGGAAGCGAAAAGTCGTGGTCCGCCAGCTGAGTGCCCTTGAAGCTCTTGGAGGCGTCACCAACATTTGCTCCGACAAGACAGGTACTCTGACACAAGGGAAAATGGTCACTCGCAAAGTCTGGATTCCTGGTGTGGGCATCTACGGCGTCGAAAACTCCAACAACGCATCGGACCCCACCGAAGGGACGATCACGCTTGCCAACGCTCCGAAGTCCCGCAAGGAAGTCCAGGCCGAGAGACAGGCTAGACAGGAAGCTCTTGATCGTAAGCGAAGCGTTGCTGGCGTGGTCTTTGACGTGCCTCGAGAGACGGCGAATGAAAATGAAGAAAAGGCCTCACACAGGGTGATTGACAGCGACACTATAGCGCCAGGACTCCAAGCCTTCCTCGAATCAGCCGCTCTCTGCAACCTTGCAACCATCCGCAAGGTCACAGAGACAGGGCACGAAGAGTGGAAGGCCATGGGTGACCCAACGGAAATCGCGCTTCAAGTCTTCTGTCACCGCTTCAGTCGTGGTAAGAAGACGCTGCAAGAACAACATGGCTGGATGCAGAAACAGGAGTTTGCATTCGACAGCTCCATCAAGCGCATGTCCGTCGTCTACAGCAAACGCGACGACCAACAAATGATCTTCACCAAAGGCGCGGTAGAACGTATCATCGATCTCTGCACACACGTCGGCGTCGAGCAGCATCAACAGCGAATGACACCGGACCTTAAAGAAAGTATCCTGGAGCAGATGAACTTCCTCGCCGAAGAAGGTCTACGTGTCCTCGCCATCGCTCACAAATCCACTTCTGCAGAAAACCCACACCTCGACCGCTCTGAAGTCGAGCAAGATCTCTGCCTTTTAGGTCTAGCCGGCCTGTACGACCCGCCGCGCCTGGAGACAAAAGCAGCAATCCAAGCCTGCACGACGGCCGGCATCACCGTGTCCATGCTCACAGGCGACCACCCGTCGACCGCAACAGCCATCGCTCAAGAAGTCGGCATCATCCCCAAGAACATGGGCACTCTCGCTCCGGACGTCGCCGCCGCAATCGTCAAAACAGCCACCGAATTCGACAGGATGACCGACGCCGAGATCGACGCCCTGCCTACCCTCCCACTCGTCGTCGCGCGTTGCGCACCCGAGACCAAAGTCCGCATGATCGAAGCCTTACATCGCCGCCGCAAATTCGCAGCCATGACGGGCGACGGCGTCAACGACTCTCCATCCCTCAAACTCGCGGACGTGGGTATAGCAATGGGCCTGAACGGAAGCGATGTCGCAAAATCAGCATCGGACATTGTCCTGACGGACGACAACTTCGCCAGCATCGTCAATGCCATCGAAGAAGGACGCCGCATGTTCGACAACATCCAGCGCTTCGTGCTGCACCTGTTGGCGTCCAACGTTGGCGAAGTCATCCTTTTGATCTGCGGACTAGGCTTTCAGGACTCCTCCGGATTCTCTGTTTTTCCGCTATCGCCTCTACAAATCCTGTGGATCAACATGCTTACATCGTCGTTCCCTGCGTTTGGCCTGGGCCGCGAGAAAGCAGCGCCGGATGTCATGGAGCGCCCACCTCATGACAACAAGACTGGTGTGTTCACTTGGGAACTCATTACTGATATGCTGGTATACGGGACCATCCAGGGGACATGCTGTCTTATGACGTTCATCTTCGTCGTGTATGGTCCCGGCCAGGATGGGCTGGGAGTCGATTGCAACCGCGGCTACAACGAAAGTTGTGATGTGGTGTTTCGTGCGCGCGCCGCAGTGTTCGTCGAACTCACGTGGCTCATTCTGATTTCTGCGTGGGAGTTCAAAGCCATGCGCCGGAGCATGTTTCGGCTCAATCCGCATGATACACGGGCGTTTCCGTTCTTCGCGGATATTTGGGACAATCAATTCCTCTTCTGGTCGGTGGTGCTTGGGGCGCTGTCCGTTGTTCCAGCCGTGTACATCCCCGGGTTGAACACGGGCGTCTTCAAGCACAAGGGGATTTCGTGGGAGTGGGCGCCCGCTATTGTCTGCGTGTTTGTCTTTGTGTCGGGGATTGAGGCGTGGAAGTACATTAAGCGTGCGACCGGGTTGTTCGAGGAAGAGGAAACCGAGGGTATGAAGGCCCGTAGACACCAGCGGTCCGCGCTGGGGTTGAGGCAGGGGTTCTTTACGTTGGCGAGGAGTTTTACCAAGACAAAGTCGGAGGAGAAGAGGGTTGGTGGCCAGGAGAAGGAGCGGTCGCAGACGGTGGTGATGCCGAGGGTTACTGAGGAGGTTTGATCCGTTTCTTCTGATGATGGTATGCCAGGGACAGCTGATGATAGACTCGCAGCGCTGTCGGTGTATATTTGCACACTTTGTGTCTTTGCTTGCGAACGTAGACGTACATCGAGATGTTCTGCGAAACTCAACTGGATATTTGTTCAAGATTCATCCCGGCTGCGTCGATGCAGCGCTGTAGAGCATCTAGCTCAGTAATATGCGAAGAATTTGATGCTAGAGCAGCGCCAATGTCACGCAGTGCTGTTCGAGTCATCTCGGGCGTCTCCTGCGAGACTTTGAGGACTTGTGCCACGTTTGCTTCGGCCTTGCGAGCAAGCTTCATGCCTAGACGTTCGAGCTGACCATGTGGACTGGTGGGGTTGTCTTGCGAGCAGCCGAGATGTTCGAGAAGATTGAACAAGGCGGGATGACTATCTTTTACTTCCGGGGTCCCAGTGCGAAGAGCCGGATCCTGATCAGCGTGCGATTTCACCATGAGGCGCTGGAGTTGTGACGACATATCCTCCAACGTGGTTTCTTGAGACTGCAAGCTGTCGAGTCCGTTTGCCAACGTGTCGTTGCGATCGGTGAGAGACGATAGGATGCCGTGTAACTATATCACTGCAATTAGCAAAGCCCGTCATATGCGAAATGGATAGACGTACATGTTCATTCAGTGATTGACGGTCTCGTTCTCGGATCTGGACAATGTCTTGCAGAGTCTGCTCAATACCAGAATCATGCTCCTGAGACATGATTATGGTCACAAGGTCCTCGATTTCTCCGTACAAGGATCCCAAGTCTCCTTGGACGTCCGCGGCAGACGCGTCGGAGACCTCAAGAGGTGGATCGTCGCCATGTGACGCCTCCAAACTTTCTAGATAAGTGCGATCAAGGCGGTCCTTAATAGTCTGCGTCCGGAAATGCCGTAGTGTTTTGTTTAGCTTGGTTACTCGTTCTCGTGTCGAGTTGATATCAGCATTATTTGGTGGATAGTTGGCGGAAAGGTCATTGAGCTCTGCGAGGACGCGGTCGTCCGTGTTCAAGACCTCCGTTACTGTAGCCGGTATGACCTTGACTGCTTTGGCATTTTCATCGCTGTGTACCCGTAGATCTAATCCTAGACTGTCCAGTAGCTGCTCGTTCTGTCGAGAGTTAGCTGTGATTGTAGCGCGGTCGCTTGAATTGGAGGACACCAACAGCAAACTTGATATGCTGCACCTCTCTAGTCTCCTTCTGCTTGATGTAGTGCGCATAGCTTGTCCTGCGGGCACCAATTTGAGCATTAGAACTTCGAAGGCGGCCCGCCAGAGCGCTCTGTGAAGTGATGATCTTCGTGCGACGATCAGCGGCACGTGTAGATGCTTTCAAGAAGGCGATGGCAGCGCGAAGCTCTTCCTCCGAACTGGGTATTGAAAGTGCATGGAGCTCTGAGAGCATGTTGTCCATGGCTGCATCAGTTTCGGATGTTGGTATCTTGTGTCGTTAGTCAGTACAACTGCCACTTAAATAAAGCCCGAGTGTGTGGCTTGGTGAAATTGTTGGTGAAGATTGGAAGATGAAGTCAATGTCCGTATTGCGGTGAATTGAAAACATCTTGTTCCGCCGTAGTACGGCGGCTCAGGTCTGTTGTTATATTGTGTAATGACAGCCTTCCCAATTAGGCTAGTCGTATAGTGCGGTATAAGTGGAGGGTCTTCGTGTAACTAGTAACTTGACAAGCTTAATATCACTCATAATCACAACAAGGTCGACCACAGTCCGCGCGTCATCATTTCAGGCATAATTAACTTACTTATCATCAGCACGGCACTACCTTTCTGTTGTTTGGATGTATATGGACAGTAGCATTATGCGACTCTACGAACACTATGTACTATCATTGCAGACGTGGTTCTGTAGTACGGGCGGATGATGGAAGAATTCTCTTGTTCAGGCATCATTTCGAAAGTTCTGGGTGCTGCGACTTATCCCCCAAAAGCTTTAGATAGTCGTTCGCTAAAGCGCCCAAGTCAACATTACATGGAGGACCGTGCTTGTCGAGGTTCATATGAGTTGTGGCCGCGAACAGAAATTGGACCGTGCAAGGAAGGGTAGTCGGTTTATAGACCCAGACTTCCTATAAGCAACCTACAAAATGGTTTCCCTTATGGTTGCGAATGACAACCCGCCATGATTCTTGGGTCCGGGCAAGAGCTTCTAGGTCCCTATCTATCGGGCTACCGTCGCGAAGGACCCGAAAAATTCTGGGCCCCTAGTAATCCCGAATGCAATCAGGATACTACGAATTCAAGATCATTAGCATCGGTATCAACGATTGAACAACCCTTTTTCAGCAAGTCTGATTGTAAATCGCCGCGCAGGAATATCGACGAGTTCACAACCGCTGCGCATCGGCGTCTTCGCATCTTTTCCTGCGTGAACATTGTCCACCCTTCTCAAATCATGCTACTCCAAGGACAAGCCCTAGTACATGGAGAAGCCTATGGCGAGATACTGTTCTCACATGTTGGCTTGAGTTTCTGGGGTGGCGTGGACACTGCTACAGGCGAGATCATCGACCGCCATCACCCGCTCTCAGGCATACGTCTGCGCGGTCACGTCCTCGCAATCCCCTGTGGTCGTGGGTCATGTTCCGGGAGCATTGCCCTTCTCGAAATTCTACTCAACTCGACCGGCCCTGCAGCGCTGGTATTCCAGCTCCGGGAGCAGATTTTGACTCTCGGAGTCATTGTCGCGAAGATGCTGTTCGACACACATATTCCAGTGGTGCTCCTGAATCGGCAAGATTTCAGCCAACTCCAAAATCAGACATGCAGCCATCCGAGGCGGGCAGCTCTACACTTCAGACACATGTTCAAAGCCAGCCTTTGATTGCGACGGCTTTGTGCAGAGAAATGGGCAGTATCAGAGGCTTGCTCTCTGACAACTTCTCTTCACCAAAGTGGTCACACAAATCCAATTGTCTACCTCGGGCGCACAGTCCGCGTTCTCCCTGACCTTGGGTATCGTACTATGTACTAGTTCCGATAGCCGTATGAGAGCTAAGATATCAAGTCCCAGCTTGTTCACCAGCTTGTATCAAGACTACCTTGAGTACACTCGTGCGACTGAGTCCGCTTCATCAATATGGAAGATCCGCACTGTCCGGGTGGCCGGCTCCGTCTGCCGGGACTTACGGGTGCGACAGGCAAGAACTTGCTTTGTGTGCTCTCGCTGAAGGAATGCACACGCCCCTGTCTGCCGAGGTGATGGGCTCCAAAATGGCCCGTCGCTGTAAGAACATATGGTAGACCATTTGCATACTGGACAGTAGCCTTTCGGTCGCAGTGGGAGCCCCAATGTCCGTTAACGAACACTACTTTCCAATCGGCAGTACTCTCAATGACCAGGCTTTGGGAGGCGTCGTCCTGAGCCTTCACGTTAACCTGGCCCGTCTCATGTCAACACTTATGGCAGGTGAGCATGGACCCTTGCAGGACAGGATGAGAGTCTAGTATGCGCGCTGACCTGCGACACGCTTCTCCAAAGATCTCTATGTCGCTGACGGCAGCTTGGAAGCGTCATACCTCTCTAAAATTACGCAGGGTCTGGTCAAGCTGGCAGCCTTCGCAGACCAGCTTGACCGCACCGTCAAGGAGCGACTAACAAGCTCGGTGGGATCTCTCCCAAAAGGAGCCACGCAACTTCGTTTGCTCCACCATCAGGTGGGAACCCGTCCTTGGACAAGGCCCCAATCCGATGCGAGCCTCGCTAACTGGTGGTCAAATTCAGTGCGTGATGCTCACCACAAGGCCCCTGCTGCTGAGCATCCTCCAAAGGCTATTAAAGTCCGCTTCCTCGCAAGTCATGAAATCGAGGACGCTTTCGGCACCTTTGCAGAGTCCACTGAAAACTTGCGCGGACGCGGCCTGTCAGTCGGTGGATATACTGGACTCTCTACGACGCTTGCACATATTAGGTCCGTCTGACATCTTACCGCCTAAGCCCACCCGTAGTGCTCATGCTGAAAACCTGGCAGATACCTTCCTCCCATTTGATCTTGAATACTGTTTCTCGGCAGCATCGGTACTCGTCCTTCTCGACGACGTACTACACTGCACTGCGGTCGAAGGTGGCGCCAAAGACCTTGCGTTGCAGCTCCTGGAGGACATGGCCAGTCGTGGCAGCGCGCCGGCCAAGTTTCGTCGGGCACAGCTCGAGAGACTACGCGTGGCGTCTAAACATTTCTGGGAAGATGCAGAACGTCGAGAACGCCACCACGTTGTAACACAAACTGCTGCAAACACGTCCGGTTCGGCTTGCGCCACCACTCAGGAGCCACATCGTCGCATATCGCCATCAACCAGCACGAACCCGATACAACTGGCCAGTGTTTCTGGTGCCAGACAGCAAGCAACGCGACTTCTGAGAATGTGGGTCTATGTGTTGCCGCCAATAAAACAGATGAGCGTCCAACACATCAATACCCAGCCGAAGAGCTCATGGCCCAAGGTCAAGTCATCCAATGCCCCGATTTGGAGCCAAATGGCATGTCTTCCTTCATCGACGAAATCTTCGTGGATGACGCATTGCCCGAATTTGACCTCTTCGCTACTTATGGAGACTGGATGTCTACCGATGCTCTGTAACGAGTTTGGTCTCATCGACAAGCACAACTCCAGAACTTGTAAGCGAGTCGAAGCAAGGCCCCCGTCCTGCTTCGGAAAACCTCGCCGAATGACAAAGAAAATGGCCATTGACCGCGTGCAGACAATCGGGTTTCACGAGACGTCATCAGGAAGTCAGCGCTAGACATTTGGTCCTCGAAGGCCAATTTATTGACAAGTCTCTATGCTGTGTTCGTTGACATAGTAATCCTTTGCAAGAACCTCGGTTTAAGCACCCTTTGTTGAGTCGTGCAACAAAAAAGGTGATGCGCTGCACAAGGTGTCATATCACTGCGTTCAGCATATTTCCGCCATGGACTGGAGAAATGAGAACAATATCCGAACATCAATAGGGGTACATGTATATGCTGGGGAGGAGTTAAGAGGATCCTGGGGGGAGGAAAGGATAATGAGGGGTATAATGAACATTGCTCCAAGAAAATGGAGTACAACTCCAAAAGAGAAAGTAGGGGGCCTAGGGAGCCTCCTAGACCCAGGCCTTGAAGGTGAAGACCGATAGCCTAACAGGGCGCCTCATGAGATATTCGGTTGGCAATCGCAGAGTAGTGAGTGGCATGCTCGACGATAAACAAGTTCCTGATGATCTCCAGCCGTATCACGACCCATTCTTCACGTACCAGGTAGCCTTCAAACAATTACAACCCGAGATAATAGAAGCTAGCACAAGTAGGTAAGTACTAAATGACGCATGCAATGCGACACGCTGTGAAGATATCACAACCTCGCCGTTTATTCCTTCCCATACGTATCGGCAATAGCCTTCTCCTTTCCGTACTCTCGAATGTTCTTCTCCACGACATCAAACTTCGCAGCATCACGCAGCATCTTGTCGACAATACTTTTCGGGAAATAATTGATCGCGAACCACACCGTTGTAGCGAATGCACCAGCCCACACCTCCTCAGGCGGGCTTCGCTTGGAGATCGCCGCGACCACTTTCTTCGCCCACACGTCTGAAGGAATAGCCTGCCCGTCAAGCGGTTTGCCCGTGTAGAACTCATTCAACCAGTCCCTCGCCGCGTAGTACAACGACTTCTTGGGGACTTGGGGTGAGGGAGTACCAGCATTGGTACCCAAATTCGCGCTGATGTTTGAAGTGACGTTGCCGGATTTGAGCTCGACCACCTTCACGCCGAACGGAGACAGCTCCGTACGCAGGTTGGCTGTCAACTTGGCCATTGCCACCTTGGAGGCGCCGTACAACCCGAGGAAAGGCGGCGTCGCAAGCGACGCAAGTGAGGTGTGGTTCACGATCATGCCTCCTCGGCTGGACTTGAGCAGTAACGGCAAGAACGCCTGCACCGTGGCCAAGTTTGCCCACACATTCAGGTCGAAGAGCTTTCGTGCTTCTGCCACTGGTGTGTCTATCAAAGCGCCGGAGTAACCTGATCCAGCGTTGTTGACCAGTACGTCCAGACTTCCTCCTGACAGGTCGCGTACTTCAGCGACAGATTTCTCGATCGATTCGTCGGAAAGCACATCTAGGGAAAGTGTCTCGATACCGACGGCTTTCACATCTTTTAGCTTTGACGGGTTCCTCGCGGTCGCGAAGACTCGATATCCACCATGGGCGTGTAATGCCAGCGCCAGAGCTGAGCCCAGTCCTCCATCTGAGCACCCGGTGATAAGTATGGTTGACTTCGCCATGGCGGTGAATGACCTATTCGATACCTTTGGTAGATGTTGAGTGCTGTATCGTGAATGTTGAGCGCACGGAGGAACCTGGCTCTTAATAAGTATCCGCCAGCCCAAAGGCACCTGCCGTCTAAATTCAAGACTCCCGTGATTTCGCTTGATCGCCACTGGGCAAAGCTCCACTTCGTTCTATAGTACATTCTTACCTCAGCTTGATACCAGTCATTTAGCCGACGGTGCATCGATTACCAAGGCGCATGTTTGATCCTTCAGCGCATTGCTAAGGGTGCAATACCAACGTCTTCTCGAGCCAATCAAGATCATGTTCTTCACAGCCGGGATCATCATTCCATCCGTCTATGAAGTTGCTGGGCGTGCATTGTCGAAGTGCGGAAGGACCATCAACCGCTAACGTCGTAGTAATGGCAATCAAAGCTCGTAAATTCTGGGGAGCGGACTCATGGTCGAGCCGTTACCGATGAAAAGAGACCGAAAAATTGAGACAAAATGGCCAGTGAGTTGCCGCCAGGACCGTCAGAATATAGCGCGAGATCGATTGAATCTGCGGCATGGAATTCGTCCGTGATTGGTCCGAGCAGTAAGTAGCCTTGGCATAGCCGGATGCAGCACTGCGCCCCTATCAGCCTTATCAGTCTGTCGGGCTCCCTGGCCGGCAAGGCTACCGAAGGCTGGCCGCGTACAAACATTAATACAGCTCATCCACACAAGATGTTGCTACAAAGCCTTTTCTTTCTACCTACCTCACAACTACTGGGAGGCTCTTGACGTCGGATTGTCTCAGCTCTGCTGCACACCAAACTGGCCGACAGCCATTGCCATGACTCTCTCATACTGCTCCGACTTTGCATTGGCGGCGGCGTCATACGCTCTCCTGTACACCTCGTATCCTTTATGAAACAGGGGCTTCTTGTCTGTCCAGCCGGTATCCCTGCGCAGCTTGTCCGATCCCACCCACTGCGGAAAGTTGAATAGGATCTGTATCGTATATGCAATTTCGGCGTTTTCTTCTGGATCAACATATTCCACCTTGACTCCGTGGCTTTGCTCGATGGCAGGTACAAGTTCACCTAGAGTCTCGTATCTATGACTGGACATGTTGTATGCCTGGCCTGCTACAACATGCCGAGGCGCCTCGGCGATGGCCACGTACGCAGCCCCAACATCATCGACATGCGTGCCGTGTAGGATCGAATTGGGCGTTGATGCGATCTTCATGACTCCGTCCGACCGCGCTTTGGCCTGTTCCGCCAGATGGAAAATGTAAGAATAATAACTGCTCGATCGGCCATAGAGAGTGGTCGGCCGGGTAATCACGCAATCGAAATCATCGGTGAACTTCAACATCTTTAGGGCACCGTCGCAACGTTCGGCCAGTATAGGCGGGTAGTTGAGTGGACTGCTTTCAGTGTGTGGTGCAAGATCTGGGTCGCCATGTCGTAGAGTCGTGCCATAGTCTTTGCAGCCCGAGGTGACGATGACAAGCGGTTTGTCATGACCCTTCTCTCGTGCGATCTGGCTGAGTCGTTGACTCATGGATGTAATGTCTTCGAAGTGAGCCTTGAAGTTGGATGGGTCTCCAGAGCAGCAAACGACAACATCTATGGGCGGCAGCTGCTGGGGAATGGTCGGATTGGCTGCCGTGCCGACGATGGGGATGATTTCTTCCTTGATAAGATCTGGAATTGATTTGTCGCTGCGCAACATTCCGTATGTAGTCCATCCTGCCAGCGAAAATGCTCTGCACACACCGTATCCAATCTAGGTAGGCTCCATGTCAGTCGAGAGACGAAGTGACCAATAGTGACTTACAAATCCATTGGCCCCAGTTACAAGGACTGTTTTCTGAGGCATCTTCACCTTTTCACAATATGATAAAGTATCGCCAGAGAGAATCAGAGGCTTGTTTGTAGCGGTACCAGACTGCTTGAACCCCTCTACTGGCATAGGACGTGGTTCGAGTATGTATTTGATCTGAGGTTTCAATGGTTTATTAGTAAGATGATTCCCCATCCGGCTACAAGCTGAATGCTGTATGGCTGATGGAAAAGAAGTGGAGTATAGACATTGCGAGCCGCATCTGAGTTCCGGTGGCATCCACAGTCCACTATTGGCGTCTCTTACGCATTCCGTTGGAACAGTACCTGCTCGTTAGCCATTGATTGTGGAGAGAGAATATCTTGAAGAATGCCTGGAATGTGGCTTTGACAATTGACACTCTCATTTAGAAGCAAGCTCAGGATGACGCATCATCAGCCCATATCATTAAAGCTTTTGCTTCGAGTAAAGCACGATAACCCTTCGTCTTCCTCGCAATGACCCAACGAGATGGGACCCATACTAAAACAAGATCGAATGCAGTGAAGGGCTCGCTGACTTTCGCTTCGCTCAGTGCGCCATCGTGCAAGCGGATATATTCGAACAGGTGGTTACATGCGGTAAGACTCTTCGTCGTCCACCAGATCAGTATCGTTGTCATTTCTCGTGACATTCGCAGTCCATGGCAGAGTCATGATGGAAACAAGTAGATGTCTCCTTGCAAAGGCTCAGGATTGTTTCGCGTGTCCATTTCCGTTGACAGTGGCTCCATTGACTTTGCCATTCGCCTTTTGGGCCTTTGACTCCCGATACTTGGCGATGTCTTCCTTGACCATCTTGTCCACACGGTTCTTCAACTCCGGCCTGTATCCCAGAGCGAAGAGCATCTCCAGCCAGACAAACAGAGGGGCGAGGAAGAATGCCTGGAAGATGTTGTCTAGAAGAGCAGGTGCTCGACCTTCAAACATTCCGTGCCCCAGAAATTGTGCTATCCAGCTTGCAACGAAACCTGCGGCCGCCCAGAAATTGGCAGTCATTCCATGGGTCATTGTGAGGTATTTGCCATACGCTGTTCCAGCCAGCAGTAATGCTGAGAGCGCGGTTCCGGCCACTGGTTCAAGCAGGACGTACAGGGCGCAGTAGCATAGACAAAAGATCGTGCCCGCGTTTAGGTCAAGGTAAGGAATGGCCATCGAGGATGGCAGTTCGACTAGTGGTGGAGTGTTTGTGCCCTGATAATGGTGAGCGTGGCCCTGAGCCGCAAGTCAGGCGTCCACTATACCAGCAGAAAGGTCGTCCATAGTATGACCGGCACCCCGATCAAGTGTATCGCGATATTTGCCTAGTATGGATGAGGATCCCTCCTTGTAAGGACCTGGTCTAGAACCTACCGGATCATGATGGTATGCGCCATACTGAGCAGAGTTAGCCAATGTCCTAGCCTTGAATGTGGCTCACATGTCACTCACAAAGCGCAGCTGTTTCTCCAAGTTCAGAGCCATGACGACTAGCTGTACACTGTGTCTTGCACACAGGGAATCTGGTGTCACCTCATTGAAAGGTAGCCAGTAGCGCGAAACTGCCTGGCATGAAGTTGAGACAACGAAGAGAGAGGTAGTGAGTTTATGAACGTTGATACGACTGAAGAGAGTATCTCACATCGCCGGGGTCTGCGTTGATGAAGGCGTCCTGTGAAATGCCCTGCGGAACAATATGCTCCACCGCTTCCGGGTTGCGTCTATCACTTAGGTACTCACCGTAGCTGTCTGCTCCCTAAGTAGGAAGCTGAGCCGAGCTCTAAGAATGATCAGCGCAATCCAGTCAAAGAAAGGCACGTTGCCTGCATAACAATTGACAACGAACCCTCCGACGACCACCTTATCACCCGCCTGTGCAGTGACAGACGCGCTTCATGGTCGCCGACTGACTGCGCTGCCTGTCCCGACATTCTTTGCGCACAATAGCACCATAGAGAGGCGTTGAAGGAGTGTCAGACGAGGATGAACTGAGGTGGAAGAAAAATAGAAGGCTCTCTTTTCAGCAAAGCCGCGCTTGCGTCCGTCGCACAGGAGAGACCTTTCCAGACAGACTAGATCGGAGAGTTTCACGCGCGAACATTGGTCATCATGTTCTTCCTCCGTTACCTCGAACGAGAAATCAGCATCCACCCTTCCTTCTTCGGCAACAGCGTGCACGACAGATTGAGGGATCAACTGTACGCGGACCTGGAGGGGAGCTGCAATGGAGAATACTACATTGTATGCATAATGGACATCTACAACGTCTCTGCGGGGAAAGTTAGGCCAGGATCAGGAGAAGCACACTTTACGATTCTCTACCGTGCGATTCTGTGGAAGCCTTTCAAGGGCGAGACGGTATGAAAAGACCAGCCCTGGCAGACGCTCCGTCGTGGCTAACAGAACCTATCCAGATTGATTGTGCAGTTTCCAGCATCAAGCCCCAAGGTGTCTTTTGCGAAGCTGGTCCATTGACGGTATTCGTCTCAAAATTGGTCAGTAAGACCTGAAATGGGTTACTCGAGACATTACCATCTGACAAGATTTTCAGCATCTCCCGCCTGATATGCGACACAACCCAGATGCAACTCCGCCGCAGTACTCCAACAATGCCGGCGACGTGATCGAGAAAGGTTCAGCAGTGAGAGTCCAGCTCATCGGTCTGCGTAGTGACGTGGGCAATATGTATGCAATTGGAAAGATGTCCTCGCAATGGTTCGGGTAAGACCCAGTCCGATTTACTAGGTTTCGGCTCTTTTTAATGTGTCACAGACCTCTATGATCAGCTCTGGTATTGGGGTCCTGCATATCGGGATGTATGCAGGAGTTTTCCCCTTTCATACGAAGCTCAAGTTGTACTGATGAGTGCGGCTTGGATCGAATGGCAAGTTGTCATGGAAACAACGCCCGCCAAAACCCGCGTGCCAACGCCCTGGTCAACGACCATGGTCCATCATTGGGGAAGAAGGCAAGGCTAATCTGCCTTGGAGCACGGCCGCCCACTGCATCTATGTTTACCAATCCGGTCACTGGCCAGGGAAATCAGGTAGGATGACAAGGTATGTCAGAAGCCGTCAGAGCATAAGAAGCGGAATCTTTGCTGCAGGGAGAAATCTCTCACGGTTGAAATCGGATCGGACACATGGTCATATGTTGGAATGATCCGAAGGACCCTTTGGTCTGTGGCCCATGCTACGAAAGCAGGTACACGTGGCAATACAGTACCTGGTGCCTCACAGACCTGCAGACGTGTGATATCACCAGAGGAAACTAGTAATGTACCTCACAAAGCTGATAATGCGAGCACATTGCACACTCCACTGTCAAGTCTATTCCGGTATATTCTCCCTGGTCCACAGAGCTGACAATGCGAGCTCATTGCACATTCCCACCGTCAAGTCTAATCCGGTATTATTCCCCCCTGATTCACATGCTATTTACACGATCAATTCCTGTATTGCCCTTCTCATCACAGCCTCGAAACCCTCCCCAGTACACCACCATCTTTCCCCATCACAAACTCCGTAGCAAGCCTTACAACACCCTCATCACCCAACGCACCACCATGATCCAGCTTCTCCGTTAGCCGAAGCTCCACATTCGCACTCTCATCCCCCCGTCCCCGCCTCAGCAGCTCAACAACCCACTCCGCCTCACCAACCGACGCAACACTATCATTCCGATCCTGCACAAGCAGCACCCTCGTACTTGCCAGCCCACCGGAGCCCACATGCGCAGGCAACCCCTCCCGCACCTGTTCCGGTAAATAGATATCCTTGTCCTTCGCAACGCCGTGTATCAAAGGCATCATATCCGCCACTGCCGCCTTATCATACCCATACATCCTCAAAAACCCTTTCAGTACCGTATCCATCTGCAGCGGTGGATTGATGCAGACCAACGACGGCACACACAAATTCTGGTTCGATGATTGTGCCTGTGCCAGCGCCGTCAAAGCAGCCGTACTCCCCACGCTGAATGCCACGACGCCAGCGAGCGGTGCGTACTCGTCAGCCATGACCTGAATCGTTTTAATCCATAGTCGCAGATCTGTGAAATCGCCTCCAGACTCGCCATGCGCGCAATGGTCCCACGTCACGACTCTATACCCCACGCGTAACAGCGGTGCAACGAATTTGAGCATCGAGGCGGCATTGTACAGAAAGCCATGACTCAGAAGGACCGTGGGTGCGACCGTGACTGCGTTTCTACAGGACCAGATATACGTCTTGATCGGCACAGAGTCAATATCTGTGGTGAATGTCTCGGCGGTGTCGAGGACTTTGCGCTGTGAAGGCGTCGGGATCATTCGTCCTGGACGCAGGAATTTCATGAGCACCGTTTCGGCGGTGGTGACGCGGGCGTTGTGCTGCTGCTGCTCATCGTTACTGGTGGTACTCGCTGGGTCGATGTGCAGCGTGTCGATGCCGGTATTGCTACTCGTGATACTCGTGTCGATCTTCGTATCACTATACGAGTACTCGGGAGCATCCGTCTCAACAGGGTTGCGTCCCATATTGGATAGACACAATAGCAACGAGCGTCAAAACACGAGGTTGGGTATACCTAGTGTGAACGTGCATGGTATCGTCCGGCATTCCATGCCTTATATTGGGACTCTCGTACTCTGGCCACAGCCAGAAGCCAGCGGCCGCGGCCGCGGCTGGATGTCACGGCCATGCAAGCCTGCCATCCACGGGTTGGCTAAGTGGATTCGAGACTTGTTTCGGGCTCATATGCGTCCAGATCGTTTCGATGAGAATACATATCCTATAAGATCGCCAGATTCATACGACGCCCGTAATGCGAGGTCAATCGCCTTCCTCAGCTGGTGAAGTAGTCGTCTTCAGCCGCCCAGCTTGGCTCGATCGGCAAATACCCTCGAGAAGGCTGGCTGAATACGAGTATGTCACACTGCCACGGCTGCAGCTTGGTCCAGTCATGATTGTGGCCTGGTGCAATAAGTGCCCTTGATTTGCTGATTTCATGTACCGCGGGGAGATGTCTTCCTTGTGAGGCCTGCCGACGCCTGAAGCAACACATCTTGTGTCAGACAAAATCATTCGGCACGGCACCTCCCATGGCATGGCTACTTACGACCCGGAATAGCGGGATACAGCTGGCTAGAATAGCTTATTCAGCTCAAAATGTCCGCTTTGAGGTGCAGGCCTATTCTGTGAAGGCTGCGTCAATGCATGCACCCATGCTCCCCGTGACAATTTAGGACAATACTTTCACACCACTGCCTCGATAGAGAAGCACGATCAATGGCCGTCTTAGAGTCCTCGTTACGATTACTCCCACGCAGGGCTCATCTGGATTTTCGACTCTTGTGATCATGCACATTCGGTCTTTGATAAGGAGCCCCTCTCAAACACCAGGACACCGCCATGATATTTTGTGGATATATAGCGATAAACACCATGTGCCGGTCTTAGTAAAAACACGTTAGAATGATTGAAAGCTGAAAGAAGGATTGTCAACAAGTCCGATAAGAGCTCGACAAGCGGTACCTCCGGACGATCCGGGGTCTTCTCGAGCCTCGGCTGGATGAGCGTGAAACATTCGAGCTGTTCTCACTGCCTGTGGGACTGCATGTAGCACTGGCACAGTCGAGTGTTGACGAGCAGTTGTGTGGAGGTAACGTCGCCATCATGAATTTGTCAAATGGTTGAAGCAGCACTCGTGTCCCGGGGCCGTAGGTACAATCATATCTTGGTGACGGAAGAGGCGACTTGAACCACAGCAGCATCAAGAGGCTCTGCATGATTTTCTCCACAACCATAGTATCCCGGGGAACAAAGTGCACACCTTGATGCTCAACAAGCATGGCACCCTGACAAGACTCCAGCAGCTCCAAGCTACTAGACTTGGGGATCATAGTGTCTAGCTCCCCAAGCACGTGAATGGATGGCGTCGACAGTGGAGGATGGTAGAAGCCATGATAGAATTCCATGTTCGCTCGAAAGCCGGAGCAGAGAATGGCGAAATCCAGCGGCTTCTGCGGAGGCATGGACAGTAGCCGTGATAAAGCTGGATCGAGATTCGTGCCCATGTCTTGCAGCGCCTGGCGACGGCCTAAGGTGAAATCTGTTTCACACCATGATGCAAATATGGCAGCGAGCGCTGCACCCTGAGAGAATCCGACCACCCCGGAAAAGGGACCTTGTATTTCGCTAATGAAGGATAACAAGGAAAGACTTCTTTCCAATTCCTGGTACTGAACCGCTTCACTAGTGCCATACAGCGGTGTCCAGCCGTAAATGCCCGAGTCAGTGATATCTGCTTCACCATCAATGGCACCACATCTCCCGAGCCGAAGGGGCGCATCCGGAAAGACAAGCTGAATGTTATCCTCCCGTGTGTTGTAGTGTCCGCTCAGTGTCTTGGTCAGCCTTCTTGTGAGGGGCTTGGTTTTGATCTCAAAGCACCCTCCAGATTGGGCATATCCGTGCAGCATAAGTATGCGGATTGACACTTCGCTTGAGCTTACAGACATGTCGTTTTCTCGTCGCTCGGAGTTCCCAGCTGTAGAAACGACAAGGCGTTACGGGGTCAGATACGGAGGGTATTATATGATCAGTACTGCCGCCGAAGTAGCATTGTAGTCTGGCCGAGTGAGACGGATCATAGCCTGACGGTCCACGCCGCTGGGACCTAGCCACCTCATGTGCTCGATTGCAGTGTTTCAGACACAACTTTGTCCAACGTTCCATTCAGCCGTCGTTGCTTTCCTGTTTGACCCATCTTTCGGCATCAAGCACAGCATGGGCGTCAAAAAGCGGCACATCGAAGGTGACTCTTTCAGCTGCAATCGAATAGATTAGCAGGCAACTCTGGAGGTTATATCCATTGGCGCGCGAGATGAGCTTAGCAACTGATCTAGGCTTCGTATATGCGTGCCGTGAGATGTATCGAGAAGGCGACGACACTGATGCAGAGACCCAGCTGGGCACCCATAGAGAATCTCGCTTCGGACCGTGTGGATGTACTTTGCGAGTTTATCACGCTTGCGTAGCCATACATCCAACATCTGCGGAACAAATGTCGAATGGATTTTGGCGTCGGATCGGGAATGGTGGATGGTGGCTGATAGGCATTGGCCTGGCGATCATGCACATTTCAGCCAGCCGTCCTGTGATTTCACGGAGGACTTGTCATTGCTCAAGGGCCGTAAGGGCCCGTTAGACTATATACCTATCCGGAGATCGTACATCGTGTACGATATCCACCTAAGTCAGTTAATAGCCTTCGGCCGTCTTTATATCCCTTGGTAGAGCTAAGGTAGCTAAATAATTATATTCTCCTTTATCTAGCTTGGATACCTATAGCCTTATAGACTTATAGATAGCTAGCTAGGTCGACGATAACCTTCGATTCTAACGTACTAATACGAATAGACTATTCCGGAGCTATTCGAATATCTTAGTAGCCTCTTAAAAGATAATTAACTATCGTCGACGAGATATAGAATATATCGTTCTCGGTCTAAATATAAGTCGATATTTCTTGCTTAGCGTTCTAAGCTTTAACTCGTTACTTTATTATTATCTTACTCTTTTATATACTTACTATATAATATATATATATTCGAATAGCCTTACTTAAGGCCTTACTTTAGTTTACTTAAAGTCTTATCTTTATATTCAAGGGGCTTCGTTTTACTTTACTCGATTATTAAATATATTATGGCGATAAATATCTTATTGTTATCTATTTTTCGAAGCTCGCTATTAGCTAATCGAGTAGTCGTATTAATAGAGTATCGCTAATAATAGTAGTATAGCTTCGAAGGTTATCGTCGAGTATATAAGAGTCTTATATTTATATATACGTATCTCTTCTTTCTTCTTAATCTTCTCTCTTTTCTACTATAGATAATTATTCTTTCTTATTATCTATTCTTTATTTTAATTATCTTTAAAGCCTTTTAAGTTATTTAATCCTTAATTTAAGTCTCGATTATTTATTATACGAGCTTAATATATCGTCTAATATTTATCGTTCGTATATAGAGTAGTATCGATATATAGAAGCGATTATAAGAGGTCTAAAGGATCGTACTCTTATTAAGATACTTATTCTAATAAGAATAGATATTTCGCCTTAGTTTCTAATTACTAATATTACTTATATAGTAATATTCGAAGCTAATCGTTAAGGGTAGATCTAAGCTAATTATCTTCTCTAAGTAAAAGCGTAATATTCGAGATAGAGTTTAGAGCTTTCGTAACTCTTAATTAGCTCTTTTAAGCTTACTCGATATCTTCTCGTATATTTATTCTTTAGAGTACTATAGCGATCGTAATTTTAATAATATTTATATTTAATTCGTAGCTATAGTATATATAAAGAGCGAAATCGAAGATTAAGCTTACGCTTATTATATCGAAATTAATAAGCCTTTATCTTCGAAAGAGCCTATATTTTTAGAATATATATCGATAAAGAAAGATAATAGTCGATATCTCTTAGTTAGTAACTATATCTCTTACGTTATATTAAGTCGACCTTATTCCTTAAGAATTAATCGTAAGATTTAGTAACCTTCGAAGTATAGAGTAATCTTTCGCATTACTTCGACGCGATATTAATCTAATTCGGAAGCTAGTCGTTATAAGCTAGTAGTCGAGATTTCTTTTACTTTTACTCGTTAATCTAGTCGTAAGACTCGAAGTATAGTAAAGTAGTAAAAGAGTTTTATTTCCTTAAAGAATTATTCCGAACGAGTTAAGACCGAGCGGAAATAGAGAGATCCGAAGATTAGTACTCTATATAGTATTAAGAATCGATCTCGTCTCGAAGTAATTAATCTTAATAATAGTAATTAAGCGTTATTTACGCCTAAACTAAATTTAATCTCGACGATCGCTAATAAGATAACTCTCGAAGATAAAAGTAGTATAGTTACTATATTCGAGCTTCGAAGGGCTAATTAACCTTAATTCTTTACGAAGAAGAATATAGTTATATTCTTTTAGAATATAGCTAACGCGATTATAAATAGTTTTTTTATATTATCGTTAATCTTTTTTTATATATATCGATCGCCGAAAGTATAATATAATTATTTATTATTTATTAAGCGTATAATTAAGCGTTAAGATACGCTAACTCGAGATTTTTCGAATCGTTTAAAACTAAATTCGTATACTTATTTACTAATTACTTAAGTACTATTTAGAACTTTAACTATAGGCTCTATAGAGGCTTAAGCTAGTTTAGCGTCTATATAATCTCGATACTTATAATAATTATTTAGTCGATAGCTAAATATATATTCTTAATCTCCTCGAAATATAGACTTAAGTATTTCGATATAGCGAAATTAACTTACTATAACTTCGATAAAGGCTACTTTAGTAACTCGAGATAATTACTTTATCTTTAGTATTATTAGTAGCGATTATACTCGTAATACTTCTCGCGCCTTATTAGTTCGAAGTAAAGAACTATTGAATATACAAATAAATACTTCTAGTCTAGAAGTACGATAATTAGTTAAGTTCGATAGTTTTTAATTAAAATAGAGTTCTTTATTACTTAGTAATATACTATAGAGTATACTAGATCGTAAGTTAAATACTTCGAGATCGCTAGTATTTAGAGAAAGAAGAAGATAATAAATAAGAAATAACGAGTAGTTATAATTTAAGAAGAAGTTAAGAAATAGTAAAATATAGTATTAATAATATCTATAAATATACTTTTCTTTTACGGTTTTCTAGTATAATAAATCTATATATCGTCTCGAGAGTACTTAGTTAAAAGGCGAGACCTATAGTTACCTATCGAGATATTACTTTTATACTTCTTTATTAAATATTATAGTAGAAAATCCTAAAAATAGATATACGCTTATTAATTCTTAATTTCCTTACGTTTTAGTACGGTTCGAAGACTTCTTCCTACTATATTTCGAATACGCGGAATAGTCGTCGTAAAATATATTTTAATATATCGTCGTTTCCTTTTTCTAGGTCGGCGAGACTATTCTAAGGACGTCGAATTAATTAAAGATAGTCCTAAAGAGCCTTTAACTATTTCGACGAATAGAATCTTAGTAAAAGTAGTTTCGAGTATAGAGATAGCTATATTTTCTATATAGATATCGTTTAAGTCTAGATAGTCTTCTATATAGTCTTAGTAAGGTCTTCTATTACTTTTCGAGACGTTTAAATCGTATTAGTAATCGTTCGATATACTAGATCTAAAGGCTAAATTTACTTCGAGTAGTATAAATATTTAGTCGATATTAAGTACTTTTCTTCTTATATCGTCGAATATAGGCTCGATATTATTATAATTAATCTCTATATCGTTAAATATAGGCTTAATATTATTTACTTTCCTTATTATATCGTTAAATATAAGCTTAATATTATTATATTTAAACTTTATATCGTTAAATATAGGCTTAATATTATTATATTTAAGCTCTATATCGCGAGATAGAGAGATAATATATAAGTCTTCGGCGAGTATATTCGCCTATAGAAGACTTATTTAACTTAGTATTATATTTATTTCTAGGTTCGAGAGATACTATATGTCTCCGAAGACTATATTTCCTAATACTAATATAAATATAATATTTAAATTCTTTCTAGAAGTAGTCGCGCTATCCTATATAAGCGGAGCGTTATTATACTCTAGGGGTATCGAAATTACTAAATCGACGTTATTAGTATATTTCGATAGCCGTCTAGATTAGATTCTAGATATATATATAAATAATATAGTATTATTTATTATTTTCGATATTCTTTTCCTCTTATTCGAGAGCTTTTACGCTTTAGCCCTTTAGTTACGTTATCGATTCTTTTTATTAAATAGTGTTTTCTTTACTTCTTCGTTCTTCTTTACCTTACTTAAATATACTTCGGTACGTTTTTATTTTTCGAAGTCCTTATAGAATATTATTAATATCTCGTAGTAAATAGATAAAATAATTTCTTCGCTAAGGATATCGTCGATATTCTTTAGTATAGATAGAATCGTTATTATACCCTCTTATATTTACGACTATATAGCGCTTATTTAGGTTCGAGCGATATTATCGCCCTAGTATCTTTATAAGCGACTACTATATATCGATAGTTTAAGAACCTTATCTTCTATACTTAGAATATAGGTCCCGAACTAAAGCTTCTTAACTACTCGAAATAGTTCGAAGTATACTAATTCGAATTTTTTCTTTACTTCGTTTCTTAATAAGACCTAGTTATTAATATTATAGCTAATTTTTTAGTTACTAAGCTTATCGAAGCGAAGTTTTCTTATATATAAGCCTTTCTTTATAAGAAGTCGATTAGCTTTATATCTTATAGTATATAGCTTCTCGATTCTTTTCGCGAAGTTTATATCGATATTATTAAGATTAAAGTTTTTCTAATCGCTTATTAAACGAGATTCGAGATCGTAAATAAGTTAGTAAGAGCTTAGTTTTATTACTAAATAGGCTCGAATATATATAGCGAATAGTATCGAAGATAAATATTCGTTCTATAGAATTATCGATTTCTTAATTAGGTACTTAGTAAGAATTTACTTAAGTATATCGTTAAAATACTTAATCTTATTATTTATCTATAAATAATAAAGAGTTATTATTTAATACTTAACTTTAATTCTATCGAGGTAGTAAGTTACTATTTATAACGTTAAATTAACTTCGTTATT